CCAGTATATCATCAATACTCTGGATCGCTTTGGTTTTAGTGAGTGCAATCCAGTGTCTACGCCTATGGAACCTGGACTTCACCTCTCGCCTGAACAAGGTGCTCAAACACCTGACGAGCGAGCGGAGATGTCCAGTGTGCCCTATATCAATGCTGTGGGTGCTCTGATGTATCTGGCGACTTGCACTCGCCCAGACATCGCATACACAGTGTCCCAGTTGGCTCGCTTCAATGCCAGCCCTGGGTTGGCACACTGGAAGGCAGTGAAACACCTTTTTCGCTATCTCAAGGGGACCTTGGACTTGCGCCTTACCTACAGGCCAGATCCCAAGGTGAACGAGCTCTTCCAGACCTTCACTGATGCCGATCATGCTGGTGAGCTCCCCAAGATGCGTTCCACTGGTGGATACTTGGTCAAGGTGGGCTCTGGAGCGGTGGACTGGTCATCCAAGCTCCAGCCTATTGTTGCTCTCTCCACCACTGAGGCGGAGTACATAGCTGCCTGTGAGGCTGGGAAGGAAATCCTCTGGATGCGCAACCTTCTCTCTGAACTCGGCTACACTCTTCCATCCTCTTCCTCCCTCTTCATCGACAATCTCTCTGCTGTCAGCGTTGCCAAAAACCCAGAACACCATGGTCGTATGAAACACCTGGATCTGCGCTACCACTGGCTCAAGGACGTCGTTGAGGCTGGTGTCATTGCCCCCACACACCTTGCTGGTGTCGACATGCCTGCTGACATGCTCACCAAGTCACTGGCTCGCCTCAAGGTTGAGGAGTTTAGACGGATGATGGGTTTGGAGTAGGACTTGGATTAGGGGGGAGTTGCAGAGGTGCAACATCAGGGGGGAGTGTTAGAGATATTCAACTTCTGTGATGTTCCACCTTCTTACTTCTCTCCTTCTATACATTTCTGACATCCCCTTCACCTAAGCTATCCATACATACCATCCCCATCCTCTAACTCTTCCTATTCATCCTTCCACCCAATGCCACTTCTACTTTGCAGTTTCTACTTCGCTTTGGGCGCTTTGCCTGTTTCCTTATAAGGAGCTGTTTTCCCACAGCTCCGCTTTTCCCTGTACTTCACTTCTCAGCATCTCTTTGCTGCTTACATTGAAGTACAGGTTAGTACCAAGTTCCTATACCAATATATGCTGCTTACATTGAAGTACAGAACTTCTGTCAGCTACCAGGTTGATCTATTCCCTGGTTTTAACAGTACAGAGGCAAGAATGTAAGTTTTTCTAAGTAGAAACACTTATTAGTCATATGCTGTCAATAGTCAACTTTGAATAACTTATATTTGAGTTACTCAGTCTATTGCCATCATCAAGTTGATAGATCTATTATCTCTATTTTTTTTTAGACATTAGAAAGGGAGAAAAGAAGCTCTACAGTAGAAGAAGTATCAGTTATAATTTGTAACTGAGCATCTTCTGCTATCCTGCTTCTTATACCACTCTTGATCAAAATACAAGACTTATCTTGCAATGTTTTTTCACTTTCAGTAAGTTATGAAGTTGTATAAATAGTTGCCTTTGACTCAACAGCTCATAAAATATAAACAGTTGATATATAATAAGTACAAATAACTTACTTTATATGCTTATTACTATAAGCTTAATGATATTGCCTATTTGGAAAACACTGTATAAATTGATCACTTTAATCATATCTCTAAAGTATATAATTTATAAAGGAGGCATAACTTTCTTCATAGATTTACATATTTAGAGAGGACATCTCAGCATGAAGAAATATACATCTATTCTATCTGCCAAATGTGAACATATTGCACTTACTCTAATTACGTACTTGACTCTAACAGCAGACTCTATATAACAGCTAGTCACAGTTATCTTATTTGGATTTTAGGGCTCAGTTGCCTAGCTAATCTTTAAATCTAGCATTACACAAAGTCATTCAGTATCTATTAAATTGTTTGATAATAAAAAAGTAAGTAAATAATATAAATAATATTTCTCTTATTCTTTCAAAATAAAGATTGCAAAAGTCTAATTGTTTTTATTCTAAGCTAAACAAAAAAGTGTAAAACAATTGAGCTTATTTGCAGTATTTTTTATACTTTTACTCTATCTAAAGATAGATTTTATTTATAATTTATTATTAGAAAATATAAATATAAGTTTTTCTATTTAATTTTCTACTAATATAACTTTTTTCTCTAAGTAATAAATCATAAATAAAATGTGCTATTTGAATATAATAAAAGTATCAAATTATACTATAAATAGCTTTATTATCTCACATTCTTTTGATATAGTTTATAATAAGAACAATTAGACTTTTTTACTTATTATCTTACTTCAGAAAAAGATAAAAATAATAGACCATGATTTATTTTATTTTATTACTTTTCTAATTACAAAACAATTAAGTAAGTATATAGCAAAAATAGCAAACTTAATAATTTTAATATCTCTCAAACTGATAACAATAAGTCTGAGGCCTAACTGATAGCTTATTTTGTTAGAGATATTCAACTTCTGTGATGTTCCATATTTTTACTTCTCCTTTTTTATATATTTCTGACATTCTCTTCACCTAAGCTATCCATATATACCATTTCCATTCTCTAACTCTTCCTATTTATCCTTTCACACAATGCCACTTCTATCTTATAGTTTCTGCTTCACTTTGAATGCTTTGTCTATTTTCTTATAAGGAGCTGTACTCTCACAGCTCTGCTTTTCTCTATACTTTACTTTTCAGCATCTCTTTGCTGCTTACATTGAAGTACAGGTTAGTACTAAGTTTCTATATCAATATATACTACTTACATTGAAGTACAGAACTTCTGTCAGCTATCAGGTTGATCTATTTCCTGGTTTTAACATATTTATTATAAAAGTAGCTATAAATAGAAAAACATATAATATAAGTTATATTTCTCTTTATATTACTGTCTTTTTAATATATAAAAAGAGCATATTTTAAATGCTCATGCTAATTTTTATCTCTCTACAAATATACTGTATCTATATAAGCTATATTTAACAAATGCAATATTATTTTATTCTTATTCTTCTCTGATATTAAGCTTAACAAGCTTTTCTTAATAAAGTTATAGTTAAAATTAGACTAAACTATATCAGAATCTAACTACTATTTTTAGCTATAATGTATTGCAAAAATATAAAGCTCAATATATATTAATATTTAGTATATTGCAAATCTATGTAAGTTTGGATTTCTAATTACAATATAAATATCTTTTAATAACTAAAAATAATCTTTCAAAGATTTGATTATTAGATTTATTATACTTAGACTTCTTATATAATATAATAATCTAGTAAGTAATCTATATCAAAATTAGTAATATAATAGTAAGTAATAATATATTAGATATATCAAGTTAGCTCATATAAACTTATTTCTCTTTAGTATTACTACGTACTTTTTAAAAGAGCTCTATCTACTTCTATATACTTATATATGTACTTTTAGTATGCTCATATATATAGTTAACAATATAGAGATTTAGCAATAAATAATCTGAGAATATATTAATAGCAACTATATAAAACTATTTAAAGATAGTCTAAGTATATACTTATCTAAATATTTAGACAATAATATTTCTTATAGTTATAGTAACTCTTATCATATAAATTTAATTAACAACATAATAGTATTAGAGTTTTATTTATAAGAAGAAAACTGCTATTTTTTCTAAACTTAGTATAAAATTACATTTTAATATAGTAAGACTATAGAAAAGATAGATCAGTTTTTTTGATATAATATTGCAATACTTCTAATAGCAATAAATATATATATTGTAAATAGATTTGCATAGATAAAATAGATTCAAATACTTCATATTGAAACTTGATCTTATTCTAAATCTTTCTTCTTCTTCTTCTTCTTCTTCTTCTTCTTCTTCTTCTTCTTCTTATTCTCATTATTATTAGCTTTATTATTATTAGAAGTTAGAGTACTCATCAAGTCACTATTCAAATTATGCCAACTATCTTAAAGAGTTATATCAAAATCTTCAAGCTTATTGTTAGAGTTAGAATTATTCTTAATTTAATAGTTATTGTCTAATAGCAAGTTTAGCATTTTCTTAGTCAAGTCACTTTGTAAGTCTGTCTGATAATTCTTTATAAGGTTTGAGAAATTAGTGTTCAAACTGATAGATAATATATGAGAATTTAAAGATCTCACTAGACTTAATAAAGATAATAAGAATAATAGAGAAAAGACTAAGTTGTATATCTTGCAGCATTATTTCAATACAATAGCACTGCATGCAATTCTCTGATCTTAGAATTTTTGAAAGTGCAAGCAGAGGTTTATAGCATTTCAAGTACTTTTTGTCAAGTGCAATATAACATAGTAGCAAGATAGCATAATATGAAGACACTATATGAGAGAAGTTCAAGAATATATATTTTAGATTTATTATATCAAGCTAAAAATATTAAAATTATAACCTTATAGAAAGATTATATATATATCTCTATTGATAAATGAGATAAGATGTTCAAAAGTTAGATTATAATCTAAACTAATTGTAATTAGTGATTTATTATTGAATTCAACCTCAATTATTTAAGAATTACATTATAAATTATATTTAGAATAGTCAACTCTGAACTTCTCTATTGCTTGAATACTGATATTACATCAAGAGAGTTCACATTAATCTTCTTGATAAAAGATACTTGTCACTATAGTAATAAGAGATTTATATTAGTAACTAATTATATATACTGTAGTGTTAAAAATTATGGCATTCTCTATATCTTACAGTATCTGAAATATGAGAATAATTGAAATAAATCGAGTTAGAATTAATCAGTAAGCAATTGACTTAAAAGTTGAGACTGTTGACACTTAGACAACTTGCCAATCAAAATATTAGATTGATAGTAGAATTTGCTGAGATATAAATTCTGCACTAGCATCTGTATTCTACTATTAGATATCTGTATTCTATTATTAGATATTGAATCAAGCTAGTTAATACATAGCAAAACCTTTGATAGATCTAAATACACTCTTTAAATTACAATAGTATTGTGATATATACTTTATCTAAATTAGAAGATAAAATATAATCTATATATGCAACACTCTGATCTATCTCTCACACCACCATCCTGTTGGATCTAAACAAAGCAACAATGTGATCATACTTGTTTTTTCCTCTGATCTACTGAACTCCAACTTCATAGTAATCTGCTTCAAAATCTTTGTCTAATTTAACAAGTTAATAATTATCAAAAAGCCATAATTATTTAGCTTCACTTACCAATGTATTCATCTTTATATGAAATAAGTTAAACAACTCCTCCAGCTTAACAGTCATATCTGGCTTTGAAATCTTCTGCATCTGATATTCATCTATTAAAAGCCCAAACTCCAAAATAATCTCCATCACATTGTGCAAATATTTTGCAATGCTTTTCTGGCCTGAGCGAAGTAAACAGGCCACCAATATATTATCCAGAATTGCAGAGTGATGTTGCATCAGAGCATCTACATCTGTAAATGTTTTGATATCTTCTGCAAAAGTGTATTCCTTGGCAAGGTCAGCAAGAAACCTATCATAGATGGCACCTATTGCATGAGTGTATATGTAATTTGATAGCCCTGTAATGAATAATTTTGCCAAAAACTTGAAATGGAGGAAAAGCTGTAATGTTGCCCTTGAATCTGAAAGAAGCACTTGCAATGCCTTTGCATGATATGACAATGTATATATCACATTATCCACTGATAGAAAGATAATCAGAATATACATGGTGATGAATATAAACACACCTACCTCGCATCAATCTGAGACAGAACAGAAAGATTCGATGATACTTGGAGAGAATAAGAGGAGTGATCACTGAATCCAGAGGCTTTGGAGGTTGATAGTCAAGGTATAGAAAGTCAAAGGCTCTATTGCTCATAGGTTGAATAGCATAGAGACTATATGTTTAAAGTACTCACTGGATGGCTATCAGTGTATTCAGCATAAGCTAGTTTTCACAAAAGTATATGTATGAACACACCTCTAGGATTCAACCATAATGCATTGCCTGCATTGGTAGGGAGGTCTTGAATTGCAAATCCGATTCTCCATTCGGCATCTCTGTGAATCCCTTGAATAGATTCCTCTGCCGCTGAATAAATCTTGGCAAAGTCCTGCGCCAGAGCATCCAAGATAACAGTGCGCAAAGACAAACTTAGACTGGAGCCGGCTGGAGGCCATGTCCCATCTACGGTGAGTTTGGGCGACAGCCCTATCACCCTATGAGATTCGGACATAGTATGACCGCCTCTAAGCCGTTGCTCGGATGAAAAGAGTGCTTGTTCCAGGTGCATCTTGAAAGCAGAAGACGTGAGTAAAAGATAAGACTTCAAAAGCTGTAGATGTGTCGGAAGATGGTATTGGGTGCAGGGAGATAGGAAGACATCGATTAACGCTTTTGAAACAGAATCGATGTGAGTGAAGAGGGGACCAGTCACGGCCTTTGACAAGAGATGCAGAGTTGGTGTGATAGAGGGCAGTACAGTGGGAAATGCTCCAAGGAATGTCTTGAACTGCAGAGCAGATGATCGGATAGCTCCCAATGAATGTGTGCCAGGATTGTTCGGCTCGAGATCAAAATCGTGGAATCCGTGGAGGGCGTCTGGATATGAGCGTTGGTCATATGTGTCGGCATTAAGAAGTGGTGGGAGGGAAAGAGAAGGGCAGTCGAAGGATTGATTGTCAAGCATGGAATAGACTGTTTCATCTGTCCATACCCAGTCAATCGCTGATGTCAATTTGTCTATTGCCAGAAGTGGATGGGCAGGATTCGCTACCATGAGAAGATCTAGCGATCGCTGGGCAACACCAATCGAGCGACGCATTGACTCCGAGAAAAAACTGGGAGCAGTAACAGTAGGCCGACTTCTGTCATTAGAATCGTTATCTTGGTCATCTTGATCCCTCATGTTCGACACCATAACTAACGCCATTTCTTGAGATGGCAACGTAAATCCTACTGAAGCACTGAGTTGCTTGAAGTAGACGCGAGAGACTGTTGTGAGTATGAACGCGAAGAGTGCCCTGATTGTTGTTGAGGAGCTGTGTCCGATATGCGAGTCGAGCTTGTCATATATATGAGACAGGAGATCTGTCTCGGCGCGGGACTGCGAGTTTAAGGAAAGCTTATGACACTGCAGCATGAACATAAGCGCTATCATTCTAGGGGAATAGAAAACGGATGGCGCACATAATTGCAAAGTCCGAATAACTCCAGCAAAAATGATTCCAAATCGGCGAAGCATGCCCACCAAGCAGTCAAGGACTGATGCACATCGGTGGGACTATTTATTTTGGTGAGTGGAGAGAGATCTCGTATGAACTCCATGGCGTATTGAAGGACAGAAGACGCCGAAGAAGTAAACGCATGGAAGATTGAGCCGGCAGTCCTGAGAACATATCCATAGGCGTTCGCAATGAGAAGGTGCAGGATGACTCACATTCTCCGATCCAGAAAAGCCTCCAATTGTCGCACCGTAGTCCCAATAGTAAGAAACCGTCTCAGTAAGCTACATGGCCAGAACGTGAGTAGTCGCTTGAGGTGAATCTAAAGAAATTTGTACCTCTCGCTAATGGTATCATCACTGCCAACTAAAAGAAGCAAACCCTTTCTACCCTTCGTATCACCTTGCAGGATAAATGAATTGGACCTAGGATCCCATTTATACAATGCGGATGACGATCCTGTTAGGACCAAAGCAAGCGACTCAATGAGCTCCGGGACAGCTGTATACTTGACATAGGTATGTGGGTCCTGAAGAAGAGGATGGATGCTAACATACACAATGGACGGATGAGCAAGAGGCAGTGATATGAAGGGTCATTGACGCACTGATGTCGGACGGCGGATAGTTGGCGTGTAGGCAGTTCGGACAAGAGAGCAGGGTACGTTGATGCTGCCGCCGAACGTATCCGAAGCGCATCCCACGATAGAAACCTGGTCTATGGAATAGACTATTGAGATATGTGAAATCAACAAACGACAGAAGACATACACGTTCTCGGTCATTGGGCAGCTGTACCAGTGTTCCCAAGTCCCATGCATGAGGAATGTCATCGAACTTAGCAACTCCAGGATTGTAGGCCGCCACATGTGGGTGAATGTCCCCACTCTTCGGCGCGTGATACAAAACATCTAACGCTTCTATGATAGGGTTTTGAGGTTTATCTGAGAGCGAAGCTACATGGAACCGCGGTCGAGCTTCTGGCAGCATGTCCAAAGCGAATGCTGCATTGTTCCAATCGATAAAATCATCGTAGAGAGTGTCACGTATGGCAGTATCGGCGCCCAAAGTAAGAAAATCTAGCGGCATCTTGTAGGACTCTGGCCAAGTAAACGAGCGACGCGAATGTCGACGAACCCTTGCGCGCTCAACATGGAAAACGCGATCACGTGCTTTTCACGTGCTATGAATATACGCCTTGCGCGTTCATTTGGAAGATTCTCTCAAAGTTGGATGGTTGAACCAAGTGCAGCAACAGGCATAACCGATTTTCAGACATAGTAGTGGTACAGTTGGCCATGTGCGCTGCAAGTTTTGGCGTTGACGAACGGAGAACGTTAGATACTTGGAGTGATATTCGAACAAATACCGACCTGGTGTGAGTCCACATGAAAGCATACGAGTCCGTGGATCACCATATGACGGTATTATTTGCACTTGGATGCGACACTGGACAGTCAACGAGACGATTTGGCTCTATTTTCAATGGCCGCATGTTCATTAGCGCCGGTCACGCGTTTGAACGTTGAACTCTCCCTCCCTCCCTCCTTCCCTCCTTCTCACCAGCAAGCCGCGATTTATCTTTTCTTGTTTACTTCTTGTTATAGAAGGATTTGTTACATCTATACCGCGCAGGCTACGGGCGTACCCCTCTATGGCTGCTGTCCTTCGTAATCCTCTGGGTTTACGCCCTCTCTCTCATCAACTCTCCCCGTCCCCTTCAACCCAAATTGGGGCGACAAAACCTCCATCCGCCAAACGATCTCGCTCTCCGGAGCTTATCGTAGATGGCACTTTACAATCGTCCAAACGTGTCAGAGGCGTCGACCAGTCTCCTGCACCTGGGCCAAATCGTGAAGAGCTGAAGAAGGAGAAAGAGCGTCGGCGTATCGAACGGGAGAATGAGTTCAAGATTAAATACACACGCGCATTTCCCAGCTGGGTGTTCTACTTTGATATCGATGCTGCCAACCCCGACGCGGCGCTCCTTCGCGAGCAGCTCGTGGACAGAGTAACACGGATGGGTGCTGTACGTATTGCTCGTCTATGCTATTGTGGCTTTGTCCCTTACATGTTCACTACAACAGCATGTTGAAGACTTCTTTTCCAAAGAGGTCACCCATCTGATCACTACGCAGCCAGAGGAATCATTTGCAAACAAGGAAAACAACTTAAAGCATGCACATCTTATACCAAGTCCTTCTACTTCCGTACTTCGCAGCCCTATTAAACTGAGAGGCAGGTGTGTACATCAGTCACTTTTTAATCTAGGCCTTCCTCAGCTCGTCTTGTGCGCAGAGCCGCCAAAGACGTTCCTGCCGCACAACCGCCAGATCATCTCATAAAGAAAGCTCTCACCTACGCCATTAAAATATGGGATCCGCTGAAACTGGACAGCGTGCTTGACCGTTGTGGGGCACCACCTGCCTGTCTGGCGGGCTCCTCTACAGCAGTCGGTGGCTCCAACCGGATTCAGGCGATATCTAGTGTTCCTCGGGAACGTTCTTTAACTCGTCTTTTAGAGGCTGAACGTATTCACGGAACCACCGAGCGTGACCCGACTCAGAAGCGCAGTGACTACATCTACTTCTCAAAGACCAGCTACTATGTCTTGGTAGAAGATATGAACCAGGAACTCGCTACTATTGCTGCTTTGGAGTATCCCATTCACAAGGATCGGGACGGTCAAGAAAGAGGCACATGGCCAGTTCTTCACTGTCATCCACGAGCACGAGGACCATTCGTTGAGTATAACGAACGCGAAGAACGACGGCGCGAGAAGGCCGACAAAATAGAGGCTGAGCGTGAGTGGGACAGGGAAAGACGGAAAGCCAAGCTTCTCGAAGCTGAGAAGAGGAGGAAGGCTCAGCAACAGGTGCAGCGTAATGGAGACCTTCGGCGGTCAGTGTCAATGAAGAACCTACATCGACGGGCATCATTCCCTCAAGCCGGAACTGGCGGATTCGTTGATTTGGATGCCGATTTTGATGACGGCAATACCATGGCATCCGCCAATGCGTCTGGTTATCTCGCCTCTGGCGCATACATGGCAGCATCGGGTAATAGTGTCAGTATCACCTCCACTACAGGGACAACCTCCACTGCCGGACATTCCTCTCGAATGACTCAACTCAACCCGAGCCTCAAGGGGCTGATGCAGCAGCAAGTGGTTACATCTCGTAAAGCTGCTACCAATACCACATCCGCCGGAAAGAAGGAAAATATTATGGGACCACCATTATCCATTCCGGAAAGACCTAACAACATGCTCTTGAGGAAGAGCCGAAGTACCAATACTCTACGCCTGCCGAAGCGTGAAGAGGGAATGAAGCCCGGGTATTGTGAAAGCTGCCGAGTCAAGTTTGAAGACTTCAAACATGTGCGCGACTTCTTTCGTCCGCTCGTTTGGCTACGTGACTGATCGTTTTTCTCTATCAGCATATCATTGGTCGCAGACATCGCAAGTATGCTACGGACGATGCTAACTTTACTCAACTCGACCTGGTACTCTCAAGGATGAGGCGACGCACCCTGCAGGATGTTGCAGCTGAACGGCGGGGATGGAACCATCCTCAACAACGCCCCACTGCAGATCATCACATGTATCACCTAGCATCAGAGGATATGGCGGGTGAGGATGTCCAGTGGGATGACTGGGTCGAACATGACGAGACTTCCTAATCATTCACCCGCGCTATACTTGCGTCACGTCGTCAGCTCGTCCTCCTTTCCACGGCGCTCTACGCCTTTCTCTCCCATTCTTGTAACACTAGCTCGTCGATATCACAACCACATGAAACTGAACATTGCATTGTCGTCACGGTACATTCATCACAAGTCGTTATAGTCAATATACGGATTAGTATCTGCGTATCATCGCTCGACTGAGTCCTTGAGTGGCAGGACAACCCCATCATTGAATGGTGACTGTAAGCAAAATGACGGTGCCGTCTACAGCGATACCTGAAGTAGGACAAGTGTTAGTGCGTTCATGGTAACCCAACTAAAAGTGTACAAACCATGGTTGACGCCAGTGGCGCCAGCGGGCATTTGGTTTACAAGTCTCTGAGCAGTTGTAGAGTAGGTAACGCCATTGAAGCTGGTGGTCCCAACCGCGGCGTCTACTAGAGCATCTCTTTCTCCCGCAAACGATGTGTATATAATTCGCTATATCAGGAATTTGGGTCTTACCTGCCAACATTATAACCATCCTCAGATATAGTGTGGCCCTCAGTCACGTTCTCTTCCTTGGAGACACTGCAATACGAAAGCAAGACATAAGTACGATCCCAAAAATCATTCAGAGGCACTTACGCCAGGAAAAGCGCGCCACTGTTAGCATTGGGTCCGTTCTGGCGGAACACTCTGACGAACGGACGACTTAGAAGTTTACCGGAGGAAATGGTAAGGGAGGATACCGGAAATGATTTCCCCCAATCAAGCTCTCAAGGCAGGTGCCTATGTCGGCATTACCGAAATCTTGACGGAGCTCAATTGTCTGATTAACAGCACCATTTCCATCGCCAAGGTTAGCAGACTGGGGATCACCGATATGAATTCCGAAGCACTCGGTAGAGCTGGAGGGCGAGGTCAGCTGGAAAAGTGCATGTGGCACTAAGACTTACAACCCAATAGCGCGGGCAAAATTGACAACGCCGTCATCAGTGAGTACGGCGGGAGAGCTTAGACCTGAGATGACCACCTGTAAGACAGCAAATTTAGCGTCATTCTCTCGCGTAAAAGACGCGAATATTGAGCACGCACATTAAGTGGCTCTCCGCCACCGCTCCCGGCGTTATCGAGCCAAGAGCCACCTCCTTGCGTGGGATCGAAGAAGGCGACGGCATTTATATCCCTCCTCGCTGAACGGGACGTAACGTGCGCTGTCGCGGTTGCGAGCAGAGTAAAAGCAAAGAGGATGGAACCAGCGAACATGTTTCACTCGGCAGGCAGCAGGAGGGGGGGATTACTTGGAGGTGCTTGGCGAGTACTAGACGACAGTGGGAGACCTCTGGCATTTATAACCTCTGAGAAGCCCAATGACATCTTCCGAACGAAGTTCCCTTTGGATTTGATCTGACTGAAAGCATCGTTGTGAGAACCTTGGTTGAGGCAACGGCACGGAGGAGACCCTAACATACCCATATGGAGCGCATGGCTATCCGACGAACGCGTAACATTGTGAGTCGTGAAGCATGCGTATCGACGGACCTGCTTTGAGGAACACTACCCTGTGCACAACTGATCATATGTGTTAGGCCATGTGCTCAGCTGAGACGAATAGACAACCTAAACGAAACAACAATCACCAAAGGAAGGCAAGAGAGCACATGTTACGGGAGTGCACCCTTCGATTATTTGTTTCATGGTTACTGACATCAGATGATAGACCGGAAGGTTAGCATGGAACGGCTGGGGCAGATCCTTCAACGCTTTCATGTCAACATGCGTGCCAATTACCTTCCACATTTGTGCCATCATTGTCGCATAGACTCATAGTATAGTGCTCATACAGAGGACTCCTTGGCGGTCACCATGTCTCCTAGTACTGCATTGCTCAGGAGGATGAATCAGCGAATAGAGCGATAGCGGTGAGACCGGTCCACAAGGCAGAGAATTCAACTGCCAACCTACGCACAAACGTGCGTGGTTATATCTCACCATACCTGTCAGTGAGGGACGAACTGCTACACCGATTACCAGACGTGCATGAACGTTTGACGACATCATCCACATCCTGGAAGTTCTCATTTAGGAACAGGGACAACCACATTCAATGTGTGTGCATCAGAAGCATCCTTGAGATAGTCTACAGTTCCAGCTGTAACTTGCACTAGGCTGATGTAGTGCTTGGGCAATCGGTGCATTAGCATCATATGAAGATAGCATCTGCTTTCTGGCTCTGTTGTTGGATAGCATCGTCGAAGGTTGCCTCTGAACGTGATCCGGAGGTCAGTCGTTCACAAGAGTGGCTCCAGAGACATTCCCGTCCACACAGACCACACGAACCATAATAGGCAACGTAGGGTTGGCTCCCATCGATATCAAATCCTGAGCTGAGAGCCAAGGATAAGATAGCATGGACGACTTTGGACATTGTGTAGGACATTTTCACAGAGAAACAGTCAATGAATGAGAATGGGAACGAGAACAACTAGAGCAGACAACGAATGGCGAACATATGAGGTCCGTTGAAAATTGCGAACCAGGATGCCATATCAAGCAACCGTGTGACAGTCACACTTCTCACCAAGTTCGTCTGCCCAATTTGGTTTCTTACGAGTGAACAAAGTAAACCAGCTCGCCTGAAACCACTCTTCATCGACGGTTTCGTGTCGGCTGCTACGTCTTTACATCTTCTCTGCTTCGTTCCTTCCAGCCACGTTCACTTTTGCTGGCCGAAGAGAGGATTTTGCCTTCACCTCATCGTTGTCTGGTGCGAACCCCTGCGCAGTAAACTCAACGGTCTGTTATTCAACTAGCCTTTCACAGTGTGCTTCAGAAAGTTCTCACCCAACGAAGCAGATATATCAATTTCGATCAATGTCCAGGATGCCCGAATCACCGGATGCCACTGATTCAGTCGGGGACTCTGGCGATGATGGACAACTCACCATTAGGATTCCCAATCCTAAAGTTTACATGGCTCGTCAATCCCAATGGAAGGGTCGGAGAGGGAAGCCAAGGTGTGACCATTGTCGGCTGAATAATCTTAAAGTGAGCACTCTTCTGCAACCACTCTTTACCTGGGACGACGTTGAATATATCGCCACATAGTGCGACCGCGTTCTCCCTCAATGTAATCATTGCGCCTGGGCTAATGGCAGGGAATGCAAATATACCCCTTTACCTACTCCTGCTCACAGGGGCATTCCACGCTGCGACCGCTGCCGTTTAAAGAATCTCAAGGTATCGTGCCTTTCAATATCTAGATCTCCTGTTTTCATCCTAACTCTGACCCTCCCAGTGTGATCGCAACCTGCCAGTCTGCAATCATTGTGGCAACGAAAATGAAGTGGAATGCAACTACACGCCTAAGAAACGACACAAGGTTCCGTCCGACCACGTGAACACAAGAGATCGCCCGGTGGCTCCCTACGCGGCCAAGACAGCGTCGTTCTTGGTGTCTGATATGCCAGCAGGTCAGGGTGGAGCAAGCCCTGGAACCGCTGCTGATTCTGGTATGATTATAGGTCCTTCTGGCGGTCTTGGATTTAAAGGTCAACTTCGAACAGAACCGCAAATCCGACAATATGTTCCAGCTCGCACCCCGCCACTAGATGGCGATGGAATGGAAGTTGATTCTGAAGTATACCACCAGTCTGGAGACGGCAACTTTACATGGGTGCGCTTATTGACTGAAATACGGGTAGTCGTGCAATGTTTCCATTTGCTGATAGCCTTTTTTTACATATCTAGGGCATGATAGTAACGACACCCCATATCGATCCATGGACACATGGATCGTTTGCTCCCTTACCTGATGTTGTTATACAGGCCCTTCGCACTGTGAATGCCATCGAGATGCCTAGTCGTCACGCGTTTGACGAAGCTCTGGGTAGGTTTGTCAGCGGTCTTGCGCAAGAACTGCGAGAAACCGCTACGTTCCCTGTTGACTCTTATGCATCAATTTCACGGGCTGTATCAGAAGGAACGGTGGCGGAGCTGCAGCCTCGTCTTCGTATGTGGGCTACATGTCACCATGCGAGGGCGGGCTCACGGAAGAACCATCTTATCCTTTTGCCCCGCGATGCCTTCTACAACATGAACCCTGCAGACGAAGAGAAGCTTAGAGCTCAGTACATTGTTCAGACCGATGGCGAAGGTGGCGGACAACATAATGGACAACTTCAAGATGGCACAAGCAACTCACTAGAGTCTGTTGCCGTATTCGAGAGGGTTCCTGTTCAACCACAGATATATGATGTCCTAGTGTTCACACACAGGAATCATGGTTCAACATCAACAATGTTGTTTGAGGCCCGACGGATAGGCATTGTAAGAGTGTTGCTGGTGTTTTTTCCGCATCGTTTACTCATTGTGACATAGGCCACAATCACATGGCCAATGGTTGAGCTATTCATTCGTCTGTGTCCTCTATGCAAGATGCGCGCCAAGGGCGCAAATACCAATGCTCACCGGCCCATGGTGGACGAGGAGGCTTTGAAGGCGCAAGCCGCTCATGCGTCCCAGCGATGATTACGCTGGTTCCTCGTTCTTTTCTTTTGGTTAATACTGATTCTGGCCGATGGGCTTGCTTGGAATGTACTTAGTAATCCACACGCTTTGGTGTATAACTATATTTTTATTGGCAACAGAAAGCCTTTTGAATGGCGCGGGAATCTCTCATGATTACAAGTATACACGATCTTACTGGAAGCAAATCAGTACGGTTGACTCTGGCCATTGAGAATTCTGGATAGTCACACGCGTCAATCTTCGTTCATGCTCACGGAATCAATCAGATGTTACACGCACAACTAGACGTCATGATCGAAGTTCGAAACTGGCAAAAGCAAGGTCGTATCCGCCGAATTCGTAATTAATTTTGTCTGTTCTCCTGTACAGTCCGTTGAAGGCCCGGCCATCCTCCTTGGTACCAGAATCCTTCTCACAGCATGACGGCAGCGTCAAGGCAGCCTTGAAAGCCCTCTGGGCGCGCTCGACCGCGGTCTCTCCTCCTTCCTCTTCGACAGTGGCATTCTCTTCACTGGAGATGAAGAGCGTAAGGGTGAGCTTCCCGGGTTGGAATATATTAACGATACGGCGGATAAGCGTCTTTAAATCAGGTATGCGGGAGTGTGATGAAGGAGAGTGGGTCGGAAGTGGAATATTACATTCGAAGCTTGCGTACGACCATCCTTCTTCTGGGGTAACATGGATGGTGTAATATCCTTCGCCGTTTTGTGAAAGGTCGCTCCCAGCGTCTTCACGCCATCTCACGAGAGCATTTGAAGAGTATCCGCATGGTGTAAAGGAATATGCATCCAGGGTGGTGAACTCCGTCGGGAATAGGTCGGTTATTCCTAGCGATGAAGAGAGGGCGAGAGCATGGACAGAGGGGGTATCTTCGGGAGCATCGAGTGATATGTCTGGGGTAAGGAAAGGTTCTCGGGAGGAAGCAGATAGGTTCTGCATGAGAATCTCGATAGTGTAGTCTTGCGTTGGTGAGTCCGGCAAAGTGTTTCCGCTAGCTTCTCCCTCGACAGGGGGTAACGTGTGAGTATGGAGGACAGGTGAATTCTGTGCCGTCCTTCCGTTGCAGTCTTCACCCGGGGTAGTAATGTAGAGCAGCCAATGATCTCCATTAACCTTTCCAACAGTGTATGCAGCACCATTGGGAAAGATATTGTCCAAGTATTCCACTTCAGCTTTCCAGTCTCTGTGGGGCCCTGATTGGCGATCAGGAAACATGAACGCTTTTCGTGAGTAGAAACATTGATAGACGTTGGGGAGACCGGCCTGTTCCCGCGCAATTTCCAGGATGCGAGGAAGACCTAAGAGATTGAGCGTGGTCCCACAAGTTTTAAGGATCAGACGGTGGGGTGAAACGAAAAAAGCCGATTCACTGGTACAATGTAACAATGAAGGAGTTTCTCTCAGTAACGAACGGAAGAAGAGTGGGCACATGAGGAAAGTTCACTCACCTGAGAAGATATGCATCCATTTCGGTGCCTTCGATCACTGAGAGAATTTTGCACTTGACGATGTCAAGCATGACTTCCCACTCCGCTCGAGGAATTTTTCTTAAACCGAACCTCCCATCCACAGCGGACGCGTCAGGCACTTGAGCTGGGGATGGAGCGAACCATATCTCTAGGAGCTTCTCTGGACCCTCGAACGGCCCAGCAGGCTGGTGTTCATCATGATCGGACATGGATAGATGTCAAAGGACGCTATCGAGGTGGAGAACGAGCAAACCAAGAAGAGGGGGACGCAGAATGCATGAAATGAGAGTAGGGATGAAGGAGGGAAGCAGAGAGTGCTCGACTTTGCTCGATCGATACTTGCCAAAAACTTGTTTCGGTAACGGCTGCTCACGGTCCGCCCGCCCGCCCGTCCAAATCTTTCGCCGAATGCTGTCGTCTGCAAGTTCGCCGACACTGGCCACAACATCAACTTTACAATCTCTTGCATTTCTTTTCACTTGACTCTCTCATCTGAATGGTTCGCAACATTATCCTGCGATTCCCCATTGTTAGGGCCCTTGTGCCTCGCGTGTCCCGCCCTCTACTTCCCCTTTCAACTCGCTTGCCACCTACTGTCAACGCGCCATTACGCAGTCCCACCCGACTCTTCCACTCTTCACCGACCCGTTCACAATCACCTCATGATCCAGACTTTCCAAGACTTCCACCCAATTCATCCTTATCGCAGCGGTTGAAGCACCTCATCAAGTCATATGGGTGGTATGCCCTTGGAGTGTACATCATCCTTTCCACTCTCGACTTTACCGTTGCGTTTGCAGCGGTGAACGTACTTGGTGCAGAGCATGTCTCCCGTGTTGCTGCTTCCGTAAAGGACATGTTCTATAACATGATCCACTCAAAAGCTCCGGAGCCGGGAAGGGAAGAGATGGATAGTGCGGTATCGCATTCAAATGGCCAAGAAGGACTCTATGCCATGCTTGTGCTTGCATACACAATACACAAGACCTTGTTCTTACCTGTCAGAGTGGGCCTTACCGCGGCTCTCACCCCAAGATTAGTTGGCTGGCTGAGGTCACGCGGGTGGGCTGGAGGAGCAGGAACGAAGCGAGCTGTGCAGGAGATGCGCGACAGGATGAGGGACAGGCGGCAGTAGCTATCTACTTCATACCTAGTACATTCAGGTTCAGGTACGTTCGCAGTGGAAGTGTGGAACCCAAATCCAGTTGTCAACATACTCATGTACCGTATTTATCTTCTACAGCACACCTTAAACTAATATCTAGTAACTCCGATTATCCATGCAATCGGACGTGGCGCAAGCGCGTCGGCCTATAAGGACCGTGCTACCCAGGAAATACAGTTCAACTTTGGCTCTATTGCTCCAAGGCATCCATAGTTCAGTACTGCTGGCCCTGAAATCGCGTCGGAGGAAATGTATCAGCAGCTAGTAGGCTGAGATCGCTCGAAATCATAAATGTGCATTCCTGCATGCGAAGGGTGTAATCTATGATTATGCATGGTATACCAGAGTCCGGCTCATAGAACATGGGATAGTCTAGACATGAAGCCAGAAATCATCCTGAAAGCCTTTTGTGTCTCTCTTCTGCCTATCTGTCCGAGCTTCCAAATGTGACAGTCTTTGCTTCTCCGCTTGAGCATATTCTGCTATCATCTCATTCGCTTCCTTGATGCTTTCTCGAACTCTCTGGACCTCCTTCGAGACATCGCCGTCCATGCGATCAAGCAATTCAAGTAGAGATATAATGGATTTGGGGGGTATCGGAGGTAATTTCTTGTGGGTTTTGAAGCCTGCGTCACGAGAGGTGAGAGCATTCGTTTGCCGTGCCATGTTAGGCGAAGCAGACTTGGAGGAGGCAAACGAAAGGTTGGGTAGTGGCTTCGAGATTCCCGCTGCTTCCATCTTGAGTAGAAGGTCTTTGGTGAATGCATCTGACAAGAGAGGCGACTTGGGTATGTTGAGAGCGAGCATAGGTGTGTAAGATAAAGTCATCGTTGTTGCGTTTGACTCTTGCCAAAGAACGTGATTGTGGTAAATTGTTGATAGTTATATACGATGAAAGAAAATCCAAGCTTCAAGCTTGATAATGGAATAAAGTACTAGCTAGCAGTGAAAGGTTGAATGAGAAGGTGCATACTGTATTCTCGCGTCGAGGATTCAACTTCAGGAGTTGCCTGTTACAGGCTCAACACCTTACGTAACGGTACGCCCGATGCCTTTCTCGTCGAGAGAGCAGCCTCTACACTCGAACAGAACATGTCGTTGGCCCGAGCTGGTCGCATTGCACGCCTGAACAGGCCCTGCAGGCCTCACGTCGCGTCCAGATTTTCTTCAAGCCATGCTGGCGAGCATGATCAACATCACCATGATGCCCACGCCGACGCTATCGCATTCCCTCGCGAAGGTATGCATCTTTGCCGTCTGTACCAATGCGCTACTCACCAGACGTGATGTAGATTTCTCTGCTCCTATATGGCGGAGATTCATACTCTATAGCCTGCTAGCCGTCGGCTTCTACAAATTCGCCCCGTCGCCAAAGGAGGACAATCCCTTCTCCCGATTCCTTGACCAGTATCGAACCCCACAAGAGGTCTGGGCAGCCGTGAATTTGAAGCATCTTGAGCTCTCCGCTCAGTCGCAGGTTGATAATCTCCTGGTTGCGGAAGCCAAGCGGCCACCTGTTCACCGATTCAGGTATCCTCAGTACGTCGAGAGGCTCTTTCGTCGTGTGCATATGGGAACTAATTCACTACGTCAGGGCATTTGAACAATACTCTCCGCATCTGAGACCCATTGGAACTACCGTTGATTTCGGCGATCTTGTTATAAAGGGGGACAAGGCATAGACATAGACATATATGGATATTTTGCTTATGGGCAACCGCGTTCATTGTCTCCAGAACATACTCCTCTCACCTGTTAACCTTACCCAATTTCAAAACATGACTGCACTCCATGATACAATTGTTCCGAACTGACCATAATGAAGAACTGATACAACAGCAATGCAAAATGAAGGTCCAACGATACACCGAGATGTTATACATATCTTATACTGTGTTATGGCAATTCAATCAATACACAATAGGTATGGCGGTGTGAGGAGGATCACTACAAAGGTGAATGTGAGCAATAAGGCCGTGCGGAATGACTGACAGTATGAACTTACCTGGAGCAGAGGATCCCGGAAATGTTTCTGGTAGTTGTGCCTGAAGCCAACCTTGGTCTTGAAATGCTCCCTCCGTTGTTGATCGCGGAATTCCTTTACATGGCGACCCGCTTCTCTGGCTTCACCAGGATTGCGAGCCTTCACTAAGTCCATTCCTGAAGCATAGGCACCGAAGCCACCATTTCTTGGCACCAACATATTGCCTTTATCACGCAGCAGCCTACGGTTTTCAGCTACAGTTGATGCATCTTCTCCAGGTCGTGTTCTCCTAAGAGCAACCACATGTGATGTTCGATGGTGACCATGGATATGACGATGTGCGACTCGTGATCCGGAAGGTAGGATGAGCTCGTACGGTGTGTCACCCAATCGAGCAGCGTATTCGTCGAGATCAGCATCCTCGTCACCCTCAGCGACCTCGATAACCTCATCAGCTTCCTCTCCATCATCCTCAACATCCTCCCATTCTTCATTCTCATCCTCCCCATGTGTCTCCTTCTTTCGCTGGGCCTTCGTCCGTTTCTCCGCATCAGGATAAGAAGTGCTGAAATCATAGAAGTCGGATACTTCCAACCGTTCGAGATCGGTGTCGTACGCAATCTTACAATGTCCCTTGTCCAGCATATGTCTCCTGACGGCGTCCAATGTCCGGAACTCGGCGCCACAGTAGATGCAGACGTTTCCGACGGCAATTTTCTCTCCAAGGTAAGTCAAAAGACCGGAGAGATCGACGAGGTATTCGGTATCGGGAAGGAAGAAAGAATGGGCAGCAGACATGTGAGCAAGGTTCTCTTCCGTGGAGGAAGACGCTGAGAGACAGAAAAGACAGTGTGAGGGAGACAGACGAGCCCGGGCAGCAGCAATCTTTTCGTCGATCGTTTGTATGATTTCTTCCTCGGTTGCATTAGGGGCCACGGTGAGTGAGATGCCAATCGAAGGAGCTGGCCTCTCCGGCGCGGGCTCTTCTACAGTTGCAGGAGGAGTAGGTTCTTTCCTAGGCTCGGACGCCCGCTTAGCCGCCTTCTGCTCATTTTCCTTGTGCTTCTTCGAGCTCATATGGGATCGGTAGGCATTTTCAGTAGTGTAGGTCTTACTAGGAGAACATAAGTGCAATTCCAGTGAGGGCGTGATATATTCAGACGTACCCGCAAACTGTGCAAGACGAAAATTTGGACGAGGCAGCAACAGCAGTCTCGGACTGTCGTTCAAGCACTCTCTGGCTGAAAATCTCTACACTGACGGGGGATAGACCCGCAACACGACGTTTCATGTTGTACCTATGGTGATCAGACCGATAATGTACCCCTGTAAAGAATGACATTGAATATAAGCTCCTAGATTGAGGCTCAAGCAAACGTACTTTGGTCATCGGCCAAGTAAAATGCAATTGAACATGACAGGCAAGTGAATAAGTTTTGTGTAGAATCCGCCATATTTTTAATCCTGGCGAGCGATTGAACAGTATATAACGGGGGAAGCGTAAAGAAACAAAAGCAGAGGCCGGGCAGAGTCGATGAGGCTTTCAGCAAGCGGCACTGCAAAGATAAGTACGATGACATAACATAGCGCCCGTCATCGATCGGCGGAATGATGTGGTTGCCTAAAGTGGGTTCGGAGTCTGAACATCTGCCACCCGCCGCAACGCAAGGAGCTCACCGTCGGGCACAGCGAACGATATCCTCAAGAGAAACGGTGAGTAGCCCCCCTAAATGCTGTCACTAGGGTTTCCAGGCCAGGAGAGAATGCTGCAGGTGCTCAGAAGTGGTGGAATAGCGGTGGAATGGGACGGATGGCTCGTCTGGAGGATGGATGAAGGCTTGCGACCATGGATGGACTAGGGTTCTAACGATTATTTTGCTTTGCAGACTTTTCCTCGTTTCCGGACCCTTCAACATGTCTCTCCACGTACCGGAAGCTCACCAGCAATTTCAGGTGCGTTCGCTTGGACACGGTTCTGGCGCAGTCGAGGGAACTTATGATTTCGCTTTATACAGCACATTTTGCGTCTCCTCAACACAAATGTTGACGGTAAGAGGAAGATCATGTACGCTTTGACCGAGATCAAGGGTGTTGGTCGCCGGTACTCCAACTTGGTCTGCAAAAAGGCAGATGTGGACCTTAACAAAAGGTGCGTCACCCCCCGTCGCTCTCGGTCGAACTCCAATGCTTAAGGCGAACTGCGAAAATAGGGCCGGAGAGCTTAACTCTGATGAGCTCGAACGTCTTGTTACCATCATCCAAAACCCCACTCAGTTCAAGATCCCCACATGGTTCTTGAATAGGCAACGTGATATTGTCGACGGCAAGAACTCGCAAATCTTGTCCAATGGTGTTGACTCGAAGCTTCGTGACGATCTTGAGCGATTGAAGAAGATTCGTGCTCATCGTGGTCTGAGACATTTCTGGGGCCTGCGGGTCAGGGGTCAGCACACGAAGACCACCGGTTCGTTCAGTCACCGTTTCAAGTCCCCGGATCTCACTCATGTATCTTACTTTAGGTCGTCGTGGAAAGACCGTAGGTGTCTCCAAGAAGCGTGGTTAAGCGACTCTTTGCTTCTCTCCATCTATCACTACTGCCTGTGTATCTCCATATTTCCTCAGCCATGCGATATGCAGTTTGTTATGTCTCGATTATCATGCCATCATATTAGGAATACAATGCGGCAGTGCACGTCTCTTGTGCAAATCGGAAGCGTGCCCGTGACAATCCTACAACGGCGAAATAGTAAGCGTCGTTCGGAACATTTGAGAGGAACGTAATATGTACTGGCGCTGTCATTCAACGGAACTTGGTTCGTTCATCCTTATTGGTCCTGATACAACCCTAAACTTGAATGTAATGGAATGAAAGAGCCGTCTCGTGCTAAATACAAGAGCTTTTCGCGCTTTAACAGCTGTGTTATTGTTCAAATTGTTGTTTCCCGAAGCAAGAGGATCGAGAAAGTCAGGCATAAGTCCACTCTACTCCGATTCAATGAGGTACAATAAATAATAGTCTATCCATCTATATGGAACGAGTCGTGTGATGTGTGCGTTATATGTTATGGAATCCAGTCGTTCTACATGCAAAGGAGAATGATATAAATTTGAGGTTGAAATGGGGAAGGAAAGTCTATGAATGAGCTGTAGCAAATTTGTGTCTATGTGCGGGGAGAATATCCAGCCAGAAGTTAAATATCAGCACAGGTCAAGAGATACATCCAAATTCGGTACAGTCCTCCAGTGGTCATCAAAGTTTGCGACAGTAAGAGGCCCAAAGGTCACAGCAAGCGCAGGTCCCAAGCGGTCGAAGTCCCAGATGATAGTGTCCGGTCCAAGTGTCCAGTCAAAAATGACAAGTGCTTCCGTCGTTATGCCGAGTACTACAAGGAGGTTGACGAGCGGAGAGTGAACATGGTCAACATTGTGGTGCCCTGTAGAGTAGCAGGGCAAAGTCAGCCCCGAGAGTCCAAACCAGAGGAGGGTACCAAAAAAAGAGGGTGAAGATGAAACAAGCAAAAGGTACATGACAAGCATGTACCACGGGTCATAGAAAAGACCCGCTATAGAAATAGTACCCTCCTCATCACTACTTGACCCCTTCTCCACGGACATGGAGGGAGGGCAAGGTGTTTGGTTATAGTTGAAGAACTCTCAACGCGACGTGGATATCGACCAGGTATACTCTGCTGTTAAGCGAAAACCGGACAGGAGCGTATCGAGAAGTGGACGTGGGATGGGCGGGGCCGTGCGGCGTGATGTTGAAATTGAGAGACCAAATGAATGTCACGGAGTGGATGAAGAGACCAGAGGCAACAGGTAAGACCGATGCGACCGAGTTTGGAATCGTATCTCAAGAAGAGGCTGATATAACTTGGGCGAGAATCGTATTGATGAGGGCAATTGAAGATGCGTTAGAGTCGAAGATCCTGAGTCCTTGTTATGAGACGAAGCATGTCTATAGGAGGAGACGCGCTACTTCGCAGATCGAAGCGAAGAGTTTGCAAAGATGCCTTTGGAGTACCAGCGGTGGCCAGATTCAGCCTCTTAATTCTGACGACGGCGGTGACGGCGGCGAGCGTAAGCAGCAGCCGCGGCAGGGCTAGGAATCGGCTTCCCATTATTCTCGTCAGCATTGACCTCTGCTACCTTGACCTCGGCCTTGTTCTCCTTGCCCTTCTTTCTAGGAGTGCCGAGAGCTACTCCACCGGAGATACGTCCGCGCTTGGGAGTGGAAGGCAAAATGGGGCCATAAGCAAGGGTAAGAGGAGTGGAAGTGGCAACAGCAAGTTTCGCAGGCGTAGAAGGAGTCGTTTTGACATCAACAGGGCTGGAGACCCTGTCGTTGGCCTTCTTGTTGTTGAGAACTAGACTGAGAAGAAGGTTCCCTCTAGGAGCACGGCGAACAGGCTCTCGCTTGGGTGTCTCCTATTAAGGGATCAGCCTTGAACCCAACTTATGTCAACTGAAGACATACCGGTATCAGAGGAATCTTCTCTCCCTTGATCTTCTGAATTAACATGAATGCGACCGCAGCACCCCGTCTTTCTTCAAGTATAATCTTTTCAAGCGGGTCCTCGGGAAATGCATCCACTCCACTGACCCGTTTCTTCTGGAGGACCACAGAACCACAGAGGTTCCAGCGAACTACAGGCTGGTAGACAACGAGGGCACGCATGTTGCTGTCGAGATTTGGAGTGTACATGATCTTAAGTGTCTGCTAAATTATTAGCGTTAATCGTGAGCTAGAAGCAGCCGTAGACGTAAAAGGACCTTGACAGTGTTCTCTCCCACGATCTTCTGAATCAGGTGAAATGCCACTGCCGTGCGATGGCTCTTGGGAATTGTCTTCACGAGGCTGACCTGACCGGCGCTGGGGAAGTTCCAGCGAACCGTAGGTTGGTAGACAACTAGAGCACCCGTGTTGGCATCTGGGGTTGAAGCTGGCTTGTGCTTAACACTTTCCTCGAGAACTGACTTTCCCTTGGGTACTACATCCACTGGGCTGACTTGCTTCTCGTGTACTACAGAATCAGTGCCCGGGAGAGTCCACCGAACACTAGGTTGATAGCTGACTAGAGCCCCAGTGCTGGCGTCCAGAGTTGATGCTGTTCGCTCCGGTTGATAGTAGCATAGATTCGTAGCCAGTGGATTAATGAGAAGCTTCGTGACAATGGATGTCAGCCTCCGACGGAATCTGGCAGGAGCAAAGATACGCACCTGGACGATACCCAGCAAGATCCCGAATCGACCTTTGAACTTGGCGGAGAGAGAGGTTTGCGCATAGTAGGTATCGATAGGGTAGATCATGCCATGCTCCTGTGGGAAAGAGTCATCGGTCAATCAATTACCTGGAAACATATGAAGTATCATCGACTTACCTTCAAGGCAACGTTGGCTGCAGTGACGGTAGGGTGGTCAGACTTAAGCATTGTGAGTCACTTATTGTGCTACGAAGGGGGTGAAGGTTTGGAGGTTTGATTATCTTGAGGGGATGAGATGGAAGTCTAAAGGAAAGATCGTTGTTCTGAAAAAAGACAGCAAAGACAGAGAGCGAATATTATATAGACACATGCTGGAGGGGCTGACAGAGGCTGACAATGGAAAATGTGGCTGACATTCGTCCTAGGACGTTTGCCAGACGAGGGATCCGGCTAACCCCGCGGCACACGCGAAGGAAAGCCAAAGAAGGACCAGAAAGTAGGCCTTCGAAGTCACGGAAAGGTGCTTGACCTCGGACAAAATCCGTATCGAAGTTGGGTTACTCGACAGCGAAGACGAAGAGGACGAGAAGCAAGACGTTGTACATAATAATGTATTGCCTTCAGTCCTTACCGTCCTTACCGTCTTTACCATGAAATATGGGTATCATTCTTCAATCCCTCGTTGGCGACCATATCAAGGTTACAGATGTGATAAAAGACAATTTGACATGTTTGAGGTGGAAGAAGTCTGGTGAGACTTTGAAGGCAACCCGTGAAGCCAAGCCACAAGTCAAAGATTGGCAGATAGTGGACCGAGAAAGGTATCTTCTGATTAACACTAACCTTGCGTGGTTAAACTGCATTTGAACGGCATTGGGGCAAATTTGAAAATTTGAGCGAACGTATTCGTGGAAGATTTACCTGGCCCGCACTCTTAGCAGAAGGAGTATCTGCCACTGTGAAGTACGGATAGACCGTTTGAGCAGGGGGACTAACATATATGGAACTGCCGTCCGAATCAAAGCTGTGGATTCGAAGAGGCCCTTCAGAGCGCAAAAAAGATGACTGCATGGCGAGAACATTGACGATGAGTGGCACTGAATGCTGCAGTGGCAGCGTTCCGCGCGGGGATGACATGCTCAGGTCATTTATGTCCGAGTTTGAGAGACCAAAAATCCCAGTCTTGTTCTGATTATCGGATAGCACTGAGTGGCCTTTGAAGTTTGAGTTGTTGAAAGTTACAGTAAGTGATCACTTACACCCGGCGAGTTTCTCGACAGTGCTGGCAGAGGCCGAAGCCCTTGCCAAATCCGGAAACCTTCTTAGCGTTTCCGGAAAGTTCCCAATCTGGCGAGCCATATATACAGTTCCGTCTCTTCCATTCCAGGACTCCCCACTGCTGCCGCCTCCTCCGTCAGGTCCCGGGCCCTTCCTCACCCAAGTACCTCCATAACCGCCAAACCATGACCTCTGCTCTATACATGCATCCATGGTACAAGATGCCCACCCTCAAACGCAAAGGTTCATTCGAATTCGATTTTGACCACGCGTGCCAACCCCATCAAGCCGGCGTCGAGAACCTGAGGGACCGTGAGCTCGCGTCTGGTCCTCGTGTCAAACGAAGGCGTTGTGATAATTTGGAGAATGGGTTCTCTCAGTTGTCATTGAACCCTACCGCTGTTGGTGCTGTCGTTCAACCACAGACACAACATTTATGGGGCGTTCCGTATAGCGCTAACCCCTCCTACAATGCTTTTGGCTCCACACAGTCACAACCGCAACCTCCATCGTCTGGGGTAGACTCCGTCCTGACAGGCACGGCTCCAGACGCGCCTTCATTAGCCACTTCAGCGTCAGGACCATTACCACCAGCAATACACGAGTACACGAGTATCTCGCCACCTGACATCTCACCTACTGCAATTGATACTGAAGAATACTCCTGGTACGAGCCAGAAAAAGACCGTAAGTCACATTCTTCTCTTTCCCATTCCCATTTCTTTTTTATTCGCGTTCTCCGAGTATATGTCTGGAGTTCATGCCCGTTCTCTAACTTCTAGGCATAGTCATCACCAACTTAAATACCACCGAACCAGACGCGTCTCCATCCCCCTCGTCCCCCACAGGAGCAGGAAGAACAGGAGGAGACGATGATGAAGACTCATTACGCGTGACTCTCCCCGCATCCCTTCTTAGACGGTTAAACAATCGTGACGACGTCAATTTGCCTTCTCTCCTACGCGAAGCACCCGACTCTGACCCTAGTAAAGCCTTGGTTCTATTCCGACCTCTTACCCTCCCGTCAGCTGAGGAGAAGGAGGAAGAAGGAACCTCTCGCACAGAGCCTTCAATAGGTGGAGATATCGAACTGGAAGAGCCCGAGTATATGGTAGGGACCGAGGATATCCCCATTATAGAAGAGGAAGACTTGATACCATCGTCGTTGATGGCCAGCGGGAACATGGTGGACGGACTGGACATAGAAGAGTTACAGGACGATGATGCTATGGACATAGAATGAGACACATTTTTTAATCCGCTGGCATTTGTTTCTTTTTCCACTAATTTTGCACGAATCTACACTAAAGCCTGATTACTGTATAAGAGGTTTTGCGAAAGCCCGTCGCTGAAGCTACAACAATATCATATAGGGCGGTTTTATTAATAACTGGGGAATCTCAGGGACCTGCATAGGTAACCGTCAAACCCAACGACAAGAAGAAAACAGAAAAGAAGACAGGAGGGAAACGGTACAATACTGTAAAGACAGACGGCAATTGGTTCTAGCTTGATTTACTACACAGGTACCATAAGAATCACTTGTTTTCAGCTTGCATGTTTCCCGTCGGACTACCTGAATCGCATTCACATACGTTTAAGCAAAGGACAATCGCATACACCCAAGATGGACTCACCATAGAGCTGATCAGCCTGGTTCACATACGAATGATGATGTCTCGCATGTGCATGCGGGTGAGGAACATGATGCATCTGCGCATAAGGTTGTCTTAACGTCACCGAAGACGAATTGGCAACGGCAGCCGCCGCCGCCACAGCGGCAGGTGAAGAGCGATTTGTCAATGTCCCAGACCCACTGTCCGAACTCATATGGGAAGTCGCGATGTTGGGCACAGGCGATATCCGATGAGCAATTCGGGGGTGTGGATGAGGGTGCGAGTGGGGATGAGAATGACGACCACCAAGACCGTGGTGTGGTTCCTGCTCTAGATGAATCCTATCGGGACCTGGTGCTTGGGGGATACCAGAATTGGGCACGGGAGACATGGGAGACATGGGAGGGGTATCAGCATGTGACATGGAAGGAAGGAAGCCAACATGCGTTAGATTAATTGGACTCCCTGAGAGGTTCATGGGAAGACGGTGATCGTAGGGGGATTGCATGGGCTGTTGCTGTTGCGCTTGCTGCATTTGCTGGTGGGGATGAAAATGGAGAGGTTGGTTCTGCGGCTGTGGTGGTTGTTGCATAGGCGAATGGGGGTGGGGGTGAGGGTGCAGAGGCTGTCGCTGCGGTTGAGAAGGACCCGGAATTGGCTGTTGCTGCTGCAGTGAGATGTGCGGTGGCTGCATCTGGGGCTGGAGCATTTGCTGGGGCCGCGGCTGGAGAGGTTGAGGGGCTGCAGGTGGCCGTGATTGCTGTTCCTTGGGTACAGGTGAAATGGGAGGCTCCACAGGGCTGGGAGCAGCCATTTCGATATCGTGCTCGGAATGCTTCTCCAGGTCGTCGTCCTCTTCGCCATTTTGAGATGCAGTGCCAGAAGGCACAGTGTCTAGAGTCTGTGCAGCTTTCTGGGCAGCGATCTCTTCAGCAGTGAGGAAACGACCGCCGGGACCTCTCGGCCGACGCATGGCATGTTTATGACGGGACTCGTGCAAGTAAGGCTGTAATCGCGCGTATGAGAGACTGAAACCGACGAGAAAAAGAAGAAAATGCGCACTTTTCTCTGGCGAGAGAGTCTATGGAGTTCCTCGATACGAGCTCTGGCTACGCGCCGCTTGAGGATGCGGTAGTATTGCTTGGCATTGACATAAAGCGGTTCCTCGTCGAGTGGGGGGTCATCTTGGATCTGATCGACAGGGGGATCAGGCTCGCGATGGTCCTGGGATGGAAGGTCAGCTGGTGGGGGATGCTGGATGAAGAGGTGAGGAGAAGGAGGTATGGGAGTCTGTGCAGGGGAAGGATGGGGAGAGGAGTGGTTTGAAGGGGGATGAGAGTGGTGTTGAGGATAAAAGTTGTAGGGAGCTGTGTGGTAGGAAAGTCAGTGAAGAGACTGGTTAGAGAACGGAGAAGCGTACGGTATGCGTGATAAGAGTTTGAGGAGAACAGCTGACCGACGCCGTCCATGGATATGATTGGTCGACAACTCGTCGTCCACTCACAACTCGCTCTCAAAACGCATCCTTCCCCGCCCATGGGTCACGTGCTCTCCATTCTCCCGCGTCTCTCTTTCCCTCGCGTCTTCAGCCTCAGTGCCTCTCACCGTCTCTCTGCACCCTCGCCATGGACGCTTCACTCAAGGCCCTCAAGGTCGTCGAACTCAAAGAAATCCTCCAGCAAGCCAGCATTCCCCTCCAGGGAAAACAGAACAAGGCTGACCTCATCAACAAGATCCTCGCCTCCAAATCCGCCATTGACGTCTACAATGCAAAGTACAAGCCTAATTTCAATGTTCCTGCACCTCAGCAGGACACCCCCGCTGCCCCAGATGAATCTGTACGTATGCCGCCCATTTTACCCTTTGTCACCCTCATTGAACAGCAATCGTTACAGGTAGCACCTCCTGATGAGTATGCCACAATCTCAGACACGCCGTGCCTACGCGCTCACGTCTTCTCATTAGCAGGTCAGCAACAGCAGAGACTCTACCTGAACCTGCTCCCGTTAAAAACGCGCCCCCGCCGCCCGACCCCGTCAGCGTTCCTGCTGCCACTTCAGCAACAACAGTACGTGTACTCGTGAACTACCATATTGGCACTTCAGCTAAACGTTACCCATAGACCACTCCTGCTCCCTCCACTACTACACCCACAACCTCTGAAGATCCTGAACTCGAAAGACGCAAAGCACGCGCTGCCCGTTTTGGCATCCCCTTCGTAGATCCCAAAACATCTACTCCAAAGGGTCCGCGTAAAGGCGCAAAACAAGCTGCGGTCATTGACGTGCGTGATCACCCTTCATTCTTTGTCCGTTTGAATACTGAAAACATATAGGACCCTGAAAAGCTCGCTGCCCGTGCCGCGCGTTTTGGTACAAGTCCTCCGACTGCCCCGGCCGCAAACGGTCGTAACAACAAACGGCCTGCTCCACCTGTAGAAGAAGTTGATGCAGAGGAATTGGAGAGACGAAGAAAACGTGCAGAACGGTTCGGTGTTTCTTTGGCTGCTGGCGCTGTAAGTTCATGTCCTGCTCATATTTCGTCGTAGTGCTGATGAACGTGTTGTCAGTCATGATGAGTTCTTCTTGGACAGCATGCTTTCTTTCCTTTTTGCTGTATTGTACCCTAGTGCTGTTTTCTTATTGTCCGTCTTCCTGTACCCACTTATGTTAGTTTTACCTGATTCGAGTCTAGAGGTTCACTAGCTCAATGTGCGCATCCATCGTATATCGTTGAATGCTAAATATGCAGATACAACGAGACATTTGGGTTCCAAGTATACGATCCATTCGTGAATCTACAGGGGGTACTTTGTATACGGATATAGGCCATGGAAATACGAACAGAGACGAGAACAAAGGGAAACTGACGATGGCTACATTACGATTCGTTTGGAAACGGTACAACGACGATGACGGAATGGGAATATCAAATATGCACAATTGCGATGACAGGAAGAACGGGATATAGGAGATATGGGTGATGATGATAAACCGAGAAAAAAGACGGATGAGCATGCATATGGTAGAGATGAGGATATCGGAAGAAAGAAAAGGAGAACGAAAAGAAAACGATGACTTCCTTGTGAGATGAGCAAAGCAATGAGATATCAAACTGCATAGAACCGAATCCAGCATCACGACAATAAGCAAGAAAGAAAGAAAAAACGGGAACCAGTTGCAGAGTCGACTTCCCCCCAGACACAGTCAGAGCACATACACGGCGACAACGGCCTAGGATCATGACAGAGTCAGACTGTTCAATCCTCCATAGCCTCTTCAAACATTTTCGCCTCAGACACAGACGAAGCAGCCAGTGCTTTCGCCTCTTTCGAGATCTTAACACGTTCCTTCCCCCAGATAGCCCTGACCTCCTCTTCTCTCACATCATCGTCACCCTTCTTCTCATCAATACCAAGTCCACGGATAGCGTCCTCCATCCTCACAGATTCTGCAAGCCTAACTTCCTGACTCCCACCCGAACCAAGCGTAAATGAAGCAGATCCAGAACGCGCAAGACCCCGACGGCCAGACTTGGTAGGTGTAGTGGGAAGTTTACTTCCCCCACGTGAATTTGCGCTAATGGTGACGAGACCGTTGGTCTCCAAGACTCCCAAAAGGTCTCCGAATTCACTTCGAGACACTGGGGTGAAGAGACCTGACTCGGATCGCGCGAGAATGGTAGAGTAGTAAGTGTGAAGTTGACCGACGTCCATGTTCCCTGAAGTAGAAGGGGATGGGGAACGTTTAGAGTGTTGAGTTCGAGCAGTAGAGGCACCGCCAGAGAGTGAAAGTCCTTGTTCTTGACGTTTGCTTCCAAGAACCAACGCTACAAAGACGACCCGGGCTTGAAGACCGAGGTTACGAATCTTTGAGGTCGTCTCATTGTCAACAACTTTGGTGTTGCCAGACTTGGCAGGCTCCGCTTCGACAACGCGAGACACCTTAGCCGCTGGCGCATACGCCTTGAGAGCATCGAGGATATGTGAAGGAGTCACAGGTGGAGTAGATGCCGATAATGAGGAAGAACCAGCACTGACGGCGATGTCGATCGCTCCTCGCAATACTTCAAACAGCGCACGGACGTCTCCAGTCTGTGAAGCGATCTTCTTTGCCAACAAGTTCAAAGTGGCTGGTGAAAGGAACTTCTTGGGGTCCTCCGAATTGGCAACCACCTCTGAAGTGAATAAAGGCTCGAGCCTCGCCTGAAGGATCGCATTGAGTTGTTGAGAGGTGTAGGGAGTAAAGTGCAAAGTTTTGACGTGCTCGGTGAAGCCAGCAGCCAAAGTATTGGAGGAAGAGGAAGTGAGGGTATGCGTGTTCGCAATGCCAATTAAGCGAATGAACGAAGAGTGTTCATGGATCATGGAGAACAAAGCAGAGAGAGCTTGGGCCGAAGACCCAATGTGGTCAAGCTCATCGAGGAAGAGAATGCTACGGCGAACATGCAATTAGGCGACAAACATACAAAGCGAGACGAAACGAGATACCATTTTGATTGTCGTGTACTGAGCAGATGCTCAAGTGTTTGACGCGATGTGTCCTTGTTGATCCGTCCTTTGTTCGGTTTTACTTTACCGCCCTGGAGCGCTTGTATAAGAGTAGCCCATAAAGCTTCGACATTACCGAGGGCCATGCAATTCACGGTGAATAAGTTGACAGAATCATCCGCAAGGTCGGCAGCCATGGTACGCAAAACGTCATTGACAAGTGCAGTCTTGCCGGTACCTGGTGAACCCGAAATATAGAGTACCGAATGTTGGTCCCCGGCAATATCGGAACTGACGCCGGTTTGAAGGAAAGGTTGAAGGAATTTTATAATTTCATCACGTTCAGCATCACGTCCAGCAATAGATGAAGCATTGTTGCAAGTCGCTCTGAGCAAAGCACGACACTTTGCAGCAACAGATTGGAGTGTAGAGGGAGTTGAAGGAGGTGTAATTAAAGATGGACGCGATAGCGCCGTGGCCGGCGTACGCGGCGTTGTGACGAGGCTGGACATGGATGCATGTCTGCGAGGAGCTTTGGACATGTTAGTGCATATCTCGAAGTGTGTTTTTGTTGCGAACTCACTATTTCGCACAGATGCTACAGAACCTTCAGTTGATGTCCTTCTTAATGACCGCGTTCGCGAAGGCGAACCGTTGAGGACCTGACCCCTCAACGGTGGGATATTCTCCTTATTAGAGCCATCATCCAAAGCGGATGAAGATGTTTTGATACGTTTCGGGTTGGGAGAAGCCTCTGGAGTAAGAGGCGAATACTCGTCCGCTACGTCACATTTAGCGGTGCTCTCAGCGTGACGTTTGCCGAGGACAGAGCTACGGGTAGATGAACGAGTCTGCATGGCTAAGATATCTTACAAAAGACGGCAGACAAGCTCAGGCGATGGTCGAAGGAGTGAAGAGGGTTAATGAGCTCGCAGGATCTTAAAACCAGCGGCGGAGTTGTCGCGCTATTCAGACTCCGCCTAATAAACGCGTCGCAACGCGTTATTGGCACGTGACAGACGCGGGTCGTGTTTGCGCGTGACCTGTGACTCCTCGCGTTGAGAGAGTAACGCCGTGTCACAGTCGCGTTTCTCTTCGGTGTTTGTGCGGAGATGGGAAGAGGGAAGCATGGCTGAGAATGGAACCGGCACGAGCTGGTTCCCTGCCTGCAGTCTTTTTCCACGTACGTGTATTTGTTCTCAGCCCGGTAATGCTTCTTATCGGCATTCCGTTGGCAGTGTTTCAAGAGGCTTCGCATCTTAGAACCCTATGCGCAGCGAACCCAAGCCTAAATGCCCGTTTCACGCATGCTCTAGGATGTCTCCGACCATTTCCGTCCTGGCTCCTGAAAGTCTCACAGGCATAACTTGGTGAACTCTTTCGCCTGTGATGCACATCGTTGCTCTGTCCCGATGGGCCTTGCAATGGCTCCCTTTGCTTGCGCTTTTCGCCTCTTTTGCGGGAGTGCGTGCGCAAACCAGTTCAAGCCCTTCCGTGAGGCCGTCTCATACTTGGTGTGTTCCTCGGTAAAGACATACTCTGTCTTTCAGTGCTAACTTGTGTGTAGCAACGATCCTGAGGGTTGCGACTCAGATGGAGAAGATAGTCCAGATGATGAGGAAGACTCGAACAGCACCCGTACTCATCGACCAAGCGGCACGGGACGAAGTTCTGCAGGTGGCGATCCTACAGGCAGTCTATCAGCTGGAACTGGTCCTTCGGGTAGTTCCCTAGGTCCGTCTGATGGCTCAGCAGATAGTGGTTCGTCCAGACTTTCTGGCGGAGCGATCGCAGGCATCGTCTTCGGAATATGTAAGACTCTGAGAGATTCCCTTCATTGTGTCTCTCTGCTGATCCACAGGTCTAGTTGTTTTTATTCTTCTAGTTGGTGCCATATTCCTGCTCTGGTGGCGGAGGCGACGACAGTTGGCAGCCAGGAACAATTCCCGAGATAGTTCACAATCCACGGCAGCGTTGGTATCGAATGCTCCTGTCTCAACCCAGCCTGCCTTCGCCAGACGTCCAACTTCGATTCCATGGATATCCCCAATTCTTCCAACTACAGGCGAAATTGCGGGTGGTGCGCATACCGCCGGTCAAGGGACTGCACATCGCCGCTTGTCCGGTTCAGCGAATACATTTCCTAATCCATACGACACCATCTATCATGATGACCCGCCTCAGTCACCGTCATCACCGACCTCACCTAACCACCAACGCGATCTACCTCCACTACCCGAAGGCGCTGCCTTACCTCGTCCGACGTCAACTACAAGCAGCACTTTCGATGCCCCTTCCACTGCACCCTCCTCGTTTCCCTATTCAGCTCTTTCCCATCAGCCCGAAGCTGGGACAAGTTCGAACACGGTTGCTGCCGAGAATGAAGCACTACTCATGACAAGTTATCAAAAGAGGCTGGAAAATCATCATAGGAAAGAATCTGAAGATGCCGTGCTAGGTCGTGGAGTGCCAGCCGATCCTCCGCCTGAGTATCGTGTGAATGAGGATGAAGGATAAGAGCTTGTCATCGTTTGGACTTAGACGAGAGTGTTATGACATTGAAGGACATTTTCTTGGTTCGGGACATTAACGCCGACATGTAACGCTCAGACGAATTAGTATTTATGTTGTAGCATCAGGGACAAGCATTCTTTGCTCCATCACGCGCATATGAACAGTAGAGATACAACAGGCAGGTGAACGCGAAGGCTTCAAGAGTCTGCCCTCAAGCTGATCAGATGAGGCACGTCAGACCAACGTAGGCGCAGCACGTCCTGCAATTGCAACAGAGAGCTTGTGGACGAGGTATCTTGTAAGAGCGTTCTCAGGGGAGGGGAGAGAAACAGGCGGCGTCACGATCTGATTATTCGAGGAGGACGGGCGAATGAAACCCAGGTCATTAACAAGAGGTTTAGCATTTGCCAGGACTTCTATCTCAGCTTTGCGACGAGTGAATATCATGTGCTGCAGCTCACGTCTGTATACGAAGCTTTGTCAATGTTTCATAAGCAAGACAGAGTTATTCACAACGGTCACCTCCAGGTTGCGGGCAGTTCGGGACGGCTTAACAATGTCCGAGCCTACAGCTCTGAATGTTAACTCATCCGACCTTGACAGACTATGAGGATGTTATTTACTTTTTTCTCGTCATGCTTCGTAAGAGCTAGCATTGAATCCCTTTCGACTCCGAACCTATACGTCGAGATGGTGAATCGAGGTTGTCCACAAAAAAGAGAAGAAAAGAAAAAAACAGCGCACTGAGCCAATTCACTCCCAAATACCCCGGCCCATTGGAGCCTCGGGGCAGTCAGTGTCTCTCGTTCGTGAGACATACTACTGCTCCCGAACTTGTAGACCGACATAATGTCAATACCAAATGCGTCTCCATCAACAAGCGCAATCATAGGGATACTACAAAAGTTAGTACATTCTCAACATCACCACAAGCAGACCTACATGACAGGGAGGTTATCGGCTAGTGTACATACGAGCTGACGCGTTGCGATGTCTGGGTAACCCTTTCCCTTTATTGAAGTTCTGCTTGAGCATGTAATCAAGGGCCGTCGAGATATTCGTACATACCGTAATAATGATGCCATGCCCTGGAAGGCAAGGGTGTTTTGAGAAACTCAATCGAGCGAGTGTCTGAAAGACAGCCTGCTGGAATATTAACAACTATGAAGATCAAATTAAGGTACAATATACCTCTTTTTCGACGATTAGCACCCAAGACAGGCCATCTCTCATTTCAAACTTCTCGATATCATCGGCGACTGGGATCAACGTGCTCTGAAAGAAAGCGAGGCATAGTTGGTATATTTCAACGATGCTCAATATACTAAGTACTCACCTCCGAGTCATTCCCGTACAACGTTTCGCCCGAATGGAGATGAATAGTGAGGCCAGCACCGGAGAAGAGACCCTTCGACGATGCTCGCTATTCCGACGTGAATATATGCGCAGTATTCTCTGATGAATGTATACGTACCACATTGAGGTCTCCACGACCCACCCCGATAGTTGCTGCAAGGTCATCAACGTACTAGTATGTCTAAATATGCGGTACAGAAACACGTCGCAAATGTACTGTACCTTGTTCACGATAGACTGAGTCTTAAACAGCGACACATCACGATAATACATGTCCCTATGTTGCTTCAACGTGCGTATAAGGAACAAGACGACCTTCCTTACCGCTTTGTGATGGGAACTTCTTCATGAAGAGCTTCGTGCATCAGGTCGATGATCCTCAGCACTTGAGCTAAATAATAGGTCAGAAAGAGACAAGATCCCAGCAAGGAGCTGACCAGTTGATCTGCTACTGCCCCGCTTTGTGTTCTGAGGAAACGATACAGTCTTCATAGTTGAAGCACTGAAGGGTCACTCCGAATGAGGCGAAAAGTAAGGTAGCATACACGAGACTCACCCATCTTCTTTCGCTGTTTTTGTTCTGTCAACTAGACTTATAGATATAGGATTCCTCTCCCGTTTGCGATGGGAATGATACTCCGCATCAGGAAAAGCCGTTGATAACTGTTCAAAGAATCCTATAGCAATGTTTTCAAGTCCAGCAACGGGATCAATTCTGTGACCTCAATGTGAGCGAAGGTAGGAATATAACGATATGATTGCGCAAAGCTTCACTGACTGGTCGAAATCGTCTTGCATCGGGTCCGCTTGAGAGGCGTTCTCACCAACCAAATCCTCAAACATTGCATCGTTTTCGGAATTCATAGCCGCAAGTTCATCGTCGTCAAGGTCAAGCATTAGAATGTCATGACCACTGGCTTGCGGATCAAAAGGATCTTTGACGTCGCGTACTTGACCGGTCCAGTCATCATCTTCAAGAATGTCGAAGTTCATCTTGTAGCGCATATACCCAAGACAAACCGAGAGAAGTAGGAAACGCAATACGCGAGTTGTCACATTCTCGTGACCAACACGGTGTGTGACACTGGCAAATATGAAACACAATTTTATAAGGGATAGCAATCAGACCAGGACAGAATAAGAAATCCTGAGTAGTACAAGATAGCATTAATCAAAACAAGCAAGCAGGTGTACGCCCAGAAGCAGAGATACAGAGCGAAGTAGCAAGGCATAGATAAGTCAGCCCCAGTTCTCCACGGTCAGCTCGAACCATTCAGGGATCCTGCGCCAGAACTCTTCCCTTGCTGTACGGACAACAGCTCCGTATTCCGACCGACAGGCTTCGCAAGCCCGATACACAGCTCTGTTTTCTGCGCCCGGATTGTCGCCCTTGGTTTGCATGAGAAGACTATCAGCGATGGCGAAGAGAGGGTCAGAGTTGTGGTTGAGAACAATGCCATTCGCGTCGCGCAGGATACCGAGAGTAATGGTTTCGAAAGCAACCTGACAGCATCGTTTGCGAGATGGTTGGGGGTCGTTTCGATAGATGCAATATTTGGATGGCATGCGTCCTTCGAGTTCGTTCACTATAAAAGTAGAGAGGTATCGAGCAGAATGTTCCTTTCCGCGTAGAATCTTATGGAGATTGCTAGGTGAGAGTGTGAAGACTGCAGAAGTTTGGGTATCGATGAAATCGGCCACGATTTGACTAGGTAGATAGCGCGAAAGATCATAGAAAGCAGATGGAAGTAGACCGGAAGCATCGACGCTTTCAGCAAGGTCGATGATCAAACTGAAGCATTCATGTCATGTGAGTAAGACGAACGCATCCTGACAGCAAAACGCACGTAGGATGTGGAATGGACGGTCGAGGAGCATAGACTCCGTCAGCATCCGTCACACGCCTCTCACGTGCTTCCCATTGTGGCAAAATACGTGGCCAAGACAGATAAAGCCTCCGCAAGACCTCTGCTCGAAGGCCTTCAACTTCATAGACAGTGGAGAGTCTTAGCAAAGCAGAGGTTGCTTGAAAGTCAGTCCCATCTAGAGAAACGGGAAAACTAGGACATGTGAGTAAGAACACTGGTATAACAGGTAAATCGCCTACCCGTAAAGCACACGCAGGAAACAAGACAGGTCTTGCGGAGGATGTGGTAAAACAAGGACAGGTCTTTCTTCAACAGACTGCACGTTGCTATCAGACAACGTTCTCGCAATCATTTCCCGAAGGGGTGCAGAATGGTGCGACAGTACACCTCGATGAACCAAAAAGTATGTGTGCTCGGCGAGAACGGCTATGTTTCCGTCATCGAAAGATGGATCTGGATGACGAACTGGGACCTGGTATTCCGTCAAGGTACGAGCAGGAGTAGTACATCTGTTCGAACTCAGCTCGGGCGCGTCGTTCTTATTCATGATAAAGTATGCCGTGAAGAGATCAGTGGTACCGCAGCGACGAGAACGACATACACATCAGTGTCAGCCATGTCAGTACAGTATTTCAGAGCTGACTGGAACTGTATTCCAAGCGCCAGCCCCTAGTCCCAAAATAATGTGTGAGCTTCAGTACATACTGGAAGTCTCGCGTATCGTGAGCACACATTGAATATTGGCAGCTGGTGGGACATTTGATGGATTGCAGACGAAGGGGATGATGGAAGCAAGCTCAGGCAAGCTCTAAGCGTGAGAAAGCGTTAGTATTAGGTTCACTGAAGGACGTTGCCTGATTTGTATTTAGACTTTTCAAAGCTTGCGACGCCCAACACTCCTGCGCTCAATTGCACTAAGTCGTACTTCATCAACACATGGCCGACGCAACCTCTCCAGCTCAACGTTTGGTTCCAGGTGCTCCTCCTCCGCCCCCTGCCCCCAAATCACAAAAGAAAAAGCGTAAGACTACCAAGGCTAAGTCGACAGCAGACTCCACAGAAGGACACGTCGACATCCCCGATTCTACTTCTGCTGCTTTAATTGATCATGCACCGCAACCAGAAGATGTTAAAGAGGGTCATGTCGCTCCCCAACTCATTGTGCAGCCCTCAGAATCGGGGGAACCCTCAACGCCGCTTCAAGAGGGTTCACAGAAGCCTAGCCCACTTGTTGATATGCTCAACAAAAGGCTGAAGGCAACAAACAAGAAGATCGTAGGCCTTTTCTCCGCATGATGAGGTTCTCTTCACAGTTTCTCGATATAGCTCCGGATTCAAAGCTACTCGACCAATCCTCCTGAGAAATTGAATGATGATCAGAAGCGGACACTCAAGACCTTGCCCATTCTAGAGGGTGTGTATAAGGAATTGGAAGAAGTCAGGAAGGCTGTCGAGGTAAGCGATTGGCGACCATCTCTTGGTAAACGACTACATTTTTCCTAGACACATGAAGCCGAGCATGCTCATGAGTTGCTTGTAAAACAATCAGAGGCTGCTCAGGCCGAGCAAAAGCGCGCAGAAGAGGCCCTTGCTGCTGCTGAGGTACTCCATTTGTTATCCTCTTTGTGCTAACTTTTCACATTGGCATAACCCTACAGCTAAGACATCGTCACTTGACGGGAGACCTACTTAGTTTCATTCGTATCCACTCCTTGATCAACGCTGGACATCCTGCTGGTCTCGCACTGAATCTGGATGAGCTGGAGGACTCTGCAGTTTACTCTGCCACTGAGGCTCTTCTCGGGGAAGACATCGAGAATAAGGCCGAGGTCATCCGAGGTTTCTACTCTGCTGAGGGCGATTTCAACGGCGTCGAGTGTAAGTTCACTCCTCCTGGCTCCCCGTGTTACGTTCTTACACTGTACTACCAGATTCCCGACTCCTTGAAATCACTCAACAATTCCTTAACCCACCCCGTGTGCCAACGCCTGTACCAGAGCCAGTCGCTGATCTTGAAGAGCCTGCGGCAGCTGCGGAGCCTGAAATCACCGTTGGTGGTTTGCCTCTATCGCTGGGCACATCTGCCAGCTTCCGCTTCGTTGTTGATGACGAACTCGAGGCAGAGGCCGAAGCGCAGCCTGCTCTGGAGCAATCGACTGAATGGGTACATGTCAATGACACAGAGGCTACCCAGGTTGCTGAAGTTGATGTTGTTGAGACCGTCACCGAAGTGAACGTTAACGGACATACCTTTGTTGAGGACTCCGTTACCCTCACGACAACTGCTGAGGTGAGTCTATGCACTAGGCTCCTGCAGGCGCTGGTCTTTGAAATGGTTTGTATTAGGTACCCGTAGCAACTTCTAACGGTGCAATCAACTGGGCAGACGAGGATGAAGGTGGCCTTCCTTCCATTGCGGGTCTTCATGCCAAATTTGGTACAGAAACTCAGGTGCAACCCCCTTCTCCAACAGCGCCTGTCAGTGGTGTACATCATGTGAACGGAGGTGCCCTTCCTGAGGAGGATGGCTTCACTTCCGCTGCCCGTGGTCGTGGACGAGGCCGTGGTGCACATCGAGGTGATCGTGGTTCATTCAGAGGCCGGGGTGGTGACCGTGGAGGATTCCGTGGAGGTGAGCGTGGTCGTGGTGGGTTCCGTAGCGACCGTGGCGGCGAGCGCGGTGGATTCCGCGGCGAACGTGGTGGAGAGCGAGGTGGTACGTCGATCTCTGCCTACTACGTTCTAAGATGTATTCTTGACCCATCATTTTACTTTGCAGGATACCGTGGACGTGGTGAGTGGAGAGGCGGCGAAGGTGAGTTCCGTGGTCGTGGGCGAGGTCGCGGCAGGGGTATGTATCCTTCCTGAGTCAGTACATGTGAGAAGTCCTCTGATAATGATTCGTACTATAGGCGGCTTCCACGAGAGTCGTGGCGGCGCTGTGGCGGCGTCTTCATAACGAACTTTTTGCATGCTACCAGAAAAGGGGACATTATTCCTTTCACTGTGTGTTCGGACTCCCTCCCCATCGTTCGTGACGTACCTGACGAACTGTTGTCACTTTGTATACGAGCTTTGAAATGTGCACCGATCTGTACTTATCTTGTAGGTCTTGCTGATACACAGCAGCCGACTCCACTCACGTGAATCTCGATTGGCACCGAGTGCTAACATGAAGTGAATGTACGTCTTATAAGGAAGGCTACAGCGACCTAAATGAATCTTGGCAATCTGACGATAATATGCTTCCGTCGTTTCAGGTAAGTTGGTCATACACTGAAGAAATAGACATCGATCAGATCTCAGCGAAACCCTCGGAAACTTCCTAAGTCGATTGCAGAAGTACTTCCATGTATGGGTCAACGTTTGTGCTGAGCTTGCATCACCCGCTAGTCCCACTCTGAGGATCCCTGTAGTCGCTGTGAGCAATGCAAATCCGATCGCAGAGTATAGCTAACTTGTTCGACAGGCAAGCAAGTTGATGACACTGATGGTGATCAAAGCCACATGCATCCCATGGGTACTTATTCCCAATACTTCCCGTATGAAAGCGATGAACGTGGCCTCGAGAGCATATCGCTCAGAAACGTTATACTCTTCTAGGCCGTCTTGGAGCACATCAACGTGCGACGGCGGACTCGAGCAGCGAACGAATAATGAATGATGCGCATTCCAACCCATATCATATTTACCTGACGATCTTCTTGAGGGAACGTTATCGGAGGCTCTTGCTATGGTCGAGCCTCTCCAACTTGGCGGCCATCAGTGGCAATGGGAAGATGTCGTCTTGAGGTCATGCAGGTATTGGACTGCATTGGCGTTGCCGTCTTTGAGGTCCTGGAGTCGTCTTGATGCTGATACTTAACTATATGCGCAACCCCATCTGTACGACAAAGTGGTTGTCATTCTCACAGGCGATCAATGGTCTATAGTGGTCTATTATTCCACTGGACGATGGCATCGATGTCATCTTCCATGACATCCATGGCATCCCCTAACGCTGTGCGGTGCGCTGTCCCACAACTCGGACATGCCACCTTTGACCTTTGCCGGGCTATTTGGTCCAGTATGCCTTTGTACAAGTTTTGAACAGCATGTTCTGCAGGCAATATCTTTCGAAGGCACTGTCCAAACGTTGTCGAACTTTTCGACTGCGCACCCCAGCGAGGAGGCTTCTACATCTCCTCGTTCCATGCATCCATCGTCATAAGCCAAATCAAACAGACCAATAGATGGAGTTGCAAGGATCTGTGATAACAGCGCACGATAGATCTCTTGACATTTTCATGAGATGTCTAGACCTTCCGATACCCATGCGCAACTAGGCACACCCTCTTGTCACCGTCCAGGTTGGCAGATCACCGCCAGTGGAGGGAGAAGATGCTCTTCGCCTTCTGTGGGGTATTAGGTCATTGACCAGTTGTTCTATGCGTTGTCGTTGCCTCTTTAAATTCTTTGCTCAGAGAGCAAGCTCTTCCACCGTGAGTCCGTGTCTGGAATGCTGTATTAGATAACTGATGAGACCTGGCGATCCAACGGCAATCTATCCGCCTCTTGTCCCTCTCCCTCCCGGCGACCGCTCTTTCGAAGATGCGCAAATTGATCCTATCACTTTTACCGTACTGTTATACCAAACGAAATCGAGCAAGGGTCTGAGGTGGCGCTTTCGGGTGGATACAATTATTGTTATTTGTTCATTTTAGAATCTCTACAGACTACAGCTACCAAATCATAAGAGGAGTGCTAGTGATGGGCTAAGGCATGGGACGGATAATGTGACGTCAGGCCCGGGCCACACGATCGGACGCGTCGAAAAAGGTCGAAAAGGGTTGTGATTTGTGAAGCGAAGGTTGTACATAATCATTCGAGCCCGCTCCACTATCTGTTAGTCTGAGAAGAAGTCTGGTCCAAGTGTTGCTTGCTTTGCGCGTTCCCCCAGTATCTCTTTCTCCTTCCCGCCACCATGTCGCAGACAAAGAAAATCCAAGGCAAGATCTTTAGAGGCGAGAATACCTCAGGCGACGGCGCGGGTCCATCGCGCTCATCGTCCGAGCCCGTATTGACCATTGAAATTCCTAAACCAACACTCGCACAACCCTCACCCGCCCCGCCCAAGGTGGCAAAGACTGAACCGGAACCACGACAGGCCAATGCAGAAAGACCTTCGGAACCCTTCAGACACCGATTGCTCAAGCAACTCGGTGTTGACTATCATGGCGTTGAACGTCACCGTCTGGTGCAGGATGAAAGGAAAGAACTTCATTGGAAACGATGGGGTCCATACCTGAGCGATCGACAATGGGTATCTACTGCTAGAACTTCACGTTTACGCGTAAAGCTGACTTTTCCTATAGGCAACCGTCCGAGAGGATTATTCCGCCAACGGTGACGCTTGGAGCCATTTCCCTCATGAGCATGCTCGTTCTCGGGCATACAGATGGGGTGAAGACGGTATTGCGGGCATTTCAGACAACCACCAGCGTCTCTGCCTGTCACTCTCCCTTTGGAATGGCCAGGACCATATACTCAAGGAACGTCTTTTCGGCGTCACAGGTCACCAGGGAAATCATGGCGAAGACGTCAAAGAATTATATTACTATCTGGATTCTACTCCCACCCATTCATATATGAAGTTCCTTTACAAGTATCCACAAAAGGCTTACCCTTACGAGGAATTAGTCAGGGAGAATGTGCATCGAGGGCGGGATGTGACCGAGTTTGAGATACTCGATACTGATGCTTTCGAAGATAATCGTTATTGGGATGTCTTCCTAGAGGTGAGTATTCACATATAAATGACTGTATGCGTACACATACTCATGATTCAATCTCTTTTCTAGTACGCCAAAGACGAACAAGATCCCGACGCTGTCTACGTCCGTATCACTGCTTATAATCGTGGACCCGATCCTGCTACGCTGCATATTATCCCTCAACTCTGGTTTCCGAACTCATGGTCTTGGCCCGCCCAAAAGCCAACTATGCCTTCAATGTATGCTGCAGATGGCAACGTCATTGTAGCGAAGCATCCCACCTTGGGTAGATACCATCTTTATTGCACGCCCTCTCCCCTTCCTGTCGGTGCTGACGGCGAGCCCGTCACGCCTGATGAGGCCGAAGAAAGCGACGTCGTCGAGCCAGAACTTCTTTTCACCGAGAACAACACTAACTTCACCCGACTTTATGGAGGACAGAATGAGATGCCATATGTCAAGGACGCTTTCCACGATCATATCATCCCTTCTCACCGCCCTCCGGTTGCCGATGCCGAGCATCCCGGATTCTTTTTCACCAAGATTCATAGTAGTACTTCTCCACATGCCAATGGTGCCGAGAGCACACCTCCCTCGGAGCAAGAACAAGGTCCTCGCACCCCGTTCCCTCAGGCTCCTACCTTTGTCAATCCCGAGCGTAAGGGTACGAAGTCTGCCGCTCACTATGTCTTCAAAGACGTCCCTCCTCGCGGAGGTTGCGCTGTGGTCCGTCTCAAGCTCACGCCAAAGAGGCCTGAAGAGGACCCCAGTTTGGAGGACGAGGGTATCTTTGACGACACCATCGAGGAGAGACGGGAGGAGGCCAATGAATTTTACAACGCCCTCGTCGTCGGGCCAATAAGTGATGACTTGAAGCAGATTATGAGGCAGGCGCTGGGCGGTATGCTTTGGACGAAGCAGTACTATCAATTCATCCAGAGGGATTGGCTTGTTGGAGACCCAGCTCAACCGCCCCCTCCCCCCGAAAGGAAGCATATAAGGAATCGCGTAAGATCTTATAAGTACTCCCCTTGCGATTCAAATGTACTGACTATATACGCAGGAATGGAAACACCTCTACATTGCAGATATCCTGTCGATGCCAGACAAGTGAGCCCATCGACAGCTTTTAGGTGTCATACAACGTTCTAATGAGTTCCTTTCAGGTGGGAATATCCTTTCTTTGCTGCATGGGACACGGCGTTCCACTGTATTCCTTTAGCTATTGTCGATCCCACATTCGCAAAGAAGCAACTAGACTTGTTGACACGTGAATGGTATATGAAGCCCGATGGCCAAATTCCCGCCTATGAATGGAACTTTAGTGACGTGAACCCCCCTGTACACGCTTGGTGAGTTCATATGTTCCTTACATTTCGTCAGCTGCTTCTGAACTTTCCCTTTTAGGGCTACATTCCGTGTTTTTAAGCTTGAGCGAAAACTGTACGGAACCGAGGACGTTCAGTTCTTGGAACGTGTATTCCAGAAGTTGCTCCTGAATTTTACCTGGTATGACTTCGTGGTCTTCCAGACCACGATTGGTACTGATTCGTCCTTGACAGGTGGGTCAACCGGAAGGATCAAGGTGGCAACAACGTCTTCGAGGGCGGTTTTCTAGGACTGGACAATATTGGAGTATTCAATCGCTCAGAGCCTCTTCCCACGGGTGGTGTCCTCCGTCAGGCAGATGGCACTGCGTGGATGGCGTTCTATTGCCTAAACATGTAAAGCATTTTTATATGTGTGGATAGTCCATCACTAATATCTCAACGATGTAGGTTGAACATTGCACTAGAGCTTGCCAAGCATAACTCCGTGTACGAAGACATCGCCTCCAAGTTCTTCGAGGTATGACAACGTTATCTCCTGTGAAGTCGTTCTGACCGCCGTATCCAGCACTTTATCTTCATCGCCGATGCCATGACATTCAAAGCAGGGGACAGCGAGCTCAGTCTCTGGAATGAGCAGGATGGAATGTATTACGATGCCATTCAATTCGGACCGGGTAGCTCAATGCAGCTTCCCGTTCGTTCTTTGGTCGGCCTCATCCCTCTTTACGCCACATTAGTATTAGAGCCCGCTGTCCTCAATCGATTGCCTGGGTTTAAGAAGCGCGTGGAGTGGTTCATTGATAATCGCCCCGAGATTTCTGAGCGCACTATGGCCAATATAAAGGGTGAGCATCCTTGTTAACAAGATCGCCGCTCAATGAATGACGCTTGCTGATTGTACTGTGTTATATTTCAGTCAAGGGCAAGGGTGAACGTCGACTGCTTGCACTGGCCAGCAAAGAGCGACTCGTACGGATCCTGGAAAAGATGCTCAATGAGGACGAGTTCCTGAGCGAACACGGCATACGATCGTGTGTAACTTCATACCCACCGGAATCCGTGTGCTAACAGTTGCTTGTTGTGTAGCCTATCCAAGGTGCATAAGGAACAGCCTTGGGGGATGGACGTCCACGGACAGCGGTATGAGGTGAACTACTGGCCTGGCGATTCCAAGTCTGGCATGTTTGGTGGCAACTCCAACTGGAGAGGACCTATTTGTGAGCATTGTAATAAATATTCGTCTCACAATTCATTCTCATATTCTTGTGTACTAAGGGCTGGCTGTCAACTTCCTCTTGATCGAGAGTTTGCAACGATTCTACCAATACTACGGAGATGATCTTCAGGCAAGTTGCTATGAAACTTATTCCTTCTCCGCACTGACGATCATTTGTAGGTTGAATGCCCCACAGGCAGCGGCGATTATATGAACCTCGCCAATGTTGCCGAAGAAATCCAGCACAGAATCATTCACATCTTTGGGCGTGACACGGAGGGGAAGCGTGCCACTAACGGTGGAAACCCGAAGCTGGACACTGATCCTCACTTCCGTGACTACGTATGGTTCTACGAGGTACGCGATCTGCGGTCTGCCCGCACCGATCTCACTGTCTGACTTTGTGCTCGTAGTACTTCCATGCTGACACTGGCAGTGGTCTCGGAGCGTCTCACCAGACTGGATGGTTTGTCCCTTATCTTTCATACCAGATCCATGTTGCTCACTGCTCACGCAGGTCCGGTTTGGTTGCGTATCACATCTTGCAAAGTGGCGCCAGCTGCCGTCTGCCAAGAACACCGAAGAGTGAGTTGGGAGGAACTCCCACTTTTGAAGTGTCTCTGATGACAATTCTGCCACAGCTCCCCGTAGCGTTGCGAAACATTATTTCGACGTGAGTCAAATCTGATCGTTCCATCCTGATCAATTCTGATTGTGGCTCCAGGAAAACCTCGATTCTCGATCCGAGTATGGTGGCGATTCACTCTACAGTGCATACAGCGCTGCAGATATGAATACACTTGGAGATATCTCGCCTGATGCCTTATAGTTTCCGTTACTACCAGTTTTCGTCATTGTGATTCATTCATGGACCTGTCGGAGTTTTAGCTTAGAGGAACCTGACTTGTAGCAGTACCGCCTGTAACTAGATACATAGAACTGTAGCATTCTGCATTGGTCGCAAACCCTCAAATATTCATGCCGTGCGTATATACGTTTCTAATATAGTCACGTAGTCAGCCACTAGATCTTGGGCTAAGCAACCGGCCCTCGTCAACGGGACTGTATCAAACTGGAATTCATAAATGGATAGTAATAGATAGTGTTGACAATGAGACGGTTGTAAGTGCTACGTCAGAAAGGAAGAGGAAAGGGCAAAGGTAAGGAGCGACGTGGAAACGAAAGTATGCACTGTTACAGTCAGCACGGCTATGAAACCTTCATCGGCTCTTTCAGAGTCGTCCGACGACTGGTCATGCTCGAACCTGCTGCAGTCAAGACACTCTGAGCCCAATCATCTTCGGCATCATCCTCGATATTCAGGTCGATAGATGGCGTCAAGGAGCACTGAGAGGGTGACCGAAGGAAATTCGAAGCCCGAACGGATAAAGAGCTATCGTCAACCAATGGAACACCAGAGCGATCTACGGTGGGTGTATGCTGCGGTGTTGAGTAGAGAGAAGACGTGGAGGAATTCACCCCGCCATGAACTGCCGGAGGCTCCAAAGATTCGTCCTGCACGTGTCTGGAAGTTGGGTCATCTCTGAGGGCGGATGAACCGAAAAGGCGTATGGGCGACGATGAGATGTCTGTGGTCAACACAGGAGGCGTATCGGCACGGGCGAATGGAATCGGTGCAGCAGACGCCAATGAATCATGGTAGACGCACGTCGTTGAGAGGGCAGATGCTGGTGGAGGATTCGTAGCTGAAGACGGGGTGGTGAGAGGAGAAGCGGATCTCTTGGAGAAAAGAAGTCGAAGGGAGGGACGTGAATTCCTCCGTGACCATGTTGAGGATGGGGAGGCAGGGGAGGCAGGTGAAGAGTTACTGGAGTCTGATTTCAATGGAGGGAAGGAAAGAAGGTTGTATGACTTCCGCCTTGTGAGGCCAGGCTGAGGCACACTAGAGTCTGTTGACGGGAACGGGATAGGTGAACTGATGATTGGCCGTCTAGAGGAAGGTAATGGCAATTCTTCAGATTCCGCAACCAAAGGCGTACCGATAGGTAACTGTTCCGACTTTTCTGAGGATGATTCCCTAGTGATAGGCTCACTAGAGAATGAAGGGTTCTCGGACATTGTGGACGGGGTTGCAAGGGAGTCAGTCGAGCAAGATAGCTGAGGAATACGCGGGCTGTCTGCGAGCGAGGAAGGCGCACTATTCGTGCGGGCTGGGCCGTCAAGAGCTGACACGTATGAAGCGCTGTCATCTTGACCTGAGTTACTGGAAAGTCGATCAAGGGTGCTGGCGGTAGGTACTTCAAGTGCGGTACCATAAAATGTAGAAACAGGATGTCTGACTCTGGGTCGTGGGACTGCGTCATTGGAATCCAAGGAATCCTCCATAGGACCTGCTCCGACGTTAGTCAATTTAGTGTCGTTGTCCGCATGTGGCGACGGGGCTGCAGAATGACTGGATGGGTCTGCACTTCCATCTGTTGGCGCGATATCCAAAACGGGTGCCGTTATATCAATCACCACAGATTCCGCGGGCTCTTGCGGAGGTCCGTCCCAGATCTTCCCTGCTTCGCAAAGGACGCGCAGCAAGGAAGGACTCATGTTCAAACTTGGACAAAACACGAGCAAGAGGTTCCCTAATGTCATCTTTGTCTCTTTAACACGGGCCGAAGTTGCTCGGATGAGCTCCACAACTGTATAGAGCAGATCGCGATTGTAAGGTGGAAGCTGCGCAACGAGGCCGGCGAGAGCTAATAGCGTTGCCTCAGATAATGTACGCATGCCAGCAAAGCTAGGCATCGCTAGAGTTGACAGTGAGGGTGGCTTGCGCAATGCGAGAGGTGCGCCAGCACGAGGTCCGGATGGCAATGTTGGGCCTCTTGACCCAACACGCATGTGTCCAGGCCTACCACTAGCGGACTCCTCTTCCTTGGCATCAGGCGTCATGACTGCCTCAAAGAGAGGGATAAGATGCGAAGTGAGGAGTGGTTGAGGTACTTCAGAATCCTGTTAGACTGAATCCTGTCAGATACACACAAAAACTTACATTCACGAAGATATGCCTTGAAGATGGAAGCTACAGCATGAGGGTCTAAATCTCCAGGGCCGCATTCCACAAGATTGTAATCAGCTCCTAAAGCATGAGAGTATGGCCTTTAGTTACATATGTATATGCATGCTTGGAGCGGACTGACCTGTGTCGAATTCGGATCGAAGCTTGGCCACATGAGTAGGACGTCCTGTTACTCTGAGTACAAGCAGTCAGTAAAGATTATCGCAGTGTATCTGAAAGGAAAGGAGGGGAGAAAGAAAACTCACCGGAAGAGACCTTCCTCCTGGACACCCCATTGAAGAAGATGCTGTGAACAACGCACGACAAGTGCCGGCAAAAGTCGTTTCTCCAATGGTCTCAAAGCCATAGCTTCCTCCGACTGCCTCCCAAACTCCTTTGAAATCAGAGTACTATTGATGGCAGTCTCGTTTACACATGTTGCAAGGTCCCGACCAAAGACAAGACCCCCAGCCACGTGAGAGCCAGTTGCCGTCCGCTTGGGACCTCGAATACGGGTTCCGAGAATAGGCCCTGTCGGTGTGTCGAAATCAGATACAGAAGAGGACGCCAAGGAGGAGGTGACACTCCAAGAGCCTGAAGGGGCATTCGGCGTCCGACGCTTCACCTTCCACATTCCTCCAGAATGGCTAGGCATAGACTGTTCAGAAGCTGAACGGCCCAGGTCTGAACTGTGATAGGACGAAGGTGTACCACTATTCGACGAAGAAGTCGAGTGTCCAGATGTACTGGAGGAACTCGAGCTCAAGCCGCCCCATACACGAGTGACCTTGTTGGCTGCTCGCTTCCCGATACCCAAAGCGATCCCAGCAGCAGTCTGTCCAGTGATACTGACCGCTGTCTGTCGGAATGAAGACTGGGTAGGGGCGTTCACAGGCATACGTTGAGCGTAGGCAGGTGGTGAGACAGGTGGTTGATCCGCACGCCGTGAGGAAGCCGCAGTTGATGTCCACGCAGCCAAACGTCCACGAATATTGCTTCCTGTACTATGAGCAGCACCTGGTGGTTGCAGAGGCGCAATGAAACCTTTCGCATCAGTCTTGGTGATTATAGGGGGAGAATCAGGAGTTGTTGACGTCGTGTTCGTCTCCGTGAATGTGCGATGTAAGGTAGCAAATGAACCCTCCTTTACAGTGAACGTACTAGAATCAGCCGTGCCTGGCTTCGGCTTCGGCGGCGTGAAACTGCCAGGGACATAGTTTAAGGACATGGAACGGCGATTTCGTGCCTTCACAGACGACGCCGGGGACGCTCTTGAGTTGAACTTTGGGATCGCGAACTCTTGACTTGAATCTGTCACGTCCCCTTCCTCCGGCATGGCGAACTCTGCATCTGTGATCAACGCACTGAGTCGCCTGTTAACAGGCACAATGGTGTGTCCTGAATGCGAAGACTCTGCAAGTGAAACAGGACGCGGCGACCGGTTGCCAAACGCGCCTGGTCGAATGGTACTGTGACTGATCGTCGTGGAATCACTTTTCCGCCAGTCCTGTTTCATTTCGTGATCCGTCCTTTCCTTCGCGGTGCTAGGTCGACGCAAAGTCTCCCTTGGCGCGCTCCTCTCCTTCGGGTCCTTTTCTTTCGGCTGCAGCTCTGACACTTGCAGCAGTTGGATGGCTGCAGCCGTGCTCGGGCTCACGATCAGAGATCCTATGTTGAGTTGTTCCTTTGAGGGAGCTGCTGCACTCTCAGGCGGAGGCGGAAGATCTTTGGACATCTGTGACTGGGTCAGCTTCATGGGAGGCGGCGGGGCTTGCGGTGCAGAACCTGTAAATCTCGGTGATTTCGGTGACGGTGCATGTTTCTTACTCGCGAAGACGTTGAACGGCGAAGTGAGCTGTATCGGTAGCAAAGGTTTGCCAGTCTTGATGGGAGGAGCCGAGGGTATCCGCTGGTGTTCTGATGATTGACGTGCGCCAGTGGTGGTGGACAACGGTGCGCTTACGGCGCGATCTTTCCCCTTGCTAGAAGGTATCGGCGCATCATCCAGGATAGCACTAATATCTTCAGACTTTTTCCGGCGACCCCAGGCACGTTTGAATCTACTGCCGGTACTACTAGCTATGGAGCTAGCGGATGAAGACACAGGCGCAGGGACTTGTAATGGTAATGTTGCATTATCGGCAGTGCCAGACTGAGATTGACCCATATGACCGGGGGAAGGGGAGCGAGCGGAAGAGATGGGAAAGAACCGATTCTTTGAGGGATTTGTTGTAGCAGGCGCGGCCACAGAGTGATCATACGTCGCCAATTCAGATTGGCTGGAATCGAGCGGTGGAGCTGCGGGAGCGAGAAGCGAAGATGCTATTGAGGAAGAGGCGAGAGAGGAGGAGGACCTCGAGGCCGGCAGGCCTCCTGCACCCAGTACTGAAGGGTGAGATTGTGCATTAGGGATGTCGATATCATGGTTCAAAGTTGGATTCATGATGTAAATGGGATGATTTAGAGCCTAGAATTGGTATAGCGTCGTTTCTCGATCCACTGAACCAAGAGAATGGAGCCGGAACCGGAGCAAATAGAACGATGGCAAAGGCGAGGCAGCAGCGAGGTTGGTCAGCACTGAGCCGAAAAGCTAGATTACAGCAGTCAGCAGGGTGCATGGACCGGTCATGCAAAATTAAAAGCAGAGCACAACGAGGATACCGCACGGCAGAGGTGCCAGTGTTGAACAGGGAACGGTAGGTAGGGCGTCTGGGGCAGAACGGAGAACTCGCTCACCTATAATTTAGGCCACGCGAGGAAATAGTTGGGTGCTGATCGTGGTAGGTAGGCAAGGAGGTCGTGAATTATAAGGGTATCATAGGACAAAAGACAAAGACAGTAGCAAAAGAGGACCGGTTGTGAGGGAGGCGGTCAAAGTAGCGGTCGTCGCTGTGGTGGGCTCAGGACAAGCGAGGGCACTCTCAGCGCTTGCCCAGCAAATCCTTTCTGACACCATCACCTGCAGCCAGCATGTGTGGAAAATACTCGATCCAACGAGACCGAAAGACTAGTAATAGTTTCTACCCTACATGCAAGAACCTCTATATACAAATCGAGACAAAAAGCCAAATGCATTCTTCCAGAAGGTCTGACAAATTCCTGCAGTCCATAGAATGTACCTGTCTCCTATAACACACAGATGATTGATCGCGATCATGAGGCACCAAGGAACTCCTTAACAAGCTCATATGTAAAGAACGAGGTAGCAATGCTCGGTGCAACTTTCACTGCAGAATCGAATGTCAACGCAAATTCCCGCTTCAATAAAAAGTAGCGCCTACAGAGATTTGGCCACAGCCCTCTGTACAATCCACGTATACCCTCGGTGCGCGCGATGCTCTGGAGTGCATCCAATGCGCCGTTGTACTGGTAACCGAGCGAACTCATGCCAGTCACTTGCATCTTCCTTCGGAGCACGTCGAAGGGGTAAGTCAACGTTTGTGATATTGAACCTATAACAGATGACGGGCATAAACATCTCACTTCCGGACAGGAACAATCACAATAAAATTGACCTGCAAGGGCGCCACAACTCAGTTTCCGCCACACGCTGCTCTTCCCGGGAGGAGTAATGATACCGCGAAGGGTCTCGTATGCGGCGAAGTTGATACCTGTCATGTTATGTCAAAGATTGATCCAAAAGACATATGTCACGATACTGACCAACATAAGGTGCCACACCGAAGGCGGTGGGTACTAAACCACGGTACAAGGCTCTGACTCCACCCTCTTCACGCATCACCCGAAGTGTCATACCCCACATCGTAAGATCCTTCTTCGAGAAGGTCGTAGCAGCTGGCCGGGCATTAGCGGAGGATGTGTGATATGCTGATGATAGAGATGGTTTCGCGGGTAATGAGGATTGTGAAGAGGCGAGAACGGGTAAGGAAGCTGTTGCTATTGATAATCTGGAACGAACAAGATCTAACGGGTATGTTGTGCCTAAAGGGTAGTTGAGATAATCAGCCCAAGTCGTCAGGCAATGATAGAAGCTATGATACACACAGACAGAGGTTATCCCGGCCAATGCTCCGCTTACTAGTCGTGTAGGCGTGTCAAGCGGCGTTGCACCATGGTTAGTGAACCACTATGGGACTCCAGTCAGATCGTCAGTCCAACTCCCCAGGACGCGAACGTATCATATCTTACCTTTTTCAGTTGTTCGTAGGTTGTAAACTGAACGGCACTAGTGGAGCAGGAAACCAGTAAGGAAATTGAACGGAAAGCAGTTGACGAGAAACGTACCTATAGGGTACGATACGCAAACAGTTGATACCGTTCCCCCTCATGAAGCCCTTGAAGCCCTCCTCTTTCCACATCCGAACAAGACTAGACCAAACACCACGGTACTGTCCCCCCGAATTCTGTGGTTGGACCTGCCTATAAATAGTTCAGACAGCGAGGTGGACGCAAAGTAGAAAAACAACGTACTGAATGATCTTTAATCTCTCGAGCGGACTAACAACCGTTCTGGAAGCTGCGCCGGCGCAACCGCCTGCAACGAAGTAGGATGCGATCTGTGGACTGAGGAATGGAACAAGTTTCTCCTTGTTGTCCATTACCGCCGACTGTTTGAGGAGGGACGATGATGACTGAGAGGAAACAGTCGAACTGGATGCTTGTGATGTCATGCTATAGGAATGAATTGAATGTTGCAGAGAGGGAAACACATGCACTGTGAGAAGGCGCAATGATGGGTATGTTCTCGCACGCCGTCGACAAGTTGAGGGTGGAAAATCTGGGCAAAGTCTAGTGTGTCCGGAGAGGAGGATCTAGGATGATATAGCCAGTGTGGTAATAGGAGAGAGGGTCGGGTATAGAAGCAGTCCGAGAGGATGGCGGCTGTCGGTCAAGATGCAATGCACGAGTAATGCACGACAAATCCTGCATACAAGCACCCCCCACGTGGCGGTGCGTTTTTCGGCAAATGCTTGTTGCAGGTGGCAGCGCCAGTATGGAAACTGTCTACGTTCGGCATCAGTCTTGCCTGGAGTTGAGCAAGCCCTGTTCAAAAAGACGCAAGGAGCATCGTGACCGTTTTGTTGCTTCACTGATCAGCAGGAAACCTGTTTTTGTGTGGCGATTGTCGCAGCTCGAGAATTATACTTGCCGAGTGACAAGGATGTCACGCGTATGGTGACCGACGCGCCATGCCAGTCACGCGTTCGATCGCGTTGTGGCTTTGGCCATCGACTCTCGCTAACGTTGTCTCTCCCTTCATTGCCTCCGATCTCTGTGCTGCTTTGTATTTCGCTCCCTGTATTGCTGTTGAAACCCAACATTGTACTACTAACATCACCTGCATTCTCCCAAAATGTATATCAAGACCCTTACCATCCAAGGGTTCAAGTCATGTAAGTTGGATACTTATGCTGTTCGTTCGAATGTCACTCTGACCTCTTTGAAGACCGTGATCAAACTCAAATAGAACCCTTCTCTCCAAAACACAACGTTGTCGTAGGAAGAAATGGTTCTGGGAAGAGTAACTTCTTCGCAGGTTGTGACAATTCTCACTACTCTTCTAAGCATGCGCTGAAGCCACCTGACAGCTATCCGATTTGTTCTTTCCGATGCATACACCTCCATGTCTAGGGAGGAGAGGCAGTCACTCTTACACGAGGGTGTCTCAACTTCCACTACTCTGTCTGCATACGGCAAGTTCCTCTTCTCTGCGTTTTCATATAATCATCTTCCTTACCATCCTTGTCCTCTCTAGTCGAGATTGTATTCGACAACAGCGACAACCGCTTTCCTACAGGGAAAGATGAAGTCATCTTACGGCGAACAATCGGTCTCAAGAAGGATGAATACAGTCTGGACAAGAAGAGTGCGAGTAAGGCCGATGTCATGAACCTACTCGAGAGCGCTGGTTTCAGCAAGAGTAACCCTTACTACATCGTCCCGCAAGGCAGGGTCAGTTATCTAATCATTACATCTCTGTATTCACTCTGACCTTGTCCTCTCTGTCACACAGATTACAGCTTTGACGAACGCGAAAGATCACGAACGTCTCGCCCTCCTCAAAGAAGTTGCCGGTACCAAGGTCTACGAACAAAGACGCACAGAATCACTTCGCATCATGGCTGAGACAGATGCCAAGCGCGACAAGATTAACGAACTACTCGATTATATCGACACCCGACTAACAGAGCTCGAGGAAGAGAAGGAGGAACTCAAAGAGTTCCAAGAGAAAGACAAGGAACGTCGTTGTCTGGAATACGCAGTGTATCAGCGTGAACTGGAGGAAGTTGCAGAGGCGTTGGAGGAGATCGAAGCGGAACGAAGGGGAGAGGTTCATAATGCGAACGTTCGGCGGGAACAATTCAACGACCGAGAAAAACAAGCCCAGGTGAACGCGGTTCCGTGTCTCCGACTACACTACAGAAACTGACTCTGTTCACAGCGTTTGGAACAACTCATCGGTGAATCTCGCACGAACCAAACAACCCTCACGCTTACACGGCAGGGTGCGCAAGCCGAACTCACCGACCTTGTTCGCGCTCGTACGGAACTCGAATGTACTGTCGCTGACCTTCGTCTTGCCTCCGAACGCGCAGGGGGGAAGCGCAACGAACTTGAGAGTGAGCTTGCTGCTTTCCAAGCGCAGATTACCGAGAAGGAAAGTGCATTGGCGAGACTTAGGCCTGAATGGGAGGCGCATCGTGCACGAGAGAATGAGGAGAAGCGAAGGATGGAAGAAGCGAGAGCCCGATTAGACGCGTTATACTCGAAGCAAGGTCGTCTGAATCGGTTCAGGACCAAAGCAGAACGCGATCGCTACTTGAATGGTGAAATTGCGGGTCTAGAAGCCTACAAGACCGCTCAAGCGCAAGCTTTCGAGACCACGCGGAACGAACTCGAGAATGCTAAAGGCGCGTTAACTGATCTCGAGGAGAGGGTGGAAGCTGTACAAGGAAGAGCGGAAGATGGTAGGAGTCGTGTAAAGGAGCTCGCTGAAAATATTGCCCGGTTGAAGGACGAACATGCTGAGATGAGTGAGAGGCGGAAGGAACTTTGGAGGGAGGAGACGAAGTTGAAGAGTTTGGTTGACAACGAGGCTGATGAACTTCGTCAAGCTGAGAGGACCCTTGCGAGTATGATGGACAAGGTATATATTTAGGTTGCTAACTGAGCCGGAGTCCACTAATCACATTCATCAGGATACTGGCTCTGGTCTCAAAGCGGTGGATGACATCGCTGCAACACACCGACTAGATGGCGTGTATGGTCCATTGTATCGTCTGTTCGAAGTTACCGACGACAAGTTCAATACTGCCGTCGAGCTCACAGCTGGAACGAGGTAAATGTTACCAATTGAGTGAAGAATACGACAAGGTACTTACTCGTACCAATCAGTTTGTTCCATGTTGTGGTCGACACGGATGCCACCGCGTCGAAGGTCCTAGATATCATGATCAAGGAGAAGCGGGGTAGGGTCACTTTCATGCCCCTAAACCGTCTTCACCCCAAAGTACCACCAGCACCCAATGCTCAAGATGCTATCCCGCTCATGGATAAATTGCGATACGAGCCAACCCACGCGAAGGCCATACAACAGGTCTTCGGTAAGACCTGTGTTTGCAGGGATCTCACTATTGCTGCTGCATATGTCAAAAGTCATGGTATCAACACTATCACACTTGATGGAGACAAGGTAGACCGCAAGGGTGCATTAACAGGCGGATACCACGATATCCGCAGATCACGAATCGAGGCAATCAACAACCTGACGAATTGGAAGACGAAGCACACAGCGGATAAGCAGCGCCTTGAAGAAGTCACTGCGACGATCCAGCAGCTCGAGCAGGAGATCACCCGCACGATGGGTAGAATTCAAGTGGAGAGCAACAAGCAGAACCAAGCGAAGAACACTAGGGAGACTTCTGCCGAAGAAAGTCAGGCTTTGAATAAGGAGCGGGAACGACTGGTCATCCGCATTGAAAAGCTTGAGGGCGATGTCTATGACCTCGAGAACGAGCTGAATGGTCTCAATTCTAAGCTGGAAGGATACCGTGCCGAGTTAGCTACTCCTTTGGCGACCGGTCTAAGTGCAGCCGAGGAGGAGCAGATTGAAGAACTTGGGAAGGAGATCGAGCAACGGCGAAAGCAGTTGGTTGAGCTGGGCAAGAAAAAGAACGAGGTATGTCTGTAGTTTTGCATGTTGACTCATGCTGATTTTGAGGCTCGTATAGTTTGGCAGTCGTAAGAACCTGTTAGAAATCGAGCTTAACGAAAACCTCCGTCGTCGTCGCGAGGAGCTTAGAGGCAAGATCGAGGCTCTTGGTGAATCAGAAGCTGGGGATGCCTCGTCTGCGGAGGAACTGGAAGCTCGTGTGCGCGAATTGAAAAACCTCAACAATACTATTGAAGCCTTGACGAAGAAGCTTCATGGTGAGTTAGCGGTTCTCCAGTCACACTGATAATCGCTAACATCCTCTCCAGAAACGGACAAAGAGATAGAGAAGGTCACTGCTGAACTTCAAGAGCATAGGAGTAGCTTGGAGAAAATGCAAAATCAGCAAGCCGAAGACAGCAGGGGTGTCTCTAAGCAGCAGAAGAACACGGAGCGCTATTTGGCCAAGCGACAAATGCTCCTAACACGCAAGGACGAGTGTAATCGGAACATTCGTGACCTTGGTGTTCTTCCAGAAGAAGCTTTCGAGAAGTATACTAATGAGAAGCTTGACAGAGTGAGTTCCCCAGTCTTCCACTCGACCCGGCCATGACTTATCGGCATGCAAATAGCTAGTGAGGAAGTTGCATACTGTCAATGAAGGACTCAAGAAATTTGCCCATGTCAACAAGAAGGCCTTCGAGCAATACAACAACTTTACCAAACAACGTGATCAATTGTTGCAGCGTCGGGAAGACCTGGACAAATCCGCGGAGTCCATCGAGCAACTTGTCGAGGTCCTCGACCAGCGTAAAGACGAGGCAATTGAACGGACGTTTAAGCAAGTAGCGAGCAACTTCGAAGAAGTCTTTGAGAAGCTCGTTCCAGCAGGGCGGGGACGTCTCATCATTCAGCGACGAATTGACCAAGTAAGTGTGTATCCAATTTTTTTTTGTCATATATTCTGACAGTTCTCTTAGGACGAGGAGGAGGCAGAAGAGGCAGAGGATACCCAACAGAGCACCATAGAAAATTACACTGGTGTCTCAATCAAGGTAGGCGAAAAGGCTACTCCAAGACCTGAACGATTGATCATGTCTGCCCTTAGGTGTCGTTCAACTCGAAAGTCAACGAGGGTCTCCGGATACAGCAGCTGTCGGGAGGACAGAAATCGTTGGTCGCCCTTGCCACAGTATTCGCAATTCAAAAATGCGATCCAGCACCATTCTACTTATTTGATGAGGTGAGCATATCATTGCTCGAGGATTAGCGGCTATTGACGATGAACACAGATTGACGCTAACTTGGATGCTCAATATCGTACTGCTGTTGCGTGTAAGTGACATCATTCCGGCGGTGTGAGTATCTTTGTTGACGTCCCCGTAGCGATGATCCACGAGCTGTCGACAACGGCCCAGTTCATCACTACCACTTTCCGGCCCGAAATGCTCGTTCATGCCCATAGGTTTTACGGCGTATTGTTTAACAACCAAAAAGTCAGTTCGATTCGCAGCATTACCCGCGAAGAAGCCATGGAGTTTGTGGAACAGGTACGTCTGCTAGTCCTCCTATATGACAGTGTCTCACAATGTTCTTGTAGGAGGCCCAAGCTCAGTGACGTTGTTTTCCATTAGTGTAGTGTTATCTTGCAGCTCTCTCTTATGCGCCTGGGATAGATATACCCTGTAATGTAGCTTGTTCCGAGTAATCGTACGATACAGTCAATCATTGCACATTGTCACTGATTTGGCAGGCTCCCATACATTTTAATAGATATGGAAACCTACGCCCATTCAGTGGGCCGGTGGATAACATCACTTCCTCATCCATCTACCTTTGACTTGCATTTGGTTTCTCTCGCTTTAATTTCAGAACCTGTCTCCTGAAGGATATGAATTTACTCTATCGATTCCGGTCTGGCAGGAAATGTCGGAAAAGTATCAAAAACTCAAAGTTCAGCTTTATCTACATCGTTGAAGGTGCCGACGACCAAGCGCTAATGCCGCGTGGGCTTGAACTCGACTTTCCAACTAAAGTCCAGACTTGACTTGGATTACGGACACTATACCTCGCCGTAGTTACATTCTGATTGGCAGAGTTGAGGGATGCTTCCAACACTCGTCCGACTAGGAGGCCGATCAGCATGGAAAGGTATGTCAATAATTTATTCACCCCCATGTACTCCAACTTGATATTCATCGTTTCGTCTCCCCACTTCTTCAGGTCCGTTCTTCGTAGCGTTCCCCAATCTGCGTGAAGCCCTTGAGAACAATATTCCTATTGTGACCCAAGCTCGGTCATGTACCATCCTCCCAAACTTTGTGGGGTATGTTCATCCGTCTTTGTCGCATTGAACATCTGATCGTTTCACTCATGATCTTCTCCCCATCAGACTTAGGTTCCACGTTCACAATGGGAAAGACTACCTACCAATTATGATTACGCAGGATATGGTTGGGCATAAGTTGGGTGAGTTTGCGTTGACGAGGAAACGGTTCTCTTTCAAGTGCGTCTCATACCTTGGCTTTGTACCCTACAAACGACTGATGGACTCTATGATTCAGAAAGAGCAAGTAGATTGCGCAGTTCTCCCGGTTCTCGATGTACATATGCTCTGTATAATGCCTGCATACCTCGTAATGCTCCTCTCTCCTTTGGAGTGGTATCCGAACTGTGTGGTGTAATCCAATGGTGCTATAAGTCAACTTTCAACCATTCAAATATCTCAACCCTTTTTCGTTGTCTGCAACGCTTTGATATCGCAGAAACACCTGAAGGTTCAACACAATCTGTGTGACATCACTGTACTCGATCTTTGTCTAGTGAATTCATCCTGCACGAGGTAGCTTTGTCTATATCCAAATGTCCAACTATCATCCCGGTTCCAAACATTGCACAAGTTCGATTCTGTCGACCTCAAGCCCAACTGTCGGTCTCGGACAAGAGATCTTGGCCGAACGAGGTCACGCTGGAATGATCCCGCAAAGTGTTTTTTCAACTCTTTTCCACATGAACTTACAAAAGCTCAGTTTATAGTATTTTGAGATGATCTATGCTCCGTTTACAAGTACGTGCTCGTCTGTTGTCTTTATTCAGTACATCCGTCATGTGAACTAGTTAATCGGTAACTCCCAGACAGTGTTTATGACCTGAAGTCCTCATGTTCTCTCCTGGATTCGACTGGACTTCGGGCTCGGAGACCCCGCCTTTAGTGCAACCAAGTTGAACAGGCTATATCTCCCGCAGTAGCATATGCGAGACCAGTGGACTAACTCTTCGATCTCATAAGGAGACAGTGAAAAACTGGCCGGGAGAACTACACGTTTCCTGAATACATCGGCTTGGACATCTCCGTAAGGTCAAATTCTTTCTTCTTTACCTGGATTTCGTTTAACATCCCCGGAGCATCAAATTTAGAATAGGCCCACCGCACATCGATTCTCTGGATCCCGACATTCAGAATTTGAAGGGCATTCTGCGGTGGAGCGTTTATATCGAGAACGCACATTCTGCGTTCCATTCCACTTGATGACACTCCCTTGTTACTGCAGGTCATTGAGCGGACAGTGTATGTCGGTCCATAGGGGGTTTGATTATATTGGTACATCTACAGGGCGGAAATGGTACGCTGAACGGATGTTCGTCTGCTTAGCCTTTACATGACATTGTTATAGCAGACAATAGTGAGTGTGTTCGCTCGCTCACCCTTTTTTTCAGTCACCGAGCCAGTTTTTATCTTCCCATCGAACAAGAATTGGCGGCGCGTTGGCGCGCCTGTTCAAACAAACCAATTCTCTGTTGTCAAAGTCAGACTAATTTTCTAGACTGAGGTTCCTTACAGTGAGAAGGAGTAATACTCTCCGATATGACATAAATGCTACTTTCAATAAACCTCAAAAGTCGATCCACTCTTCTTTCGTCGGACCTCACACTCCTTCACATTCGACCCCACTTCGTTTTTAAACTTTCATCTTCACAGTACAGTACCGGAGGAACATTGCAGAGGTGTTGAATAAAGACACTAGTTACTTCAGATTTACTATCTGCTGTTTAAACTATTGACTGAGCGTTGATTATTTATGTTCTTGCGCGGTTGTGAATGGGTATTCAGCCGTATTCGAAGTGAAGGTGCCTAATATGGCTATTGCTTTACATCCTAATATGCGCAAACATGCTCCCCGCTTCTTCCCGTGGGGTTCAGTGTACTTAACTTTCCCACCAACTACTCAGTACTCAGTTTCTACTTGAATTATTGCACCATGTTTGGAATCGCTTGCAAAAAAATAACGCGTGCTACACCGCTACGAAATGCGGTGACAAGGACTATGTCATCATCACCCCGTGACCCTCTCAATCGTCCCTCCCCGCCTTCTCTTCCGCGTGCTCAACAACAAGAATTCGAAAAACTATTCCGCAAGGCGCAAACGCCGCTCGCACATGATGGTAGTGGAGATCTTGCTGTGCACCCGGATGCCCGACCTCCAGTTGTGCCAGAGTTTGAAGGTGATGTCAATCCTGTCACTGGTGAGAGGGGTGGACCGAAGAGAGAACCGGTGAAGAAATGGGGTCATGAGGGTGATTGGAGCCATAAAGGGAGGGTCTCTGATTTCTGAGCACATGTCAGTATCGGTCACACGCTTCGAAGGACTATCTTCCATTGAAGTGCTGCTGGTGCATCCTATATTCAGCCCGAGGCTCCCTCGTAGGCGGAGTCCTACTCCTCCAATTGACAACTTGAGCTTGCTCACATGCTCGATGTGATTGGAATATGTCAATGAACTGAGCGAGGATCAGGAACCCATCACATACAGAATGACACGATACCACAACATCTACAGCCCAAATTTGTGCTCGTCTCGTTACAAAAGATGACGTTCATATTGAGGATGCGCAAGCCTCAACACTCAATGAGTAAACAATTACATGAGCAACGGTGCAGAGCAGCATAGTTATGCCCCATAGTTGAATTGGCATCTGATGTTTTGAAACATTCAACAAGGCACCGTCTATGCTAACTCCCTCAGCCTCCTTCGTAACCGACTGTTTTCTTTCATACCTTTCAAAAAGCTTAGCATATCGTAGGCCTCGGTGAATATTGTAGGTACTCACGTGAGATTTTACAGGCTATCAGTCGTGCGCCGGGCAGCGATATCTGCGAGTAGACGGACAAGCGAGTTTTCCCAAAGTCGCAGTTGTTCTTCATTGCGGCAACGTAAAGTAAAGTATTCGATGTCGTGATCCCCTTTCCAATATACGGCTAGAGAGTATCGACCTAGTAACGGACACGGCGTTAGTATTCAAACGAAACCGTCAATAAACGTATGTATACCGACCTGCATGGATCTTAGGAATCACGCTGGTGACGTTCTGAAGGTAGATCCTGCCTTTGAGAAGTAAAGGAGTGCCCCTCTTGGATAAATTAGGGCTAGAAATATTGATAGGCCATGGAGAGCCCGGTGTCTTGAGTAGACCGTTGCTTTTTCCTGCCTTCTTGCCGTTGGTGGAGGGAAACAACTCTCTGAAGCACAGTATAATCTTTTCGAATAAGAAGACATGGTACTCCCTGTCTATGTCCGACTTCGTGATCGTAAAGACATCATCAAGGAGTACAGTGCCAAAGTTGGAGACATGGTGACCTCTCCAGTCGTCCACGCGACCTTCGAGCCTCTTAACAGCTGCTCTGTTCTCTGCCCGCCTTTTCTCCTCGTTCACCTTGTCCGCGATACGCTTCGCCGCAGCAAGACCCTGCTTGAGCTCATCGAGATGTGAATAATTAGTGTTCATGACCGCCTTGATTAGAGACTGAAGGAATAGTGAAACGTCAGTCAGGCGGAGTTTGCCAGAGCGGTTGGAGTATCATTACTCGCCTCCAGGAGCAACGGATACTTGCCTACACGCTGCGCGGGCATAATGAGGAACGCAGAAAGTTCAGACTTGATGTTGAGCAAGCCATCCAGTGCCTGTTAGTTTGGTTGAGTTTCAACATGGGGCATTTGGTAGTAAGAAGGAAAACGGCGGGTTCGAACAAATGCTCACCACCAGACTATTTTCCTCCGAGAGAGAAAGGTTGTCACTGGCATTGGTGTAGTTCACACAATAGGATTCGTACACAGAGAACTCTTCTTCCTATCGTTCCACAGAAAGGTCGAGGAGAAAATGGTATGCCAGTGTACAAAAGGCAAACAAGATAATGAGAATAAATACAGTCATGAGTTTATTCAGCGATGACAGGACGAATGTACTTACGAATTCCGTGAAGGCATTGCCCCATCCACCATCCATCCACGGGGAATCAGAGATGCTTTCCAACTTGATAAGGAATCTACGATGGAAGTCGATGAGACTGTCAAGGTTCATGCCAAGCAAGAAAGCGCCCTGGCCTAAGGTCCACTATGATTTCTGATAAATCACCAATTGAAGACAAGACAACAAGCTGAGAACGCACCTGCATAGTTTCCAGGTCCTGTACGTATTTGCGTTCAGTGTACAGCAGCTCCTTTGCAATGTTAGCTCCTGGCTGCCGATCCGTTGATCTAGCGCTATGCAGGAGCCATGTAAAAAGCTCCGTTGGTGGGTATGTGTGAGGTGACTCAGTGAAGATATCCTCGGGGATGTTGGTTACAACAGTTGAGACGATGTTGACGACCTAGGAGCGACCCCAAGCCTAAGAAAGATACTGAACACTGAAGCTCAATAGGGCACGTACCCTGACAAAGCCATCAGTAGAATTCCGGTCCCACAGATCCGTCATAGTGAATTTAGGGCAACCTTCGATCTGACGAACACCTGCTTCGAACATGACGAGAGCCCGGTTTATGATCATGTCATTGGTAGGATCAAAAGAAGCTGTATCGATAGGAACGGGTTGTATAGGGGGAGGTAACAGATTGAAGAGGTAGCAGAGAGGGACGCCGAGGGCGAAGCAATCCCAGAGCTGTGTGACGGGATCGGTGGAGCGGCGAGAGGAAGAGGCGTTGTCCTTTGAAGAGAGTGTGAAATACTGAGGAAAGTTCTGGATCCGCATCAAGCGTGCACGAAGCACAGAGCATTGCTGGTAGAGAGAAGTTGACTGGGAGAAGAATTCACTGAATAAGACTTGCAATTGGAGCTTTGTATTTGGGTCGGCCTCGTGACCGTCAGAGATACATCTGAGCGAAATCAAGTGGGAAAGAAGATCATTAATCACATAAAGCAGCTAGAATGACCATTAATGAACCTTCCAGCAAGTATGTCACACAGCTCTAAGTATGACTGATTGCGCAGTTCACGTCTCCAAGGATTTGGTGAGATTTGGCAGTATCGTGCACTGCATGCAGCAAGCTTGGGGAACGACGTTGGCACCCTGGACCTTAGGCATGCAACAATGGTCGTATGGTTTGCAACCTGAATGAACCTAAGTGCATCACAACACACGAAGTACAGCGATTGCTGTTGCAGTCTGGATGGATAATCATCAAATATCTTCGCGATCTCCTCGACAAGAATGCTATTGAGAGGTTCTGAGAGACCTTCATCGATGCCATTCATTAGCGCATTTGCAAATAGCAGAAGAACAGGAAAAGTGAGAGTGTGGCTCGATCTCGAGTAACCTGTCTTTGTCAATGTTCTGACAGAGGTAGCAGAGCCCAAGGTATCAGTTTCGGTGAATGACAGTGACAGGCGATACGAGTGTATCCTCTCTGAGATACAACCAACCATATACTGCAATTGGTCCGGAGGACCCGTCCGCACGAATTGTGCAAGAGTAATGGCGACAAGAGATAGTCGAGGCTGATCGCTATCGCTATTACTGACAAACTCGCTGTCCATGAAAGACTCGAGCGGATCCTGATACTCTCCTTCGTACTGCCACGTGGGTTGCGTTGTCAAGAGAAGACAGATTTCCTCTAGATCAAAGGCGTCGGTGTATCATGGTAGGATCTTTATCTAGGACTGCTTGGATTAACCTCGCGCAGACGGAGGTTACGGCTAACTGGTCTGTAACTAGTGTATTGTCTCCGGAAGTGTGCCTGCCATTATGTAGGTTAACATTGCGATTGCAACATACATAAGCAACCCACCATCGGGTCAACTTGAAAGCAGCGAATTGCCTCAGAAAGTACTGTATTTCGATCGCGGACCACTGTTTCAGTAACTGAATTGTCTCCTCGAGTCCTTGCTTTATAAGCGTAGCCATCAGAAGATCGCAGGCTCTCTCGCGAAGAGGTGCGGAATACAGTCCCATCCTGAAGGGGTAAATCGTGCTTAAGTGTTAGCCACTGGAAATATGCACCTGAAACGCACCTCTGAAGCTCAAGAAGGTCATCGATAACCTGCTTCGGAACTGCACCTTGTTGGCGCAGCTGGAAGGAAGCAATCCCCAACTTCCGACGAATATTCACATTTTCTATGCCCTTAACCGCGTATTCACCTACAGCCATAATTGCTCGACTGGACAGGGTGCCGAGACCTACGGTAGTCCCTGAGCGAACCGAAGGTGTGCCAGTGAGAGAGATGAGCTCCGCTTCTTCGGCAATTGTGGTTAGGTTTGTGAGCCTGTCGAAAGGATCCATGATAAGGATATAGTGCTACTGAATGGACGTCCTATAACCGCAAAAAGGAGCACATGGCACAGTCTATGGCGCAGGGGATCTGTCTCGTCAGTTGTGGAAGAAGACGTTCTGAGTGAAAGAAAAAAAATGTGGTAGAAGTACTGTACATATAACGTATGGAGGCCAAGCACCTTCATGATTCGGCGCTTTGCAACAGAGCTTTCGGCTAATAGTCACATAGCCGCATTCCAAAACGATGTCAACAAACAGAATGCAGTGCTGCTCAGCCAACCCCCAGCTCTTGTCCGTTAGCGAAGCAACTCTGACGGTACCAACCTGAGACGATTTGGAAGAGCTGTGATTTTGAATGTAGCTGGAAAAGCATGCCTCTGTGCCTATACGCATCTGCAGTGTAGGCCCCACGATGATCAAGAGGAGACGAGGATCTTGTCTTTCGACCACAGGTTTGAGCTCGTATGATGACTCAATCTACCTCGGCAAACACCTTGCTACCAGCTGGGGTTCACATCCCACAAGCCTAGTCGTGGATATCATAATATGACTTGATTCGTAACGCCGAGCATAGAAGTTAACGGTGCTTCGACGTATATTTTGTAGCCCTCATCGATTTCAAGATAACTAATTTGCACTGTGCCTATAGAGACTGTGCAAACGTACAAGGGCACCATCTATGTCAACTCCCTTAGTCGCCTGCGTAACGACTCTTCCTCCTTCTTTGCATCGTTCAACAAGTCAAGTATGGTGAGCTTATAGGCCTCCGTTGTCATCCATCCATGACTGGGATCGTATAACCAAGGAATTCCATTGATGTCAACTGATTCCAACGTAGGACATGCTTTGTGCCAGTGGACCGGAAGATCCTTTGTGACTAGATAATCATTGAGAGCATCGTGTAATTGAGATGAGTATATCGACATTTTCTTGAGGCCTTTGAAGTTGCAAAGGACTTCGTCAAAGGCGTTGACGAATGCCTGTGTGGATAATCAGAGTGCTATTACGGACCATCAGGGAGACCGAACTAACGGCGCTTATGAACCCCCTGGCAGCAAAGAGGCCAAACGACTGCAAGCCCGGCAACTCGTCAGGAATAACATTTAGAGTTTCCAGCATATGAGGGACTTCAAGATCGGTCAGGTCTGCCGTCACAAACAGTTCTGCGATTGGGCTAGAAGAGTGTGCGAGAACTTTGCATGTGAGAGCAAGTATTTCTGGGGTGAACCCTTCGGGTGAAGGAAAGCTGACGTCGACAGCCTCCAAAGGTCTCCCTGGAACAAGCGCAGATAACGATACTACTGATCCTAGGGCGCGTCGCAATGAAGGCAGGACGTCTGGCGTAACCTCCGCGGCACCATGTCGAATGCTGAACACCCAGATATTGGTAACGGTGTTTTGTTCTCGCAGCCAGTCTACGAGCTGCTGATCCCAATCGCAAGCTACTCGTAGGGTTGTCAATCTGAATGGACAACCCATCAGGTACGAAGCGTACTGCCCAATGATGTACACCCTTAGATCAATAAGGTTGTGCATATTGTGCAAAGCTCTAGACATGAGCTGGAAGAAGGATATTGTCCACGTAACCAGACTGTAGGACCTGAGATCGGAAATGGTGCACATTCGTGTGATAGCTGCCAGCGCTGGGCGTTTTGAGAGAACTTTGAGCAACAAAACGGTGCTCCGAGGAGGCAAGGGCGGAATCACGCGATAGAGGCGTGCATATGAGATAGATTGGATGTTCCTGTTAACGAGAGCGAGTGACGGGAGATCATGATGGGAGAGGTAAGAGATAATTTCGTCGAGAAGTTCTTGGGGTAGAACAGGTGGCATTCTACCGCAGAGTATCTGACAGAGAGAAAATTCAAGGTAAATAATGAGTATCATCAGGCTTTTGAAGACTTGCCTTGGTCTGTTGTGAACTGCTTCAGGAGTACAAATCGAATGACTGTTCCGATCCCCTAGTCCTTGATCGGTTTCCAGTGGTCCTCATCAGGAAAGGTGACACTCCACGTGCATTAAATTTCAAGGTTTTACTCGTATGGGTCACGGGGACACTCCCTTAGGACAAAATCGGTCGCTCCCACTATCCACGCACTTGGAACACTTCTGTTACGAGTCACCGGGCATTATCTATTATTCGGTTATTTACATTGTGGCGCCCAAAGGTCAGCGACCATAGTCTCGCCATGTGGAACAGCCACCCAGATAAAAAGCTACCTCAGTCCTCACTATGCCTGCAAGGGTTGAGCCTGCTGCTCTACCTATTGCTCCCGCAGGATGCTCAGGATGCTTTGTCGTATCCCTTTCATTCTTATACCGACTCTCAGTCTGTTCCCGTTTTCTTTGACACGGGCTGCGCCACAGGGTTTTCCTAGTTCTGGAAATGGTCTGTGGTATCGAACGCCTGGGTCTTCTTGGTCGAAAGAATGGTTACCGATCGGCAATGGCTATCTTGCAGGTACTTGTTATCCACTCATAGGTTCATGCATATGGTAGTGACAATTGTATAAGCATGCTGAATACTTGCAGACGGGCACATGTCGCATGGGTCCAGACCCTAGGACGTCTGTCATCGATGCGAATCTCAGAGTTCATGGAACTGCTGGACTACGAGTTATCGATACTTCTATTTTCCCAGATAATGTCTCCGGCCATCCTGCCGCTCCTGTTGTTGCAGTGGCAGAAAAGGCAGCCGATATGATTAAGGAGAGCTGGAGGTTGTGAGCGACCGGATGGTGATATTCTTGAACTCACATCATTTCCGGGCTGAATGTGTTACATCCACGCGTTTGTTTTTGCAAGCCGCCTCGGCGTCGATGATGAGCACCCGTCTGAGATAAAAGCAGAAATCCCTAGATAAAATCCACAATATGAAAGGCGCCGACGCAGTCTACCAAAAATTAAACGAGTCCGACGCAAGGGTCCACATCGCTCGGCTCGCTTTCAACTCCGCAGCGTACTTGTAACTCGGCAACGCAACGACCTGCTGAGTCCAGAAATATTTAGGACTAAACCTCTGCATCTCCGTATACTCCCAATACTCCGGAAACCAGCCTGAAAATTCCCAGTCAAGGATGGCTGCGAGGCGCCCGTCACGGATGAGGATATTGTGAGGGAGGAGATCGCCATGAGTAAATACGACTCGGTGGTTGGCACTCAGTGTATTCATGACTTCCGCATCGCCCAACACCTCCTCGACGGGTTCATGTACCCAGCGCTGAGATTGCTTGTATTGTATGTAGTCGTGATTGAAGGCAAGTGAATTTGGGTAAGGACCATTCCGACCTCCTACGATTCGAGCACCATGAACTCTGCCGCCAAGAACAGAGCATATTCGAGATCCCCAGGGGCTGGAATAGCGACGCATCACGGCAAGACAACTGTCAATATCGGACATGATGGATGCAAGTTGGGAGGGCTCAAGAGACTTATGGCAATCATTAAGGATTTGTCCAGGAATGCGTGTCATCAGAATTGACCCATACATGAAGTTTCGCTTTATCGAGGGTTTCCATACCTCACGTTCTCCATATGATAGGACTCTAGGAACTGGTAAGCCGATTGAGTGGGCAAAAGACTGGGCGACCGCCTCATCCTCCCGAACGGCATGGGAGTATTTGAGGACAAGGTTGAAAGGAAGATGGTAGATACAAGACTGCCGCGGTAGGCCACACCGTGGATGAAACCGTTAAGTCGAGTGATGACGGTCCATCGGCGTTGCGGAGCTGGTGGCAGCAGGGACTGTGAGGAAGTGTGAGCCAACCTCAGGCAACTGAGAAAGCGCGACTTGGGGTATTCTCTGCGCTCATATGGCACATTTCGGAGCCGGACGATTCAACCAGCCTCAGCAACGCGAAGGGAGAGAGTGAAGCGAACGAATGCCGAAAGGTATATAGAAGGCTAAGCGGCCATGGGACATGATGTGGGGTGATAAGATTAGATAGACGCGTATCATGTTTGTCCAATGCTTGCTTGCGGTGACCTGCCTACTTGACTGTTAACTTATGCCACCATCCACTTCTCTTTCACCGAGGCGGAGGCGTGTCAGAAGACAAGTCTCAGCGTCAGCTACTTCTGGGACGAAATGGGGAACAAAAGCGTTTCCATTCAATACTCTGTCCGGCAAGCGTAGGCAGCATCGAAGAGACTCCTCACCATCGCAGTCAAGCACTACTTACACTTTCTCACCTGAACTTCAAAGCGAAGTATCAGATGTTGAGGAAGGGCACATGCGCGCATTTAGTGCCGACGATACCTTGGTCTCTCATAGAGAATCGTTTCCAGTTTCGCCTAAACACGCTCCGTTAGCCTATGCATCACTTCCGCCAACGCCAATATCTACCTCTCCGCCTCGCGAGTCTACCCCTCCGCCTTCAACACCTAGGTCAGACAGTCGGAGGGATTATGTTACCTCTCATGAACCACCTTTCTCTCTATGGGACTACTTGCGTGAGGAGCTCCTTGCAACCGATTTCGACTCACACCAGGAACTCAAATGGGAGAGAGTTAGCAACTTTATCAATATGCCTGTTGCGTTGGAGAAGGTTCGCAACCTTATATCACTTATTATCTCTTTGGCCTGTCTGATTCCTTCAAGATTTTCTTCATCGGCTTCATCCTGTGTTTTGATTCGTTCCTCTACACATTCACTATTCTTCCCATCCGCTTCGCACTGGCCTTAGGTCGGCTACTTCTCAACACGGTAACCCGCAGCTCCAATGCACTACCGCCTTCTCAGAAAGCCGACATTCTGAGGGCACTACTTCTAGTCATTTCAGTTGTCATACTTAGTCCTCTGACCGATGCGAGTAAAATATACCACTCCATTCGCGGTCAAGATACCATCAAACTGTATGTCATCTTCAACGCACTTGAAGTACGCTTGCCTCGTCTTGCTGGTTGTGCAATAGTACTGAGACCATTTGCTTACTCTAATTCTTCCTGTGATTTAGATTGCGGACCGGCTTTGTGCTTCCATAGGGCAGGATATCATAGACTGTCTCTTCTCGAGGTCAACATTAGAAGTCATCTCACATAGAAAGGCCCCTACGTCGCATACCTTAAAGCCGCTGCTTTACTTCTTACTCGCGCTCATCTACAACGGTATGTCCTGCGCAATTAAATGTCCAGTACAAAATATTCACGTGCTCAGTTTCCCATACATTGGTCATGGTCTACCAGATGATTTCCCTCAATGTCGCGGTGAACTCATATGACCACGCGCTCCTCACACTTCTAGTGTCCAACCAGTTCGTCGAGATCAAGGGTAGCGTATTTAAGAAGTTCGAAAAGGACAACTTATTCCAAATAACATGTGCAGGTAAACATACTTGAACATCGTCTCGAGATCACCTCAGACTAATAAACATGCAGATATTGTCGAACGTTTTACCCTCTCACTTATGCTCATTATCGTCGCCTTCCGTAACCTCATCGAACTTAGCGGTACAGCCTTCAACTTCAGTGAAGGTTTCGCATTACCAAAGAGTTTTGGGTGGTTCCGAGGTGATAACGTCCTCTGGACAATATCTTATGTCAGTCTTCAAACTCCCAACGTTTACCTCATCCTGATGCCCATATCTGCTTGGTGTGCAGCCTGTGCTAACTGTACTGGTATCCGAAATGTTCGTTGACTGGCTCAAGCATGCCTTCATCACCAAGTTCAACCATATTCGACCTTCAGTGTATGAACGATACACAGACGTTCTCTGTCGTGACCTTTCTTCCGGAAGTGCAGTTGGTCGAAAGGGCGCACGCAAGGTTCGTACAGATTTCGAAATCCCTTTCTTTTTTCCTGACTCTGTTCGTAGCATACGTACGTCGACCAATCACCCTTAGTCGCGCGTCGTCTAGGCTTCGCATCGGTTCCACTTGCAGTGCTAGCCATCCTCATAGGCTCGCAAACCATTACTCTCTTCCTTGCGATGCATTCCGATGATTCATCGCCATGGAACTGGAACTTTTCGGAAATGAGTACTAACGAATTGGTGAATATCGGGAAATGGGTCGCGCTAGCAGTCTTATTTTGGTTTTGGTGAGTTTTTTTATCTCGTCATGCTCATACAAAGTGAAACAGATGGCTGAGTGGTCATTTGTGCGATACACAGTACACTAGTGATCAAGATTATCATTGGTGTACAGCTCCTCAGTTATGCTACGCGACGACGAGCAGGAATGGAAGCTCGTGCAGCTGCGGATGTGGTGAATGACTTTGGGAGAGATCCTATAGGGGAAGGTAAAGAAGAACGAGTACGTTTTTCACCTCATTCTATCGCTCGGTAATATTCATTTATGTACTTGCCTTGGCTCATAGGAGTACAATCGAGACCTCAAGACCATCCTGGATAACAAGCGGGACGACGCAGTACCTGTTGCTGAGATCGGAGAACGCAAACAAGGAGACGGCGGTGGAAAAGTAGATGGTGGCGATAAGGGGGGTAGAGGGGATGGTGGGAAGAAGAGGCTGGAGTTGGAGGAGATTACGAGGTTTACCATGGTCAAGAGGATCTGGTAGACATGATCATTGTCACGATGTCTCTATCAAGTGTGATTTAATAAGCTCGTTAATGAAGGAATGACGACGATGATACAAAAATCAAAAGCAAGCAGTGACATATGCTACAAATAGCAAGGGAAAGAATAAATTATGAAACATAAATGAATGTCGTTATACAGGTCGTTCAAGATCATAATCAGGGAATGAAGTCAATGCAAAACACGCAGTACGAAAAGTCGTAGAAGGTAAATCGCTAATCTTCAAAGGGTCGATTTCACAATCGCTGGTTTCTCGAGGTACTAGACCCACCTAAACCTTTATTCGGAATATTTAAAGGTTTCGTGGTGGGCATAGTCGAGATCATCAACGGCGGTAAAACAGGGAGGGGTTTCTCATCTTTCGCCGCGAATCTCTCCTTCCGCTCCCTCCTCTCCCTTCCATCCTTCCTATCACGACTATCGCGATCACGACTACTCCTTGGTCCGATGCTCAAAGGACTTCCCAAAAGGTTATCAACTTCTGGTACGATAGACTTGCGATTCTCTACTTCGGTGATAGTAGGACGTAAACGAGAAACCTGTTGATGCATCGCCGGCGGTCGTTTAAGGTCATGATAATCGACTTCGACAACTCGGGATCCCGAGGGTCTACGGGGATTGCCATTGGAGTCGTATTTGACTGGACGTTGGACTTCAGGTGGGGGTGAAGAAGGAGGTGACGGTCCAAAAGGATTTGAGAATCCTTTGGCCGGAGGGTGATCATGAGTCCGAGACCTAGGTGGAGACCGAGCTTGAGGTCGATTCTGAGACTCAGGTTGAGCCCGAGCTTGAGATTGAGTACCTAGTTCCGTGTAAGACTTCGCCAGAGTCTCAAGCGGAGACATAGCAGCCAAGTCAGTAGCCTTGATAGCTTTAGCACGCTCCATCTTAGCTTTCACTCTAGCCGCCTCTGCTGCAGTTTGTTCTGGGTTCTCCCATTCAGGGAAAGGGACACCCGAGCTAGTCTTATCTGGAGCCTTGGACGCAGGTTGTTTCGAAGAACTGAAACTAGGAAAGACAGGTTTGAAGACATTGAAGACCACCTGGTCAAGACTTCTCGAGTTGTTACCAGGTGCAGATCTCTTATGCGTTCCAGTAGTTGTAGTAGTCATACTCCCAGTGCCAGCAACAGGAGTAGAAGAAGCGTTAGAAGAAGACAGAGCTCCTATGACTTGTCGGGGCCTCAGTCCTCTAGGAGGTCCTATCCCCCTGGAAGGTCTTGAAGCCTGAGCTTGAGTATCCGTATTGGAGCGGAACAAATCAGCCCTAGGACGTTCTTCCGCAGGATTGGGCAAGTTACTAGAAGAAGCTGTCCGTCGATAGGCGCCGTGTCTCCTGACGGTAGTGGGGCCAGTAGCTGCAACATAGTCTAGCCCATGTTCATTAGCAGCAGAGCTAAAGTTGCGTTCTCGAGCATGATCAGCTCGAGCCTTGTCTTGAGAAGGTCTAGAAAATCCATTTTTCGCATCACGCTCTTGACTGCGTTTCGTCATGATGGCTGCAGCTCGGTCTTCAGGTGACATACCAGGAAAGTAGTCATCCTTGGTGAGAGGTTTAGGCTCCTCCTTGAGACGATCACGAGGTAAGGACTCGATCAAGGGGTATCGAATGGCATTTTTGTTGACTTGGTTGTCAGGGCCAGTGCGGATGCGGTCGATACTAGGGGATCGCTTGTGCGATCGAGAAGTTTCTTTCTTCTGGCTTCTACGGGTCCAGTGATACTCATGTAATGAGTGGGTATGTTGTGGCAGACGCGAAGAAGACTTACGAATTGCCAAAAAGGTCATTTGAAAGTTTGCGGATGCGCTGCATCGTGAAAGTATATAGTGGTATGTGGGGACTTAGAGATGTGGATATGGTTGAGTGGCAAGGGGGAACGAGAATATGTGCGAGAGTGGCCGGGTTGGGGCGTCCAATTTATGCATTTTGGAATGCCAACCCACGACATGGTCATAGCGCCGAGGGCCACAATGAAGGTCAAAGAGAGGCCAAAGTGATCGACAAGAGTTTGACATTATGCTTTGACCGGCTATAATCGGTCTGGGCCTGAGGATAACAACGTACTTAGACACACATGACAAAGTCGAGGTTCCAGACAGAGGGTCCATGAACAGATATGGATGCGAATTCTAGGAAAGGTTTAGCGTAGGCTCAGACATGCGAGTGAGCGGTTCCGACCGATATGCGAATGATATGGCCAAGAAAACCGACGTTACATCCGCAGGCAGAGCGATACAAGAAGGGCACGTTCTATTGTGCAAACCTGTGCGACCGAACTTGGACAGTTTCTAGATCGAGAAAGATTCTGCGGATAAATCGAAAACGGAGACGAGCGCTTGACTGATTGCACTGTGTTTCGCAGGAAACACGACGACCAGAATGTACTCAGCACTCATTAATTACGTCCAGACTGCGTCCATCAATGCCAACCAGGGCGTGTATTATTTCTGGGGTTCCACGGAGCGACATGGAGAAGATCCTCCGCATGTGACGTCACTTTCATGCAGCGTTCCTCGGTTTGCCCAGCCGCAGTCATAAACCGAGCTCTACCCGCGCTTTCCGCATCCCCCTCCCCTCCACCCACGACTACTTAGTCTCCGTACGTCCCCCTCACTTTTGGTGAACGCCACTCATCTCACCAACATCCACAGTTAACGACCGTAACGAGTTCAAGATCGCAATCATGGGCGCCGGAGCTGCTGCACCAGGGCTCTTTTTCACCTTCGCTGCTATGGTCCTCCTCATCTTCGTACGTACCAGTCCTCTATTCCACCTCATTCTTCCATTCATTGCTCTTCCTTAGGCCTCCGTTTCCGTTCCAACATGGGATAGCATTTACTTTCTCAGCGCCGATGCTGGTGGCGGCGAAACACGTTTCGGTGTATTCGGTTACACAGATTCCTCAACCCGAGTTGGCTGGTTCTTCCCATCAGACCTTGCGTTCGTCTCGCTGCCACCATACTCCCATGAACGTTCCACTGACTACCTGCCTTTCCCACAGTGACAGCAGACTCAATGGCACTCTATTCCACAACTTGACATTTGTTCTCATTCTTATTCCTATCTGTGCGTATTCTATGAGTTTCCGTGTACTTGCGTCTAACGTTGATCATTTCAGCCGCCGGTCTCTCTGGAATTGCTTTCCTCTTTGGTCTCTGCGGTTTCGCATATCACCGTGCTGGAACCGTGTTCATGACCCTCGTCAGCGCCCTCGCCCTCCTCGTCACCCTCGTCGCTTGGGTCATCGAGATGGTTCTCTTCGGCGTTGCTCGTGACCGCATTCGAGACCGTGGCCTCGAGGCAAACTTTGGAAATGCCAATTGGCTCGTGCTTGGTGCTTTTATTGCGCTTATATGCGCCTTCTTTGCTAGTGCATGTGGTATCTTTGGAAGCTACCGTTCCAGAAGGGCTGCATACTAAACGCAAATGCCGAGATGTGACGAGAAAAGGTGTCGGCCGAGTGAAAAGATGACGACCGTATATTTACCCCCAGATACCAAACTCTACTTATGACCCTGATTTCGCTGATGACCCTTTCGGACGATCTTACTTTATATCCTTTCTAGTTCTCCTTGTATGCTTGCAACTCTATCCTGTACCAATAGATTCTCTGCTGATCCGCCATCGTATTGCGTACGTTTATTCAAGCGTGTTTTTTTCCTGATGTCTCCCAATTATGTCAAGTTTTGAACGAAGGGTGTTCGATTCCCACGGTCAGAATTGCAATCTATGCAGGCCAATCACTTACAGCATCTTCATGTTACATACAGGCGGACAGCTAGAGGCGAGAACGTAACCTCACTCTTCCGGCTTGCCATGGGACCTTCACAGTATGCGCGGCCCCCATGTAACAGCCGGACAAGCCAAGCCTGGGAGGAGCGTTCCACACAAAGTTCGCGAAGCGTATTAGAGTCACAAAGAACTTCTTGCGCAGCGGCGGCAGTGGTACTACAGCCAACTACCTCCATGCATCGCGGGATTCAAATATAGAATACTAGCATAAGGCAGGCTTGCTGATCCAAGAATTGGCCCGACAGGTGGTCGACGACACGAACTTGCCCCACAATCAGTATAATGGATTCTTCTTCCAGTCAGACTAGCACGTAGCGGGTGTGTGAAGTATCAGTCCAGTCACCAGTAAAGAAAACCATCCGACTGGGACACGTTTCGTATGAGCTCATGAGTGGGCTGTGATACTTTGGTTTGCAGTTATTGAGTTAATTGAGCTTGAATGACACGGACATTGGCCCGCAAGGAGTTACCGCTCAGGTCGGAGTCGGAGATCCGATCGCATAGTCGTTAACTTGAATTGTCTGTCTGCTCTACCTCCTGCGTGCTCAGTCGTTTAGAACAATAATGTCTCATTGTAAAGAAATCAAGAGGCACTAAGTTCATATACAATAACTTAGACGTAATGTCGCATCTCAACTACTAGGCTTTTTGTCCTTGGTGAGAAACTCCTCACCCCACAGACCCGTCTTAAACCGTTCCCGTGCGTTGATCCCTAGCACAGTGGCCGCTGTGATCCACTCTGGGGCAATTTGGAAAATATAGAATAGGGCTTTATCGCTGGTGCTGTTCAGAGAACCAGATTCGAGAGACGTGAGAGAGGTCGTATGAGAGCGCATAATGATGAGGTGGTAGACGCAGATGATATCCTGTATGCACGTTGCCACAGGTCAAGAGGGAATTTGCATACAACACGACTTAAATACTCACCAGGAGACATGTAAGACCTACGACAATCAGAGCAGACGACCGGATAACGTTGCGTGTGTAAAGTATGCTAGAGATCGCGATGCCTTGCACCGCCACAGTTAGTCCAAAAGCCATCCCAGTAGAAGCATATCTACGTAGATGAGGCGGGTTGAACATGAGACCACAGTTCAAAGCGGTGAGACGCATACCTGAGACCCTGTATTAAATTCGCTTGACCCTGGTCCGTCTCAGCCTTGTCGTAGATTGACCCAGAGACGATACCAAGAACCGTCGCCACGAGGTATAGCCAATTTGTCACATCGAAAACCCGCCGATACCACAGCCGATCGTTCAGTCTGTCCTCTTCAGTAACCGCCCTCGGTGCTTCCTCCATGATAATGAAACCATCCGATCCTGACTCGACATGAGTAGCAGGGGAAGAAGAGGATGACGATGAGGGTAATGTGGCGTTGACCAGAAGGGCACGAAGGAAGGTGGTGAGAGCAGTCGCCAGCGAAATGTAGCCAGTTCCCCATGATACCTGCATGTAGCGAGTGAGTGTGCGTGAGGTTCGATCTAGTGCGTTGTGTGACTGTTTAGCTCGTAGAGCCATTGCTACCACCCTGGATATGACGGGGTGAATAAGTATCGATAGATGCTCCGGAACCGTGCAGGAGCCAGAAAAAAACACTCACCGCTCGATGGCGAAAGTGGTCGTCCCAAAGAGGGTCAAAGTTCGCGAGCTCTTAGAGATCCACCGATAGAGAGCCAGGGGTATTAACATTCCATAGAGAATAGCGAAGATGATGGATGGAGCAAAATCCAAGGAGAACGGCACGCCTCCTATAGGCGAAGGAAACCTGAAGGATTGTGAAGACATCAACTAATCACCGACGAAACGGAACAAAATAATTGAGGAAAAGAGAGAAGATGCAAACGAAAGGAGACAGAAAAGGGTACGATAATAGAGTTTTCGAACATGCTTTTCTCGGGTTTTAATACCTGATATTCTAGCGCAGGCGGCTGCGCAGTGAGGTGACGTTTTGTGGGAAAGCTTTGCCAATATGACTGACCGTATGGCATGCCAAGGCATCCCTAGTTTCAAGTAGCATAGTGAACGAAGCAAAGACGTTTTTTGGCTGTGCTCCCGCGCCTGTCCTACCTAATCACGGCTCCAAAAACGAGACGAAAAAAGGATGTGATATGCACAAAATAGAGTACTTTCCTCCGATGCACAGGAGCATCATGGAGAAACACAAACTGCGATAATCCAACGCCAGTGAGAACAATGGTCAACAAGGCGAAGAATTTCGAGGCTTAACCTGCGCTGACAGATTGGAGTGTTAGAGCATGCTGTTCCATGAATGTCAACGAAAGAGCGCACATGGCGATGATGCTATCAATTGAGGGCAGCGGCAATAACCTTGTGACATAGCTAGAAAGAGCTTATTTGGATTTCTGCCCATCTTGCAGGGTGCTCATGTCGAATCGGCGGAGTGATTTAGCTGCGGAGCATTTCATAGTGAATCAACCGTATATTATGGCCATATACTTGTACCGATGCGGTTAAATTTGACAGAATGCAAAGACGAAACGTTGGTAGCAAGTCGTCGAGCTGCTCCTACCAACAGGGGGAAATGGCAGAAGAAAAGCTCGCCACAATCAGCACAGGCATCAGATCACTCCTAAGTACGGAGGAAAGCTGCAAGCGATGGAGCCTTTGAACCTTCAATTTGACTGGATTCCGCGGATGCTCGACAATGGCTAACGCTCATCGTGGATGAGCGTCGGCACGGCACGCCCAGAGAAGGGTCAGGAGGAGACGCTTCATAATTCTATGGAATAGTAGTCTGTTCGGAAGTTGAGACCGCCGTGAAATGAAGACACTTGACCGAAAGCTACATGCTTGCGCGATATTTCGAGATGACAATAGTACTGCGATCTAATACTTCGAAGACCATTTAACACCTCCCTTTTGCAAAGTCGCAGGCGACGTCAGAGGGAGCCACTTGAAGTGCACATAAATTGGAGGCACAAAGCATCGAGAATGGAGGCAAAGCAGGATTCTCAATGAGGACGAACGTTGGGGAGCGAGGAGTACCCAAAGTGGGCGCCTGGACGGAAATGGGATGCGCGCTTGGAGGAGGACACCGACTCTGTCTCTGCCGACCAAGACCCATGGCACCAGCTCGCACTTCTACCCGTCGCAGCCACCGCGACCACACATCCCAGTCTCTTGCTGTTCACCATGATCCTCAACAACATCCCCAGGTCGAGCAGGAGCCCAATGGTGATCTCTTTCTCGACCCCATGATGGGGACCCCGCTCTCCCTGTATGTCGACAAGGACGTCGAAAACCGAGACCAGATCGTGGACCTCATCACGGTATGCTGCTAACCTTTACGCGATATTTCTCTTGTTTGCGGTCTTGAACTGTGCTATACTTTGTGTTCGACCATTGACACGTTGTGGTCACATCCGATCACCTTACTGACGTAGTCTTTTGCAGAAAAACGGGGGTGTGGTCTCTCCAGGCTACAGTGGTGTAGTTCACATATTGGGTTCGCAATGGGATACATGCATCTCATTTGATTATATACTAAATTGAACCCGGTCGCTTTTATAGTCGATCCGCACAAAGAGTCGGGGCAGAACCTGTATCGTCAATATGTTGGCAAGAAGACCAAGATTGTTCTCGACGCGAATTGGGTAATAGAGTGCGTCAAAGCTGGCGAACTACAGACATATCAGACGAATTGGGCTGGTTGCAAGGTTACGGGTAATGAGCAGTAAGTGACGAGCTGCTTCTTTTCTGTGCGGGTTACTTAGCATCTCTTCCAGGGTCATTCCTCCCGCAAGCGCTGTTGCTTCGACAAGTCAAGCTGGACCATCCAACGTCCATATGGCTTCGGTCATGCCTGAACAAATGGTTCAGGCTGTTGCGCCGCCTCCTCCTATGATGCGACAACCGACACACACGCATGCTCTAGCTCAAGCTGCAATGCCTGCTCCAACGACAGAACAGCTTGTACAACACCAGCAAGCGGCATATGGTTACGCACTTTACCCTCATGGTGCAATGCACCCCTCAACATCAGCACCTCCTCAATCATGGCAAACTCCTAACGGCATTGCGCCGCAACAGACACATATGGCCCCTGCAGCCCATATGATGCCACGGCACCCTCATGAATATCAAGACCAGCAACAAGCAGCTTGGGATCCATATCATCATCACCACGCTGCTCCTCCCCAGCAAATTGTTACCAATGTTCCTCAGGAGTACGACTATAGGTATCGCAATGAGCCACCGAATTGGGTTGCTACTGCAAGTGAATATTATGACCAACAGGTAAACGGTCTGACAATATATTGCATTTATTTTTTCTCAACTTTTTGTTCTAGTATGATCACCCATACCCCGAACCCACTTTTGTAGAAGAGGCTGGACCTTCGAACGCAGAACCATCAACATCAGGAGGGGAGGCAGCAGCACCCGAGCCGTCTAGAGGACGTAAACGTACACGCACTCAGGTACTTTCCGTTTCCCCAATCCTCTGTGAACTGTCACTCAACCATCTATGCAGCCGCAACCTGCCCCGCCGGCTGCCACACTAGTCGTCAACCGTCGGAATGCACCAGCACGTTCACCTACACCTCCCACACGAGTGATCAAGAGTACTTTCGGAGGGAACTTGTTCACGTCGGATGACATTGAATACTTGAAGAAGTACATCGACTACTGTCAAGAACAAGGTCTCGTTCTCAGGTAGATATTCAGATGCTTTCACCAGAAACAACTTCTTGACAAGTCTTTTCCAGTTTACGAGAGATATGTGAACGGGTTGCTGTGAAAGCTCCTCACCACACGTATGCCATCTACATCTACTTCACAACGTTGGCATGTGATTGACGGTGACCACCTATAGATTTTATTCGTGGAGGCGCTATTGCAATAAGCATCAGATTCGATTGGGGGGATATGCAATGGATGTCGGCAATGGTTCAGAACCCCCGGAAGTGGAAATTGGTGGCGGTAGCGGTCCTCCTGATTCAGAGACTCTTCAACAGTTGCCAACACCTGGCGTCGGGCCTAGTACTATCGCTGTTGCACGACAAGCGGCACAGGCTGATGAGGGTCGCGCACGGTCCCCAACTCCCCCAAGAGCGTTGTTTCGAAGCACTACAGGGAAAGGTGTGGCGTTTACGGACGAAGATGTCATATTCCTCGTGCGATTCTTGGAGTACAGGAATAGGACGCATGGTGGGAAGGTTGACATGGTAGCATTCTGGAAAGATGTCGCTGCGAAGGTGGGTTTGAATTCCTCTTTCAATTACACTTTTGCGGTTATTGACCGGGGATACGATAGGCTCCCCACCATTCCCGCGCGTCGTGGATGAAGTTCTACCGAAGACACAAGCACGAATTGCATCATACGGAAGGTGATGAACCGTTGCCTCCGCCACCAGAGAAGAAAATGCGGTATAGCAAGATGGACGATGTGTTATTGGCAAAATATTTCTACGACAAGCCGGAAGGAACATCGGATAAGATATTCCAGCAGTTCGCGCGAGAGGTACATCATTCTTGGCTATCGCATTTGATATGGCTCACACTCACCCTCACTTTATTCGTTCAATAGCATCCCCACCACCCTTGGAAGGGTTGGCAGGAACATCACCGTATCCATAAGGCGAAGATCGACCACCTCATCACGAAGCTCGTGAGCGGAGAGAACATAGATGCAGAGGGCGAAGAATGACCGAGTTCATGGACCTATTACATACGCAATTGTCTATCATTATTACTCGCACGTTTCTTTAGATTCCACTGCAATTGACTGCATTGCGATTTTGTCGCGATACATACGGTGGCGTGGAGTGCACACCATGATTCATAATGTTGCTGGCAATAGTCACCACATGTGCTGCCGGTCCCTGTTTGGTGCTGTTTGGCATCAGTCTTGTGGTATTTTCGCTTATTGGAGAACCAGAACGACTTCACTCTTACATCGTTCCTTTCTTGGTTCCTTCATTTTCCATGACAATGACCTAGTAGATGAGACCCAAGCTTTATTGCTTGTATCTGCTAACAAACTGAAGATCGAGAAGGCTGAAAGTCCTTTTAATGGCCTGCATTCCCGTTTGCCATCAGTGATCTCTGCGTCAAGGTGTACTTGGGAATCCTTAGAGATTGCGGTCAACGTAAGACGATAAGTTGTGTCAGCCACAGACCCGAAAGTGTCGAGAGCTGACAGGCTGCGACTGGTATTTTGGAATGAATGGAATTAAAATTGGCTGTTCACAACTCAGCGGTGAGTTTATATTCAGCTTTCGGTGCTTATCAATTACATACAGTATGTTCAGGCAATAATGAACATATGTACCCAAGTAATTATGCTGTGGTTTGACAACGACGCTCCACTCTAACTGAGTCATGGCACGGGGACCATTCTTCCACCCTTGGAGATATCCATTAATATGACACAGAAAATCCGACGGGAAAGGGAGTTTCTCAGCTCAGCGGCCGCATCAAAGGCGAGCTGTTGAACCTTCATCTCACAATTCGTATTTCGCGTTCAGAGTGGGACGTCGGTGTGTTGAGTTTGACTCACGCGCGGGCGGCGCTCTTCATTCGACCTCTAATAGCGGGAGCTTCAATGCGGTGAAATCGGTGTGTTGTGTCCTGTCCTTCGTCCTTTGACGGCTTCGCTCATCTAATGTCTGCTCACTTGTATTCTCGTGACTCGATAGGCTAAAAATACATCATATTATGGGACGAATAAGTATCTTCTTTGAGGCGGGAGAACGGGTCGGGGGCATTCGCATCTTATGTAGCGCAGTAGGTGTTTCTACGCGACTTAGCTGAATATATATGCTCTTCAGATTCCGGATTGAAGCACTACTTACTATACTACATAGAGCTCGACTACATTTATGACGCACTGGCGCTTGTAGTATATTAACAGCGATCGGCGATCACTCAGACTGCGGTTAACTTTGAACCTTTCCCTCAGTCTTTCACCAGCCATGAGCGCCACACCTCTCGAATATCTGCTCCTAGACCAAGTAGAGCAAGTCAGTCCACTCATACCACTGCCTCAAACAGCTAAAAACTAATATCAAGAACAGTTCTATAGAGATGGGTACATATATCCCTCGACACTGGCAGGTCCGTCAACACCAGGCTAACACTCCCATGCAGATACCTACGCATACCCGGATTCTTGAGTGTCGAGGAGACAGAGGCACTACTCACACGTGCAAAGCAACTTCTTGAGAACTTTAGTCTGGAGGACCATCCTCTGGTGCGTCTGCGAGCTGACACCTTGGAGAGTGGCTAACTGTAGAGATAGACAAAGTTCACCACAGGCGACGACAATCATGTTGGTGATGACTACTTTTTGACTTCTGGGGACAAGATTCGATACTTTTTGGAAGAGGATGCGCTCGACAACAATGGGAAACTGAACAGAGAGAAACAGAAGGCTGTGAACAAGATCGGGCATGGTGAGTAGAGCCACTGCTAGACCTCCCCGAGTATCCTTGTCATTGTGTTGATATATGTAGGCCTACACGAGCTTGACCCTGTCTTTCGAGAAGTGACGTTGAACAATCCTAAGATCAAAGCAGTCGCTCGAGACTTACGATTCCATCATGATCCCGTGGGTACGCCACATCCTTAATTCCATCATTCCCTCTGCTGGAATAAACACAATTACTTTAGCGTTACAGTCCATGGTGATTTGCAAGCAAACTCACATCGGCGGGGAGGGTAAGCATCTGCGAGTTAACAATAAATGAAATCACTTATCTGCATTCGCTACATGCAGTACCAGAACATAATGATTCGTACGTCGCCTTACACCCGCCGTTGACTATATTTAATGAGCACACTAATGTGGTCCATCCATGATCAAGGACCTTCCTCGTAAGCATTCCCATCCTTTCGTAGTCCATACGCTCACTCCCCTGCGCCATACAGTACACAGACCCGCCATCAGCCCTAGGCTGCTGGATAGCTCTAGAGAAATGTACGCCTGAAAACGGAGCTCTATCATTCCTCCCAGGTTCCCACCTTACCGCACCCATTACCAAACGATTTGTTCGGTTACCAACAGGAGGGACAGGATTCGAGGAGTTGATACCTCCAGAACAAGTCCCTCCGAAACCTGAAGGGAAGTATATCTTGGAGGCTTGTTCTCCCGGTGCGTGACCCAATAAAGGAATTGAGAATCGACTAGGCTGATGTTTATGGGTTTAAAGGCGACCTCGTATTGATCCATGGTTCAGTCCTTCACAAATCAGAGAAGAACACGAGCCCATACACCCGTTTTGCATACACATTCCATATGATCGAGTCCCCGCCTTATGCCAAATACGATGAGAAGAATTGGCTCCAACCTACACCTAAGATGCCGTTTTCCAAAATTTTGGATATCCCCAACCCAGAGGTCTTCGCAGGCTAATTGTACGAGACGGTGGAACATGTCAATCATGAGATTGAAGGTGTACGGGAGGGATGAGTTTAGAGTCTTCGCATGGGAGGAAGTGTGACATTCCTCGTATCCAAGTTGATGTAGTTTGAAATTGTACCATGTAGGTTCTAGATTGGATTTGTACATATAGCTAGTGTATTTCTACCGAAACGTGTCTATAGGACTTCAACTTTTGCTGCCTTTTCCATTTTCTCGGGCGTAAGTTTCCCGAGCTCGTCGATAAGGGCAGGGAGGAACGTCCCACTGCCTTTGACGTCTTCCCTAGCCGCAGCGAATTCCGAAGCTATAGTCAGTGCTAAAACCCTACCAAAACACAAAACACAAGACATCCAGTCTCAGCGTGACTTGCATTCGTCAAGACGTGAGAGTGAAAACGAAGGCGACGTACCCTCCAGCAGCAGCAATCAACATATCACCTCTTGCTAACCTCCCGTCATCCTCTCCTCCCACACGCTCGGCGTGTTCTCGCAAACTGACACCAGCACAAAACGTCGCCACACAAGTGCCTACCATACACCCAGAACCCGTGATCTCGCCCAAAAGTGGGTGTCCGTTGGAGAGTTTGAGGACGATGTAGCCGTCGGAGATATAGTCGGTGGTACCGGTCAGTGCGATTATGCAGCCTAGGATTGGAGGGAAAGAGTGAATGCAAATGTAAAACGTTAGACATTCGGAAAGGGACGTGGCGGGAGAAGGAAAAAAATACGCGAGAGAGCAGAAGGATGATATAAGATCCTGGAAAGAAAACTAGGAGATGGGACATACGTTCTTTTCTTGCAAGACTCCGGACAAACTCAGCAGGATCAGCGAACCCGTTCCCGACACTATCCACTCCTCTTGCCTGGACCTAATAATTTCATGTCAAAATAATCATATATCAATATACATTATTTTCCTCCCGAGTCAAAACACCATCGTAGAAACCGCACTGACTTCGTTGGAGTTAGCCAACGCAGCAAGCTCGCCTGCGTTTCCTTTGATGACGGTTGCTTGCCATTCATTGAGTAGCTCTAAGTACGCAGCGTCAAGGGTGTTATGGTATGATAGAAGCCATCAGCAACAGATAGACGTGGGACGGGAGGGAATGCAAATGGTAATGCGGGTACCGACCTTGAGCGCATGTTTTACGATACTGGGTCGCACCTACCCCAACAGGGTCAAACACGATTGGTTTCCTGTTGATATTTGCGTTTCGGCCTGCAGAATACCCATACAATCAGGTCCATAATGATCTCGGAGATATATTGTGACGAGGAACGTACCGGCAGCGAGCATACCAGCCAAGCTCTGGATGGTGCCAAAGTTGACGAGAAGCGCACCGGTGACTTTACTAAGGTCTTCCATCTCTTCAGGAGCGGTAGCCATGATAGGCGAACCTCCCAAAGCCAGAGTGGCATTTGCGGATTGAGTGGTCACGACATTGTTAGTGATCTTCGTTCGTCAGCATCCACATTCAATATCCCAAGGTATAAAATGTATTTATGCACTTACCTGATGAACCAAAGGCCCAAATTCCTTGATATCATTCAACGCCTTTCCGACAGCCTTCTTTACACTCTCCGCGTCGTACTCGACGCTCAAGTCTCCGAGCAGTGGATTAGAAAATATGTGCGTCTGCTCTGATCTCGCGCGTTTGAACGCCTTTACGATGGTGACTATCTTGCTTGCGGCTGTGAACGGATCAATGGATGCGACGATATCACTGACGACAGCGACGCCATCTAGAGAGCGGTTCGAAGCGGGAGAGACGGAGCCGTGAAGACAGTGCAGGACGTTAGTGGACTTGATCCCGGCTGATGATCGGACAATGGTCAGTCAATTTATGCTCGATTAATCGACGCTCGGGGATGTCAGAAAAAAGGCCCGGAGCCTGAAGAATGAAGTCCTACCTATTGCAACAGCTTTGACGTCTGAACCCTCCAACTCATCCAACATCGTCCCAATTCCCCTCGGGCCCGTCGTCGGAGCCGTCACATCCTTAGTCTTGGTACCCCAAACGGGACCCAAGCCAACATAATCTACACCTTCCTCTACAGCTTGTCTGACATGTTCTGAGTTATTACACGTTTTACCGATGATGCTGTTTGGAGGGAGGAGGGAACGGGCGATGTCGATTGGCATGTCGGCCTGACCGAGATGCACGCCATCGGCGCCGATAGCGAGGGCGATGTCGATGCGGTCATTGATGAGTAGGGGGACGGAGTATTTATGACATATTTCTAGGGATCGGCGGGCGATTTCGAGGAACTGAGGAAGGTGAGATAGAGGGTATAAGAAAGAGGAAGAATCGCACCTTGCCAGTGTCCGTTGCCTTTTCTCGTATTTGGACGAGAGTGACTCCACCACGGATGGACTAGACGCATACGTTTCGCGAGTGATAAAAGGGACTAGGGAGGCAGATATCTACCTCTTCCAGCGATTCGAAGTAGTCCTACAATGACACGGACTAGTTAGCGAACCGCCACAACTTTACTGCACATGTTGTTAGTTTCAGCTTATCAAACGCTTACTTTTCCTGGAGGTAGCAAGTCACGACCGGTGACAAGATACAACGAATAGTCGACATGTGGTTTTGCCATGTCGTAAAATAGTTATACGTTGAACGACGGCAGTGGGGATCGCGAGATGACTCCCGGCCGGTAAGATCGACAAGGATCGGAGTGCCGATCACCATCTTCAGCCACTCACAAGACCAAGTAACAGTGACGTCGATGTCTTTCAGTGGGCACGCCGCTGTCACCGGGTTTCAAACACTTCTTCCTGAGGCCTTGAGGCTCGACGTCGGTGCCTGGTTCCACTTCACAATATTCAAATCACAACAATCCGAATAGATAAGACACCGGAAGGTATGGAATACGAATCAAGAGTGGTTTGGGATCTTTTGGGATTATATATTGCAGTTTGTATCCTTTGGAATTTCAAGAAAATCCGAGATTAATTGCATATATCAAACATGTCCTCGGGCCCAGCTCGTACGTGGTTAGGGACCACACGATGCTATTTGATTGCATATATCACAAAGTATATGTACCTGGTGCGCGGTGGGAGTCAGAGCGACTGTCGGTCAAGATATGTTGTGCCATCACAAATCCGTTCCCATTGCAATCTTCTGACTATCAGCACATAGACGGTCGAGGATATCTAGCGCGGTCTTCAGACGTTCAAACGTTAGCATCTACCATTGGCAAGGCTTAACGAAAGCCCTACTCGGGTCCGAAGAGAACCAGAGATTTCGTCATGTTCGACCCAAGCATAGCCGAAGTCATGAACCGCGAAGGTCTAGTATACTTGGGTACTACATACGCAGAAAGGCAAACGCTCTAGAGAAGCTCCCCGTAATCGCCGCTGTCCGGCATTCATAGAGTTACACTTTAGCTAAGAGCCCGGGAGCTTTCTCAGATTCTGAAGCTTCCCCCATTCCGAAATGCCGGTGGCGTCGAAGAATCAAACCCTTCGCCGGAAAGTATGTCGTGTTGGGAACGCCGGTTGGAGGGGCGACTGGAAGGGAAGAACCTTTGTGATTTGCACAAGCAATAGAGTGTGAGAGAGTTAGGTGGGAAGGTGTGGACCACAGTCATGGGTCGATATAGCTGTAGACGACTGCGTGTTGCAGATGACCTGACAGACTGGAGCGACTGTCGGGGTAGAAAGCTTCGGGAAGCAAAACAGTTGTCAGGATGATATTGCTAAAGGAACGGTATCTGCAGCATTGGACAACAGCAACAAGAACGATCTTACGAGCGATTGTGAACCTATGGACACTCCGTTGCGGGACGGATCAGCCATGTAAGAGAAGGATTGTTGAGAACAGAGAACGTCGAGGAACGAACACTGAGACACGCGGATCAGTATGAAGATCAACCTTGACAAGGGACAGTGACATTGCAGACGGATTGATAGCATACGAAGAGAGGGAAGTGGGCACGAGTGAGGAGGGGACGTCGTAAGAGGAAATTGATGTTTTAGCAGGCCTGAGATGATGATAAACGCGTAGAGTGAACTTGTGGAGAATTTGCGTTCATCAAGCTGACGAGATGAGATGACGTGAAGCCGTGTGACCACCTAGACGACGATGATCAGGGGGCCAGTTCTGGGGAATATATATTTTCTGTACGTCTGGAATGAATCTGGGGGAGGCAAAACAGAAAATATTTGCGTTGGAGATGGCGTGGAGGGTATACCGATGGAGTCCGAAGGGGGCTTGGGAGCAAAGCCCGAGTTCTGGACACGAAAGACGGGCGGCTGGGAAAAAGGTATCAGATGGAAAGCGTGAGGAAATAGGCGGAGTTGGGTGGCGGGATATGCCGGGGGCGTGCAGTGTGAGAGAGTTGGTGGTAGTCGTCTTGGAGTGTGCCCTGGTCTACCCATATCCTGGTCTACCCACCGTCTCTGCCAGTCTCTTTGCTGCTTACTCCGTCTCTCTCTTCTTCATCCTGTCGACCCTCGCGCCAGTCTAGCCATGTCCGCCTCCGCTGGACGCAAAAAGTCCATCATCTCTTCGGCAGGCCCTGTCATCGAAGTTCCCGTTGCAAACAACACTCTTCTCAACAAGGCCGCCTCTCAGTCGACTTCCCTCTACCAGCAATGCTCTGCTCTTCGTGCTCGCTTGATGCGGGTCCAGGACTTTCCTGAATACTTCACTCTCTCTTCAAACAATGACGCCTCTTCCTCTCGCCGCTCTACCGATCCCGTCACTCAGCTCTGGGATTGCTTCGCCCTCGGCGTCCCTCTCTGCTACCTTCTCAATCTCCTACCTCCCCCGATAAATCCCGTTTCTGTCGATACCGCTTCCTTTGATCCTACCAATGACAAGACTAGAAAGCGTGCTATCGCCCAGTTCGCAATGGGTGTTCGTCAGATCGAAGGTTGCCCTACCTTCACCGTGACGGATCTGTGGGACCGGAGTTCTACTGATGGATTCGTCAAGGTGCGTTCCTTGACCATATTCAGGCTCATGTAGATTCCTTACACTGGGCGTTGCTTTAGGTCGTCAACATCGTCTCAACGGTTGTCGATAATATTCCTGACAATCTCTTCACTGAGTCGCCTCCCTCATCACCGCCAACTGAGTTCTCGGCGAAGGACTCGAGCGACTCACTCCCTACGGAGCTCTCGAATGGTGCTGGACCCATGGATCAGCATCCTGGAGCTAACGTAACAAAGGAATTACTGTACACTGAACGCAAATACGTGCAGGATCTGGAAACTATGCAGGTCCGTTTTCAGCTGATTTCTTGTATTTCATCCCATGACTCATAATATCACGCAGTCGTACTCGAATGCGCTTTCACAAAGCAATACGATTGATTTGGACACGATCCATCTACTGTTCCCTAATCTCAACAAGCTGCTCAACTTCCAACGTCGATTTCTTATCAAGATGGAAAGTATCGCTGAATTCCCTTGGATGGAGCGTCGATGGGGCAGTGCCTTCACAGAATTCGTGAGTACATTCCTCCTGCTAATAGCTAGACAAGCTCATGACTGGATCCGGTGCTTCCGTTTGTCGTCTTGTTTGCTTTTGTTTGGCTTTCTGCCATTCTCTCTTCGGACCCTCTCTGGAACAATAGGAAGAAGAATTTGCAGTGTACGAGTCCTATTGTGCCAACTACACCAACGCCAGCGAGATCCTCCTCCAGGAGGAAAATAATCTGATGGTGAGCTTTTTTTCGAGCCCCCGTTTTTCTTTTTCCTACGAAGTGCCCCATATGGAAACTCAACCAAACACCTTTCACAGGCGCTGGATGGCATGCTCAATGTCAAGTCTGAACTTCCGGCGTTCCTCATTAAGCCCGTGCAGCGTGTATGCAAATATCCGTTACTTCTTGACGTGAGTAATGAAACTCTAACCACGCTGGCAAACTCCGTCTGACTGACCTTTTACCATTCCTTCAGTCTCTAATCAAGGCGGTCATGAACACGGAATATGCACATCTCGACGAACTCAAGCAGGGTCTTGCTGCGGCGAAGCGTATCACGGACAAAGTGAACGAGGAGCAAAGGCGGGCAGAGAACAGAGCAACCGTCAAGAACCTCGAAGGTCGTGTGGAAGACTGGAAAGGCCACCATATCTCCAACTTTGGCACCCTCCTCCTCGATGATATCTTTACCGTCACGAAGTCAGACATGGACAGGGAGTACCACGTCTTCTTGTTCGAGAAGATCATCTTGTGCTGCAAGGAGTACATTCCGTCTGCCAACGGCAAGAAGGTGGGCAAGAGCAATTCTATACTCAAGAAGCAAGGCTCTCCGTCGCCTCTCAACCTTTCTGGCCCTAGTGGATCCAAGAAGAAGAACACTCCTTTACTTCTCAAAGGCCGGATCTTCCTTAATAATGTCACTAGCGCGGTTCCCAAAATTAATGCAGGTCAGCATACACATGTCTCATTTTACCCTTTCATTGAATGCTGATGTCATATCCGTTACTAGGTCAATACTCTCTAGCCGTATATTGGAAAGGGGATGATGATCTCGAATTCTTTACCTTACGTTGCCGTAATGAGGAGCAACTGCGACTCTGGGAACATTCACTTGTTCGTCTAATCGCAGACGTCACTGCCCGGCGCACGTCAGACAGAACTGCACAATACCGCGCAGCAATCCCAACGCAATTGCCTAATAGTACCAGCCCTGCGCCAGCCGCACGCCAGGTACCGTTCCAATACGGCGCACCTTCGGAACGCGCCCTCAATGAACGTACAATGTCGATGTTCTCACAAGCTACATCATATAGCGCCCCTCCCTCCTCACATCCTGGCCCCCGAAGCGCACGGTACACCACGTTGTCACACTCATCGCATGCATCGCAGAACTACGATGAACAATCACTAGCGTCGTCTGCTTCAACTGGGCAATTCCATCAGGGACCACAAGGATATCCTCCGCACAATGGTTTCGACGTCGACCCGGAAGATGATTATGAAGACTATCCGCCAGCATCAAGTGTACCTCAGTCAGGTCGTGGAACACCCGTTGGCAGCCGGAAGTCAAATGGTTTGGGAATGGACTCATATCACTATCAGAGACAGAGCCATGGCGTCTCACCTATAGCTATCAGCGCCTTGTCAACGACACCGACTCAAACACCGCTTTCCGGCCGACCATCGATCTCTCGAGCATCTGGTATCTCAGAAGCAAGCTTTGGTCCTGGTGTACCTCAACGACCCAATGCCCTCCGAAGCCAATTCAGTTCCACCAGGCTTCGAGGTGACTTCCGACAAGACGTGCGCTCAAGTGGGCCTAGCCCTCAACCGGGCGCTGCTCACCCAACTCCTGCTCGTTCTCGTAGTGCTAGTCAGCCAAGTGCATATGTGCCGAGACAAGTGCCACCGCCGTTACCAACAACACCATGGGCAGAGCGATCGCAGGGTTCTCATCCGGACAGCAGACGAGGCAGTGGGTCGAGTCAATCGACAGTCCCCGATAGTTCGGATTATTCTCCGCATAGTGGCTCCCCGATCACGCCCTACGGATCGAGCGAATCGTCATTGGCAGGTGCACATGGCCGATCTTCACAACAGCAGCATCATTTCGACAAAGTCGTCACTTCGGCGGCCGAGCAATTATCGTTGTCGGCACCGGTCAAGGTGAAGGTCCACTTCCATGAGGACATCTTTGTGATCCAGGTACCGTCATCAACCGAATACGACGAGCTCGTGGAGCGAGTAGGAAAGAAGATCAGACTTTGTGGACCGAGACGCGATGATGGACCCTTGCGAGTTAAATACCGAGACGAAGATGGCGATCTCGTGTCATTAGGATCGACAGAAGATGTCCAAATGGCATTCGAGTCGTTCCAAGGAAAGCAAGTAACACTATTCGTTCAATGAACACTCCGTCACCCCCACCATCATCTCTGTCTGTCGTCCTACGGCCACATCCTAGTCCCTTTCATCTGTCTATGTCCCGTCATGTGTCATACTCACCCTCGGAGCGCTCTCATTGCTGATTTGGTTCAGGTCTACTACTTCTCTCGTCGACACTATCCTTATAACGTACCAGGAATCCACTGCGCACAATTTTCTTTTTTGACTTGAAGGCAAACAATCTCAATTCTGTATTACGACCTCGATCACGTCTCCTTTGCGCTCGACTCTTTTTCTACCTCCCCTTCTCAAATACTGCCAGACTACTTTATACTCTACAACCGCCCGTCGACTTCCGCCGCCTATTGGGTCTCCTTGCGAGACAATGCCAACTCATGAATCACTCCTTCGCCCTTCCATCTCTTTTCTACGACATGGCACCCTCCTTTTCTCATCCTCTCCTCCTCTCTTACTTCCGTACCGTATATCTCCCCATCATCTAAGTTGTCGGGTTGTTTGTGTGTATGCCCTTTCCGTTTCTCCCCCCTACTTTCCTCTTCAATTCGTGACTTCTCCTTAAGCCCTTATCCCTCATTTACTCCGACTTTGGTGTGTCCCTCACCAGACAGTTGATTCGCGGATTTTCTTTACCTTTTCAAGCCGTAGTCAAGGTTTCACGCAGAGATGGGGTGACGGATCAGTCAAAGTGTTCATATGTTCCTACTTTCCTTTTTCTTTCCGTCTTTTCTTCTTTTCTTTCTGAGTCATTTTCTGATCACCTACCCCGCTGTCGTGTACGATTTTTACTATAGACTCCCTCTGCATGGTATGTTTTAGGCTTCTCTGGAATCATATATTATTCACTCTGGTCATGTGTATATATGTGTGCGTTTGCAATCTCGAACCAAGAATGCAATTTTCGAACTTGGGCATGGTGTGAAGTATAAATTCGTTTCTATCTTTCGTTTTGCGATCTCACAGCGACTTGCTCTTCCGGTGCCCCTTTTTTCGTGTGTCCTGGATGCATCATGTATTCGTCGAAATCAAAGTTATGTCCAATTTCATTATTGTGTTTGAACAATACGTCGGAACTGTCATATTCACTTACTGAACCCGTCGATAATCCCGAAATACGCGGGTTTAATTTGCAGATCCTGTGGAACTACCATTAGCAATACAACACAAATAGTTCTCCATATGCAACTCACATCATCCCAAGGGCAGGCATCGCCCTCACCAGCGAATGATCCAGGAACCCACGAGTACTTATCCGTGAAATCCCAGATCGTAATCCCAATGCAACCCTTCACCTCGTTGCACGCAGAGATGATAGTCTCGTAATCTTTTTTCTGCTGAGCCAGCAGAGCGGGCGTCTCGGGCAATGTCATGCGAATGTCAAGTTCGGTGAGCGCAACCTCTATGCCGAGCTTCGTAAACGCTTCGAGGTTTTCCTTGATGTTCACAGGAAGCTCGCCGACGACCAAGTGTGATTGAATACCGAGACCGTGGATCGGGACGCCTTCCTTCTTCAGAGTTTCGATAAGGTTCTGGTAGGCGGTGGACTTTGGACCGGGACCTTCAATATTGAAGTCATTGGCATAGAGTTTGGCGAAAGGGTCTGCAGCGTGAGCGGCATGGAAAGCAGTGGCAATGTACTTGGTGCCTGACGAGTTGAAGAATACATCTTCACGGAAGGTCCCGTCGTCGTTGATAACCTCTGAGACTATGAATTAGCTTCGAAAGAAAACTTAATCTCCACTGAAATTTACCGTTGATGACATCCCAAGAATCTTATGAAGTGGCATTTAATTCAATCGTGATAAGAATATTCACAAACTCGTTGCACCTACATCTGCGTGGAAAGACCTTAGCTTAGGACACCAACTACTCATGCAAACGGAGGAACTTACATTTGTCCACGGTATCGCCCAACAAGCGTACCACAATGTCGTCGCACGACAGACAAAATCTCAGACTCGGTAAATGTCCCATTGGCAACCCAATCTGGTAGCTGATTGTGCCATACGCAGTTATGTCCTGAGGTTAAACAAGCACTCCAGTTCCCAGTCGGCGGATAAGGTGGGAAAGGGCATACCACGAAGAATTTGACCATGCGTTTTTGCGAATTGGACAATTTGGTCAGCGTCGTCGAACGTGAACTCTCCCGGCGATGGCTCTGTATTCTCCTAGTTGATGATAAGAAACGCTGTACAAATCGATTGAGTATTTGAAACTTAACCCATTTCATACTATTAGCCGCAGTGATCTGCCCAAACATTTTGTTGTTTCGTATAATATCGCGGTACGCAGTATCATTCACGAACTCGACAGTGTTTGTCGCTGTGCCAAAATACAACTTACGATGTTGTTTTGCAATGGTGTTCAGTGGTATCGAGGTTATGTCAGGAGCGCATGCGGCGAGTGAGACGAGTGGCAAGAGGACGAAGAAACTGAGCATGAACATAGTGGCGTTCTGTCTCCTGAAAGGTGAAAAGATGCTGAGCAGAATCCATGAGGAGCGATTTTATACCCATCCGTAATAGATACAATGCAGGCAGCGGACCTCCATAAGAATTGCGCGGTTGGGATCCAAGAGTCCGCAGGCCATAGAAATAGTTCGCGTCCCTTGCCGTAGCATCCCGCTCATGTGTTGATGCGTCCGCTATTAATGCAGGCGGAAAAACATTCTACCTCGTTCAAGAGCGAAGGACGAGGTGTATGTACGACTCATGACCAGACCTAGTCACAGAAGCACGAAAGCGAGCAGTTAGGATGGCGTTCTGGCTTTAAATTGATATAAATTGTCCCACAGTTTTCAAGCCAATTGGTTGCTTTGAGGGATAGCTCTTCTTAAATTAGAACCAATTTTCTACATTCGTGACGGCATGGAAGACGAGTATCATATACCGACGAGGTCGTTCGTGCCAGACCATTGTAAGAAACGATGCCATCTTCCGATGATTTACCGAATTGTAATTCTTAGTACCTGCGCGATGCGGGGAACGTTACTTACAAGATTTATTGGTTGAGAAATCGATGAACTGGTAGCAGTGATTCACATAAGTCGATCTAGCATGTTGCTATGATTTGAGGTTGTACATGGCTATAGTTGTCTGCTGTTGATACGCATTGGTTGACATCAAGAATATGTTCAATACATTTGTCATCGTGAGTACCTCGGGACTGCGATATTTCACTTCCTGAATCCGTCAATAATCCCGAAATACGCGGGTTTGATTTGAAGATTCTATAAAACCACATTAGCGACGCAAATAGTTCTCAATGTGTGACTCACGTCGTCCCAAGGGCAAGCGTTACCCTCCCCAGCGAATGATCTAGGAATCCACGAGTACTTATCCGTGAAATCCCACACCGTAACCCCAATGCACCCCTTCACCTCATTACATGCAGATATAATAGTTTCGTAATCCTTCTTCTGCTGAGCGAGTAAAGAGGGCGTCTCAGGCAATGTCATACGAATGTCAAGTTCAGTGATAGCAACTTCTATGCCGAGCTTCGTAAACGCTTCGAGGTTTTCCTTGATGTTCACAGGAAGCTCGCCGACAACCAAGTGTGATTGAATACCGAGACCCTGAATCGGGACACCTTCCTTCTTCAAGTCTTTGATAAGGTTCCGATAGGCTGTGGACTTTGGACCGGGACCTTCAATATTGAAGTCATTGGCATAGAGTTTGGCGAAAGGGTCTGCAGCGCGGGCGGTGTGAAAGGCAGTTGCGATATATTTGGTGCCTGACGAGTTGAAGAACAGAGTCTCCCGGAAGGTCCCATCATCGTTGATAACCTCTGGAACACTGGATCAGCTTCAACAAAGAACTCGATCTCTACCGAAACTTACCGTTGACGACGTCCCAAGAATCTTATGAAGCACGTTCATTCAAATGTGGTAGAAATGTTCGTGAGCTGATTTGTACTTACAGCTACATGGATCGGACTTGGGTTAGAGTAGCAGTTATTCATGCAAGACGGAAGGAGCTCACATTTGTCCCCGGTAACGTCCAACAAGTGTGCCACAATGTCGTTGCACGACCGATAAGATCTCGGACTCGGTAAATGTTCCATTCAAAACCCAATCTGGGAGATGATTGTGCCATACACAGTTATGTCCTGAGATAAAAATCAAAGACATTCTAATTGCGGACAAGATGAAAACAGGCTTACCGCGAAGAATTTGACCATTTGTCTTCGCGAATTGGACAACTTGGTCAGCGTCGTCAAATGTAAACACTCCTGGAAACGGCTCTGTACTTCCCTAGTTCATTAGAGGGATGATAAACATTACAGAAACTGGTTGAGCCTTTTGAGGACTGACCCATTTCATACTATTAGCAGCCGTGATCTGCCCAAACATTCTGTTGTTTTGTAGGATATCCCGGTACGCAGTATCGTTCACAAACTCGACATTGTTTGTGGCTGATCCAAAATACAACTTACGATGTTGTTTTGCTATGGTATTCAGCGATGGCATCGATGTCACGTTAGGAGCACATACAGCGAGTGCGATGAGCGGGAACAGGACCGATAGGTAGAGCGTGAACATAGCGGTGTTCTATCTCCTGCAAAGTAAGAGACTATGGAGCCTGAACCGTGAGGAGTGATTTTATATGCACCCATGGTGGATACGATGCAGGCAACGGTCCTCCATAAGGATAGCGCGGTTGGCATCCAGGAGTCTGCAGATCATAGAAGTGGTATTCATCCTTGCAAATTTGCCGTAGCATCCCGCTCATGTGGTGATGTGTTCGCTATTAATGCAGTCGGCAGAATATTCTACCTCGTTCAAGAGTAAAAGACGGGGAGCATGTACGACTCATGACCAGACCTAGTCACAGAAGCAAGAAAGTAAGCAGTTAAGTCGGTGTTCTGGCTTTAAATTGATATAAATTGTCTCACAGTAGCAGCTGTCATGTTCTCGAGGATGATCACATTGAGGGATGGTAGCCCTTCCTAAATTGTGGACTAGAGCACTACCATAGCCTTGCACTGAGCGTGAATGGCTCAACATGAGCTCAGGTTCCTCTACGGATTAAGTACATTGCGATTAAACTCTTACATTCGAGGCTGCGTGGAAGACGAGTATATACTGGTGACCGCAAGGTGACCGAGATAGTAGTTCCAGCTCAGTCGATGGAGGGCCGTTAATCAAGTAGGAAATAACGCCATTCTTCCGATGTTTAGCCGAATTGTAATTGACGCGGACCGCGTTCTCTTTGCTCATGATCAACGTTTCATTTCGATCCAGCAGATTGTGCAGGATAACTCAACAACATGTCTGTCAGGACTTACGCCGACACGCTTGCATCTGACATCGAATCGCTCTCCGGCAATGCGCCAAAGGCTTGGTGAGTTTAATGCTGCCCAGCAGGTTCATCGATATCGACACTTCCTTACAACTCTTTGTGCTCAGGAGTCCCTATGGTAAGTAATCGCTATGCGCCTATATCATACCATAATGCTACCGTGCTCCATTTATCTAGGTCTAGATCCAATGGTTTCCGTTCCGAAGCGTCGTAAAACCGAAGGACTGAACGCCCGCTTCGACCGGATGATCGAGACAGTGAATGTGGTACATCGCTCTTCAGTCGATGCAATAAAACAGTCTCGTCGCCGTCGTGCTGCCTCGTCCGCAAGCGGGTCTTCTTCCACTGCTAGTTATGACATACCGAAGACACCAGTAGACACATATCTCGGTCACCATGAAGGAAGATTTGGCCAGAACGTTTCCCTCGCCACCAAAACCCAGCGTTCGTCACCTGAATGGGATGCTGCTGCATCTTTCTTTGGCTCATCATCAGTTGCTCATAAGGAACCTGTTCCCGATTGGCTCTGCGAAACGGTTTCAACCCTCAATAGCGATCATCCGCTTCGCGCGATGATACCCCTACCACATATTATCAATCAAACATTGCAGTCTCCTTTTCGTGCAGAGAGTCACGCTCTTTCTGGTCCTGAATCCATACCCCGTAATGCGGAAATGGACGATCACATATTCGCTTTCAGACCACCAGCTGCCTCGCACCCATCGCAACCTCATCCTCATCATGAAACCATCATGAGTCCATATACGTCCGGACTAGACGTCGCTGGTACTGACCGCTTTGAACCTAGCCTAAATACTGACATGCCCTACCTTGTCGCTGCCAAAAATGTACTGGAAAATTCACTCGATGCTCGCACCTTCATTCCTGCTCCTTTCACAACTCCTGGTCCCGTGTCTGCTCTCTCTAGCTTTTCCACACCCCTGGCTTTACCACACGCTTTGGATCTTGAAACACTAAAGTCCCCTGGTCTTCTTTGGTATCAAAAGGAGCATCCTGACGTCAAACCCTTCTCTGTTCCTGGACCTGTTGTTTCTACTATACCTGCTTCACCAATAATCGCTAATAGCCGCATACAACCACAATCTACTCCATCAGTTCATTCTACACGCTTTCTAGATCGTTCATTTGACTGGGTCCCGGACCAAGATTCCGACCCTGAGCAGTACTCACTCTCTGACATTCTTCGGTCATCCTCTCCTGCCCCTCTGCCCATCGACGTTTCTCGTTCACCTTCTCCCAATGCAAGAGCGCTCGCCTCACAGAATGACTATCCGGCTGATGGACCTGGGTCAGTATATGCGTGCACATTAAATCGTAAAGAAAGCCCCAACGCGTCCTCGAACGGAGGAAATGCCTTTCCGTCCCAATTGCACACGCCTATATCACCAGGAGCACCCCTGGTTACACCGCATCCTCCTAGGGCGCCTGCCTTCAAAGTGTACTTCGACGATCCTGTTGAGGATCCTAGCGACCCATCGTCCGATTCTTTGGAGAGATCTAACTATGAACTTGATTTGGATTATGGTTCCCTGGATTTCAAATGGAAAAGATTCGACCCCGCCGGACTTCCTGAAGAGGTCGGCATACATACGGACGCGCCGATGAACTTCTGGGCAAGACAGGCGGAGGAAAGCGACGACCCAAACCACGTGGGAATGGAACGTCCACTGCCAGTATCTCCCCGTACACCTGACCGTACGTGTGTTGTCGCGTCACCATCAGGTGAACGCCCATTCACCGCCAACGACGCGAGCTCCTCTCAGTTTGATATTGAACGACTTGAACGTAGCGATGTTTCCTGGATTCTTCCGCTGCATGGTGCCAAGGCGATCAAGTCCCGAAACCAGGCGCATATACCAACAAGGGATGATATGGACGAGATCTCTCAGGGTGGCGATGATCGACGCAAGTCTGTGAAGATTATAGAATTCGCTCCTGCGCCCGGAATTTACGTCTCTCCTCTCCGCAACCAGAAGGGCAGAGATGGTATTGAGCCTCAAACGGTTTCGAGATCTGTTGAGGACGCTCCGTCAAAGACCGTTGAGGATGCCAGCGTCTCCAAGGATCCGTGTACACCAATCCAACGGGTTCGGCCAGTAAGCAAAGCTATTTCTTTGTCGTACTCTCGAGTACTGATAAATCTGTAGACTAGTGACCTTAGTGTTGCTGACCGTTCGCGCAAGACTGTCTCAAACTCAAATAAAATCACTCTACACTCTGCTGCACAGCAATCCGAAGTAGGCCAAGGGAAGCAACGCGATCTGAAGGATGAGAATAAGAATGGTGTTGATGATCCTATAGAGGAAATAGTGGGCCCATCGCAAAGTCAAGAGTCGAATGACAGCATTGAATCATGGACAGCCATTGCCTCCTAGTGTCGGAGTCATTTTGAGTACATCTTGTGTACAGTGACTCCCGTTTCTGATCACATCTTGACACAGGCTCCTGGTATGATCATGCTTGGCATCTCTGTTTAAGTGGGTTTGGTCAGGGGGGAAATGGAAAGATTGGATCACTTGACGTATTCTCTTCGTACATCGGTGAGCGGTCTGTCGGCGCTCCCTTCGCGGTGCTCTTTGGCCGATGCGTCGGCTTTCAGATCTACGAGAGTCTAACTGTGGTGATGATGGAAACGTCTGGATTCAGTTGCAGTTGCTTCCAGGCTTGTATTAGCAGGATTTGTGAGATGTGCACATCAATTTTTTTGATTCTACTCGATCATGAGCGAAGGCGCTTTACTGAACGCCTTATGCTTCCGATTGCCTCTCTGATGTTTCGGGAAAGGTTGTAGAGTCCTATAGCCTTCGGGCTCAGCTAGTGTTCACACAGTCTAGCACTTGACCTTCGGCTGGCTGAGGAGCCATTTTACATTTTGCGGCGAGAAGTCGAGTTCCTCTGTATACACATCAAGGGACGTGTCGCGCTCATTGCTCTTGATGATACTTTACATTTCCTTCCCATCATAGATCACGAAATTAGGAACAAACTTGCATGGTTACATTGCATCCTGGGCGCGATATCCTACAGGTTGAGTTGTATGATTCGCACACACTGCCTCACCGTTGGGCTTCACTGGGCTCCTAGGTCGCAACATGTTTCACACTGATGTCTAGAATGGATATACGCTAACCCCGTTCGAAACTTTTGCCAAGCATGCACTGGTTTCACCACCGGTGAGTCCTATAAGAGAGTGTCTCTCATTTCTTGTTATCCCCAGCTGCTCAGCTCCTTCATTCAGCCAATTTTTCTTCGGACTCAGGCACTGGCTGGTAAGTGGAGGATGCAATCCTCATCCTCTCGAAGAGAACAATTCTGATCTCAGTATTTACAGCCGAGCCTTTCTTCGATTCACGTCTTTCACCAGGTTCAAGTTTCTACTTTTCACGATTACTACACAAGTTTCTTCTTAATCCACACAATCCTTACGATATGCGTTACTCTACCGTCATCGCTCTCTCCCTCGTTGCCACGGCTGGTCCTTCGTTGGCTATCCCCCTCTCGTAAGTTGAGTTTGCTTAGATGAATATATTCATTCATTAACGAAACACTGCGGTATTAGTAACAGTGGATATGCTCGCGAACTACTCTCCCGCCAGCCTCAGTCGCAAACTCAAGAAGTTGATCAGTCTGGCGCGTTGCGCCTAGGTGACTTCCTTCCCCTCATTGGTCCAATTGTCGACACCATCTTCGGAAACCAGCGCCGCGATTTGAACGAGATTTCTGCGCGCGAGTTCGTCGACGCCCTTGTAGCCCGTCAGGCTCAAGGCGACGATGAGTCTGGCGCTGGCCTCTTCGATTTCATTCCCATCTTCGGGCCAATCATTGAGAAATTCTTTGGAGGCGGAGCCCAGCGTCGTGATCTCAACGATATTTATGTCCGCGAGTTTGTTGACGCACTCGTTGCCCGCCAGGAACAAAGTGACGAGGAATCCGGTGCCGGCCTCTTCAGTTTTATCCCTTTGCTAGTGAACACTCTTTTCGGCCGAGATCTTAACGAAGTCTCTGCTCGTGAGTTCGTCGATGAACTTGTTGCTCGTCAAGCTCAGGGCGATGATGAGTCCGGTGCCGGTCTTTTCGATTTCATTCCCATCTTTGGGCCAATCATCGAGAAATTCCTTGGCGGTGGAGCCCAGCGCCGAGACCTCAACGAATTGTCTGCCCGTGACTTTGTTGACGCACTCATCGCCCGCCAGGAACAAGGAGACGAGGAGTCCGGTGCCGGCCTCTTCAGCTTCATCCCCTTGATCGTGAACACCCTATTTGGTCGAGACCTTAACGAAGTCACTGCTCGAGAGTTTGTTGACACTCTTGTTGCCCGTGGAGATCAGGCCGTTGGTGACGAGTCCGGTGCTCTCCGCTTGGGCGATTTCCTTCCATTGTTGGGCCCTATTGTTGATACTATCTTCGGTGGAGGTAACCAACGCCGTGACTTCAGCGACCTCGAAGCTCGCGAGTTCGTTGAAGCCTTGCTCGCTCGTGAAGAGCAAGGTGTTGATGCATCTGGTGCTCTCCGCCTGGGTGATTTCATTCCCCTCATAGGCCCCCTTATCGACCACATCTTGGGAGGTGGGAATCAGGCTCAGCGTCGTGATCTGCACGAATTTGTTGCGCGGGAAGAGACTGTGGCGCGGAGCCTTAACGAGTTGGATTAAGAAGTAACGACCATGACGCTCATTATTACTTGTATACGAGTGCTGTGCACTGGTAATGAGTTCTCTTCTCTTAATAGTTATAGTAGTCGTGTAATTTGTAGGTACGGTAGTTCGAACTGAATTGGCTGAGTGCTGCATATAAGACACTGGTGTGAAATCTGAGTGGACTTTCTAATCTAAGTTACTAAGAATGTTGTCGCACACTTCACCAGCACAACGAAGTTTGAACAGTCAATTGCGGTGGCCAGTAAGCTTGCAAGGTAAAACGTGCACCGAATTGTCCGAGGTATATACATGAGATGGGGAGAATGTAACTAGGTGGATTGTAAGGTATACCCAAGCTAAAAGCGAACACAACAATGGCACAGCAAGAACGATAACAATTTCTAAAACGAAACCCAGCCAAATAGACATCACCACACACTCCAATTACCAACCCACATCACCATGGTCAAACGGGGAGACTCTCACACCCGTCTCTCCCTTGATTTTGGTCACGCGGAACCTCTGGAGCTCATAACGTTCATATGACGCGGCAGCTAGGCGCATAGCGCGAACGTGGTGTGGTCGGGAGTTGGCAGCGATAGCATGCTGTCTGGACTGCCAGATGCAAGTGGCAAGGTTAAGACCCGTCACTGGGTGTGGGATTCCGTACCAGTAGAGGATTAACTATAGACACAGTCTCATGTCAGTTCTGTATTCAGATAGAAGATGATACGAGATGATAACACACCCCGCCATTCTGGACGGCCTCTTCATGAGCTTGCTTATCCGCTTCGTAGAGCGCTAAGAATCATGTGAAGAAACATGTCAACAACGGGAAAACCTATATGATCGCGATGTGCGACTAGAAATAGAATGGGACTTACGTCCGCCGTCGCTGCCGTCCTTGCGCTTACTTCTGAAGACGACACAATACCACTCCCGCTCTGAGTCTTCCGGCAGAACAAGCTCATGCCAGTTGAAAGCCTGTTCGTAGGGAGTTATCGCATACTCTCGGGTGACGGGTTGGAAGTTATGTAAGGCTTTGTGCAAGGCCAAAGAAGCTGGGTCGATATCTGGAAGGCGGGTTTCAGTATTGAGGGGACGCCTCTCCTGATCGGCAGGTATGGGTGGGATTTTGTAGTCGTATTTACGAGGTAAAGACGACAGCAAAGGTGGGAGGTACAAGATTGGAGCGGCAGGAGCCGTTAGAGAAGTCTTGTCAAAGTCTGGGAGGTGATGCGGGTCATTGGTGGATGTCAGGTTCCCCAAGGGAGAAAATGAAGGTGGTGCAGATGCGGATTCTTCGCCAGAGGGTGGCTCGAAATCGGGATGACTTTTGTTCTCGTACTCGTACACAGGGTCTGGGACAGACGAGGGGGCAAGGACGGCGACCCGAGCCATGCTAGGAGAAAAGTGGCAGCCTGGAGTTAAAGTTGCCTATAGAAGTGAGGAAGAAGACGGGTTGCAAGTTGGGCGACGAGTCACAGATTTATAGCTTTGCTGACAGCATGAGACTCAAAATCACCTCATGCCACGGACGAAACCTTAAAGTTAACACAGAGAATGCACACCATAGTGATGCAAGCCAGTCAAACCGGAGATCGGTGAACAGCCCTCTTTGCAGGCAAGTATGGCGTGCCATTATGCCACGGCTTGCTCAGCGATTGCGCAACGGCGAATTTGTCCTCGATACTACTCCACGCACATTAACGATATTATCCTCGGAATTGTTTTGGGTCCCAAAGCAACTATAAACCTGTAAATCGATGCGTGAATTCTGAAAAACAGCTTGAGACAGGAATAGCTACGGCGAAACGTCCGCCATTCTGTAATAAGGACCGAGCGAAGCCAGCGACCATGATCATGGTCATACTTTTCCGTAAATATTCCGCCATTGACATCCTACCGATAACATGCCTAGCACAACCGTGAACGGTGAGAGAAGGAAGGAGAAGACTATTGGTTGTGATCCCGAGAGTAGATAGCAAAGATGGAGAGATTCTGCTACCGGCCAGCCGGCCCCTCTGTCTCCGCCTCTGCGTGGGCTGCCGTCGACTATCAACCTCGTTCTGTACTTCAACTATGGCCGCTGCTCGCAAGTCTGCGGACCACACTCTTTATCATCTTGCACCGAGGGGCTTTTGGAAGAAATTCCGTACGTTATACTTCAGTATCCTGCATGAAATCTTGCTAACATATTGCCCTATTTCACCAGGCGATGCTGTCGTCGTAAGCCCAGATATCTCCAGTGGTTTGCCCATTGCTGGAGTCCACAGATGGCCACCACCGGGCTCACGGCCAGAGAGATATGCTACACCCGCGACGAAAGGTAGGAAGCCCACACTGCCGTGATTCTCTCGCCTGACAACTGTGCTTTAGCATCTGATCCAGCTCAGAATCCATACTGGAAACGAGACGTTCGCAGGGCTTATCCTCAGATCTCTGTTGTCACTCAGGACGGACTTGCGTCCCTGCTAATAGCACACGCAGAAGCACCTGCGTGAGTTTTATTCCTTCGTTCATTCGATCGCAGGCTAACTCTTTGCAGTGTTGCTCCGCCTGCTGAGGGTGACAAGGCTGGTGTCCCTGCGCCCAAGAAGGAGGCTGTTGACTTGACCGCCGCCATTGCTACCATTTCCTCAGCGAGAAAGGCTTATTCAGAATCCAACCTACCACCAAAGGTACCTACTCCTTTCAAGCGTTGGATACCGGAGCGAGCCCCAGATGCCCCTCACGATCCCACTGCATACTGGCCCATGTTGCTTGTCAAATAGCCTTGTAATAGAACAACACTTTCCTCAGTCGTACTACTGATATATTCACTAATGTCTGAGTTCTCCTTGGCTGATTACCGTGAATATTTCGTGACTGGATATCGAGTGAAGCTGTCTATTCGTTACCGCATACTGAGACACGAATGTTTGCATCTCTAGCTACTCTGCCTCAGGGAGACTACGTCTATGTTTCAAAGTTTATTAAATAATGTCCGACAGATTAAGTTGAGTTCAAGTGCGATGCCATATTGAAATTCAAGAGCGCATTCGCTCACCACAAACATCCGCAAATACCACTTTCTGAATACCAATGTCCACTCCTTATGTACCCCCAATAGCCCTAGCAGGCTCTACACCAGAACAACAAGCAGCAGCGTTTGCTTCCGATGAACGTATTCACTTTGATAGGACCTCTGGAACATGGAAATTTGAGGATGATGATGGCCACGAGTTAGAGTACGATGTGACAAAAGGGGCATGGATACCTCTGGTGCGTCCACATTTTCACTCGGAAGTATACATCGTATCCTGAACTCGATATGCCATTCATAGGTCGATGAGGACCTTGTGAAAGCCCAACAAGCCGCGTACAGCATTGCCGGTGTAGACGAAGAGGTAAGCCTCCTCTCACCCCACGGCTTCTGCTTTCTCTGTCAACTAAAGTCTCACCGCCGTACAGACACCTGCAGCACCCGTCCTCAAGCGCGAAAGTAAAAAACGTAAGGCACCGGAGGACTACACTTCTAGCACACTAGGGATAGATACCGCACCACCTGCAAACAAACGAGGCAAGAAGGGCGGCGCAAATGACAAACAACATGAACGCAAGTCCAAGAACACTGCTGTCTATGTGACTGGTCTTCCCCTAGACACAGAACATGATGAACTTGTCGAACGGTTTAGCAAGTGTGGACTGATCGAAGAAGATGACCAGGGTGAGCCGAAAGTCAAGATGTATGCAAGAGAGGATGGGACGTTCAGTGGGGAAGCGTTGGTGGTGTACTTTAAGGAGGAGAGTGTGATGTTGGCCCTGAATATCCTGGATGATGCGGAATTGAGGTTGGGTGATCCTTCGACAAAAATGAGCGTGCAGAAAGCAGCGTTTGGACACAAGCACGAGGCAGGGGCTCAGGAAGGTAATTCTGAAGCGAAACTCAGAAAAGTAGTGGATAAGAAGAAGGCGACCAAGAGAATTGGGAAGATGCAGAAGTGAGTTTTGTCAGTATGTTTATATCTCACAGCCCCGTTGACAAATAAGCTATGCAGGAAACTTGGAGAATGGGATGACGATGACGGTTTCGGTCCTGCCATCACTGAAGAGGATAAACTACCAGTCTCAAACAAGAACAGTCGTGTAGTAGTGCTCAAGCACATGTTCACGCTGGACGCTCTTGAAAAGGATGCGTCATTACTTCTTGACCTCAAAGAAGACGTCCGTGACGAGGCCTCAACTCTAGGAGAAGTCACGAATGTATCCCTATACGACGTAAGTAGGGGTTACTCCTGCTGTTCGAGAACGCTTCCCCTCATATACGTGATTTTACCCTACAGAAAGAGCCCGATGGTGTAATGACTGTCAAGTTTCGAGATCCTTTGAGTGCACAAGCATGCGTACTAGTAAGTAGAAGCGTCTGATTAAATGTTTCCAAGTCTGACTCCCTATACAGAAGATGAATGGTCGGTTTTTCGACGGTCGTCGGGTTGAAGCTTCATTATATGCGGGCAAACAGCGATTCAGACGAAGCGGTGTTAGCGAAGAGGTTGAGGGAGAAGGCGATGAAGCAGAGAAGAAACGATTGGATGACTTCGCTCAGTGGCTTATGCACGAAGGAGATTGAATGTAGTCGCTTATCTTGAGTGCTCATCTGGGTATCACTTGCTTTTATGATCATCGGGAAACTGCTGTGTGTATACAGCACTCCATTCTATTGTACACTCTGTACATGTCATAACTATCACAGCGAGCAAAGCAGTAACGCAACCAAAAACGTCCATGTCCCTCCAAAAGCCCCATCCCAGCCATTATCAGCAGCAAGAAAAGAACGGTTTGGTATTCACCGTCTCTAGGCGCTATAATTAGGAACGTCATTACGTCAGTTAGTGAACCACATCTATAAAGCGCGAAGACTCGTGTAAGGCTCACCTCAACGATCACCGTCCGTTTCTTGGGGCTTTCCAATGCATCAATCTGCATCCAATCCAAGTTGTTACGCCCGTCCTGCCCATGACTAGCATACCTGGCATGCATCGGTGGAGGAGACTCCATGTGCGACATCGACTTTGACATGGCAACAAGATCCTCCTCGGTGATTGACTGTGCATCTTCAGGTACAGATGGCAGACGTTCCAGTACTGGCGGAGGGGACGATAATAAGGAAGGCGCAGGAACAGACGAAGTTTCCGCTGGCAACTCCGAATCTGGTTGCACGGCTGGTTTAGGTTGTGATGACTCGCCAACGTCCATCTCTTCATCCTCAAGCACCGATTCCTCAATTCCAAGTCGTTTGAGGCCAGCCTCAACGGCATCCAAACGTTCCATGTGTTCGAGTACGGTGACCCCAGTCGTTGCAGGGTGGACGCGGGGGAACTTCGCAGAGAATGATACAGGTCGGGATACGCCAGTGAACTCCGTCGATACTCTCCGCATAGGCGGAGGGAAATCACTAGCGCTTTGACTTCGCTGTCGGCGGGGTTCACGAGGCAGAGGCACTGTTGCGATCGAAGCGTGAGGAGACGCAGTAGGTATATGTACTTGACCGGTACCGTTCACGGGACTACTAGTAGGACCTTCTTCAAGTAAAGAAGGGATGTTTTCATCTGTGAGGTCGATTTCATCATCCCATACGAGAACCTTTGTTCTTCGGGTCAGTTCCAACGGACCTGCTTTAAATCAGTACAGAGGTTTCAGCGTGATATTATAATCCAACCTTCATCCTAACGATATGCATGAGAATGAGAACGAAGGGGCACAGAAGGAATACTTACCCCATGTTTCAACGATTGAACGATGTTCCAGGCTTGGCCCTTGATCACTGCTAGTTGCCGCTGATGGTCCAATGAACAAGGCAAACTCATCAAGAAACGACTGGACGTACCCTGAACATCTTCGGATGAAAATCAGGATCAACAGCAAAAAGCTTCCTTAGTTCATACGTAGTCTCCGACCACCACGCTTTCGAGGTCAGCATGAGCAAAAAGTGGTCCCTAGTCTTCTGGCTGAAGGGCCGTCCAATGATCGTGACAGGGAGATACAACCAACCATAGGTATATGATCGCCAACCGCGTGGGTGTTGGTGAGGGAAGGAAAGAGAATTATCAATGGCGGCTATGTGAATGTGTGGTTGACGGGTGTAGGGTATCTGCGAGGTAGGAGTTCCTGGCCGAGTATATGAAGAAGGCTGGCTAGATGTTGATGGCATTTGTGGTGTGGTATTTGATGTATCCGTGCGACGTAGTTCGGTCATCAGGGGCATTTCTAGTCGTGAAGTTCGTGAAGGTGCAACATCGACCAGAGTTTTGTTGTGATCGACTTGACAGTATTTGATCATGTAGTTATCCGCGCCACGGTCAGTATTCAACATGAGGTAATCTGAAGAAGTCAGCTTCCAGTTTCATTTGTAGATATGACTAATGGACATACCAAGAATCACAAGTCTATAAGTTGTATCATGAGATTGGGGTCAAACGGAGCAAGAAAATCAGGACTTACTTCTCAAGTTCTTCACGGAAATTATCCTGCAGCGCTTGACTCCAATAAAATGCTGTGCCAGCCTGATTTTCCGTAGCATCGAATAGTACTCTTTCGTCTTCCCGGTCTTCATCTTCGTAGAAATCTTCTTCATCACCTGTCTTACCACATACAATCTTCATGGTGCCCATGAATTTCTTCGTGAAACTCCCCTTGCGGTGGCTGGAATCATCGAAGGTATCGGAAATGGCACGGCCTGGCCATGGATGTTTACGAAGGAAATCAGATGCATCTGCAGCAGAGGGCAAGTCTATATGGGGGAGGGCCATTTCGTGAATTAATGAGTTGGCTCACCAGTGTAGCCGTGCAGGAAATACTGCATGCTGCCAATCTTGTCGGGCAGAGGCTTGCCTTTCTTGGCTGCATTCCTGTCCAACCAGTCATAAAAGAATGCCTAACACCGTGCCGGAAAGTCAATAACAAGACCGAGACTACAAGGTGTTGCTAGCTTACAGGGCTCGAAAGCGAAACTAGTTCCGTGCGAGGAACAATATACAAGTTCAAGCGTCTATCGAGTAACGACGCTGCTGCTTCTGAGATATAACTGGAGCAGGGTTAATTATCCATGATAAACATGCTATGGTTAGACTCTCACCTTAGATTCGGAATAAGACAGGCTCGACCGAACGGAATGACCCAGCGGAATTGTCGGTGCAGCCACTTCGTCGTCTATGACGATGAGCAGATTAAGAACCCGAGAAAAATGAATTGTTGAAGTGGTATATTCTAGCTAACCTTAGGATTGAGGTTACCGTAAGGCTCTTCGTCCTTGGGTTTGAATACCCTGAAATATTTTAGGTATTTTCAGTATGAGTCAGAGTACCCGAGTCAGACCAACTCACGCGACGGTTTGAACGCGACCATCGATCTTCGCCCGAGCAAAATACGACCCGGAGGAACCCTTCGTGATCATCTTGGGATGAATACCATCGGCAATGGCTTCTTTGACTGCATGCACAAACCTTCTCTCGTCAGTCAGGTACAAGAGCCTTGATACAACATGTATGCTCACATATCAAAGTCCTCCTTGCTCATTGAAGGTTTATGGTCAAGGGTCTTGATCTGTAAAGTGAACGTTACTCAACTTCCCCGTTGTCTTTAGGAGCCGGGAATGTTTAGGGCGTACAGGAGCATTGTCAACCGTAAGTGCAGTCACAGGAGGGTCGAATACACTCCGCCATATCTCCTTGCGAGAGTTGTCTTCTACCTTCTTCTTCCGCTTGACTTTCTGGACGATACTCTCCGTCCATCTGTATTATATAACTTAGTCGTTAAAGGGCAGTGAACAGAGGACCTGGAAACTCACCGTTTGAACGCACTATCCAGCTTGCTCAAGTCAATGTGACCAGGGCGGTTTGGTCTCCGAAGCCCTCTGGATGGCGAGACCGGCGACAGACCCTCACCAACATCTGCTTCCTCCTCGTCTACACCCTGAGCAAGCGGTTGGTATTCCGAACGGTCTGGCATGTCAATAGACACAGTCCAGCTTGAGTATGTCCCCTAAAGTGACCGCGGCGGCCCAGGGGATATAAGTCAATAGATGGAGGTTACTGAAGAGAGCTGTACGTCAAGAATGGCACGGAGTTGTGGCACGTTGCTTCACGCTTCACGCGCTTCCCCAAAACGGTTACCGCGGTAGAGTACTTAGGCGCCTCAGGATTTAAACATTGTTTCCACTCTGGGTATTTGAAGTACTTCCATTATGGAAAAAAATTCGAAGCGGTAAAGACTACACAATACTGGCAACAATGATATATAAGGTATGTGTTATGCATGAGGCTATCAACTACGGTTTTGACCTCTAATTCCCATGTTTTGCCAAAGCGTAATAGGTAGCATTCGATGTTTGTGCCTCTCTTGCGCTCTCCGAAGTTACTCCTCGAAACAGACGTGCAAAATGCACTATATCTGCACACCGAGTTCGCGCGCTCTCATCCAGAAGGCTTCGCAGTGCAGGCTCTGGAACTCAATGATAATTTCTCGTGATAAAACAGGCTCTAGATCGTCATAAACAGCGTTTTATCCAGAGTATGTACTACGTATAGCCACCTTCATCCTTCTGGACATTGGTGTGCGCACTTTTATCGCTTCTTTCCTTCAGCTGTCTATCGGTACTCCGTTTGGTGTGCTCATTCGCCACATATGCCTTCAACTTCCTGCGAGCACCGTTCGTCAAGCACGGACATACGCTGACACAATAATGAGTACGTCACCTTTCGACTGTGCGTCTTTTGGAAATTCGAGGTCAAATCACGCATGGTGTCAGCTGAATAGAGGGTGCGTTGTATTACCTTTGTCTCAGAGTGCTTTGGCTATCACACTTAGACCGTAGACCGACGTCCGTCTTCTAGCCAGATGAACTCCATCAAGTTCCATACCGCTTCACCCTTATGTTTGTCTGACAGGAAAAATTTTACCTCCCCTACAATATTGCATTGGTTTAATGTGGTATGAAACCCCATGACCAGTCTCGGCCGCGCCGGATGCCGACTCCTCGTGCTTGCGGGATTCGCATATCCTACAAAAGCCTCATTGATATGCGTTTGTCCTTCGACATCACTTTGTCTGGTTGATGATGGGCTTCAGCACCTATTTCTCCGAGGTCGTTCGCTATCGCCATGCCTACTTTTTAGCAGCATCTGCCTCTATGGGTTCGATCTTCTATGGTTGGGATATTGGCCTTATTGGCGGCATCCTTGCAATGGCATCCTTCAAATCGTACTTCGGTCTGGACAAGATGTCGGCTTCTGAACAAGCGGATCTGAATGGCAACATCGTTGCTATCCTTCAGGGCGGCTGCTTGTATGTACCGTTATCCTTATGCTGACGGGCGTTGCCAAGGACCATTTCAGTTTCGGCGCTTTGTTTACAGGCTGCTTCTCGGGGAAATTTGGTCGCAAACCGACGCTAATGGCGTCTGGCGTCATCTACATCGTCGGAAGCTTAATCCAGTCAATCGTCGGCATTGGCATGGACCAAGCTGCGGCTCTTCGCGTTCTCTACTTCAGTCGCTTCTTAGGTGGCATTGGTGTAGGCATGGTCTCAGCTCTCGTCCCTTCCTATGTATCGGAGTGTGTTCCGAAATCAATTCGAGGTCGCTGCACCGGTATGGTTCAGCTTGCCAACAACATTGGTATCATGCTGAGCTGTGAGGCGTCTTCAACTTATTCACGGATTCGAGACGAAGCTGATACTTCTTTTATATAGTCTGGGTCAATTACTCTGCTAACAAGGACATTCCTGTTGGACATATGCAATGGCGCATACCGTTCATTGTGCAAATGGTACCAGGTATCATTTTTATCATTGCCATGGCAGTCCAACCCGAATCTCCCCGTTTCCTCGTTGAGAATGGGAAGTTAGACCAGGCTGCACGTTCCCTCGCCTCCGCATCTGGGTGCTCACCTGATGACGATAGCGTTCGAGTCACTTTGGAAGAGATCAAAGCTGACTTCGAAGGGAAGGAGCGGACACCGCTTTTTAAGCAGCTAATCATGATGGGAGAGTCACGGACAACCGCTCTTCGATGTTTCATCCCTTCCCTGGTCATGTTCTGGCAGCAAGCCACCGGCACCAACGCCATCAACTACTTCTCTCCAACGATATTTGCTAACCTCGGCATCTCAGGCACGACATCCGGACTCCTTGCTACAGGTGTGTATGGCGTTGTCAAGGTCATATCAGTTGCTCTTGTTCTTGCTTTCGCTGTAGAGGGCCTTGGACGAAAGAAGTGTTTGATCATTGGTGGGCTTGGTCAAGGCGCCATGATGCTCTGGATTGGCGGTTTCTCTGGAGTCCATCCAGAACCCACTCCCGTTCCCGCATCCTATGTCTCCATCGTTGCCGTTTATTTGTATGCCGTATTCTATTGCGTTGGTTGGGGACCTTTGCCATGGGTTGTAGCCGCAGAAGTCGCGCCAAACCATGTCCGTACGGCCGCGCTTGCTGTTGCTATTGGCGTCAACTGGCTATTCGCCTTCACTGTTTCCAAGCTTACGCCAATCATGCTCAACAAAATCACGTATGGAACATATCTGATTTACGGTATCTTCTGTCTCATGATGGCCACATGGACGTACTTTCTTCTACCTGAGACGAAAGGATACGCGTTGGAAGATATCAAGTACCTATTTGAGAAGGACATGTCGATCCGCGCGTTGCAGGATGCACCTGGTGGACTCATCTTCCTTGGTGGCAAGCGTGCAGCTCCTGTAGAAGAGCTCAAGGCTATAGAGACGAGGCAGGAGTCTGATGATGACAGCGTGAAGGACAAGGAAGATTCACAGTCGAACATTTGAGATCATCACTGATCTGGAGGACGTCAAGAGGTATCATGCATCATCATCATCATCTATGTAGGGAATTACGAGCAGCTTTAACTACAACACACTACCATTGTCCTACCAAATCGAAAATTTACTCCAGTGGCGCCAATGCAAATGCATAAAATACTAAAGAGCTCGTGACTCCAATGTACTGTATAGAAATCATGGTCTTCAAGGTCATCTATTTCAGAGGAGTCAGCATATCTTCGGGGCGTACATTCGAACAGATCCAACATACCATAACATTACTGTGCTTTTGTCAGTTGCGGCCTCAACGTCGAGATTGTCGACGTCCGGTCTGCACCTCGCTCTACGTCGCTTTCTTTATCGACATGGAGCGCCAATGGGTCGCGCCCTCGGGGAGGGTCAACAACATAGGGCGCCTTGAACATGGATCCGTCGATGAAGGATGGTATGCTTCGGAAGAACACCGTAATCCAAAGTAAGAAAACGATACCTGCAGTTGTTATTCTCTATTCAGTTGTGCGAAACTATACGGATACAAAGCGTAACTCACATGACCAAGCTGCACCAAATGCTCGAAAAAACCCACTGTCAAGCACTTTTGCTAGCTGTACAGAACACAACGCAAAAACTCCGTTCGGGAAAATCAGACCCCAGTGCGCCAGTGAGAATGGAATCTTGGCATTATGAGACACATGCGCAATAGAGAAACATGCAATGAGGATCCATGCGATGCCCATGCTCCAGAGAATGTATGCTCCTCCGAAACATCCTGCGAAGAGCATCTGGCCTGTCAGCTCAGATTGAGGGAAGTCGGACCCGATATGCAAAGGGAGCAAAAGCGAAAGATCCTGTCCGTTGACTAGAAGAGAGAACCCGCCCTGACCGAGAGGTCCGAGAATGACGAAGGCGGAAAGGATGAGCGATGGATCAGGTGGGCCATGAATAATTAGACGTAGAAGGTATACGGTAATCATCATGAGCGCAAATGTCAGACCGATGATAACCATTGTCAGCGAGAAACCCGTTGTGACCAGCGCGAGCGTATGAGAATGGGCTCGAAGTGCGTTCGCGAGCAGACCGCCGGTGGATGATGCGACAATAAGGGTGACAACAGGTAAGAGCCAAACTGCGGTCATCCTCGATACAGCATGGTCCTGCTTCACCATCCTGCTTCACTTGTAAGAGTATCTCGGGCATTATCACACAGGTTGGCTTACATGGCGTATATCATCCCGAAAGCAATCACATAAGAGACAGCAGAATCGAGCCACCAGAATCCCCATAATGTGTATAAGAAGGCTTTTCCCCCTGTGGCCCAGTCTTGATTCACTGCCTGTACACACAATTAGCCATTCGAGCATTCAAACAGCGTAGATAGTGCGTACCAAACCAGCGTTTATTAGAGTTGCAGCTCCCATGGGGAAACAGCCTATGAATAGACTTTGAGCTGGATGTGCGATCATGCGTGACCAAATCTGCATTTCACGAGCAATCAGTAAACAAAAGGTCGGTCAAAGCAGGATCTTACCTCTGGGTATAGAATGTATCGCAGCACAGTACATATGCAAACGAAGACGAACAGCACGAGATTAAGCAGGAAGATAATCAGCGCCATTATCTTCAGCGCAGAACTATCGCTATTGTATGGAAAATTGTGCAGCAATGCCGACACCGCGCCGGTGCCCATGACTATGCAAAAACATTAACGGATACACAAGGTCACAAACCATACAGCAACTCACTCACAGCATGCCAAGCCCACGTAAAGTGACTGCAGCATACAACATTCAGCGCAGTGCCAGATAGCGGTCTATAAATGAGCCTCACCGAACGCGATCTCTCCAGCTTTTCCACTGGGAGTAGGGCAGGAGGAGCGACATAGGAAGGAAAGATGAGGGGAGAAGAGAAACACCTGGACCGAACGAGAGAAGCTTGACGGAACTAGCATGTCAGGAGAGCCCAAGAATATATGGCCCCATGAAGTAGCGAATTCCGAATTACAGGTGCGTAGCGTTCCGAAACTCGAACAGTGCTATGGGGTAAAATGGTAAAGCGTGCGTTGTTCGGTCATCGCCAGTAAAATTGCAGCTTGGCTGTGAATGATTCGGAGATTTTAGCAAAGTTTTATACATGATCCTCGTTGTCGAACATTATGGAGAGGCAACTTGAATTCAGCTTGAGGACTCGGAGGCAGTTTGCAATCTGGTCACTCGACGCTAGTAATTCCGAATTCGTTGAGCGCCCAGGGAACGCCTGATGGCTGATTATGTCATCCGTGAAGCGCCCAAGCTGAACTATCTTCTGGTAACAAGTGTCCACCTCCCTTTTGCAAATTGACTATGCTTGTCTCTGTTGCATCCAAATCGGCACTTTAAACATCGCTCGCTTTCCTTGCTCTTGCCCGGTGCTTCCCCTTCTTGCCCTGCGCCAATATCCTGTATGAAGCGGACCTTATCCACGCTATTCGGAATTCGGTTGATATCGTAGCTCAGGTCAATTCGGAATACCTGCATCTCGATGACCCTAATCGTTGTCAGAAAGTCACGCACCTTATTCATGCCCTCATCCATGCGTGACGTGGACTTGGATATAAAGCAATCTCGTAGCTCATGTTTCACCAGAAGCTATCTCTCACATGTCAGTTACACGGCGTGCCATCCTTCGAACCTTCGCACCAGCTACTCATCTGAGCGTTTCAGTCAATTCTCTACTCCCTGCTGCTTTGTGTTTGAACTCTGTGAAACTTAGCTCTACATCATCCACTGCCCTTTGCATTACCCCTGTCCGTTCAATGGCTTCAACTGCTGTCTCTAACCAACAATCCAACCCCGAACCTGTTGCTGCCGCTCAACCATGGAGGTGCCATTTCGAATCGGATGAAACCACTCCAAGAGTGTATGCGTTCTTTGAGAAGGCTACGTCCACATGGCAGTATATTGTGGCTGACTCCAAGACGTCTGAAGCCGTCATAATCGACTCTGTCCTTGACTATGATCCCGCTTCTGGGGTTGTGTCGACGACAACAGCGGATGGTTCACTTGGTTTTATCCGACAGAACAATCTCCATGTCACCAGAATCTTGTGAGTATGTCCCTAATCTGTACATGACGGTAATTGTGACATTTGAAGCAGGGAGACTCACGCACATGCTGATCACCTCACTGCCGCTCAATATCTCAAGCAGCAGCTCGGAGGGATTGTTCCAGTCTGCATCGGATCTCGGATCACTCAAGTGCAGCAGACGTTCGCGCCTGTCTACGGCTATGACAGTCCTCAGTTCTTCGACCACACTTTCGACGTTTACTTGAAGGATGACGAAATCATCAAACTTGGTGACTTCCAGGGTCAAGTCATACACCTGCCAGGACATACCCCTGACCATGTAGGATATGTATTTGGCAAGGCTATCTTCACGGGAGACTCCATATTCAACGTACGTCTACGTTGGCCTTCTGGCACCATGTATGACATAGATTAACGAGACATCTCTTCAGCCGGATGTTGGCTCAGCACGAGTAGACTTTCCTGGTGGTAACGCACGTGCCTTATATGCGGTAAATCCTTTAATTGATTGTGGTGATTCTCTCGCTGACGTTCTCTCTTAGTCTATGCAGCGCCTTCTTTCCTATCCTCCCCACTTCCGTCTCTTCGCGGGTCACGATTACCCTTCCGGTCGGGATCAGAATTGTAGCGCCACAGTCGCTGAGCAACGCGAGAAGAATATTCACTGCAAGGTTGGCATACCGTCTGATGCCTTCATTGATTGGCGTAAGGTTCGAGATGCCCAGTTGGGTGCTCCGAGACTCTTGCACCCGTCTTTGCAGGTGAACATTCGTGCTGGGAAATTACCCCCTGCTGATGAGAAGGGGAGGGTATTGCTCAAAACCCCCGTAAAGACGAATATAAAGCTGTAAGGTCATATGCATGGAAATCATCATGTTTCTTTTACTCCGCGTTCCATTACTTGTGTATAGTATTGTAATCTGTTTGTCTAGTTTGTTCACGTTCCTTCCTAAAAATTCTACTGTCTGCGTCTTGTCGTCACAGTGCCAACTCCTCACCATCAGGAGCTGTACTTGAATGGATTGGCCCATGCGTCTCTTTCGCTAACTCAATCTCGTCCAGGCATGGTGCCTCGAAAATGGCACCATCCCGAACATATACAAGTGTCTGCAAGAATACGAACGTCCATAAACCTAAAACAAATACGGAGTAGATCGCTCCCCAGACACGGAAGAAGGACGAATCTAGCGTCCGGTAAAGTTGAATCGTCAAATTTGCATATACCCCCTTAGAAGACATCGAGTCAATCATTGAGCATTATTGGTGAAACACATGAGAAGACTCACATTCGGGAAAATGAGGCCCCAGAAGGGTAACTTGAACGGGAAGCGAGTTGTGGGTAAGACCTCCAATAGGGCAAGGAGAGCGTACGACAACCACATGGAGGCCAATGACCACAGAACAATCGCCAGACAAATGCAAACCACATTGATAGTCTCGCCAGTCGCGGAATTGCTCAAGACTTGTGAGTTACTGTGTGAAAGTGGGAACAAACTCTTATATCCTTGTCCTAAGAGTAAAATCGAGAAGCCTCCCTGCCCCATGGGACCGAGCGGGATGAAAACGCTGAGGATAGATGCGCCTGGTGGAAGCCCATAGACGATGAGACGCAGAAGATACATCGTCAAGATCATGAATGCGAGTCCGAGTCCGATGGAGACCATGCATGTCGATACCGTCAGTGTGATGAGCGCATATCTGGGGTTGAACGTATACAGAGCGGGTGCAATTACGCCTCCGGATGATGATGCGACGATAAGAGTGACTACTGGGAGAAGCCATACGGCGGTCAAACGGCTGATGGCGTGGTCTTGCTTGGTTTTCCTACATCAGAAAATAAGTACCTGTCTCACGTGAAGGACTCTTCCAGATACGCACATGACATGCACCATAACGAAGGCACAAAGGAAGGACACGATGATGACAACCCACCAGAATCCCCAAATGAGATAAACGAAGTGTCTGCCTCCGAAGCCATCCTCCTGGTATATCAGCCCTACAGCGATATTGATGAGAGTGGTAGCTCCCATAGGATAGCATCCGACATATAAACTCTGAACCGGATGCCGAAGCATTATTGACCAAATGTCAGGGAATAACAGGTATCTAGAGACGGTGAAGGCATTGAAGAGGATGAATAATGCGAGGTTGAGGAAGAAGAACAAGTAGGTGAATGTCTTCATGACTGGCGAGTCGGCACCATAGGGGAAGTTGTGGAACAATATTGAAATAGCTCCGGTTCCTAGTATTGTAATAACATTAGCGCAAGTAAATGGACGAGTTCAGATGAGACATACCCATGATTGCAGCGAACCATGCTGGAGCAAAGTGCCTACAAAAGGGATTCTCTGTTACTCATTCAACAGTACATGCAGCGTCTTTATATACCGTATACAATCTTTCAATGTCTTTCTCTTCGTCTTCTCTGGCATCTCGTTACCTCACAAGCAAGATCGATCGAAGACGACTGGATGAAAGAAAGGTGTGGATGCCATGTTGACTCCTAATAGCCAGCAATTCGGAATTCGGGGTATGGCGGCGGTATGATGCAAGCTTTGCTACCTTGAGTGCAGACCATTTGTGGCCGCTGACAGTTGGGCAGATCCAGACAGCGAAGCCTGAAGTTGGTTGGCCACTGACATGGTTGTATAAAAGCGGAGATAGCCTTACTTGGAGATGGTCGGGAACGAGTTGCCACTGTAGCGTTCAATCTCATCCAAAGTTTTTCAATGAACATAATGTCCCAGCAAGAGCTGCATCCTGCCACAAAAAATCACTGCGTCATGTAACAAGCATCCTTCCATATGTGTCATTACAATCCATATGTCTCCCTGTGTCGTGTTGCGAAACTCAAATGAGCGTAACAAATGTGAGATTCCGGCACATGCATGGCTTATCCGACGCTCTCACAAGTGACAACGGTCCTACGAATGCCTTTTTACCATTCTATCTCCTCTCAACTTTTTGTCATGGACAGCCACTCGAACATCAAGTCTCTTTAATCCCTACCTTCTTACAGTACTTACTGGCATATGTGAGTGGACGGCTACATCATGACGATAAGCAAACCACTGCCATTTGCCTGTCCTTGGCAGGCCTCAGTCCTCGCACATGATCGCATGCAGAACTTGACCCTGAGGCTACTTATTGTCTATCGACGTGGAAGTATTAATGACCGACACAGTTTCGTCAAGCCTCATCCGCCGTTTTCCCAGACCTTCGAACGTAAATGGGCAGGAAAGACCGAGAATCTGGATTTGGCTCACGTTGCGCGGATATTTCACCACTGCGAAGGGCGAGGTGGGTGGTTATCAAGTAGAGCGCATGATAAATCGCTGATCCATCCAAATCCATCACTAACATCAAGACAGTTTGACGGTGGCGTATGAATACGAACACTTCTTGTATTCGTAGTAGAATGGCCGTGCAGTATCAGTGAAGGCGACATATATTGCAGCGTACGAGCACGATGTGGTCCAAAATTGGACTTGTCAGATCACACACGCGGACGCTTGAACAAAGGAAGATGTAAGGTATGGCTGTCCTTTCCCCATCTTCCAAGTTTCCTCTTTCGTTGTCAGGCTTGCTCGCATGCGGCTTATGTTCTATCTTTCAATGACTACACTCACTTTCATCTTCTTCATGTTTCCTCAGGACAAGACAAGGGCAGGTCTGCCGTCATTCTCATCTACGTTTCTTCCAGAAATACTACCGAAGATAGCTCCGATATACAATCTGAGGCTCAGGGCTCAGCTTTTAACCAGGATAGGCCTTCGTCTACGGGCGAGTCGATCCTGGATCCCGTCCGCCCGTTAACCAAGTCTATCGTACGATTGCCATCTGGCGGCGTACACGTCGAAGACGGGTTGGAACCTCCGAGTTATGAATCCTCCACGACTATTCAAGCGGCACGCACTTTGCAGCAGAAGCGCGATTTGAGCATCTCTGACTCGACCCTGCATATTAACACTCTTACCGCCGTTTCCCGGCTGTTTATTTTCAATCCGTCTTTCTCCCTGTCGTATGTTAGGACGTATACCGAAAACATCCATCGCTCGAAAATGAACGTCACAAAGAATTTCAGTTCGATCCTGAGGACTCCAGAAACCTGGTGTCTCAAACTGTTTTTTTATTTTATCAGGACAATCAAGACGCACGAGGCAATGTGAATAGCGGCCGGCTAGTCAAATTCGAGTTGGTGAGCACAAGGGCCTAAAAAGAGGTGATGTGCACAATGTCTCACCTCATTGTACACATAAGAGCTCGAAGCCATATAGTGCACCCTATACCCAATAGGACTCAACCTCCCTTTCGACCTCCGTTTAGCACACAGTGGTGCCATGTTCCTTGGTTGGCTTGTCCTTTGTTCCCTAACCTATTCTACGTTTGCTCAAAATTTCTCGATACCGTCGGGATGGCGAGTTGAGTAAAATCGGCTCGCGCGCGAGGGATCATTTCCTGAAACTGCAACCTACAGAAACCTACCTTCAATCTCCCATGGCAGGACTGTATCACACTCTCCCAAGCGTTGATCGATGCCATCGCGCCTCAAGTCAATCACTCTACTGGACAAGTGGATGGTCAGTGTGGCATACGTCCGCCCTAACCCATTGATTGACCCAATCTGAAGGTTTGAGCTTCGATCAGAGTGCAAGCCTGTTTGCCGCCATCGCCAACTACGACAGACTCGTTGGCAACAGAACGAATGAAGCTCTCGTCACGACGCATTTGGCGATTGTTGGACAGCAGCCATTGAAATATTTTGGTCCATCGTAAGTCTGCCGCAACTCGCCGTTGTTCATGTGCTGATTTCGACTGTTGGCAGGGTGAGTCCAAGTCTTCCATGTATTTCGAGCAATCATTTGTCAATGTCGTACAATCTTCAATGGGACACCAGCAAGATCAGCGGCGAACCGCTTTTATATTGTATGTATCATATTGGCTTTGTCGCGTCGACACCTCATCTATTTTCAGGTCATGGGCTCTAGCAGCTGTATCTGCTTACCGCGCATATGGTGATCAGTACCTGCTTGACCTGGCTGCCTCGTTATGGGGCTCCTCGAACTTTTGGATGATCACTGTTGATGATACAAATCAGGGCCTCTCACACGTGAAGCCTGGATTCAACCTAATGTATCATTGTGGCGAATGTGACGTCCTCCCTCTGCCCATTTCCTATGCAGAAAACAATTAAATTGTGACATCGTCTTATAGCCTCTGTCGCCGGCGGTGTATTTTTCGTAAGCACAGCAATGAATAGCTTTGTCCAGTCTCTGAAACTGTTGGTATAGGATCTCGGCAATACGTATGATGAATGGGTGGATCTCTCTTCGGTTGGGTTCGTCACGCTCGTTACCGCACTGCTGTTGACCTTACCCATTCATCCAACCACGCAGGACCTTGTTATTGTTCGTACCTCATATTGTAACAAGGGGCACCTTGATAACGGACCAATAGGTTATCTGCATATATGTATGAAGCCACCAATGAGGACCATTACGCCAACGCAGCAGATCTCACTGCAGAATTCACCATGTCATTCCTGGGGAAGCAGCTGGACATCAGATTTATGAATGTGCACACATGTGCAATTACGTCTGAGGCATCTCCAGTTTCGATGAGTGTGGGACCCGCCATCGAAGGGCTCAGTGTATACGCGTCTATGCTGCCGAATAGGAATTTCAAGTTGGCCACTTAGTGAGTCAATTTGAATGCGCGTCGCTGCTCTTGATTGATCCAATTCTGCTCTCAATAGCATCCAATCCATGACGCTGGCTGTTATTGGTAAATTTGTAGACGGGGACGGGATATTTGACGCAGGTGATTCAGTCCCTCCATTTAAGCCCACAGCTTTGCTCATGCACAATGACGGCTAGACGTCGGTGACAGTCCTTTAGACAATTGGGGAGGCGTCTACGTTGGAGGTACGTTCATGGTGACATTGAATGTTCGCCTTCCGGTTTATGTATGAATCTTAGGCGTGCTTGTAAGAGGGTTGTATGAAACATTGTCCAGGATTGATGCCAATTCGGACCTAGCAAAGCCAATTCGAGGCTTCTTGGCTGTACAAGTAAGAATTTTCTTTCATATATAGGCCTCATTACTCAAGTAGTGGCATTAGTTCAACGCTGTACTTGATTTGGCTAGGCCTCCAAACAGTACGCTTTTTTCGCCAAGTTGGCGTGGTCCTCCAGTGACCGATCGCGCTCTGCCTTGGGGACAACTGTTGGCACTGGACGTGTTAAATGCAGGTTTAAGCGCAATACCTAGGCCCACACTACCACCGAAGTACGCTCCATCATAGTGGTGTGTGAGAGTATTGACTAACGTGATTACAGCGCGAGCACTTCCACTTTGCCACTACCAAGTCCAACATTATATCCTTCGTCCTCTGCTTCATCTGGGGCCCATCTTAGCATCAAGAGCATCGTTGGTATAATCGTTGGAGGCGTTGCATTTATAGCGTTGATCGTCGTGGCTTTGCTCGTATGGCAGCGATCTAAACGGAACAGACTTATCTCTCATCCGCCAACTGAGCAAGCTCCACAACCTCCCAGCGGTGAGGAGCAGGACCATGTTACCGACATACCGAGGTTTCTCCCTGCAAGCGCGATGTACCAGTTGCCCTCGTCTCAGATTGGATCATCCGAGACTTCGACTATGATGCCTTCATCAGACAAGCACGGCTCCGCTGTAGTTCTCAGCTACGCGTCAACAAGTAACAATGCTGCGGACGGACCAGATGCTCGTTCCTCAGCTTCGCCGTATCGACCGCCGTCCGTGGAAGAATCGATTCCTGACCTTGTCCAACGACTGAATCGAGCTATGACGCGGCTACCTCCTTCGGAGGCTGGTCATGCTGAGGAATTGGAACCTCCTCGGTACGAGTCTACAGCATCTCATACGGTAGTCTAGTGGAAATATAGTGAGGCGGCATCGAGTCGATTCAACTCAAATGTCCTTACTACTTGTGTTGTGTTTCAAATTTTGGGTTTGGTGCTCCACGCGTACAAAAGTCACAAAAGACCTAGATACTACATTGCCAATTGACTCCTGTTGTTACTCTCAGCTCTACCAACTGGTGCCATTGGGCCAGTAGTGCAGTAGTAATCTGAGCCTTGAGGCTGCCCGATCTGGATCTGAACACGATCGCAGAAGCAATTGCCGCTTTTGGACCTGTTGGAACACTGTTACGGTCGTGTCTCTTGAGCGTTGCTAGACGAAGAACGCAGGTAGGGCCTTTCCAGCTACCCCGAGGACTATATATGCAAGTCCCAGGATCAGAGTAGGCTATCAATCATGCTTAGCTTTCTTACTCGCTCTTCAGACAGGCCTAAGTCGACAGACACCCCACTCACACAATCTAACGGCGTGAAGGATGCGAACGTCGTAGTCGACGCCCAGTCTTCCAACGGACATACTGAGACAGCGGAGAAAGGTGCATCCAAGGGCGAGGCGGGGAAGGAGGCTGATCTGGAGCCCAAGAAGGAGTCTCAAATCACACAGGATGCATCCTCCCAGCCCTACACGGAACCCACGATTGAGACCATGATCACGCCTCATAGTGACCGTAGCAGCAGACGATCTTTATGGCGACTTCCTTTTCTTGGTGCAATTGCTCAGCACGAAGCTCGAAAGCCTAGTCTATCTGCTGTAGCAGAGCACGACAGGAAACGTCGCGCCCGCAACGACTTTGAGAAGTACGAAAAAAACCTCTCTCGTTCAGAGAAACGTGCACATGAATCTGCCGTCGTCGTTCGTACGCTCATTGTTGGACCATTCGGCATCGTGCCTACTTCCGCCAAGACAAAACCTTTGTCAAAAGCAAAGCTGGCGAAAGTCAAGTCAGAGCTCATTCATCCAAAGTCCGCCAACAAAGTCATAGCTCAATTACGCGCGATGCCTTCTGGTGACAACCTCATAGGTGCTGGAACCAACCTAGACGGATCGAAGTCTACTGCATACCCCAGGGGACCGATTCATGCAGTCTGCCTCGCATACACCGATGAGGAGGCGCATCAGCAACACTTTCGCAAGCTCAAGGGACAGGCTGCAGTAACAGAAGCAGTAACGTCGACCTATATAGAACGTACCGTTAGTGCCACGACTGCTTTTGAGACCGTAGCAAGTGTCACCAATGCGTCCGTCACCCAACTGACGGAGATGTTCTCCGAATTGAAAATCGTCAGTCTCATCGCCTCTCCAGACCTTGGATTAGGGCAGCCGGGGGATGGACCAGGCATACTGAGTGGAGCTTTACCAACCGCGGATACGGTCTTGCAAGGTATTCAACAGATAACCCCCCAACTTCTGGCGTTAGGGTATGCTACGGGAAAGGCCATCCTTCCCGACCATTCTGGTATGGAATGCGATATATGCCTTCTCCATCCGGCTGACACCGACATCGTAGGTGTATATCCTCCTACTGATAGGATGTCGGTAATAACATGTCAGTGCGGAGTCTAATGTTGCTTGAGGATACTGACAAACAGTCATGTCTCCAGATTGGTGGGGCTTTGAACTGGTCCTTCCACCACCGTCTATAGATTTCCTCGGTGTAAGTTGAAAGTTGAGATCAGGCCTTCCATGGTTCCTATATAATTTTGCTGATACATGCAATGCAGAATGTCCCCTCGATTGCACACGCCGTCATGAACTTCCTTACAGGCTTGTCACTCGTCAACAATGGTATCCGCGAGATTCTTCCCTTCATCCGCTATATATCGCAATATATCGACTCCGAGTTCAATATGATCAAGAGTCAAGATCAGAGGCAGGGGGTAGTCTGTGCTGCAACCTGGTTAGCAATAGTCTTTACTCATTCACAGTTCACTTCTGAGATCTTTGAAACACAGGATTATGCCAGCAGCACTTGTTCCACGCCCGTGGGACTTCCCCCCACCACCAGTCGCCGATAAACCCTCGACGCCACCTGACTCCGGCGCGGACACACCAAACGAAGACGTTCCAACTCCATCACCAGGAACTCCTCGTTCTGGGCAGCCCACTCTTCTGCCCCCTCCACTGAACACCGATTCAGTCTTTGTGGGTGTAGATGGTATGCCACCTATAGACGATACCCCAGTAGAGGTGACTGCAGAGGGGACGGATATACCCGACGTTCAGGTGATCCCACCCACGCCGCCTGCTACTGAAACCCTTCGTGTCAAGGAGAGACACCTGGAAGAGCAGGAGGGACGCACAGATGGCGGAGTGGATAACCTGAAAGACCTTGTTGCGGACAAATAATACTGATTCTTTTCCATCTTTATTCTTTCACTCTTTGCATGGATACCGATTCACTACCTTTCACGAAAGCACATACCTGATACAATTGATACCCACCTTCGTTTCCTTATAACTATCTTTTATGGATGGGACTTTTCCTCCTCTTTGCAGCTTGTTCACTTGATGGATGTAGATTATATAGGCCTGTCCGATCATAGTACGATCCTATCCCGAGTTCAATGTACAAGTCCAGGATTATCAGTACAAATTTATAGAAACATAACGTCTTCCATCCGATATGAGCAGGGTGCGATCGCATCACTGCGTAGTCACAATGCCATCGGGCTCTGTTTGTACAGGAGACATTAAAGGCAACTCATCATCAAGACAATAGAACGCACCAATGAAGTCAATGACACCATCTTGGAGACCTTGAGCTTCCAATTGTTGGACGTAAGAGGTGGGAATTGCGGCAGAGAACCCCTTTCGTGGGAAGTACGCTCCCGTTAGACTCTGAGAGCGCGCTAGCGTGAGTGGCTCACCTTGAGAGCAGCATCATATTTGTGGCCAATGCTTCCCCCTGCCGCGAACAAATCGTTAACTCTAACAGATCCTCAAAGCACCGTAAGACCTACCATTCGCCTTCACGTCCTCGATGTACTTGTCGATCTGCGCCTGAGAGACATGATCTTTGAATGCAACGATATAGTCTAACGAAAGTGTCAGTACATGACGTAGTGCGAGCATGATATCACTGACTTCCAGACATTGTAGGTGTATTTGTTAGAGTGCGATGGGTGATTTGCTTCGGGATGAAGCTCCTAAAGTGACGAAGAAAGTACAGTGTGGATGGGAGTTGGGAAGCTCGCTTGAAAGGCACAGTCAGTGCCTCGGATAGCTCAGCCACTTCCGCAGGCCAGTACGATATTAGGGCGCCTGATTTCATCACACTTGCCTCATAAGGCATGCTCCCTCGGCGCTACAGTAAAGCAACTTCATTACATTCAAGCAACCTTTAAAACGCGCTGGGACACGCAAAGGGAAATGCCTGAGGCCGGACCCCGGGGCGCCTAAGTGAGGCATTCTACCCAAGTGAAGGTTCCTGACCGGTTTGGATGCTCAACAACCCATTTTTCACTCATTTTTTTGGGCTAGATATTACTTCCTATGTACATAGTATTACATACAAAAATTTGAGATTTTTAGCGTGACCATAGAGGGTGGAGAAAGCGGTCGAAGGCCCACTTACTTACATACCTGCCTAATTTGGATGGGGTTTTCCTCCATCAGAGGCCCTGATGCCGCGCAGCGCATCTCCGAGAAATAAGCGGCGTGTCCCATGAAGAAAATGGGCCTTTGCAGTTTTTGGCTGGAGTGTTGGCGGAGAGCGTGTCCCATGAAGAATTCGCATTTTGGCTCTTCATGGGACACGCATCGCGATTTCGGCCGCTTTTCCTCACTTTCTGGCGCTTTTTTTCCATCAATAAATCCCTCTCGACTATCTCTACCTATTCCACATTGTCGGCAGTCCCCCGACCGCTCCCCGCCCTCCCGATCACCGTTCGACACATCCCCGCCTTCCCCCGCCGCAGTGGTTGTGATGAAAATCGACCAGCAGGGAGCCCGGAGGATGAACGACAAAGTACGTTTGGCTTAAGACAGGTAACGGTAGTCTTGTTGCAAACGCATAAAGAAAACAAGTATGCTACGGATTCGTGTACGCTACGATCTACGTAAGGTTCATGCTCCGACCGCTAATCTCCATGAGTCGCCGAAGCGCCCAATTTACAACACACCCACTCGCTAAAGGCGACGAATAACAAAGTCACCCACTGAATGAGATAACACAACAAACAACAAAAATCAACCTATCCACAACCTACATATCCAGCATCTTCCAGCGACTGACCCTCCGAGTAAGTGACCCAACAATGAGTTCTGCCAAACTCCTACTTGCCACGTCGGCATGATCTGAATCCTGCAGTCGAGCGATAGTTGTCTAGAACAACTGAAGTCCAGGGTAATGAGGGTCCGTGAAGGCCATCTTCGCATGAACATCATCCTCCAAAGCAGTGTCCTCGACTGGAGCTGAAGCACGACAATAATGAGCAATGTGACCGAGTTTCAAGCAACGATGGCACTTGGGAGAGGAACCACGATTATTGGTGGAATACTTGGGCTTACGTGTGCTGACATTCAGAGCACCAAGGGCACCTTCAGGGGTGAGCTTCTTCATCTGCTCCTCAGCCTCGATGAGGCTAGCAGTGATGTCGGCAATGGAAGGGGAAGAAGTCAATTGCATGAGGGAAGTCGCAACAGCAGTGTACTCAGGTGCGAGGGCGTAGATAAGGACATCGGTGACATCTTCATCCTCAACGGTGACGCCAATGGCCTTGAGTTTGCTGACGATGGTGGTGATACCAGTGACATACTCGATGATGGGGTTCTCAATCTCATGGGAGAACATGTAGAACTGACGCTTGAGCATGATGCGCGTAGCGCGACCATTCCGCTCGTAAATAGCGGCAAGAGCCTTCCAGGCTCCAGGACCAGTGTTGCACTCACGAATGTGCGCCGTCTCGCTCTGCTCCACAGCAAGCCCGATCGCAGTGAGACCATCCTCAGATAGCGAATCCCAGATCGCAGCCTTCTTAGGGTCATCATCTGGACGTAAGAGTTTGCCGCTAACAACGTGCCAGCAGCCGGCGCGACGGAGAATCATCTGCATGGCGAACTTCCAATCATAGTAGTTCGACCCATTGAGTTTGATGATCGAGGCGATGAGCGAATTGATGTTGGTAGACATGAGAAGCGATGTGTGGGAATGAGTGACCGAATGAAGGAAAGGAATCCACCGGGCAGCTTGTATAGCCTACAAGCGGGCGATGCGTTTGTGATGAAAATCGACCAGCAGGGAGCCCGGAGGATGAACGACAAAGTACGTTTGGCTTAAGACAGGTAACGGTAGTCTTGTTGCAAACGCATAAAGAAAACAAGTATGCTACGGATTCGTGTACGCTACGATCTACGTAAGGTTCATGCTCCGACCGCTAATCTCCATGAGTCGCCGAAGCGCCCAATTTACAACAGGTTGGGGTCCATCGTGTCCCGGGACACGCACTCAGACGCCCCCCCGCCAACGGCGCTTTGGCGCCCGTGTCCCGTAGCAACTTGATTGCATTGAATGTGTGCCCCTCTTGCCTTCGGACCCACTGTGGTGCGTTTTAAATGGCCCTCTCAGTGAATTTAATGGGGTTCTCGAATTTTTGGATTTTCTGTGCACTGAGTGTGCAATTATAGGAGGCACAAGGATGGGCGCCTCCCAAACTTCAAGGTCAATATTGGGCTCCGTAGACCATTGATCCAGCTGCGCATGTGCGCTACTCGAGTAGATGCTCCACTAGGGGACCAGTTTTAACAATAATAAAAACATGCATCCTGTACAATCTGCCAGGCTGGTGCAAACAAATCTACTAGTAGAAGCTCAAGAAGAGAATGGTATTGTCGAAATCAGTGTCGTCATAAATGGGCGAAATGCAATTCGGGTAATCAAATGCCCTACTCGGAAAACCCTGAAGAAAGCATGAATGGCACGATTCTGAAGAGTACGTTACATTGCACATCAGGCATGGCGATAGTTCTTGCCCTTAGAGTTGCCGTGGACTATGCCGAGTTGCCTTCAGCAACGGCCCACATATAGTAAACACCTGACGAAACCAACTAGTAAGTATTCAGTTTCAACATCGCTGAGCTAGCAAACATACCAAGGCTGCGATATGGTTTCCATGGGTGCGTGAACTCACCCATCTCGGTCGGACTAAGCAACTGAGATTTCCTGTACAGCGATATCAGTAAATTATCGCGAAACGGGAGTAACACTACATACCCCCGCTGCTTCGCATTCAGACGCGCCTTCAGGGTGTTGGAAGTAATTCCATAAGGGAGAGGTATAACGTCTTCTCCAGGCATTGTGATGGTATGACTCACAGCCTTGTTCACTGACGGTGTGACTGGCGGAGGCGGGGCATTACTGCCTCTTGCCTGTGGTGTGCTTGGTATGGCGGCAGCTGGTAGAATCACTGAAGCGTCTGACTCGCCCGCAGATCCTGACGCTGGAGCAGCAGCCTTGACATCTGTTCCTTGTGTTGAATCTTGTTCGTTAGGACAGCCGGGTAACTTGTCTGGTGAGATACTGATATTAAATGAGGGTTCGTGCATGGCTAGAAACCAGCGTGTGACGCCCCGCTGCACCCCAAGGTCACCTGGTTGTGAGGTACATGCATATCTGTATCATCGGCGAGGGCTGCAAGAGGTCTGGGACACTCACCGGTAGGAAGAATATCCGGACGGCGGAGAGAGAATATGGCAAACATGTCCACTGTGAGGAGGATCAGCACACGTATTCACAAAGCGCTACAATTAACTTGCCAGTCCACTGTGCAAGATGATCAGCTAGCTATTCGCGACAAAACACTACGCTGGCACTGATACTCACGGGTCCAATTCCGCGGACATCAGTCAACAGCCCATAGAGTTCATCGTCATCCGCTTGAAGCAGCTTTTCAGTTGACAGTCTGCCATCTGCAAAGCGCTGGGCCAGGTCCAAGACTACAAGACCATGTATTAGGACCTTTCCATAGACAGAAGAATCACACCCTGACTATACGATGCCTTTCTTTCGCTGAGGCCAGCCGAACGCAATGTTGTAGCATCTGTTTCTGCTACTTGCTTTGCAGTAGGGAAGTATGCATCCTTGCTGAAATAGGCGATTATTCAATTCACGCAGATGAAACCCTTATGAGATTAGACACAAACTCGTATGGGACAGTAGCCTTCTCTGGCAACCCAGGATTGAACAGTCGGATGAAGCGATGTTGTATAGCCCGTGCCGCCTTCCACGAAATCTGCTGTCCCCTCAAGAAAAGAAATCGATTGACAATGGATCGTACAGGTGAAGTCACACGGACTTACAATATAGACACCGCCAGCGTACTAAGACGTAATCGTCCATTGTAAACCTCCCATCGTTTGAGAATGCATACATTTTACATACCTGAAAGGGTCGAATTGTTGCAAGTGCTCAAAGGGTCCACAGCCCAGCCTGTCGAAAAGGATTTTGAATCGAGCATCGACACTGATGAGATGCTTCTTCGCATCATCGAAGGAGAATGTCAATTCGGCAGGGACAAGGCTGCGAGAAGGATCATCCAGAGGAACTGAAGGAGGAGGCAGGTCGATGTTGACGTCCTCGCTCTCTTCGGATTCCTCCTCCTTGACCTCTGCTTTTGCCTTTTTCTTTGATGTTCTTCCTCCACCATTCGCAGCCTTTCGCTTTGTACCATTGGTCTTTTTTGTCGCAACCTCCGGAGGATTATCGACAACGTCGGTCATATTTACAGTGTTGTTCCTACTAGCAGAGCGAGTAATCGGCATATTGCGGAAAACGAATGAGGAGTGCAGAACTCGAGGGAAGTACGAAACACGATGGAACAGGGCAAGCATGGGCCCGCAGGGGACCAACACCCTCGACCTCCATCAGCACTTTATAGTGAAACGGTGGGCACTGGGCAATCGTCGGTAACTTTCCGACCCACTAATGGCGCTCTGATTGAGTCAGTCGCCGAAGCACTGGTGAAACGAATTTATCCCGGATTCCCGTTGTAGTCGGTCATTCCTGAGCCAAGAAGTTACCAAGTTCTAACACCACCACCGTACGTCTCTCACATTGCTGGTATGCAATATTTCGCTATTTATGACTGGCCATAGTGCCTTTGCTTGTTCCTACCCGGTATGGCTTGATATCGTTAGCAACAGCAGACTCCTATCTGCGACAGAATGCGACAGCGTCCATCAACTAAAGAAGCCATCAGCACCACTTCCCATTCGGAATGGTCGCTATTCACAGTATAGCCTTCAGGCGTCCGAGTTCGATTCAATACTTGGTGAACATGATTCATCCCCATTGCGTCTTATGCCTTTCAGTATCGTTCTGAATGTCATCGGTCCACCACTCCGGATTGTCTTTAAATGGCAGAGTGCAGCATGAGTGATTCCACAAGGAGTTGATGGCTCAAACCACTGGTAACAAGCCTACATCAGGGACTTTGAACCATGTTGCAAGCCTGAGTATCAGGGTACCCCGTACCCCGAAGAGTGAGTAAAACGGTTATCGTCATCGGAATGTGAAGATACAGCACCATTTAATCTGTACACAGGGAGAAGACAGATTTCGTTGCTGTCCATGACCTTTTACAACTTCAGGCTTTATAGCGATGTGTTAGCTATAGAGCGCAGGGTGACAAGTCTGCCGGATATTCTCACATTTTTGTCTCAAGGTATGCGACACGCCTGTTTCAGTGTCGGATTGGTATATTCCTGAACAGTCACTTTCACCATGTAGTCCCTTTTTAAAGGTTCTCGGACGCGCCGATTTGCTACACATGCACAGTGGTCGACCTAGAATTCACTACACCGTTAAAAGGACCTCGAAATTGCACTAGCATGTCTAGGCTACTTATGTTCCTAGAGCACAGTGTTGCCTGCCAGTCCCTACAGCACATCTGAATGTCAATGAAGAGCAATCACTCACTGTATGGTACTTGTCTCAGTTGGTCTCTTCAGAGGATGTAAGCGAGACAGGGGGTCAACAGTTATCGACACCCCCTGTAATGATCCAGGGTATTGAGACCTGACAGAAACGGAAGCAAAATCCAAAACAATTGCCCGAGCACGATCGATCTATGAGACGGAAGTAAATCAGAAATGGTGGCCGCTCGGACAACCTTCTGGGCCAGTGTTGCACCAGTCCCGGTGCCCTAGCGATTCGCAACAAAAGAGATGAAAAGACAACCTGCAGTACCGAAGAAGAAAAGAGGTCCTGTGAAGCGACATGGGCGTAGGTGTACAAACAAGGACCAAACAGACAAGTCAAACATGCGGTTCTGGCGAGGCAAGTTCATCTTGCCTCGTTCCGGATCTGCTCCTCTCTCTGCCTTCGTTGCTTCACTTATACTATTCATATAAACTGACGTCTGGATTCCCTTTTCTCTGTATCATATTACCCTGCTTTTTCTCGACAAGGCGCTACCCTATACACCCAAACCTAACACGCTCAAATATACTCTACCCACCATGTCTGCAGTAGGATCCCCACCTCCGGATGTAATGAGAACATTCATGTTGAGGTCGAGCACTCCTGGTACGTCATCTCATTTGACCGGCGTGCACGCCGCTGAACTCCCAACTTTCCGTAGCTTCAAATGAGAAAGGTAATTGGATCAATGACGTTCGAGATGCACTTTCAGTTAAAAGCCCTTGACAACCAGTACTACTCTACCTTGAGGGGATGCAGAAGGCTCCTCCCGCTGATGACGAGAACGCCAGTACGGTAGGTTCAAAGGTGCACTCCCCGGTACCGCGAACTCGAAGCATCGCAAGTACACGAAGACTCGAAGAGATGACTGGCGACAATGCTGATTACAACGGTGGCGAAGACATCAGATCCGACATACAAGAGGGGAACGGGTCTGATATTGCCCGAACCATACAAATTCAGACCACAGGCTTCGTGAGTTCACTTGCATCATGGACTGAACAATAGCTGAATGGCTTCGTGGCGAACAGCAGGAGCCTGAACATGAGCCTGGACCTAATGACCCACCTGGACCTCATTTTGAGTCTTTCGGATCGTCTTTCGGGAACTTTGGTCCTCTGCGGGACAGCTTACCCAACGGCAATGGCAACGACTGGAATGGGCAGGTTAGTGTCTACCACCCAGTCATCAATTCCCGTTGGTTGATCATCAACATAGCCTTGGCCGACCAGCCCCTCTAAAGCAGCAGGCGTTCCCTTGCCTGAGACGCAAATTGGTTCAGCGACCGAAGGTCACGCGAATCCGTTCCAGGTGCGCGCTCTTGTGTCAGTAGATTCGGTTTGGTGTCCTGAGTATCACACAAGCAATTTGGAATGACTCCGGCTGGTGCAGCGGGTATTCCGCTTCCCGCTTCCGTCATGAGCGGTGGAAATGACCCACCTCTCAGTCCAGGAGGCTCCAAAAGCCGCCGTACTGGAGCACCATCTCAAGCATCACGCCGGGCTCCTTCGGCTGCTGACGCACTTTCAAATGACGTGAGTATTGGTTTCAGTAGGACCGCGCTGATCATTCACACTACGTCGTTAAGGCATTTTCCCCCAAAGCAGCATCGCGTGCACTGTCTCCTACACGGACATTGAATGGCGGTAGCCCACCCTCAGGGAGACCGTTGTCACCTCGATCCGCTACTTCTCAGGGTCAGAAATCGCGTATTACCTTGAAGTCCAGCCGAACGGTCTATCCTCCTCTCCCAGATACCGTGCTAGAGGACGGCCTGAGATCTCCAACCCAGCCAGGAGAGTCTCCTCCCCCACGAGCCAACACCAAGACACCCTCCATTGCGCCTTCTGAATCTGCCTCCAATTATCATGTTAAGCGTTCAGCCGGAAATTCCAAAGGCACCTCACACAAACCATCCAAATCCTTGAAGAGTATTGCGGAAGTACGAGGTGAATCTATTGCGAGTGACCGCGGTGGGGGTTCTCGGGCTGCAGCTTCCCAGCGAGATGGTACATGGTCCCTCCTGATTTGCGCTTTAGCGTTGGCTGACATACATCAGCAGGTCGCTCACAAGCACCGATGTCACCTCGCAGTAATGCCACGCAAACCGTTCTTCCCACTCACAGAACCGGGAACACCAATGACGATTTGCATCGTGTTGCTGCGGCGCTATCTACCATGAGGTCGAAACGTTCCAACGTTGATCCTGAGGCTACTCCTACACCTTCACGACCAGCATCTCCTATTGTTGACTTGAACGCAGAAGAAGAAAAGATGGTTAACGACGTCTTGAGACGGCCGGCTCGTACAAGAACGTCACTTGCTTTATCGACTGCAGCGCCTTCCATGCTGGAACCTGAGATTCAGCATTCCCATTTCCACGATATGGAACTATGTCAGTTGTTGCATTCCTTAGATCAACCCACTGGGATGCCTGAGCCTGTCAAGAGGGCAGTTCGTAAGGCCGTTCGGGCGAGAGTGAAGAAACTCGGAATGAAATACGACAATGAGGTGAACACAATCTCTTTCGGTTTGCCATTCGATATCAAGAGATTGACGGGTTTTCTTGTAGTCTATCAAACAGTACAGGAAGTCGTTCCACGATCATGACCCATCAGTACATATGATGCAATCCACTATGTTACCTACGTCAAAGCGATCGACCCAAATCGGTTCCACCGCTGAAGCACCCGAGTGGGCGAAGGAGCTCATGGACGGCATGATGAACATGCGGGAGCGCCTCGACAGCCTTGCGCCAAAGATTGAACGCAGTCTTCGATCGTCTAGAGGAGGGTCCTATTTGACGGAGGGTCGGAGCTATCATGATGGACAACAGTATGGAGACTCTGAGATGCAAGGCGACTACACCCGAAGTCCTCTTACACAAACGACTCACATCCTCGCTCAACAAACCGGAACCATGGCAGATGAATCGATGTATCATACTGGTGACACCGAGGCCATACGTGATTCCACGCACCTTCATACCTTGCCTGGGTCCATGCATCACCATGATGGCTCCGCTATTCCCGAAGAAGATATGTATGAGGAAGACGAGCACATGCACCATCCTCCAACTACCCATGATGGAGACACGAGAGGTTTGCCTAGTGAATACAACGATCGGGAAGACTCGCCCGGTCAGCAATACCTTGAGGAGGAGCTATACAAGCTTAGAGTTAAGCCGAATCAATCCGTGGCTACGCACAAGACATGGGAGCTCGCTCGTGACAATGGCGACGAGTACGATGACGATGAGGGCGATGCACAGGCTGCAGTGACCGAGTCCGGCCTTCCAGAGATACCCGATGCGCATACAGGATACACCGAACCGCCGCTTCCACCGGTTCCTCAAATGCCTCAACCTCATCACTGGTCTCAAGGAGGATTCGAAGAACCCCAAATTTCACCTTGGCAGCGAGTTCATCAACGTCTCTTGAGCTGGGCCATAGTCTGGCCGATGGCTGAACTCGATAATGCTCTCAATAGCACGACTCGTGGAATGCAGGTGGATGAGATTGCATTGAGTATCTGGTCCACCCAGACATACAAACGTTACGTCAGGGCAAAGATGACAGATACACCCTCGGGACATGTCGATCGACTCTTTGTGCCACCGAATATGGCGGATGCAATTAGTACTGCTGTATATAACGGACGCCACGGGGATGCATGTGGGATGCTGAGAGATCTGTGGGCTCCTTTCGGCTTGGAGGGAATCCCAAGGTTGTTGATTGTATTGGCGAAACATCGCTCTGATGAGAACCACTGGGTTGTCCATCGGTATGCATGTTTCTTATTGTATCTCACTGAGTGGAGCTCCGCCGGCTGACCGTGTATGCGCACAGATTCTCATTGCCAGATGGATCACTCACCACTTATGACACCTATCCAGAGCGCTGCTTGCCCGATGGTCGCGTGAGTGGACCTTCTACTTCTCTTTGCTTTGCTTCTTTGTTGATGCTTTAGCCCATAGCCCCTTGGATGGTGGTTTGCCATTCGTATCGCCTGGCCTGATGCCATATATCCTAGCCCAGATCACCTCATGCAGAAGATGGTCAGGCTTCACCGTCCGATGCAACTTAGCATCGACAACTCAGTCGCCGCAGCTGGTATCTGGCGAAACCTTCTGATGGGTTCTCGTGCTGAACGAAGTCTGGACCTCGAGCGTTTGCGAGACCTCATCAACACGGAGGTGAAGAACCTTCGTCAACGTAAGCAGATGGGGAAGCTTTCTATCGGGTCTCCCCGACCAAACTGGGAGGATATGCATTGATGACGACACTTACGACTGGCGAATGTCTGCAATTTGTGGATCTAAAGCATTGTACATGCTGCTGCAGGTGTATGCTTGGCGACATGGACTTGAGACATTTTCGTATTTTGCTTTGCTTTCTCACCTATTTACTCCTCCGATACCAACGGTGCGATGCGCTACTTTCGCGATGTGTTTCGTAGTGCTATAGATTGTTGTATAGTGGCGATTAGTGTAGTACAATGAATGTTTTTCTTTCAGAGCTGTATCGATAGACGTGTGATACTGAATACGGAACTATTTGAATCACGTTAAACGTACACATCCAACAAAGTGTTCTTCTCACTCTTCGGAATTCTGGCCCATACCAGCTAGATAGAATTCAAGTGCGATGTCATAGTGTGCCTAGAACATCGGCCAAATTCTGGATGGGCTCATCAAAGGATTGTGTGGCAGCCGGCCGAAGTTGTACCTAGAGTGAATTCTCAGATAAGCACGCCCTCACCAAGAGCACGAGAACATACCGTTGTGGACGGTTGCATTCCTACTTCAGCATACTGACGATTGAGTTCATCTGTCAGCTCAGTCATTCGTGCTTTCGAGGTCCCCTTCCGAGACTTTTCCCGCTTCTGCAAAGCAGTCTTTGCAGCAATCTGGCGTACTTCTCTAGACTTGGATGCCTTCTTGTTTTTGTGTTGAGAAGTTGCCATGAAGCATAATAGTCGCAGGGTTGTCGGAAGGAACGGATGTTTTACTGGGTAGTCAGCGGTAGTGGTGGTCGTGAGTGGTCGTGGTGAGTGTTTGGAGGACGTGACGCTTGCTGCGGCAGCCACGCTCAAGCTCAGCCACATCTGTTTTGCACAAGCTTTCACCTTTCTTCCGACTCTCGTCCCTGCTACAAGCAAAAGATTGTGCCAGCATTCGACAGGACTCACCTCCACCGCACCTGAGTAGCGGGCAGGCGACCTGTATTGCACCTTGCTTGCTGGCATGACTGACCTTGCTTCACCAGATTGGGATCTCATTTCTTCCTACGGAGGTCTCTTGGCACTCGCTCTCATATCTATATACGCTGGTGCACATGGCTCTCTTTCGGTGCATTCTATTTCGTTTGTATCAAGCACCCTCGGACTGAGCTTTGTCGAATGTGTAGCCTGTAAAACCTCACCGTAGCCCAGAAGCCGCGGCTACTACCGATGACGAGGACGAGGAAGAAGAGATAGAAGATAGACTTTCGTCTTCCGATGCGTGGTTCTTCCCCGTCGTAAGTATTTCCTAACAATACGAAGGATTGCAATTTCACGAATATCTTTTGCACATCTTAGATTGGGTCCGTTATTTTGTTCGGCCTCTACATCGTTGTAAAGTACATTGGGAAAGAATGGATTAATTGGTTACTGCAATGGTACTTTACAGTCGCTGGCGTAGGCAGTGTTGGAAAGGTGTGTACGCACCACTGTATGCAACTGTCGACAGACAGGCTGACTTCATGTCCTGTAATAGTCTTTGATATCCTTGACTCGATGGACTCTTGGGACAACTTGGTGGAAACACTTTGACAGACATCGCTTCGTTTACTTGAAACACAAGCAAGGTATGCTTATAGTCGTAGCATCTGGTACTACTGCTGATGAACCTACCAGAGATACTTTCATTCTCGTGGCGAACGCCTTCAATATTCCTTATACCTCTGGGGGCGTTGCCCTCAATCCTTTATACCTTTGGAACCAATATCACTCGTCGCTCTGCTCTGCTTACGGACATTCTTGCTCTCTCTTTCTCTCATAATGCGCTCTCTTTACTCAAGCTCGATTCGTTCAAGACGGGCTGCATTCTCCTTTCTGGTCTCTTCGTCTACGATATTTGGTGGGTATTCGGAACCGAAGTGGTGAGTACATCTCACTGCTGCATTCGTGAAATCAGCTCTGACCCATACACCAGATGGTCAAAGTAGCAACCAATCTTGATGTACCAATCAAGTTGTTATGGACGAAATCCCTCACTTTCAACACCGAAAGAGGTTTTACCATGCTGGGCTTGGGTGATGTCGTCATTCCCGGTCTATTCGTCTCCCTAGCTCTACGATACGACCATCACAGATCGTCACAAAAATCGACAGACGGCAAGTTCGACAAACCATATTTCTTCGCAGCTTTACTCGGTTATACGGTTGGACTGGGCACCACCATGTTTGTCATGCATACCTTCAAGGCAGCTCAACCTGCCTTGCTATACCTCAGGTCCGTTTATTATTTCACTGTGCAATTGGCTTGTACTCATATGGAATTTCGCATCTCACAGTCCCGCCTGCATCTTGTCGTTTTTGCTCACAGCGGTAGCACGAGGAGAGCTGCAGGACGCATGGACATGGAGCGACGAACCACAGAGTCCAAACACCACCGAATCTCACGAGCCTGTCAAGAACGGGGATGCCAAGGCAGCTTCTGAGACTGCGGAGATGAACGGAAATAGGTTGACAGCTTCAGACACTTTGGCCGGACCAGAAAAGGATAGTCAACTCTCAGATGCAGGATCTCAGGGCGAGGGACACGAAAAGAAGCGAAGGACAAGGAAGAAGAAGATTCAGCAGAGTTGACTGGAGCCTTCCGTTTGCTCGTTGTTTCTTGTGCAATTGCCTTTAGCTCGGTGACGAAGTACCACGGCCTAAGCTGGCCCAAGTATGTCGAGCGGAACACCATTTCCGAGCGCATTCTTGACAACCTTTTTACACTATGGACCCGGCAGGATCAGTGGCGTTATGTCCTTAACGGTCAGGACTTGCCAATTTATTGTCATCCGATGTGTGATGCAGGCACTAAAAAGACAATGAGTTGCTACAGAGCCATGGTTTCGGTCAAAAGTATATCGGCACGATCAGATACATTCACTGCTGTACTAGGACCGCAGAATACTAACCTAAAAAGGGTTCTCGGATTACTTATAAACCCATCATGCGTGAAGAGAGCGACCTGATCGGCGAGGCCGGTGGCGTCGTGGTGTCTCGTGGTGTGTGTCCACCGTCGAGAGGATCGGAATCTGAGACTTGCTGGTGGCCAGGGCAATTGCCAGCATCCCACGATTATTTTCCCCCACTCTCAGTTCTACTGTAGTGTTTCGCGCATTTGTTCACGTCACAGGTCACAGGCTCGAAAATGAACTGAATTTTCGGGTCTGTCACAGGTCACAGAGGATCGTGAACTGACATTTGGAAGCATGACCGGGCGCTTAAACGAGGGTCAGTGCTTTGAAGGGCCGCACAAGTGCAGCTTTCTGGCTACTTTCGGCTATTCTTTCAGGTTGCTGACATTATTTGAGAGCTTACAATGTGCCTCCCAAGCTTTGGAAAGGGATTGGTAGTGCGTTGACAGAATCGGCAATAGCCATGAACATGATGTCACAGGTCTCTCCGAACTGTGAACTGGGAACCGGACCGTCACAGGTCACAGGCCGTGAACAAATGCGCGAAACAGTACAGTATATGGGTGTTCTACCGCGAACATTCAGTCGCATAAAGCCACATTGTTTTGCTTTACACCGGTCGAGATCGCATCCGCGAAACCCCGCAGAATAAGACTACAGTATGACGTGCCATGTGCAACAGCCGTTCCCGACCAGAAGGGACAGAATTCACAGAACGCAGGAGAATAGACCTAGAATGAAATGACGACATACCAGCACTTCGCAGGAAGCTTCGAGGAACGCTCGAGTTCAACGACGCAAGAGTCCAGGCCGTTCGTGATGGATTCTTGGAACAACAGAAGGGGGAACGCGCGAATATGTGCACATAATAACGTTCATGCTCAAGGTTCTTGAGCTTCGTTGGACAGACGTCAATGTGAAATTTCTTGTTAGAGTTGTACCTAAAATGAGAACCTTTTGCTTCCCCTGAACCATGTGAGACCGCCGATGTATAGAGATTCAGAGAACGATCAGAAATGTGGGTTGCGTGCAACTGTGCATTGTGCAGTGAGATCAAGACAGTATCCCAAAAGGACCATTTGTAGACATGACTAGGAACTCGTCCATTAGGGCAGCCGGTCGGTGCCGAAAAAGATCCGTTAAATCGGTGAGGAGTCTCCCGACACGAATCGAGGAGGCCTTTGGGATATGCTAGGGCGAGGGGATGGAACGGCGCCGCTTGAGAAGATTCTGTCACAAGAAGTGTATTTGGCAGAATAACGACGCCGTTGGTCAAAGGCGAGAATCAATGGCCGGAGTGTCCATGCGACTTCAACTGAAGGAAGTTACTCCACCTATTCATGATCTGGAGGAATGGGAACATGAGTCAGCATCGGAAAGAAAGACACGGCAGCACAGTGGAATGGCGGCAAGAGGCGGGAGCTTGAGGGTTCATATGGTACTGGAAAAGAAGGAGCCTAGCAACGTGTGCAGTCTATAGGCTCGTCAAATGTTCACATGATACTAAACGTTTGCAAGGAAGCCGAGCGCCGTAGAGAGCAGAGTCTGCCGTAGACAGAGAGCGGCCGTTAGTGCGCAAGAATACAGTGTTAGGATAGTTGACAGTAGCGGCGCCCAAGAAGTGTCGTATGCGGCAGGGTAGAGCATAATGCAAATCCTTCCAAATATTGATGAAAATGTGTCCCTATGACCCAGCAGAGTCAATAGGCAGCGTCAACGAAGAGATGCAGAGGCGTAACGGTGAGAATTCTCCTTGGAACTTCCGATTTGCTTGGAGAAGTGGCACAATTCGAGGCCGTGGGTGCTTGCCTACCATCTGGATGTTCAAGGGGAGAAAGAAGACGCAACGACCGTGCTGTCACCAAGTGAGTGTGTGGACAACACCAGTTGTTTGACGCCTAGTTCCGGCCGTTTTGTAGATGTCTCTTTCAACCCTGGCGTATTTGTTCACGGGCATAATGCTAGAGATGAGACGTGAAGAGCAGTAGGGTCACGGGAACGACTCGACAAATGTGAAGCGACCCCTGCCTTCTTGTGAGAACGTTGCGAAGCATTTGGACTCCCGTGTCGGGGTTAGAGGGTCCCTTGAAGTCAAGCCGCCTGGCAACGAACGCGTCGCGCAAGTGGAGAGACAGGCCGGATCTAGTTCAAGTAGACACTTACCAAACACGACCAAGTACTGTGAGTATGCTGGTGAGGCGCCGTGTCCTAGAGTGGAGATGTTAAGCACAGAGAGTTCTCCAGAAACAGAGTGAGTGACCCGAGTTAATGCATAGCAGTTCGGCTGCATCAGACACAGAGCCAAATAGGACATCACACCAAGGTGTCGGATGAAACTGAAGTGGCCAGGAGGAGAGGATTTGGTCAGCTGAAGGAGAATAATACAGCGAGGAAGTCAGGGCTCATCAGCGTTGTACATACGTATCTTAGATCTACACTCCGCTGCTAAGAAGCACCGACAAGATGATTGATGGTGCGGAGTACAAAGATGGTAGAAAGTGAAGTAAGAGGCCGTGAAAGGAGACGTTATTCAACTTACAGCACAGATGCAGAGATTCGGTATATCAAATCCGTGCAGGTAGCAGGCCTACGCGAGGGTAGTTGCTTTGCAGCGTGATGGATCAATGATGGATCGATGAGTGGTAGAGGGGATGCTTCAACTTGCTTGAGCTAGTATTCTATACAAATGCGAGAAGGAACCATGTGAAATGAGGTTTAGGAGGCCCAGAAGAGACCTCGGACACGGCGCGATCGACTTAGCAAAAGCGGGTAAGTGCAGGAAAGCTTGCAAACGACTTGGCTCCGATTGGAGTTGTCAAGTACGCTATCGATGTCCTGGACAGAGAGAGAGAATTGCGCTATAAAATCAGGGGTAGTAAGATACGAGCATTCATTTGCTGGTCGGGAAGAGAGAGGAAAGCAGAAAACTTTTGCCTGTTGAGACATAAGCCGAAAGGAGAGTTGAATGACTGCGTTTGGAGGGAGGCAGCTTGAACGCATTAAGCGTGGGATCCCAATCGCCGGAAATAGCAAACAGCCATTGAGAGCCCCCGAGTCCGCGGTCCGTGTTTGCGATCCTGGCTGTTGGCTCAGGGCTGCTTTCTTACTCCTTCTCCTCGCCGTCGTTTACACCCTCCTCGTCGTTCTCCCCATCCCTCAAGCATCCGTGAGCATTGTGCTCAACATTGTAGGCCGTCCGTCCGCCCTGGCTTTTCCTTCAGGACCGCCTATCCTCATCCCTGCCGCCGCCTTCACCCGAGATTCATAATCGTGCGTAATTTTCGCTTGCCCTGTGTCTCGGTACAGCTCAACCCGCACTCTAGTATCACGGGCAGTCCATGGACCCGCCCGTTTCATCTTCTAAGGAATTTGTTGATGCCGCAAAGAGAACCTGGTCTCCGCTTAGACCGACTGTGAATACTGCCCTTCTCTCTCCAACTTCTTCATCGGCCACTCCCCTCGATCGCAGCCCGCTTCCTACCTCCGTCACCAATTCTTCCGCTTCATCTCCTTGGTCACAGCAGATGTCTCTCGCAGGCGGTGGTCAACCTCAGTCTTTGCCTTATTCACTACATAACCCCTCTCCCCATCCAAACTCGAGGCTGCCGACTTCTGCTTCGCATGATTCACTCTCCTCTCTGCCCAACAATATTTGGTCTAATGTCTTTTCTGCCCCTCTTGATCCCTCTACCTTCGCTGCCCTTGCAGCTTCCGGCATGATTGGTCCCCCCACCCCCGGCGCCTCAAGCGTGCCTTCAAGATCGTTTCGTTCTCCTGCAGATCTTACCCCCAATGCTCCTTCTCGCTCCACACAATCCGCTTCTAATGCTTGGCCATCTGTGCCAGCATCCTCCTCTGCTCTCTCGCAGAGCCGACCTCATATACAACCAATATCCGCCAATGTCCCTTTTGGCAAGCGTGAGTCTTTCCTTTGATGATTTACGTAGTAATGAGTCCTGATGCTTGATCGTTTGTGCAATAGGAGGAAGCGAACATCATGTTCAAAGCGTGAATACAATGCCTCTACATCACGATCGACACGGCTCCTCCAGTCAGACATACTACGGAGCTAATGGCCCCATCAGCCCTTACGATGGGTCGTTTGATACTTTTCCGCATGGTTTCTCCACACATAGTCAGTCTGCCATGTACGGCTCGCATTCTCATATGCCAGAGCGTATGACTCCTGGCATACCTCCTTCGTTATGGATGTCACCAACATCCACGGCACCATCTTCGCCTCAGTTTCCCCCAACTATGGCTAATGTGAGCCAGATGCTGCCACCACCAGCGCCGAATTCACTAGGAGGATCGTCTTCAAGCTCATCACATTCGATATTTGGGGGCTCATCGAAATCTACGGCACCGACGAGCGCAGATAGCCCGAAGCCTAGTCGTCCGTTTGCGGACATGTTCTCTGATGATATCTTCAATGTAACAAGTCCCATAGCAACTGAAGCGGTCGCGAAAGGATTCCCATCGCCCAAGATGACCGGTTCTCCTGACCTCAAAGCTGCTGAGTTGGCTTCGGGAGACGGTGATCCTGAAAAGATGGCGAAGGAAGATCCTCTTGCTACGCAGGTGTGGAAGATGTATTCCCGGACAAAGGCTGCATTACCTCATGCGCAAAGGATGGAGAATCTGACTTGGCGGATGATGGCGCTCGCACTGAAGAAGAAGAAAGAGGACGAAGAAAAGGGGAAGACTGGCGAACAAAATCCCTCGCTGGAGAAGGAGAAATCATCAGACGCACCGGATGCGTCTTCAGCGCGACCGCCGGGCAGCGTAAAGGAAGAGGAGGTGACGGAGAGAGGGAGGACGATTGACAAGGGAAAGCAAAGGGTTCAGATTGTAGGGTTTGACGGTGCGAGTGCGGATGCAGCGGAGGAAGTTGAGTGCGTGTCTTTATTTGAGATCTCTGCGAAGAGACCATTTTGCTCAATGTTACGCCATATAGCGAAGTGCCAATGGACTGGCGAGCTATGAGCAGATCACGGTCTCGCGTGCCGATGGATTGGCGCCCGCCTTCACGTTCACGATCGCGTCCACCAATGGCGGGAATGCTCCCCGATCAGCAGAACCAATTCAAGTTCCCTACAAGCGGTTCCCCTCCCAAGGGCTTATCCAGCTCCCCAAGCATACCTATACCCAGTACCTCTGCGTGGTCTTCAACCAGACGCAGTCCACCGTCTTCCATCGCTGGTCTTTCCGGTCTTTCGTCTGTTTTAGAGAGCTCTGCTGAGCAACCTGCCCCTCGGCCTGCTCTTATGCACTCCTTTTCGGGTTTGAATAGTCCTGCAGGACACCCTGCATCTCTCCCGTCGTTTGGCCTCCACGGATTGCCAAAGGCGAGTGTATCTACCGCCCCGTCGCCTGAAGAGCGGACTTTCCCGAAGCACGTTCGTAAGACGAGCTTTGATCACACAGTGGCTAGAGAGGGCATCTTTCCAGGGGTGAGTGGTCGACATCAGGTCAATGGCAAGCCTGTGTCCCCTGAAAGTGTCCTTGGCACCAAGCGACGTGCAGACGCTCCTCATCTTGAGAGCATGTTGCGCGGGGATCCTCCACTCGATGCTTCTTCTCTAGCGGGCCTTTCTCTGGAGCAACAACACCAACAACATCACGACTTGGACCGCAATTGCAATAGTCCGTTCCCCTCTTCGGCTTTCAACTTCAGTTTCTCCTCCTTTGATAACTATCATGACCTCCCTGGAATAGGACAGTCACTCCCTAATCATCTTTCACATCCTCTTAAACCATACGACCTTTCCTTCAATGAACACTTACGGTCGTCCATGAACGGCACCTTCTCACCGATAGGTACTGGTAATGAAGGGCTTTCAGCGGCGGCCGCAGCCGCAACAGCAGCCATGGCAGAAGGCTATGCGCAGCTGAACGTTGCCAATCTAACAGGCTTGGATGACCCCGGATTGGAGTATCAGTCACTCATGGGTATGAGCATGATGTACCCCAATCTCGATGGTCATTCAGGTCTCGGTCAACATCCGTATACCCACATCGATCCTACTCAGATCCTACCGCTGGATCATCCTGAAGTGCTATCGCAAAGCTTCCACCCTAGTCCATCAAGTGATGGCTGGGGTAATGGCGTTGGATCCAGCTCCAATGCGTCACCTGAACCGTATACGTCAAATGCTTCGACGCCGCCGTCAATAGACGGACATCCGAGCGGGAATCTCTCCAGGAATCCATCGAGGAAGATTGCTTCTTCAAGACGTATATCTTCGGAAGTCACTGGACGATCTAGTACGCACCGTAAGAGGTATGTTGTTTTTCTTTACTCTATGTTTCTCTCAATAGATTCTGATTTTGTCTCCTTAGTACGACGCCTGATTCGGTAGTGGGTGGCTCAGGACATGCGAACAAGGGTGGGGAGGACGGAGATACACCCCCGACCGTCTGCACTAATTGCGGGACGACAAATACGCCGTTATGGCGTAGAGATCCGGAAGGTCAACCGTTATGTATGTTCAACTCTATTTCTGCTGCGGTCGAACGTGTCTGACCTATTTGTTATAGGTAATGCTTGTGGATTATTCTTTGTATGTTCTTATTTCCCCCCTCCGGATGACTGACGCTAACACCCTTCCCTAGAAACTACATGGTGTTGTACGTCCTCTCTCGCTAAAGACGGATGTAATCAAGAAGCGGTGCGTGCAGCTTCGATTCGACGTCATCCCTTCGCCCAATTTAATTGTCTATTTGAATTTGTAGGAATCGCGCCTCTGGAACGCCTCATAACGCCTCACGTAAAGGAGGCAATGGACCGAAACTTGCCGCGAATGGCGTTCGGCCCAGATCATCTACCACTAGCTCTATGCCGAGTTCACTGCGATTGTCGCCCACGAACCGAATAGGTCCAAGTGCTGCAGCAGGCAGTACGCTTTCTATGAAGCGACAGCGACGGACTTCTAGTAGTGCTCAAATGCAGTCAACTGTCACTCGCAAAGGTAGCGAGGAAGGAACGGGTCTTTCATAATTCTGTCTTGCGTATGTTTTAGTATTCTTCTCTTGCATGCTTTCCATCTCTGCTGTATTTCTGGATAGAGTCTCTGTTGTTGGTTTCTTTTTGTTTGTTTTGGCGGGCTCTGAACTCACCTTTCTTCAATCTAATCCACTCATGTCATTCCTTCCTGTGCTCCCTGAGTCTCTTGTATGATGATGACAACGTAGATATCATAGATTATTATTCAACAGCTGTATTTCTCTGTGACAATCACGAATACTCTTACGCATCTGAAGAATTTGTCGAGTCGGAGTGGTTCGATCAAGGTTCGCTTAACTGTGAACCTCGCCAACGTCGGTCCCGCTAAGTTACAACTTGTGCGCGCTTTCCGTCTCGCCTAACCAGGCGTCGCCTCCTCCTTTCTTTACCTCCTTCATTTCCCTTACGTCCTTTCATCCTGGCTTCATTGTTCCGACAGCCGTCGCCACGGTCGCCTGCGCCGCCCTCATCATTTCCAACCAATCTGCAACCGGTTGGGTCCAGGGATCCCAATGGCTTGTATAGACGCGGTTCTCGCACAGACTTAGATTTCGAACAGGCTCTCCGTGGAGAGGGGACTGTACTTATCAAGGAGAGTCTGGACATAGACACACTGGGTGTTCTGGACACCACAAGTTCCACGATCAGCCCATTCTCTTCGCCCTCACCACCACCGAAAACTCCCTACATGCACTTCCAACCCGCAACACCCACCATAGTACCACCCACCCCAAGCCCAAGTAGTCGCGTCAATGGAGGTAACTCATCTTCGCGCGGCCAGAGTTCAATGTCTAGTGGCAGCGATATTTTCTACGACGCGGAGGATAGTGACTTGCAGACCAAGCGCCGCTCAATGTATCGCGCAGCTGGGACAGCAAGCAGCCCTGACCTCGCTACTCTTTTACGCAAAGCGAAGGCTCGAGAAGGAACTCCAAATAAAGACGTGAACAGATCGAGTAGCGCAGCTCTACCTCCTCTGACACCCAACAGGCTCCGTGTTGATGATGCTGATGCCACTCAAAGATCTCGCCAGCGGACTAACGCTACTAGTCCTTCCTCCTCACCCGTTCAGCAACGCACTCCGCTTTTGAAAGGAAAGGCCCGAGGATTGGGCAATCCGCAAGCGGTGAACGGTGGCCAAAGCCCTGATTGGGTTTTGACAAGCCCGCGCTCAATGAGCAACATGAAGGATACCGCCAGTAAAGTGAGTAAAGCATCTTGACCAGTTACATATGTAAGACTCACAACATGATAGCACTCTGGTAAGTCATCTGTACGGCAAAAAGCTGCCGCGTTTTTCGGAGGAATGTTAAGTAGTAGTTCAAGCACTCGAGAGCGTTCTGTAAGTTTCCTTATTCTATATAATCGCACTGTCTTTCAATCTCGCCCTTAGAGAACAATTACGCCGTCTTCATCCAATCAATCATACTCGGCGCCAGGATTTCTCAACGCATTTGCTCCTCCTGTTCCACCCCTTCCTTCCAAAGTAAAGCGTCATGTATCCATTACTTCAGAGGATGCGGACGTCTTCACCAGCCCTTCAGGATCGTCTGATATGCAGAAACCGCTGCCACAAATTCGGAAGCGTTCAAAGGACCCAGAACCCGAACCCGAACAGCATTCGCTGGATGAATCGTTGGTCATGGTTTACCAACCACAATCGCGTTCACCCTCACCCACTACGACTGTTACTCATGAAACCGTCAAGCCTCTATCCGCCTCCCGAAGAAAGCGAAGAAGTATGAGTGTCAGCGATGCAGAATTGAAGAAGACCATGGCAGCTTCTTTCGGCACGACCACCTTCAACCCACCCCGTCTATCTAGGGAAGAGAAACGATCAGAGGACTCAACAGGATGGGCGTCCACCTTGAGTGGTATCATTACCGACTTGAAAGGTGAACTCGACCAGCTTGACCCTATTTCTGCATCGTTAGACCTTCGAGATCCTTCTACACCTGGGCGGCGTCCACCATCTCGCTCCAAGAGCGATAACGCTGCTACCATCACTAAAGCCTCTCAGCGTCCGCCTGCAAGGACATCTATGTCGACGCCTACTGAAGTTGAACAGCGAACACCAACGGTAACACTTCAAGCGGCTTCGGGGGTGGAGGAGTCGCTTCTGGCTTCGGTACTGTCTTCCCCTAATGAACCTTCATCTTCACCTAACGAGCCTCTCGTTCCTCCTCGTGTTTCTTCTCTCCAGGGCACCTCTGGTCGTTCTCGTTCGGGTTCCGCCAATTCCGCTCAACCTCGTGTCAGTGGCTTACGGTATGGTCCAAGATCCCCGTCAATATCGCGAGGAGTGAGCCATTTGGCATCTCCTTCGCGTGATACGAATCGGTTACGCATCCAACATCGTTCGACTGCCTCCAGCTCAGAGCCGTCACTGATACCAACTAGGGACGATGGGCGTGTCCGTAAGTTGCCGCATTGTGGTCAGCCAATGATTTATTCTAACGTACTCTCAGATTCAACGATTGGAGCAGCTTCACAGCAGGATCTGACTACTAACGGCCTGGCTCTTTCTCGGATTGTTTCCAGTCATTCTCCAGCTCGAAATGATGAAAGCAGAGATATTAACACTCGAGGAAAGGAATTAGCTGCTAAGTGCTGGGCGGAAGACGAGGAGTTTTTGGCCAAGGACAAGATCGCTGAGTGGTTGGGTGGACAGTAGGTCAATATAATGCTCTTGAGTTCACTTGCTAACAATTCCCGACAATAGGAGCCCAATTAATAAGGTGGCCCTCCGACATTACATGGACAACTTTGATTTTTCTGGCTTGCGACTAGACATTGCATTCAGGCAAGTAATAGTCGCACTCCGGTCATTCTGATTCTGATATGGACACTCCAGACGTCTTTGTGCCAAGCTTTTCCTCAAAGCTGAGACCCAACAAGTGGATCGCATTCTTGATGAATTCGGTAGACGGTACTGGGACTGCAACCCGACTAGTATCTTTGGTAGCGCAAGTCAGTATACAACCATGTCACATTTCTTGTGATGTACTCATACCAGTTATCCGCAGGCGTCGTCCATGCGGTCTCATACTCCTTGTTACTACTGAACACCGACCTCCATGTTGCTGACCTCTCTTCTCGGATGTCGCGCGGACAGTTCGTTCGCAATACTATTACCGCCATTCAGATGCAACTTCAGCCGATCGCCACTCGCAGTGGTTCGGCTACGGATGTTTCGCCGGATGACTGGAGCAGTCTTCGTGGTGGATCTGATGGCAGTGACCCTCCAGCTCCTGTTTTCACTAAACGTGTGAAGCGGAGTGATAGTATGACCAGTTGGAGTAGTGTCACTCGTGATGGTCTTAGCTCTATGTTCATGCAGGCTTCAAGCGGTCAGCTCTCAACGACGCCTTCAGATACCCCAGCTCAAACGTCCGGGCGACAAACACCTCTCAACTCGAGTCGTGTCTCTGTCATTTCATCGGGCCAAGAGTCAAGAGTCAATGAAGGCAGTACGCCGACGTTCGCGTACGATCGCAATTGGGAACAAGAGATGGAAAGTCTGTTAAAGGTGCGTTACACCTATTTATCATCGCTCATGCAGCTTAGTACTCAATTGTTGTATGGTAGGAAATTTACGCAGCTGTGAAGAACCAGCAAATCCTCCAGCCGATCAGTGCTGCTCGACTCTCAATGTCTTCGCTGAGCCCCCATAATGCAGTTCTACGTTCTCGAAGTCTGCGAGCTCAACCTGACAGGTTGACAACTTTGAAGCGTGGCAGTATTCGCGGTCTTCAATCCATCCTAACGGCTCAAACAGGCTATAGCCCGTACAGCAGTAATAGTAGCTTTGACGGACGAGCAAGTCCTGCTCCGAGCTTCGCAACTTCACACGAGGTATGACGTTAGCTTACCTGCCCCAAATTTTCTGGTTCTAACAGCGTTTATAGGGCCTACATGGTTCTTCGGTCTCTTTCTTGACTCCAGCACTTGGATTCGCATCTAACCTCTCACATACCATCATCCGTGAAACACAAGAAGACGACACCCATAGCATGAAGAGTGATCAATCTTTATCAACCGACATCAGTATCTCAGACGAAGAGCTTGCTCTTCTTGGACCTCCGTGGGCAAAGGAGGGTATGCTATGTCGTAAACAATACTGGGAGTCGACTGGTAAAAGGGCCAAGTCCCGAGCCTGGATAGATGTTTTCGTTGTCATTCAGAAAGGCGAGCTCAGTATGTTTGTCTTCGGTGACCATGCCAGCGGAGGCGGTGGTATTGTGGGTGGCGGTAACTGGCTTGTACGTTGATGAATCGCCTATTCGGAATGCCAGAGTACTGATAATGAGTGCAGGAAAATGCTGATCCCATGGGTTCGGTGCAACTAGCGCATTCCTTGGCACATTCCCTCCCTCCACCAGGGTACAACCGGCAGCGGCCGCATTGTATGGTGTTAACGCTATCCAACGGTGCTGTATACTTCTTCCAGGCAGGTACCGAGGAATTAGTCAACGAGTGGGTATCAACATGCAATTACTGGGCTGCAAGGCAAAGCAGGGAGCCTCTATCTGGCGGTGTGTCGAATATGGAGTACGGTTGGAACCGCGTCTTGGATCCAGTGACTCGTACACGGTCGATATCCGAAGATAACTATAGCAGAGACGACGACAGTTGTAGTGTTCGCAGCGGTCGAAGTCGCTTCGGCAAGAAGGAATTTGCAGCCACAGTGCGAACGGACAAGTCTCCTTGGCAGGATCGTACCTTTATCAATGATTGGAAGCCTCCCATGCCACCATCAGTTGCTAGCACTCATGATGAAGAAGCTCAGCTGGAGGCTTTACGGAAGCATGTGACGTTCCTCAAAACGGAGCTTCAGGAGCACAACGAGCTGAGGACGCCTATGATGAAGCTGGTATGTTTATGTCTAGGTAATAAGATAACATGAGTACTCAACATTTCAACAGTACGCACCTCGCTCAGCGAACGCTGCTAAGGCTACAGCGAATTGGGAGAAGAAGTCCCAATATCTTCTCACAGAGATTGTGAAGTACGAGTCATACATTGATTCGTTGCAAGCTGCGATGTCTCTACGGCTGAAGAAACGTGGTGAAAAGGCACTGGAACGTGCCTTGGTGGTCGCAAGCCCTACCTCTGACGATGAACCTGTCGGGAAAGGCAAATGGAGAGGGCATCCTGAAGAAGAGACGATCGAGGAAAGCGAGGAACCTCCACCTACTGCACCCTTAGATGGCTCGCCGGACCATCGCCACTTCCATCGACGCGAGATTGCAGAAATCGACGGCAGCGACGACGAGACGGACGACGACAGGTGAAATATGTCTCTTGCGATGACGTATATGCGTTATGTATTCCCTAGGATATTATCGACCTGGTGTTTTCTAATGGTCTGTCGTTACTCATGCTTTTGCCCATATTCTGGATTACATGTATACCCGTTGTTTCAACATTTACCATGCTTTGGATTCCATGTTACATACATTCACTGAGCCGATTTGAAGTGATAAATCTATATATATTGTGAAGGGGTATCAGGGGGGCTGTGAAGAAGCTTCAGATATCCGCTCATGAGAAACGTTCGGCTCCAACGAGGAAAATATAAAGAGTTCATCTGAATGAAGTATACGCCTGCCAACCCTCACGTTCCTTTCATTCTTGAGGTCGTTCTGTGCCCTGGGGTAAGACTTTCCTGGGTATTTAGGCTTTGTTCGTTCCACTCTTTCACGAACATCTGTGACTGCAGCCATGATCTCCACCTTCCTTCAAGTTGTTCTCTCTTTCGTTCTCTTCACTGCCAGCACAGTATACGCAGAGAAGCATACTGTCCGTTTCCAGAACCAGTCAGCGTTGTTTCAATTACTTTGCTCTTCACGAATGTGTTGCTGAACGTCGGTTGATCGATCAGTTGTGGACACGGAACCGTATGTCTTGGCGTGTCGTTATTCCTTGTTTCGGAAGTCATTAATAAATGTCGTCATCCAGCCAACTCTGATTCAAGGTGCAGAGACTTTATCCACAGGCCAGGACTACACATCTGAGGGCGTCCTTTCGTCCGCTATCGCGTACGTATATCTTCGCTGCTGTGCGTCCATGGACTCACTGTGTTGTGCTTCTGGTCAGCTATCTACAAACTGGTATGTCACATAAAGCTGTAACTCAACATAGAGATAATTGATCTCTGAACAGGCGACTGTGGATTCAATGGCGAAAATTGTGCAATTGTCGAGATGACCTTGGGCAATAGTCACTGTATAGGGTGTGGCTCTTCCGTCGATATCAGTCTCATTCCTTCGTGCGTTGCATCGTCCATTGATGCATGTTCGGATGTCTCTAAGGGATTCACTTCTATACAGCCACGCTTTGAATGTTGAGACGTCCTTCAGGTACATTTTTCCTACAGGAATTCCAAATTCTTTACCTAATCTTCATGCAGTTTCTTCGGTGGATGTGACGGTTCTGGTGCAACTTGTGAGCTCTGCTCTCGCACGGATTCAATTATAATATTTATCAGTACGACCTTAGGTGCTACGAAAGACTGCAAGACTGCATTCTTCGTTCCGGATGATAACCAAGTACAGGTTTCATGCCAGTCCAACGATGTACGCCAATGCTAAGCATATCTCATTTTATATACACTGACGGCTTTTGACATAGGTTGGTTTACTTATCACTTTCTGCGGGTCTTCTGCTTCAGCACCGCAACAGAAGCCGCCTGCTGTGAAACCCACTTCGGCACTTGCCTCTTCTCCTGCTCCTACAGCGTCTCATACTCACGACACATCGATCGCTACTTCCAGCGCGCCACCTGTTATCAATGTCGGAGACTCGAAGCCTGTCAACGTCGTTCATTCTTCCTCAATCGCTACCACACCGAGTGTGACGACTTCTTCGGTTGCCACCTCCACTTCTACGCCGCCTAAATGCCGTCGCTCTATGCGTCGCAGGGCTGAGAAAGAGTCTCGTGCACTTTATGAAGCTCATCGGCGCCACCATGCTCGCGTTCAGGCTGGTCATGGGAGGTCGTTCTAACTGATGTTCACTCTTCTCTTAGATCTGTACCATTGCTTGTACCCTTTTCCTCGCTCATGGTTGTTCTCGACCACATTCGCTCGTTCCTCATGACATGTTGTAGCTGGTATATGCATCGCTGTCAGACTTCTTGTATTGATTGCTATAGAGCTCCACGCGTTAGGTCGTGGACACTGCCGGGTTGTAGTACGACTCATGTACTGATCAAGGCTTGACGTCTTGTGTGCTACATACAATGCCATATTCGTGCTTTGCTGGCAACCATTCCAAGGAAACACTTTGGCCCTCATGAACTTCGCATATTATTACAAAAAGTAGTTGTACAGTATGAAATAAAGTCACAAGTTGCAGCGCAGTCACCTCAATCGTGTACTTGTAGAATAGCGTCATCTTCATCATCAGAACCTGAATCACTATGCTCGCCGCCATCTTCAGCCTTCTCGCCCTTCTTATGAGGAACCTCCGTAGGTTTTGATTCTGTGTCCGCCTCGATACTGACGGTTTCGGGTGGCTTGTCACTTTGTGTTACCTCTAACATGTCCTCGTCTTTCTTCTCTTCCTGCTCTGAGTTCTGCTCTCCAGCAACCTGTCCACCCGCCTCCTCCTCAGCGGCTTCGGTAGACGGTAGCTTGGTATCCTTCTTGATTTCCTCGCCATTTAGTCCAGGTACTTCCAGAGTCGTAGGCTTCCCAGAGACAAGCTTCTCCGATGAAGTATGTTCATGTTCAGCTTCCTCGCTTAGCAGAGGAACACCGGAAGTAAATGACTCATTCAGCGAACTGACAGTTGTGAGTGCCATGTCCATCACTGCTTCCACCCGTCTCCGCAGGCCATCATGATTACTTTCCACAATCTGCCAGAGAATCGTTATCAATATTTCGAATATTGCGTTGAACAATTAGAGTTCATGAACGTACCAGGGACATGAGGTCAATAACCGCGTCTGCTTCATCCAGACGCACTAAAAGCGAAGGGTGTGGGTGATCCTCTCCCTGTTCAGAGTCCATGGGCTCATCGGGCATATGAAGCTCGACTTCCCCGAAATGGGCTTCGAGGAACATTGCCAAACGTTGTATCCGCATGACTTGCGCCTTGTCGTCCTCGATGTCTGCATGCGGATGAGGTTGATCTGGTGCGTGCGAATGAGAATGTCCATTAATCGTCACTATAAAAGGTGAAGGTGAGTATGTGGTAGGGGAAATAGCACAACATGTGACAACGGACATTTCACAGACGCAGGACTCTTGTCAATTCCCGTAATGAGCGCGAGAGTCGAATCTGCAATCATGTCGTTGCTTGCACTGGAGTCCCACTCAAGGGTCAACTCGTGTTCGGAGGTCAGCTTGACGTCCACGGCACCCATGACCTAACCGCATGTTAGAACAAAAGTTCATTGCAACTGAGGATCCCAAAGACCTAGACGTACCCGCATAGTAGGAACACCTTCCTTATCCATACCTTCCTCAATCTTCCCATACATACCCTCTAAGTGCCACCGGACAAGATCCCAACCCACACCGAGTTGGATTTTCTGTCGCTGCGTCACGACGCAAGTGGTCAGACCAGCGAAGTCACGTAAGTCCCGAGGATCGAGGAGCGTGTAGGAGTAGTCTTTAGCTACTAGTAGACCTGAGAGAATATCATTCGGTTGAGGCGCTTTCGATGCCAAGGTGCCAATAGCCTAAAGGGACACATTAGAATGTCTTTATTCAAGTTCGAGATTTAACTTACCTTAGCAACACGCTCCCCGCGGAACGATAACTCCAAAGTTTCGAGGTTACGCGGTGTATGAATCTTTACATCCTCATCTCTGTTCTTATAACGATCCTGCATGGCAGCTCTCAGCCGTCCCATATTCGTCTGTTCGCCATGGACCAAGACCTACGGAACGACCATAAGCAACTGATGGAATTTGACAACGACGGGAGACTCACGATATGTTGAGCCTTCACGGCCTCGATGAACTCGGAGTTTTGTGAATAGTCCACATGGGCACTGAAGGAGATATAATCGACTGAAAGTTTCCGCGGGATGGTAGCGCCTTTGGCAGTGACGATTTCTTCCGGTTCGTTCAAGATGTCCTAAGTATAGGAGATGAGCTCAAAAGTATCACCCAATAAACCGAGAAATGCAGGACAGGTTCACAGCATGGTCTCATGACGAATACTTCGGGGAATATGGGAGCAACATTGGTCATTATTCTGCAATGACACTACATACAAGACGACGACGCTACAAGACCTGCTCCGAACCTGTCTGCAGACACTCACCCTTGCCATCGTGCCTTCCACCGAATACCCTGTCACAATGAGACCGTTCCGAGGATCTGGCGCCCACAGCTCGAGAAGTTCTCGGCTTGGACCCGATGTCATGAAACCAGGGCTAGCCAAGACAACACAGGGTGGGCCTTCCGCGATTCTTCGTTCCCATCCTCTTGCTTGAGGAACATTGGTGATGTACCTGAAACCGTCCCTTAGTATCGTTCACAGTGCAGCACAGTAGGGATGACGTACTTGAAAACGAATGGATTATCACGCTTGGCAAATCTTGAGCGTACATTGGCATTCATGGTATGAATATATGTTTGGTACACTGCCATACATTTCTTCGCAAGAGCAGAGGCGTAGTAGACTGGAACACTGTGAAGGTCGGGATGTTTCTTCCAGTATTCGTCTAAAATTAGTAACAGTTCTTGTGCACGGCCCAGAGCGAACGTTGGCAGAAGGACATGTCCACCACGACGGATGATTGAATGAACCAGACTTGTGAATCTGGCTTCTTTTTCTTCTCGTCCTTCTAATGTTTGTACGCCGTACGTACTTTCCACAATCAGAACGTCAGGGTGTATTGGCGGAACTTCCGCCTTGACCAGATGTCGATCTTCTTCCCGAGAATAGTCGCCAGTATACAGTATTTTGAGACCAGCAATGTCAATCAGAAACATGCAAGCACCCAGAACGTGACCAGCATGGTAGGGCGTAAATGTTACACCAGGGCAAGGAGAGATAACTTGATGTGCGGAGACCGGGATGATTGAGGCGAGGGACATCGAAAGATCAAGGGGCGAGAAAAGAGCGTCGGATGTCGAAGAACTACGCGTAAGGAACTCAGCTTTTTGAAAACAGCCATGGTGAACAGCCACACACCTCATGCGTACGAAGTCCTGCATCATAAACTTGTGTAGTGCTTTTGTGGGGTGAGTCATGTAGACCTTTCCCTTACCATCCCTAAAGTTTGTCTATGGAGACTCCAGGTCAGACTCCTGGGTGCAAGGAAAGAGACAAATCAACCTTTTCTGTAATATACGTCAGAGCAGCAGCATGGTCCAAATGGAAACTTGAGAAAATGGTAAATTCCTGGTGAGATAATATGTGGTAGACAACGTACTGTGTGATTAGTAGTGCATCTACAGTGCTCCAGTCTAATTCATCTACAAACGGCAAGGATGCAATGCCACTGTACGCTGGGTGTACTCCCGCGTCGCAGACAATGGTCCTACCCCTGTATTGTATCACACAACATGACCGGCCTACTTCTTGTCCTGCGCCAAGTAGAGTAATGCTCAGAGTCGGTGCCTCAGCCATAGAAGATACTCGTAGGTTGCGAAAGGTCTCATTTCTGGTTGCAAGCGCCGTTGCCTGCAGGCGCTCTGCCTGTTTGTCGTTGTTAGGATCAGAAGCTATTGGTAAACAAAGTCCAAATCTAGTAATGCATTAACTCAAATCTTTCCATTATTCTTCTTTCGTGCTCATGTTCAATCAGACTTCAAAAATCATACAAGCAACGGATACAGGTACTCCTACGTACTATGAAATTTTATTTCGACAAAAGAAAAATGACCACAACCGAGAGACTTTCAACGGCTCGAACATTCAGCCCCTGGCCTTCAAAGCCGCATTATGCTGTTGCATAATTGGGTAGACAGGATCATCAGGATAAATCTGAAACTCAACTCTCAGTATATCATTCACAGTCATGGAGGGAAAAACACTCACTGCGTAGCCGTCATCGGGAGTATTGCCACTAGACAAATGAGAGCCTGCTTGCCTGGGGTACATGTTAGACATATGATCAAGTTCAACGTCAACTTCACCACGTACCAGATAAGGTCACCCGTCAGACCAGAGCTCACGATGGTAGAATACCAAGAAGTATAGGTGCTCGCTTGATTATCGGTCACACCAAATTCCTCGAGGATGACAGGTTTGTTTTGTTTTGTCTGCGAGGCTGCGTGGTCCTTGATCCATTGAACACCCCAGCCGGTAGGGTCGCTAGTCTGCCCCCAGCTGATCTGCAAAGGATATCAGTATTATGGAAGATGAGACTAAGGTCTCACGTACGGGATATGCCTGTTAAGATAGGCTCTACATTAGTTGTATTTACTATGACTAGGATGCGAAGGCTTACGTGGAATGTACCGAAGTCAATGGTGCTGATAGCCAGATTTGCGTCGAAGTCGACACCTTCGCTGCCTTGGTAAGGATAACTGGGATTACCAGGCTGGTTAAAGAAACCTTCGTCTCCGATTGCAACAAGGTGGTTAGTGTCGATTGATTTGATGTATGCCGAAATGTCCTTGGCCCAGTTCGTGACAGTGGTGGTAGTGCAGGTACCGCTGGAGGTTCTACAGGAGAACATGTCACACACATGAATAGTTAGATGCCAATCGCGTGGCTCACCCAGTGCTGCCCTTACACCTGGGTTCGTTGGCGAGCTCCCAAGCCATGATGGTGGGCTCATTCTTATAGCGACCGACGAAAGTCTGAATGAAGCTCTTGTATGCAGCCTGGACAGAGACATCAGAATCCCGACATTCCGTCAGTGAATAATTGTTCGTACCACAACGTTGGCATTGGTATAGAAGTAATCATGGTTTGAACTTCCAGTGATTTGCTGGACATACACGTCCATGCCTCCATAGTCAGACCAATTATTCGTTCTGAACGTCACGTATCACATCAGTGACGAATTGGCATAATCATCGAGCCAAACGTACAGTGCGACAATTAGTCGTAATCCGTTTGCTTTGGCAGCAGCGACGACATTGTCTATAAAACCGTAAGTTAATCTTGTATTTGAACAGTGAAATTGTTGTCTTACCAAAGTTCGCTAGGCCAGTCGCACCGGTGTTAATGGTTGCTTTGCCATTGGCCCAGCTTTGGTAGTAAATACCATTGGGGGTGGTCACATCGTTGAAGCCCCTGCGAACAACAGCATGATAAGATTCGTCGTATCCACGAATGAAGGCTTCGTTCACACGTACCACGTCCTGACTGTAGTGCCGCCAGCCTTAGCAATGTCAGCGAAAGCTGCGTTCATATTCGCCGTGCTAAGTCCAGTGAGTCCAACCCAATAAGCGTTACCGCTGCAAACGCTCTCGGTTAGTTCTATGGCAAAGGCGTGTGTGATAAGCAAAACATACCCAGCGACGATGTAAGGTTGGCCATTCAGTGTGAATGAGGTACCAGAAACCTGGACAAATCCTGTAGAGGATGGAGGGGGTGCGGAAGTGGTGGGGCCACTCGATGTTGTAGTGGGTGGAGCACTTGTGGGAGGAACAGTCGTCGATGGATCAGACGTGGTGGAAGGAGGCGCAGTGGTCGTAGGAGGGGCCGTTCCGGCAAGACATTGGAAGTAGTAATCATTGAGCTTGGTGCAGACGGTGCCCGAAACACACGCTACAGAGAGTTATTCAATGCAGTGTCCATCAGTCAGGCGCAGCTCTCCTTACTAGTGTCTCCCGTCCAACCAATACCACCGCACTAGGGTGAATGTGAGTTAGATCTCATGAACATTCATTTAGTCTGAATCAGCCAAACCTGAGCCCACTCAGGCTGAGCCGCCCGCACGAAAGGCGAAAGTCCCAGAGCCAAAGCAACAAAGCCAAGGCCGAACATTTTGGTTACAACGTCTTGCAACTGGAAATCGATCCTGGGGGGTCTAGCGGATCTAGAGTCAGTAGCTTTTTTATGTTATAGCCTTCACATTGGGGATATTAAATATACAAGTGGCATTCGGCGTATTCTCGCAGGGCGGGTCATTGCGAGCTTTAACCGTCCCGACGGGGCGGGGCCTTGACTGACCTCGTGAACCATGGGCTGTCACGATGAGCATGCAATGAGACGTCGTACGGAGAAAAGAAGGGATATGATGGAAGCGGAGTCATTCGTATACCAGGTTCCCGGAGCCTCTTCGAGACGACACGTGGTGGCTTCCCGGATAGACTCTTGATTCTAAAGAGGAAACAAAAAACCCCCGAGAGCACGAACAACATGAGACGGTGCGAGACAGAAATATCTTGAACTTCAAATAATGATGATGGTTAAATCCGATGTACATGTTGCCATACAGTATAATGGTGGGTAGGAACACCTGCTAATAACCAGCAGCAATGCCGTTCTTCCTCGAATCGCTGGCAGCTGGAGACGGGCATGGATCAGCGTCATACGACATTGCTCAGAATCTTGACAAACCGTAAATAATATCGCCCTTCTTTGTTACTACCTGTACAACAGCAGCAACACGGTTGATGTCTGATACTGGTGGTTGAGGGTTAGCTAGGCTGTCAAACTGAAGGTCTCACATATACATACTCGTAACGTTATGGCCTCTAATCTTCAGATCAGCTACCAGCTCTGTAGGGTAGACGTCATCGATGTCTACTGTAGACGGATAGAGCTGGTCATGCAGTCGCCCATATTCTATGGCAGTACTGACATCCTGACCCCAATCCATGTTTAGGATCGTTTGGAAGACAGCCGGGAAGATCTTGGTTCCTCCGGAGCCACCAATGGCAAGGGAGAACTCGCCAGATTGATCTTCAATGATGGTGGGCGTTGTAGACGACAAAGGCCGTTTAAACGGTTCTGGATAGTTAACTGACGCACGTTTGTGAGTAATAGGAACCGTCGCAATTGCAAAGACGTACACGGTGACGGCCACAGCCCGAAGGCGTTCTGAAATCCGGGAGTGGAGAAATCGTCCATCTAGAGAGGAGCTTAGAAGCGACATGTATGCACAATGCGTAAATGCCAACCTCGTCATTAAGAATGATTCCAGTGACAGGATCCATAACCTGGGACCCAAACACAAGATTCACTGTAGATGTAATCGCAACAGCCATACCATCCTTGTCAACAATAGACGAATGACTCTGAAAAGTAGGGATGAAACAGCTGTGCTTCACATGACCACGGAATGTGAACATACTGTGCCATGGTCAATCGGTACATCAAAGATGGGTTGATAGTAATCAGGTGTGTGCGTCCGGTCCTGCCGTGAACATTAATATGTTATTTCCGGACTACAGAAGGTCACGAACTTACATCCGTGATATTACGAATGATCAGGTCTGCAAACTTCTTGGTTGGTATCTCTTGTATCCGAGCAGTATCATTTGTTTCAAAAGCAGGGTCACAGATCTTGGTCCTGCAGAAAATAGCGTCAGTTTATGATTTAAAATTAAGTAACATCACAGCTCACCGTGCAGCAAAGCCAACTGAAAATTAGATTGTCAAACGCCGTTGATGACTTTCAAATATTTAACACTAACATTTCATAGCTTCCACCGAACGGTGCACGTTCAGCCCTGTACGGCCTTCCTGGACGAAATCGTCGTAGTGCTCCATTAAATTAAGCATGTGTAGGAGGACGGGTCCAGAGGTTGGCGCATGAGTGGTGTACACCTTGCGGCCACGGTATGAACCTTCCAGTGCACGTTGGACCTTGACTGAATACGACTCTAGGTCGGAATGCGATAGTACACCACCCGTCGCTCGAACCTTCTCGATGATAGCATCGGCGATTGGACCCTGAATAAGAGGCAATTATGAGAAAGAGTCTACCAACGCGTGAAATAAGAGCGTACTTTATATAAGGCTCCCGGTCCTTCACACGCAATGGTAGCGAGAGTTCGCGACAGGTTGGCTCGCTGAATAAGATCCCCTTCACGAAGCAGGGTACCATGTGGTGCAAATATCGCCTTCCAGTCGGGAGCATTGAGCATTAGAGGTGAAAACATCTATGATCTCCTGCGTAAATATTGGTATATGCATAACGAGAAACATGATAACTGGCCTCTATCCTTCTCGCCAATTCCTTGGGAACCTTCCAACCCTTGGCGAGTTCAACACTAGGGTACACGAGTTGTTTCCAACCTAATTTTCCCCATCGTTTATGAGCCTCTTCCAATCCCCGCAATTCACCTGGTACTCCGACCGCAAGACCACCAATTAGTGACGCCAGGGGGTCATGGACATACATGGTCTTGTTAGCTAATGCAGGAGCAACTTCTCGGAAGTCAACTGTATAAACTTCTGATGACCTATTGGTCATTGCTGGGGGTATGCGAATGGTCATGAAACCTCCACCTCCGATCCCAGACCTACAAAATTCGTCCATGTAACCTGAGTCTCACACGACATAACTTTAAAGCGATGAAAGCACTCACGAGAACATGTTCGCTACGCCAATGCATAGAGTAGTGCTAACAGCTGCGTCCACGGCATTCCCGCCAGCCTTTAGCGTATCAACGCCGATGTTTGAACAGATCTCGTTTTCACTGGCTACTGCTCCATGACGAGCTTTGATAAGATATGCTGGATTCCGCGTATATCCTCTGGAGCGAGAACCATCCGCTTGGAATATATGCCGGGGTTGGAGAAGAAGACAAAGCGTGAAGACCGTAATCGCCGCTATACAGAAACGTCGGAGCCGTGAATTCGGTCCTGTTTGAGGATCATGCTTGGCATATATCGGGAGCGGCAGCTCCAAACCCTTTTGGAACTTCTCCATCTCCTTTATAGAGGCCCTCAAGTCGTTCGCAATAGCCTTGACGAATGGCGAAATACTGATAGCAAGTGACAGATGGGAATGGGCGCGACAAAGGACACGTTAAGGCCATGGTATGATAGCGGCATGCCGAAGTGTACGTATTCTGTGAAGCAGAAATAACACTTATCGTCGTCATCCCGTGAGAGTCAAGCATGATAACGGTCGCTTATATTCATTCATACATGCACTCATGTTCATGAATACAATGTTTTACACGCTAGATGTACGACGAGAACTAATGAACGAGTGAGGCAACCGATCCTCAGGCACTGCAGGTCTCTTCTTCCATTCCTCCTCCCAGCCAGCTCTCGCACTTTCCTCACCATCTGCACTCGGCAGTCCAAACACACCCGTTACCAACCAAACATCTTGCTCGGGGTCCGCCGCATGTTCGTCCATGAGGGTAGGAAGTACCGCCCTAGGAACCATGAGGTTAGTATTCGCGTCCGTTCGCAACGCCTTGCCTTTCCTCGACTCCTTGCCACCAAGTTCAGCAATACCGGAAACGCCAGCCTTGCTTGCGGCTCGGGCCTCTCCTTCATTCTCCAGGGTTCCAAACGTCTCACCAGTCGAAGGTTCCAACGCTCTGTCATTCACACCTTGTCCATAGATGGCGAATCCACCCTCAGCCGAGATGAGTTTCCTGCCGGTTCGTATCCTGTGGATACGGAGATGCCATGAAGGTGCCTCTTTAGTAGGAGGAATCAGCCAGGTCTCAACCTGGACATCCTTCCATGGATACCACATCGATCGAAGCCATACTCCCCCTTCAATCCTGGCTTCTCTAGTTTTAATGCGGCACTTCCAGGTCTCGCCGTCATCGTCGCTCAGAGCAAGAGCGTTGTCTCCGCCAATTTCTTCCAATGTGCCATTTCCGACTGCGACGCTGTACCCGAATGCGGATGAATACGCAAATTTACCATACTTGGCTGCAGTGTTCTTTACTGGGTAGGAACATTGTTGACCTGATGAAAGTAGGAACGTATGCCCCGAGAGATTGGAAGCAATGTGTAAGGGTTTCGGCATGAATTTGACTGTGTTGAGCAAGGAGAGGGGATAAGGCTCTTCCCGGGAAGCCCAGAATGGGTGTGACTCGGGAAGAGCCAACGTAATGAAGGATTTGCAGCACCAGTAAGGGCTGCCAGGTGAATTATAATTCTGCGACCGACTGTAAGCGACTAGTGACTGCCGGAATGGTTTGGAACAATAACTACCTCTGTCATGCTCTGGTTGGGATAGCAGTATCCAATGGTCAAAGTCCCATCCGTATTGTATGCGCCAGGCTGTTTGGCCCAGTACCGGATGTTGCGTAGCTGCAAGCCTTTGACAACTCCCCATGTCAATGGGGCGGGCAATTCGAGGTCTGCGAACGCTACTGCACCCCAAAATGAGGACATAGCAAAGCGATAGGTCAAACTGCGTCCAAAAGGAATAGCACGACCTAAAACCTAGGGTCAGACTGTCAATCCAGCTTAATATTGCTATGAAATCACCTTCAGGATCAAAGTAACGCACGAAATCCTGCGAAAATAAACGCGCACGATTCTTGAATTCTTCACACCGTTCAGGATCCTCGGCCTGTGCCAATTTAGAGTACACCAGCTGCGCAAACTGGATGGCGAAGGAAGATGAATAATAATCTAATTGGACAACTCCCTCTGGTCCATCTCTTGACCAGCCATCGCCTATGTAGAATGTGTCGAGATGATCGAGATCCGCCTTCATGCGTTTCGCATCAAACTTCGGCGAGCCCACCTTGGAAAGACCGAGATTAGAGAATACCTTGGGAAACGTGAGCATTATGCGGAGATCACACAGCATGATAGCCATACTCTGAACCACAGCCAGTTGGTGTTGGGCATTTCCTTGTCATTCATACCACCAAGCCAGTTCTCTAGGTTGCGTTTACCATTATCCTCCAACGCGTCCCAAAGCTGCTGTTTCGCCACAGAAAGGGCGAAACCAATTGCAGAGCACTCGACCATGCGCTGATCTTTATTCTTCATATTACCCCAGAATTCTTCATAGTCGGGATTCGTTCCGTTGTTGAATCCTCTCACCCATCGCTCCGTCCCTTCGTAGGTACCGCCACCAGCGAGGAGCGATGCTAGACCCCAGATGGGTCTCGAGAAGCCTTCCAGCTGAGCGGCTGCCTCATCATAGTGAGTACCAGTAAATCCAATATGAATGCGGGCGCCACCAGGAGAGGTATGATGCGCAAGCGGGTCAAGAAGCCCGATGAGGAACTTGCTGAGGTCCCCTTTGGTAGCAATCGGGTTGGAAGCAAAGCGCGTGGTGTTGGCAAAGTTCGACATCAAGGCGAGAGACACTAAAGAGCGGAAGTAGTAGGTTCCGCCATAAACGACGCTGCACTTATAAAGGCCTCAGGAGGACATTGAGTCCGGACCGTATTACTGCACACACGGAGGAAGTTGTTGGTGTAGATAGGTTCAGGCGCGGTCCGAGACTTCCCCGCAGGTCACGATCACATTAATTATCTCTTCCTGAGCAGCCGACAAGAGGAGGAGGGGACAAAGATACATAGCTTCCTCGCTGTGTTAGACGATGAGAACAAAGCAAGCGTCGGTGACGGGTCGTGACGCGTGATGGTGTGACAGGACGTGTAAGCGCTTGTAAGCGCGGATAATTTAGCATTGGGCGCTAAATTTGAGAACTCATTCAAGAATGCAACGGTCGCTCTTTGGTGCTGGCACTTGCTCTTTTCGCAGCTCAAGACCCTCTGCTATATCTCGTACTTGCCGTCGTCACTTTCATGATCCAAAGCCGCTCCCGCCTCAGGATGAATGGCGTGCACATTTCCCATCCTCGTTCGTTGACGTGCGCGATCGAGTATCAATAAACAACCTAGAAACTGGTCGGCTTTTGGCAGATTCTTTTCTATCTGGAAAGAGTTTAGGTGCCGGTGAAAATAAGGTGGTTATTGAGGCTTATCCAGGTGCGTCATTTTCGTTCAGGCCTTCTTCCTCTACTGATAATTCTAGGCCCGGGTGCACTATCGAGGGCGCTGTTAAGACTCCCGAAATCTAAAATCAGGAAGCTGATTATCCTGGAGTCTTGGGACAGATTCTATCAGTATCTAAAGGTGCGCTTTAGTGGATACATTCCAATGATCAAGACGCTAAAACATGAGTTTTTCTAGCCATTGGAAGCTGTGGACCCAAGAGTAACTGTCCTTCCAATAGATGGCTATACCTGGGACTCATACTCAGTCATTGAAGAAAAAGGACTCCTTGATGACGTTATGAAACATGATTGGAATGCAGGAAGTATGTCAATTTCGATACTAGACGTTTTGTCCTACGACTTCTTCACTCACTATTGTTTTCTCAACAGTACACCCGGAGCTCCATTTTATCGCACAGTTGCCTCATGGTGTCTACGGAGAGCAGTTCTTTTCTCAGCTATTTCGATGCATGCCGACCAAGTCCTGGCTATTCAAATATGGACGGGTGCCAATGAGCCTTGTACTAAGCCAGCCGATGTGGGATGTAAGTCGTCAAGTCACTTGGTTCGTTGGGGCTTAGCCAGATTATAATTTTAGCGAGGCACCGCCCCTTATGCAACCAATGCCCGTTGCAAAGTTAGCGTCATTGCAGAAGCCACAAGTCAACTGCAGAACGCCGTGAGACCATCAGAACTCCAGCCATACGATGACCACTTCCATCCGTCTACCTCACGTGTCGTCTCTAAGAAAGCGGAGTCGAAACGAGCCGGCCAGCCCCATGTTGCTGTGAATGTCGTGCCCCATCAAGACCAGGTAAGCGTTGTCGTTCTATCTTAGCATTCGTTCTTACATCTGCTTTTAGCTCATTAGGTCTGATCAATTGGACCATTGGGATTATGTTCTTCGTCGGCTCTTCGTCCTCAAATCTACTCCTCTCAAAAATGCCATGAAGTGTGTTATCACCGGCTATCTGCCTCTTACTTTTCTGATGACGAATTTTTTTTTTTTTGCGTTGATAGCTCTCTTGCACCCGGGGCACCTACCTTGCTTAAAGTCCTCACCGATCCGGAGCTACCACCAGAAGAGCGCGTAAATATCAACGACAAGATCAAGAACTTGACCATCAAGGATTGGGCCTTGATTGTGCGTGCTTTTTATAACTGGCCATTCAGTCCAGAGGTGCGTGCTGTATCTGCTTCTGGAATTTAGAGTATCCGATTGATGTGCTGTCCCCATAGGACTTAACGTTCTCAAATGCGGAGGATTTCGGTCCTGGGCGCGAGGGCTAGATTTCCAACCTGTTTGTTCAAATTCTATGAATTTGGGCATCATCATACATATGTTTCTACTGTATTTCACTAATTGCTATAGATCCATAATCTGGGCATGTGCAATCGGACAAGATAAATGAGTTCACGGACATCAGCCGAAGCAGACACTATGAGTGAAACAACACATAAATTATATATCAAGACGAGGACAAACACAACACAGTTGATTCAGATGATAGACTATGCTACGATCTCAACCAGTGTGCTTTCTTCAGGCTCTACAGGAGCGGGTGAGTCCGGCCAATCAATAGGTTCGGGACTTGCTGTTCTCTATTTGGATGTCGAACAACTCGTCAGGATGTTGCAGCCAACAGTATTATGACCGGGGCTCTCACCTCTTGTGATTCCTCAGCAAGCTCCGTCAGCACTTGCGATTCTTGGGACTCGAGCATAGTGACATCGGTGTCCTGGCTCTCAGCAGACGTCTTTTCTTCCGCAGGTTTCGCAGTGGGTTCTGCAGAGCCTCGTTGGGATTGGGATTGGGACTCTTCAGCAACGTTCGCTTTTTTCTTACGGCCTGGCGCCTTCTTCTCTGGGGGAGGAACAGCCGGGAGACCGAACAAAGTCGTTTGTCGGCCAGTCTCTTTCTTATCCTTTGATTTTCCTTTTGCTGTTGTAGTACCTGTAACATCGCCAGGATCATATATTATTGAAGCACATACGCGCAAGATGCAGTGGGACATACGTTTGGGTTTCTCGGTTTCCGCCGCGTCGATCTTGTTGAAAAAGCTGTCGCTCTTGTGCACTGACTTGTTCGTCTCTGTACTCTTGGTAAAAGGATTTCGGTTGTCGACAGCACCAGGTTTTCGAGCAAACGGATTTGAACCTAGAAGTCGAATATGTAAGCTTCAAAATTCACTCAATTCCACCATGATCGACTTACGAGCTTGGGCCGTTCTCATATCACCTGCTGAATCCCCAACGGCACGTCTTTTAGCATCATTCTCCGCATTGCTATCTTCCTCAAACCGTTTCCGCTTCCCGTCGGGCGATGACTCCTGAGAATAATTCGAATTCTCAATATCTTGATGTGCGTTGAAATCGAATGAGGGCTCATCATCCATCGAGAACTGGCTGCTCTCAGTGATTTGTGATGTACCAGTTGCCTTTGTAGAGGCTCCGGCTGCTCGTTCTAGTCCAGGCCTCGGAATTGCAGGCGGTGGTCTGAAGTCCTGGAAGGGTTTCGGTCTTGCTGGCTCCGCCGCGAAAGTTGAATATCTCTTGTTGTCGGGTATAGGCACAAATTGTGCATTCCTATCTCGTCTCCTTTCTCGCTGTGCTTCCAGCTTGTCAGGACCGTCTTCTCTATCATCTTTCAATGCTTCTAGCTTCTCTTGCAAACCAATTAAGTGATAGAAACCAGCGACTTTGATGGCCATATCGAAGGAAGCAGTATGGTGGAGAAGTTTCGCTATGTCGAGCGCACGAGAGAGTTTGTCGTTCTTGCAAGCGAATTGGATAAGCTGAATGAGAGACTTGTCGAGTGCGAGTTCACGGCGTGAGATGTCCGTACTGGTCAGTTCATCTTCGTCGAGGCCATCACGCAGGATGTCCAGGAGCATAGTCTCACGAGCGAATCTGACAGCATTTTTATCAATACGATGTACGTCATAACGAGGTTGAATACCTTACTGTTCCTCAAGCGGACCTTCCTTCGCATCGGTTCGCTTAAATGGGAACTTGAGAGGAAGTTCTTGAATAAGCGGTCTAGGGAAGCCAGGATGCTCTTGCCTTCCCTAAACACAAAGTCAGACTTTTGCAAAGGACAATAGTTGAACTGCTTCTGACCTTAAGAATGAGACACATGAACGTTTCGCCCGAAACACCGACGGGCCAGTACGATTCGTGTTTCCCCTCTTTGCGGTCCAGCGTATTCGTATTGAGTACTCGGGTCCAAGTTGCGGCGAAAGGTATCCTGAATCGGGGAAGGGCATTCAATACACCTGAAGAATCATAAATGATGGGTGCCTAGGTACAATGGTAACGATGAGTGCCCTGTGTAGTGCCTATGCGGCGGGATGTTACTTACACCCTCTTCAGATATACCAATCCATTTCAAAGTGTGTCCTTTGGGTATTGGAACGGTGTCTTTCTGCAACATACAGAAATCATCGAACTTGATCAGCCGACCTGTAAGATTCTGTGAACCTATCAATGGGGACGTCAGTTGGGAGGGAGGCAAGATCGGCGGAATTCTCACCGTCCATAGTGGTGCTCCCATCCCTCGTGACAATAAAAACCCACTCTCTTCCTGCACACATGCATACAAAATCACCTGGAAGACTCATGACGTGTCTCTCCACGCCACCGCCGGTCAAAAAGATCAGTTCGCCGTCGCTTGTCGCAATGACAACGTTGCCATTGCCTTGGATATCCATGTCATTCTTTTGACGCATAGACTGGGTAGGAGGAGGGCCACCAGCGGCAAGTCCGATTACACGAGTGCCTTGCGGAAGCTCATACTGCCACTCGGATTGGGAAGCCCACGTACCATATGGCTTGTAGAGGACATGGGCAGGGTGAGAAGCCTCTGGCGGGCAGGCATATAGCGCGCCACGCTCACCTGCAATACGAGCATTGTTAGAGCAAGGTACGTACAAGTAAGAGATCAGTTACCCAATGAAGCAAGCTCATATTTGAAGTGATCCGTAAAATGGTAGCTTTTCCTTGCGGACCGGTCATGGAATTCGACATTCACAATATGGTGGGTGTCCTGATCTGTAACCTCAATGACTCCAATCATATTGTATGCTGTTTGTGCATGAGCCAGGGTGAGCGATCGCGTCGAAAGGATTGCTTACCAAGGTATCGTTTTTTGTTCTCCATAGGCGTGGAACCAGGCTGGAAAGGAGGTTGCGCTTTGGTGACACTCACTACAACGTCCTAAGTCTCGTGAAGGAGTGGAATTGGAGGGAAATTCAAACATACCCATTTCCTTGATACCTTCTTTGGCAGCCCACTTCGCATCTCCGTCATCGTCCTGTAACCCTCCACCGATATCGTCCAAAATCCAGTTGTCATCATCCAAGTCCCCCATTGTCGCGTCATACTCGTCCTCCTCATCCAAATTAAGGTCCTTAGCTTTGCTTGCATCGTCTTTCTCTTCCACGTCGTCCCCGAAAAGATTAGGGGTTGTACCTCTCTTTTTCGGGATACCAACCGCTGCGCCAACAGAAATCAACTTCACAGGGTCAGGACTACTGGAAGGTATGGGGTCAGGCCATCGAGTCAAGACGCCGTCAGTGTCTATCCACGCTAGCAAATTCTGTGTAGGCGAGAATGCTATCTTGGTCACGGGAGCTGTGACAGAGCCTTGGTATCTGAAAAGAAGACGGCGAGTCTGAGTCGACCAGATGGAAATTCCGGATGTAGAGGCAGAAGCAAGATAAATGCCATTATGTGACAGTGCGAGTGCGGTGGTTGCGCCTGAACATGAAGGATCGGAGAAAGTTGCGGATTTGGACCAGGTCGTCCGGGAGATGCTAATGATTTCTGTGCAGACTTCAGTGAGATATATCACAGTTGAGGCGAAAGAAGACTGACCGTGTGCGCGGGTCGCGACAATGAAGTACTGTCCCGACGTGTGCCATACAGCGGAACAATCATGACGGAAATCTGCAGAGCTAAAGATAACTATAAGCTGGGCTTCATAATTGGATGAAACATGATGGCATACTCGGTGTCGTATACTTCGGGTATAATCCCTTCAATTGTGGTTATATTCTTAGGCTCGCTATCCGAGACGTCCCATGCAACAATCTTGCCATCTGCGCCAGAGGTAGTCTATTGGGTTCAGATGACGAAGTGGAAGGTGATATACGGATAATCTTACTAAGAGAGACCCTGATGGATGCCATGTAGCTTGGCGAACTGCTTTGGTATGACCTTTCAGCACAAACATCTTCGTCGTATCTTCTATGTCAATCACTTTCACAGTAGGTTCACTACGAGAATAAAGTTAATAAGTCTTCTATGTGTATCAATTGAGAGCGAATCACACACTCCGACGTGACCGTTATTCGTTGACCTTTGGGATCTACAGCAACGCATCGAATTGGTACACCTATTGCAGTTGTAACAAGGCCCGAGACTTCGTGTTTGTCTTTTTCATACTGTCGAACGTCGGCATCTTCTGAGCCAGAGAACCACGCGTTGTTCTGCGGGAAAGGGGGACATGAGACGCGACGTGAGATATGTTGAATGATGCATGATACATACCCCTGCAGCGACAGTCGTGATCCCGTCCATAGCTTCAATAGCAACATCTGGTTCTTGTTCTGCACCAAGGTTTGTTTTCCATATTCGAACCAGAGAATCGGAGCCTCCAGTGTAGATTCGCCTACCAGACAGTCAAATTGGGCTGCTAAGGAGGCACCAAGAGACACATACGAGCCATCCTTAGCGAAAGCAAGACATGTATGCCCTGGCTGGTGGGCAGAGTTGATGAGGGAGATATCTGACATTTTGAATGCCAGGAGAAGCGTATACTGGGTGATGAGTGTACTGTATGTACTGTAGAACTGTGTGACACGCGTCCCGACTCCGAGCGTGGCAGTGGAACGCGACCTGTCACAAGGCGTGACTTTCACGTGGACTGACATTTACTCGCGTGATGAGGATCCTGCCTCGACTTCGCGACTAACCTCATGCTTCCTCATGCACCTTTCCGCGATGCATTAGTGGAAGTACCCGTATGTCAAGCTATGTACAATCTGATTTAGTTTCGCTGTTTCGCAAGGCTGATCGAGGTATCCGAGAGTCTGCTGGCACTTAATCATCGGCTGTCTCTGGTAGGCCGTTCACGGCGAATTCCATAGCTAATGTATATGGCCAGGTACTTTTCATGGATATCGTTCGTACGTAGATTTTTTATGGTATGGGTCATGTCATCGCTACATTCGAGTCGATGTCTAGCCATCACACCAGCGCAGGGTCTATCGTTGGCGGTAGACTTGGCGGTCTCTTTTTGGTCGCACACATTGTTGTGTGCATGTTCTTTTGGCGAGAACAGCTCACCAGCACCGCCAGTCTGTTTTTTCCCCCTCGCCCTTACCACTCCATATACGGTCATCCGCACTATTGCCCATGAACTCGCAACAAATGCGTCTACTTTAAGCAAGTAATTGCTGCGATCAATGTAGCGTGTTTTCTGCATTCAAGCTCCTATGTCGCAGTTTCATGAAAGTGGACCTAGCCCTTCCCTACTACAATTAGTAGCCCTTCACCCGCAGCGAGCAGTAATCATGTCAATACAACCTTTATAGGGCCCCCAGTCGCGGCCACCATCGAAGAGCCCGGGAAGTGGAGAATATGCGCAGAGTCATATAGGGTACTGCTCAGATTATAGAAATATCGCCAAGTTACGCTACCGCTACGTAGCAGGATTATCGCACTTCTTACAGTGAAGGTCAACGAATGGTAGAATGGTAATTATTGCTTACGAGTACCCTGGTTATGGCTGGTAACAACCATGGTAGTCTCTGCAAAGGCAATAGAAGTAGAAAGAATACTGAAGTCAACGGTGAGTGCTAAGTTCTAGGGTACGGAGATGGGGAAGACGTGCAAGTGTCCGTGTAGCCAAATTATGCCAGACCTGCACAGTTGCCTAAAACGCGTGTGCTCGATCACAGAGCGATCCAGCGCCTTTTGAAGTTTACGTTTGTCGTGCACATCGCCCGCAACGTCCAGTTTCGGAGACTGCTCACATTCCCCTAGATATCGGTCCTCGATGAAGGATATTTATGACGAGGAGAATGACCCACACCCTGGGACCCTGGGAGGCTGAACGCACCTGAAGGAGGAATGTCGGCGTGGAGAGGAGCTTGCCTTCTTTGCACGATCGGCAGTGACAGGACATTGAGTTTGAGTTGATCCTTCCTATCCTGGCGTTCATGGCGACTTCTAAGACGACGCTTCCTCCGTGGTACAAGCTCGGTCGAGTCTGTTCTTGATATCTGGTCATCGCGTGGCAGTTGAGCCACCCTCGCTATTCCCCGCCCGATTGACCCCCCGCGGTGAACTTCTGCATAAATACCTCACTCTCCATTCCAACGGCCCCGTCGCCTCCTGTTCCCCTCCTCCCGCGGTTGTATGCTGTTGACTCTGACACAGGCCCTCTGGTTGACGTTACAGATATTTCTTTGTGATGCATCCTCAAAGCCTCCATCTCCAGATGCAGTCTCCGCCTTTTGGATACCTTTCTCCCCCAACGGACTCCAGCGACGCATGTTCGGATGACGGTGACGCTATTCACACCCCTCTCACTGAACACCAAGACTCTCAGCATAATCCATACTCCGTGTACCACCACAACCAGGATCCGTTTGCGCATCCCTCCCTCCATTCCTTCTGTCCCAACCAACAATCCGGCGCCTTTCCGAACACCACCAAATCCGAAATCGAGCAATCCTCTCTTACTTCGTTCTCTGCCCTTCTAACACCTTCTGCGTCCGCCAAGCTTGTCCGTACTCATAGCGGCATGGATGGTTTCTTCCCTTTTTCCTCTCCCCCGTCAAGTGCGCTTGACCTAGCGAACGCATCTCTCGAATTCAATCCCTTCGCCTCATCGTTTGCTGATTACAACACCGAAACCATGGGTCCCGCCCCCGGGAAGCAAGGCAGTGGCTCTCATCTGTCAACGTACTCCGCCTTCTCACAATCCAGTTCATCTTCATCTTTCGATCTGCCGCCACTCCCATCTCTGTCTGATTCCATAAATTCTCTATCGAGTCCGGACCAAGCACACAATTTGTCCCCCTTTCTTTTCCCGCTGAACGATGGCCCTCGCTTCTCAGATACAACCCATTCCGACGACATTTTCTTTCTCAAAGCCCGGATGTATAATCCTCGTTTCCCCATAGATCACGCGCTCAACGGAGAGTTTGTCCGCACGTATCAACTTGGTGATGAACTCGGAGCTGGTGGGTATGGTTTCGTTATGACAGCCCGCCACCGAACCGAAGGCCACGAAGTTGCTGTTAAGTTCATTATCAAGGACAAGGTACCGGAACATGCGTGGTGGAACGATGAGCTTCTTGGAAAGGTTCCCACCGAAATTATGATCATGAGTCTGGTCAACCATGAGAACATCGTTAAATGCCTGGACTTATTTGAGGACGATAAGTACTTTTATCTGGTAGGCGTGTATTCTCGGCAGCATATATGCATATATTTGACGCCGTTCATTTTTGTAGGTTCAGGAATTACATGGTACTCCGTGGTTGTCCAGAAAGGCAAAGAAGAACAAGCAGATCACCGCCCCAAGCAATCTCGTCCGTCCTGCTACACCAGCTCTCTCCACCCCGTCCTTGACACCGTCTCCGTCAACCGAGTCTAACATTGATTCACTTCCCGGGACGCCGGCCGAAGTATGTGTTGAGATCGTTGAGGTCAACGAAGGCCCGTCAAACATCCTAGATCCTAATTATCTAGCATTTCCTCCTCCGGATTCAATTGACGCCAAGACAGACAGTTTGCTGAGACCACACTCGGCTGCTGAGGCTCGCCCCAGCTTTTCACGCAGACCCTCTTACGACTTGTTCGAATGTATCGAACAGAGCAAACACAAGCGGTTGTCTGAGAACCAGGCTCGCTACGTGTTTGCACAGGTCGTGGAAGCGGTATACTATCTCGAACAGCAGGGTATCACCCATTGTGATATCAAGGATGAGAACCTGGTCATTGATAATGATTTGACTGTGAGGCTTTCTATTTACGGTATGTCCGACCCATACTGACGACAATGTTTGTTTTCAGGTGAAGCTCATCGACTTTGGCAGTGCCGTAGTCGCAGATCCGACAGCACCTCGACCCTATTACACACTCTTTTTCGGCACCACGGCTTACGCCGCCTCGGAGATTCTGCTGAAACAGCCGTATCGTGCTGCACCAGCTGAAGTCTGGACTCTGGGAGTCCTACTTTCATATCTCCTCACAGGACATTCTCCTTTCCCCACAGAACAGGACGCTATGGATGGACACGTCGTGATTCGCGAGAAAGCTGGACGATTAAGTCGTGCTGCTCTCGGCCTGCTCGCAAGATGTCTTGAAAAGGACCCGAACCGCCGAGCAGATCTCGTGGAGATTAGAGGTCATCGGTGGTTGCAGGGTGCATTAGAGCGTGGCGGTTGATGCACCTGCCAAGTCCAACTACCTGTCGACGCTGGCTGCCGTTGACTGCCCTCAACTTTCTCGCCATTGGCTCAGCCCCATGAGTATCCTCACTTCAACACATGTATATTCTCTCGGATGGACAAGTACGCCCCGTTTTTTTTTTCTCTTTTGTTTTTCTTCCTTCCTGTCTGTATTGTTTCATGGAACGTTTTTCATACCATCATCGCATTGTTCGCAGCATCTGTATCATACCCTAGCATTATCGTTATTCCCCTTGGATTCCTCTGTGTATTCCTAGTAGTGTAGCTTTACATCATCTTTAACTCGTAGTGTACATCCTTCTGTAGTAGTCTCGCCACTATTGTACCAAGTGGACTCTCCCCATACCGCGTCACTTGAGGGCTTGAAGGTCTGCCAGTAAGATCCCGGAGAACGGCGGACGTGGAAGCCGGCACTGACCGTAAAGGCAGGTGAAGGGCCGGACCAATCATATCAGCCGGAATAACTGTCGCCCATTCGCACCAACCAAAGTTGAGCTCATTGCTGGAGCAGTCAATCAGCTGGCAACACGCTCCTTAATTTCTCTACCATCATGTCGGTTGGCCTCCTACGAACATCTGGTCCGTTACTTCCATGGGTTGGATGTGTATGCAGAGATGCTGAAGAGATGGTTTTATGTGTTTAGTTGCGAACGCGGGTCGGACCGCCGCTTGGAGGCCCCAGCCCTCAATAGGGATTCAAGGTGTGTACATGTATCGAGGAGAGCTTTAGTCGCTAAGTCCTCACCTGGTGACTCGTTCTATTAGTATGTCGGTCACTACATACTACGCAACCCACGAATACGGCTGTCCCTGTTACTGCATCAAACCCTGTCACCCAACTTGCAAAGCAGGGTTCCAACCAACTGAGTTTGGAGACTCCTGCGAACAAGGCTGGTACGTTCCTCCAACCCTTCAATTATGCCCGTCGTCGCTATTAACGCGCTTTTACAGAATATGTACTGTCAACACTGGACAAGATTACCAACTGGGCGAGACAGGGTTCGATGTGGCCCATGACTTTCGGTGAGCTTCCCTGTCAAACCATGTTATTTTGAGTTTGAGGGTGCTGAATATATTTCCCAGGTCTGGCATGTTGCGCTGTAGAGATGATGCATATGGCTGCGGCAAGATACGACCAGGATCGTCTAGGTGTCGTTTTCCGTGCGAGTCCTCGACAGTCTGACATCATGATCGTCGCGGGTACTCTTACGAACAAGATGGCACCTGCGTTGAGGAAGGTCTATGACCAGATGCCAGAACCTCGTATGTGTTACATCATAGTTTCTTCTAGTTCACGAGTATTGACGCTTTGACTAAAGGCTGGGTTATCTCTATGGGCTCATGCGCGAATGGCGGCGGTTACTACCATTATTCGTACTCTGTGGTGAGAGGGTGTGACCGTAAGTTACATTTACATTCCAATTTATTGTGCAATGGAGAGGGCGCTGATTACCGCCCGTGTAGGAATTGTACCAGTCGATATCTACGTGCCCGGGTGCCCACCAACTGCTGAAGCGTTGCTGTATGGCATGCTGCAGCTTCAGCGCAAAATGCGACGTAACAGGAAGAGCGTCCTTTGGTGCGTCTTCTCCCGTGATCGGACGGGTTTTGTTCTGTACTCATCTTTGTCTTCGTGCCTTGCAGGTATCGAAAGTAAGAAGTGTCTTGAGCATAGGAGGGTTGGATATGATCGAGCCGGCTATTCGAAGACCCCTCTCTGTATATACTTTTTGCATTCCACCTATTTTCTACCGAATTTGCTCTGTGACGTGTGTGCTGTATCAGTGATGGAATGAAAGCAATGATTCTAATCTCTCCCTGTCTCCTTCCGGAGGATGAGCGGCGCGCGTTTGGACAGTCTAGTACATATCCCGTAGCGACGGCGCGTCGGCAGCGGCTAGTTCCGACCTATGCTGAATGTGGGGAAACGGTCACACCTGTCCGCGACAACATCCTCGACAGCGACGAACAAGCCTCTGCTCGTCGTCCAAGGCATCCTCCCCCTGTTCGCGTCTTATTCATATCTTACCCTCGGTGACACTGCCGCTGCTGCGTCCGTTTGCTTCCGCTTGGTATCCGGGTTCCGCACGGCAGGTGCCATAAGCACATTCATTTCGCCTACTGGGTTGTCCGAGGTTCTCAGCTGCTGTTTCGTATCCTTCGTGTCTTTTTCTCTATTTGCCTTCAACCACCTTCCTTCTTTATCCTGTTATTGCCTCCAGTGACTTCCTTTCGTTCGTCTCCAAACATAATGGCCGCCGCAATACCCCTCTCTCAGCCTGATGTACCCCTCAACACGTCGTCTGACCTTTATTCCAGACGCCTCACAATCACTGAATTGGACTTCAAAGACACTCGCTACCCCGCATTGACGGCTCATCCAAAGGCCTATCCTTCTCCCATGGCTCCTTCCTTCTCAGATAGGATTGAAGATAGACCCGTGACGAGTGGTTCTCGTAGGAGCTATCTTGATTATACAGCTGATAATGATGCTACACCTTCCGAGTGGACTCCAGAGAAGCTTTGCGAACCACCCGTAAATCAAAGAGACGGACGGCAGGCGTCTCAAATAAACGACATTGAGTCCCAGGGATCACCTGCTTCTCGCAGACCACCGGCCCAGTCTCATCCGTCTAACAACAATATGCTATCACAGAATCTGCCTTCTACAGGCGCCTCGATGTTCGAGAGGGAGAGTCGGGAGGAACGCCTTCAGCGCGTGCCCTCCACGTCTGGTGGCTCTGCTGAACCGACCAACCCTCCTGCTGAGCCTGCTTCTCCGCCCGTCGACATGGGTCAGCGAATGTCTGTGGCTCTGGATCAGTATCGGGACAGGCCTCCATCAATGTCACCGTCTACACCTCGCTATCCATCACTGCCCATGACAGGTATCGGTGCAGGCCCTAGTACTGCAGCATTGTCCCCTATAGTCCCTCTTTCTGCTGGACCATCGTATAACCCTGCGAACATGCAAATCCCGATCTCTCAAAAACCTAGAGCATATCCGCAACAACCAACGTATATCAACCAACCGTCGCCTAAACCCGCCTATGCTCCGCCGCAAGTACCAAGAGAGGAAGTGTGCGTTGAATGTGCCATGCGAGATCAGGATATGGCGGATGTTGATGTGACGAGTCCTGGCATTTGGGAGCGGGAGAGTGATGCGATGTATGAAGACCTTCTTCGTCGAGAGGAAGAGGAGGACGCAGCCGGCATCCCACATCCAGAGAATCGACCTAGGGCCAAAGGTGGTATACTTACAGAGGCAAATCTTCGACTGTGGTTGAGCGTGGTACGTCGCATACCTCCTCATTGTGCACTACGTCTAGCTCACGCTTAATTGTCTTTCACGTGTAGAATCCTAAGGAACCCTCCTCCAGACAGCAGACTCTAGATCAATACGTAAGGTCTCAGAGAACACTTCTCGAGGCTGAGACACTCGCACGGGCCCGGGCCATCCGGGAGTCCCGTCAATTGGACGACAAGATGCGTGACGCATATTCGCAGCTTCGTCGATCGGCGTATGAACTTGGAACCATTGCACAACCAGACGACGATAGCGGCGGCCTGCGCATCAAAGCGCCGCACACCCCCTTAATCCCATCGAGCTTGACCAGCAAGGAGCATTCACGGGAGGTCACCCTTCTTGAGAACGGCATGATCGTTGAACATGTTGACGTCAAGAGGGAAGAACGTGAGCGGAAGCGAGAGGAGAAGCGAGAGCGCAGTCGTGCGAGGAAGTCTTCACGCAGCTCTCGTTCAGGTGCAGATGTCACCTCCATTTACTCCCTCGGCAGCCCTGGAAGCCCTGGAATGCCTACCGACAGCGGGTTCTTCTCAGGTGTTAGGCCTGATTCAAGGTTCTCACAGTCTCTGTCAGCTCGACCTAGCAGCGTTTTGACAGCTGGTGAGCAACGACCACCCAACCTCAGGGCTCAGTCACAAGCATCGTTCTCGGACCTGCACAGTATCGGGTCGACGTCGTCTCCACGTCGGTCAAGGTTCTTCGGTTTCAAGAACCTTAGCGCGGGATGGCGGAGTTCAGATAGCCTTGCACCTTCTGGTAGTATGATCGACATGCAGTGCGTAATCATCATGCTTAAATACTCTTTTTGTTATTAACTATTCGTTTAGCGTCGCTCTCCAACGCGAGGAACAGTATTTGCAAGCACATCCGGAAGCTGTGGACATCGGTAGTAATGCACCCACTCTTCGCCTTGGCGACGCCACATGGCCAAATCCTGATACGTCTCTCGCTCCGACGGCGACGCGCGAGACATCTCAGTCCACTACGAAGAAGCCCAAGGGTTTCAAGAAGATTTGGAAGATCGTCACTGGAACAAATTCCAAGTCTGTTGCTCACGACAGCGTCCATAGTCGGTCCATGGATAGGGCTGATGACGACGGTCCTTTGGCACCTCCACCGCCTCTATCATACTTGGTGAATAGGGAACGTGGTGCTTCGGCTAGACGGCACGTCTCGACACCTTCCTTACCTACGTCTACTTCTCCTAACTTATCGTCTGCTTATATGCCTTCACCACCTACCGCTCCTTCCAGTCTTGTCCCTTCACCTACTTCTTCACGACCTTCTGGTGGAGACGATGGCCTGAAGATGAATGGCCATGTTGGCAGTGACGCGGAGCACAGGTTACCTTCGGGTGACTCCATGCTCCCCGAATCCGATTCTCGAGGTCGGACGACCAGAAGCTCTTCAAGGACACTATCCAGTTTCAATGGCCCATTGACACCTTCGTCAACGCCGTCACAGCGACCTATGTCTGCTATTGTGCGCAGAGACAAATCACTACCTCCGTTACCGGGCGAGTCTTCGGTTGAATTCCCGAATCACCCTATGCCAGAGGCTCGTCCGCAGACTATGTTCACCTATGACCCTAGGATCTTTGTTGGTACTCCAGAAGGCCTTGCTCCACCTCAAGCAGCCTTCCGCACTCTCGACACAAGACGGCAGTCGTTTGGTGGTGTTGGCTCTCAACCCCATCTCGCTGCTTACACTCTTCCCACACGTGGCGTCGCTGCTCGACAGCTCAATGTCCCGCCCTTCCTTGCTGAAGAGAAGTTTTCCGAGTTCGGTGCTTCTCCTATGGCCATGGGTCAGTGGCCCCTTGCGCAAAAAAGCCAGCGTTCGCTGCAAGTACCCACGGACCCTAAACCGAAGAAGAGAAAAAGCAAGTTTGGATTGTCGTCGTTGTTCGGGAAGAAGGCCCATGGCGACGTTCAGGTCCATGATGGCATCTCGGACACTCTTGAATTCCCCGGATTCAGGATATCACACTCGGATACGCCATACGAGACTGCGGGGAATGGCAATGGCTATGGCAACCCTATGTCGATTCATAGTGGACATACTCAACGCCCTTCTCTTGCATCGAAGAAAAACATTGAGTTGGTAGACCAGGATCGAGATTTCATTGCTTATCGATATCCTTCCACAGAAGCAACACTCAATCTCATGCGATAAGGCCCTTGTCATTCCGTTCTCTGTCGATTCATGCATCTCTCTCAACCCCAAGGTTTCTTGTCGTCGTCGTTGCTTTCGTATTTACCTTACAGCCTCTCATCACTCACTGCCCGTTGGCCATCCCTAATTGTTTGTCTCTGCATTGGCCGGTTACATATTATCTGGGTGTGCCTCTTACATTGCATCAGTCCGTCATTTTGGTTTCTTCATGATTTGATTTCTTCGTTATACTTCGTACTCACTCATCGGACTCAGACATTTTTTTTTTGGTTGAATCTTATATTGTTCACGGGATAGTAATGACATTCATCAAGCATTATTTCTCTATGCTCGCAGAAGTTTAAGGGGTGCAAATCGGATATGCTACGGCGTGCCCGAAGTCGGGTGGACAAGGTGAGTCTTATTTTGCTAACGCTTATGTTCCTGTGACTGTGCGAGGCGAACGATTGACTGTTTCCTCTGCGCTAAATAACTGTGACTCCAGCAGTGGCTGAACGGCTCGACCATCGGGTTTCCACTACTCAGGCACACATTCACTTCACTTCAGGAAGTGGAGTCTCCCTGCAATGAATTGTCCGCAGATGACCACGTCAAGGTACATAATCTGTTCATTTTAGGGCCCTTACAGCTATTTGCGGAACGATAGGCCACCTTGGAAAAAAATCCAGGACAGAGGGTTTCAAGATCCGCTCTCGGCTGAAGGTGGCACTCACTCAGGCTGAGACGCTCCAAGCTCTCTTGCTCCACGAATACTCCAAATTCTGTTCGTGATTGGCTCAGACACCTGCAATCAGCCTTCGGGGATTGAAACACCTGTGCTGGATTTTTTCGAAAGGTGGCCTATCGTTCCGCAAATAGCTGTAATGCTCCTGGAAATCATGCAGCTATTTGTGAAGCTGTGGGGCTAAGGCCTCGCGGGGTCAAATGCTATAATATCGGCGCTATGCACCGTTCATGGTCGTCGACTAGCATCAGCTGGTCTCAACTCATTGGCTATAACGTTGTCGGTGGATGCCCTCTTGCCGCTCCGACTGGAACATATCCGAGAGATGGCTTTCCTTTCAATCCCAGACTCCGATTTAGTCACTAGTGACTAGTGGCGCAGTGATATGATCATCACCCTTGCATAGATGTGTCTCTAGAATCTAGGTTGGGTTCTGCCACTGAGCCACAATGACGCAGGATCTTCTATGAGTACGTCTTTGCATACGTAGTGTCTGTCATTCTTACAGCTATTCGCAGAACGATAGGCCACCTTTTGACATATCCAGCGCACAAGTTTCAATCGCCGAAAGCTGATTGCGGTTTTGCGAGCCAATCACGAACAGAATCTGGGGCATTCGTGGGGCAGCCTGTGTGAGCGCCGCTTGCAGCCCATAGCAGTTCTCGAAAGCCTCTGTGCTGTATTTTCTTGCTAAAGTGGTCTATTGTTCCGCAAATAGCTGTAACACGGTGTCGGCTTCATTGCTGCATTGACGGTATCAACTCGACTAGTCGCTTTTCGTCTGAAGTCGAACGTGTGCAAACCTTCAGAGTGCCACTTCGCTCTGAACGATTTTCGGTATAGCATTTGCAACTTGGCGAGTACCCCTTGCACCGGAACTGTGTTGAATACTGTCATGAGGTTATTCATTAGGCTCCCTAAATGAATGTACTAAGCCAATTGTCTCCCAAGGTCCATCAAGAGAATATTGCATTCCGAGTCTTCACATATTCGCTGGGAGTTCTCTTTGCTCTAAACCATCTTCGTGTAGACTATAAGGCAGTGCACTTCTGTGCTTCTGTGCGGAGTGACACTGTTAGAGGCAGAGCTGAATTTCCAGTTTATGGGTCGCTTATGGCTAACGACAGAGCGGGAACTCAGGGACGAATTGGCAATTTTGTAGCTTGTTTGACTCAACTTGATGTGGCGTAATATCAGCTGGTATGGATGCTTCCCAACCTACTAGTTCTCCTGGCTGATAGTGTTCTGCCAGCAGTGAAATATCACCTGCAGCATAACTTTTTCAAGTCTGTTTAGGGCTCAAGCATATTTGGACCGCGAATTTAATTACTAGAAAATGAGTGACGATTCGAGACCCCACAGTATGTGCGATAATTTCTTCCACTGATCTTGAATATGACCAGGGCGGATTGCTAGGATTTTGCGAGTTGAATCGAAGTCAGGCTTCCTCTGTCGGTTCAAAAATACACGCATCATGGAGTAATTAGAAGGCATTCATCCTCTTTGTCACAATACACCCCAGTGGGGAAGAGAGGCCGTTGTGCTGTCACCAGTCATTGAATTACATGGTTTTGCGGCTATGGGTCCTGGGCAGGTCGCCCTGAACTTCTGACCTTTGCAAGGCCAGTGATCGTATCACCATATGGTTGTGGAGACACGAAACCTCAAAAGAGATGCCACAGCCCTGACCTGAGTGTAATTCAGCTCTTTAGGATTTGACATCCTTGTCAGCTGGCATATCCACTGGTACGCTTTCGAAGTGCAATACGTTCAATAAACTATACGCTAGCCTTACACTCTCTGTTGCTGCTCGTAGTTTGACATGTCGGAGAGAGTGTGATTTGGTCACAGGTGAGCTGAACGGGGGCCGTGCAATGGAGAATCCTGTGCGGTACCCAACAGGTATGTGTGAAGCGCTACCATTCAGAAGCTATATAAGCCTCTCGTAATGAGGCTGTTTCTTCAGCAGCACACAGTGTCAGCTTCAGAATCGAGTTCACAGTTCTTCAAAGTTCATCGTGAGCGACAATTTCCCCTCTTACGACGTAGATGCGGTTGCTGATTTGTTATATGCCCCGAGTCCAGATGCAATTCAAGCTCTCCACCCTCATCTCTGCTGCCCTCGTCATCGCTGGCACGGCCTCCGCTTCCATTCTGGAGGCCAGGCAGTCCGTGGCCTGCAACGGAGCCAATGGTCAACCCTGCGGCAATGTGGGGGCCACTCTATTCGGCATCAGTGCTTCGGTACCATTGCCAGCTTGTACTGGCGGAAGAGTCTGCACTTCCACATGCACCGTGAACTTGGCGCTGCCAAGCCCTTTGAATTTTGTTTCAGTGACTGGGTCTATTGGGGTACGTTGTCGTGATATAGCAGCAGCACTATTTTATAACCTCCTTTTTACATAGTCATGCCACTAAGCGTGCCTCTAGGGCCGCCAGCAAGGTCTATCAAACGGGACCTTCAACAACGGACAAATTACTTGGTCTTTGGCTAAATCGTCTTCTGTGTGATATCTTTGAATTGTGTATGATACGAATAACGGTCGAAGGGTGAAGAGGATATTTGGATGTTGGGACAATGGCGATTATGACTTGTACTACTAGTGTTTATGTCGAAATCTGTGAGAATACTATTAGTATTATGTGCGTTGTTAACATCATTGCCACTGAAAGACCTGGATATCGCCGGTATTCCTGCATTTCGTGCGCTTTACACAATCTCAAGGAACCTCTCGGGCACGATATGAAATGCCACGAAGTTCGAAATGCGCAAGGTTCGAACTCTACGCATTCCATATCAGGAACAAGTCGAACAACGTCCGCTATAGCCAGTTGGCGCCTGGCCCTCCGTTCTAACTTCAACTCAGCGTTCAACGTTCCACCTTATCGCCTCTCGCTCGTATTCAATTGAATCTTTCCTGAAGCCCAATCATTATGGTAAAAACTCAAACCTTGAGCTTGACCGCACTACATAGTTTATCTTGAGGGATAGGCACCTCGAGGACTATCTGCTGAGGAGAAGCGTGTTCGACTGCTGGAGATCTTCCATGAAACGGTATACACTCACCAAACCACGCATGTTTACCGCAGCACATCACTAATATTTTCCTCCATTATGCCCTGTAGAAGGACTTCTTTCAGGTATGATCCTCTTTAAAATTGTTCTAATCGCTCGGTGTTTGAGTGTCCTTCCAGCTGAAGGAACTCGAGAAGCTGGGTCCGAAAATGAAAGGGATTGGTACGTCTGACCTTACTCAAGGTCTTCCTATGTTAACAAGAGCTCGTCTCCACTAGTATCCCAGACCGTGAAGGAAGTCCTTCAATCCCTTGTCGATGACGGCCTCGTTCAGGCGGACAAGATTGGATCATCAAACTGTACGCTTCATATGCTCCTCACGTCTTTCCGCTCTCATCTGAAGTGCATACACTCAGTTTTCTGGAGCTTCCCTTCTCAACACGGAACCATGGTGCGCATATACTCGTTTGAAAATTATCTTTGACGCCCACTCGCCTTCAGATGCAAAACCGCCTCAATACAGTTAAACAAAATCAAGCGGCGTACAAGAATCAGCTAACTGAGTTGCAAGTTGCGAAAGAGACGGAAAAGGCATCGCGGCTAGAGACCGTTCGTTTTACCGTGGCCTGCGGTCGACATCATCCATGTAGGAGTCGCTGATTGCTAACTGATATTTCGCACCTTTATAGCTGGAACGTATAAATGCCTTGGCTAAGCTCTCTGCTGCACAAAAGGAGCTCTCCTTACTGGAGAAAGAACTTGGTCAATACGGCGCTTGCGATCCCGCAGTCGTGGAAGACAAGAAACGAGCAGTTATCCTGGCGAAGGAAGCTGCTATTCGCTGGACCGGTAAGAAATGCTACAAGACCGTCGAACCTCAATGTGCAAGCTCACGAACAGACATTCTGACTTTGTTTCCAGACAACTATGCCATGCTCCTTTCCTACTTCACGCGCCAGTTCGGGGTTGATCCTGAAGAAATCAGGAAACATCTAGGCGTGGACGAAAATTACGAAGATATCCTCTGAACTCCTCGAATAACATGATCTGGCTGGCTGGCTTCCGGATATACCTGCTTCTCTGTTCTGGTGCTTTCTGTTATCGATTTGTGGATACTCTCGCAAGGACTTGTTGTAACGGTCTCTCCTCGCAATGCAAAATGAAAGCTGTAATCTCTCCGCTATCATAGTCTCAAGGCTCGTAGGCTGGCGTTGTTACGTACAGTCTATATATCATGTCTTTTTACTGTCTGTGCAGGCCAGTAGGAGCTATGACGTCACGCCACTTGGAGCTGTCGCTGGCGTACTTCATACTCGTATGCGACCGTTGCTGTATACGTTTCGCCCCGCCCTCTTCGCGGGTATGATTCTCCTCCAACGATGGTGTTCGCCATGACAGTGAGCTCTTCGCTGTCGTCTAGCTTCTTTGGCGCACTCGAGGGCGCATTCTCAGTGTTCCTCATTCTCTTTGCTGGCTACTATGTAGCAGAACGAGGTCTCATCGACCGCAACACTATCAAACGAGTTTCAAATCTCTGCACAGTTTTCTTTCTCCCGTGTCTCATCATCGTGCAAATGGGACCAGAGCTCACGGTCACCAATCTCAGCAAATTATGGATCATACCGCTTTGGGGTCTTGCCAGCACACTTCTTGCGCATGGTGTTGGATGGCTTGGCCAGAAGGCGCTCAAGATGCCGCACTGGACAGTTGTCGCCTCAGGTCGCCCAAACGCGAATGCTCTTCCTCTTCTGTTACTTCAGTCCTTGCAGTATACCAGCGTGTTTGACGACCTCTCTACGGCCGGAGATTCTGTATCTGATACCCTTGACCGTGCCAAATCCTTGATTCTCCTCAACGTCATTGTTCAGCAAACGTTCACGTATCAATTTGCGCCTTCAGTTTTGAAAATGGACAAGCCGAAGATCATGGATGCGAATGGGCGTGATATAGAGAACCAAGCGTCATCAGTTCCTGAATCCCGTCAGCAAATACCTCCGATCGTGCAGGATAGAGAACATGTCGGATTACTGCAGGACACGAATGGGCACTCCTATGGTACGAACGGAGAAGCCCACTACTCCAAAGCCTTGAATGCTATCGTGGACCAACCCGATGTTCACTGGCCACGAAGTGTGAGCGTCGCGGAGAAGCCGGTGAAGAAAATACTCCGCCATATGAGCCCACCATTGATTGCTGCTATCATTGCCTTTATTATTGGGGTAAGATATCCTTGTGTCATTTATCGAACATGCCAGAAGTGACTATTTTCTCCAGATAAACCCTCCTTTGCATGTCATGTTCTATGACAAACATGGCGCCATATACAACTCCATCACTCAAAGCTTGAAGAATCTGGGAGACCTGTTGTACGTGCAGTTGGTACGAGCTACGATACAACTAATGTCTTACCTATATATCGCAACAGCATCGCCCTTCAAACAGTCGTCGTGGGAGCGGAGCTTGCCCTTGTTCCTCACACCAAGCCAGGTATCCTACCGACCACATACACGCTTGCAGTTCGCTTCGTAATGATGCCTGCTGTGAGTCTTTTGTTTGTATGGGGTACCGCTGGGCGAGGCTGGTATGTGGATGATAAACTTGTTTGGTACGTTGAAAGGCTCAGTCATAATTTTTGATCAGTATCTGATGCTCAAGTCCTTGTCAGGTTCCTGTTGGTCCTCATTCCTTCGGGTCCATCGGCCATGCTCCTTGCGAGTGTAGCAGAATTGGTCAACGTAGACCAAGGTCCCATCACCGGATACCTCACTATATCTGTAGGCATCTTCCCTTTAGGTTCAAGCTGCTTGGCTGATCCTGGACAACCTCGATAGTATCTCTTCTCGCCCTTTATCGCTGTAATTTGCTCCGTGGCTTTGAAGGTTGTTGAGGCCGCTGGAAACCGGTTATGATTTTTCAGGGACTTGAGTCACGTCGTGCATATCCTTATACTCAAAGAGAACACATACAACTATGACCCTAAGAATATATACCGTTAAATGGTTGTAGTGACTCCTGCAATGGTAGACAAACATATATGATGTCATTCAACCTTGCACACTATAAAAGGCAAATGCTTTAGAAATCAACAGAGACAAATCTCTCAGATATAAACTCCGAAAAGCCATCATCCAAATGGCTAGCATAATTCGTCTCGTAGCCAGTGCTCCGACGTGTGTAATCTAGCGATGCAGTTCAAGACAGTTATAGTGCACTCCGCTGTCAATTTCTAGTGTCTCCAATACGCGGTATTATTATTCAGGTTCTCATTAAGGTCACTATTCTTCCATAGTATTGCATGCTCTGAAAAGAGAGAGAACTTCCTGCCACCCACGAGTACGGCCTTCTTCTATGTACGTCATCCAAGTCTCTCGACATTCCCGACAGCATGTCACACACTCCAAAAGCTTGCCAGCACGAAATGTGAGTGGTATCCAGAATGGATTCACATATCCCGTATGCGCATCTCTGAACATATCAACTTCTCCTTTCAGGTCTCCCCTAAAACGTTGACACTGTTTAGCCAGATGTGCTTTGGATACTCGTTTCGGCCACTTTTTGCGTATGCCACTGGATGTCGTACCGCGTAGCCGATGTGTATCAAGGTATAACGGATGATACTTTATGTTCCAGATGAAACCGTAGGTCATCTTCCGCGCTATGTAGTCAAGGCTTGGGCGGGCTTTGTGTAAGATGAACTCCCGCAGTTCCGGGTCAAGTTCCCACCAGTTCCCGTCCAAGTCGACGATGCCTTGGTCAATGTCTTCAAAAGGACGCGTAGCACAACAAAGAAGCAGGCCAAACCAAAGGTCATCCACTTGAGTATAGTCATCTATCTCGTTCCTGATGTTTGCAAGAGCATTCAACAGTCGAAAACAGACATCGCTGTTCAGCCAATAGTGGCGCTGAATCTGAGGGTAGAAAATTTGTTGAACTTGCAAGTGGTCTAGGTCTTCCAACGTTGAGGGGTATATCAGCATGAGGAAATCATATAGCCGTTCGTGAACGAGGGTCCACCCTCCCATTTCGTACCGTGCGCACATGCGCAAGGCAGAGAGTACTTCATCGACGTCCTTTGGTACGTGTTGGCTGTCCATCGGATATTCCTACTGAATACAATTGTGGAAGGAAGGAAGAGACGGGACGCACTCGTCATACAAGAAGCCTAATAGATTCCGGACATCCTCTGCAGTATCACTAACTTCAATCCAGGGACAAAGACCTGCGGAAGATACTCGCGGAAGTTGTCGCATAAACCCTGAGAATACAGCAGATTCCCGACAAAGACATGTAGCGTCGACGCGAAATAGCGTTGGACCTGCACGAATGACCACAGGATTCTGAGTCTTTCGATGCCACAGTCCAGGATCTGGAGTGCCGAGTGGCGTGGCATCGGAAGATGATATCGGAGCCGGAGGGATCTTGATTGTCAAAGATTTCATGTCAACCAGGATAGGGTTGGACCAGTGGAGTACTCGGACGTAGGCAAGTGGATGATATCCAGAGGATGAAAGTTAGAGTGAAGGCGTAGAAAATCTCGCTTACTGACCTTTGAGCTTATGAGGCCTGAGCGGCCATTATTGTTCCACAATCGTGTATCAACAAGCTAACCGCTGGAAGAAGAAAGGCCCATGCTGAAGTGACAGAGAGAGAAACCTGATACAGAGAGAACCTTCTCTGTCTCCTTCTCTCCCTCGGCTGCTGATCCCGCGGGCTACAATACAGTAGGTGCCGCGCCACATTAGTCGACTTTCGGCGTTTTGAACATTCACTAGATCACGCCGCCGGGTATTCGTGACATGACTAGTCATCATCAGATGCAGAAGTAACGACCACAAACGTTGACGATGATGTGTACCGAGTTGTACCATGATCTCCAGGTCCAAATGCACTTTGAACGTGGGAAAGTTGCAATTATCTCTTCCGGCGGATCCTTTGACGTAACTACACACTTTTTGAATGCTTGTAATTGGCAACGTCAGGATGGACCTTTTCTGTGACGCTTTTGACACAAGTCGATCGACTCGTTCCTCAATATCAGCTATCTGAAACCTGCGTTGGAATGCTTAGAGATCAGGATGACATGACGTTTCAAACTCATCCAGGTCCATGAACAATGGACACCTCGAGTCTTCGGGTGAGTCCCTTCCTTTTTTGTTTCAAGGTAAAGGACAATTGTCTGTGCCTAATTTGATATTTCAACCTTTAGCACATGTGACGATGTCTTAGACATAGTGATGCCGGGAACATGCCTTGACCTCTTTGACCTTCAAGACCTGAGTGGCGCAAAGCTTTGTCCTTTGACCTGATGTCTTTGACCCCAGTCGCTTTGACCCACTTTTCTTTGTTGACCTCAGACGATGTATAAATACCCACCTGTATTCTGTCCCATGGTGCGCAAACACAATTTTTCCCTTCACCTTGAAATCGACAACGTCATATTAATCCCTTACTGCTATGCCTGTTTACCGCCAATCGGTATGTACATTCAATGACATACGAATGCTTCGCACCTAATCCATTCATTCATGTTACTAGATTGTGCGCGACAGACAACGTTCAGAATGCCCTGAATGCCATTCGCTCCTCCCAAAGGGGAAGAATCTCAAGAAACACATCGAGGACCATTTTGGTGGACCCCCTTCGGTTAACAATAGCAGGTATGTACCTCAGGCTGCTAGTTTCTTTTCTCGCTTCTCATGGCCCTTATTAGGTACCATAGATGTAAAGCGCCAAACTGCGTTCACTGGTCTCTCCAACGGTCCAACTTAGAGACCCACTATAAGACACAGTAAGTGCATGTCTGAGCGAATTGTCATTGGTACTCACCTCCATTCATTTAGTACCCTCCAGAAAGACAAAGTCTGCACCCACTTTTCAAGAGAGGGAGACAAACACCCATGCGAATATGTAACCCACGATCCCGCTCTGCTCACACGTCACAGGCGAAATAAGCATGGTTATTGCCCATGCAAAACTGATTCATACGATCCATGGTGGCAAGGTGTCGGCGATGCTAAGGTCCGAATGGGCGGTCGTTTAACAATAGATGATGTCGCAAGGATCCGGGAACAGGAGCAGGCTACACGGATGAACAGGCGTCAAGTCAACCCACTCCCGAACACCAGTGGTATTATTGTGCCCAAGCGTGAAGAGTTTTCCCCTTCCTTAGACCTATCCCATGCCGATGGTTCTGCTCGTACAAAGCTCTCAGATGCAGATTCTGACTCGGACATAGTTGACAATGCCCAGCCAACTGATGATGCCCCTCCGGATGGACCCGCCCCGACTCCTCAGCCTATTCCAGAAACTGCTGAAGATATACCGGCCATTCAGCCTTCACAACGCATCACTCCTGCTCAGCTTCGTGTAGTCACTTTGCCACGCCACAATCAGCCGAGCACACCTGCACCCACCGCTTCCTCCTCAAAACTGTCACGTGTAGCTACACAACATGCTCCCACTACACCCTCTACACAATACACACCTGCCGCAACGGGCTTGCCATTCGGGGCCAAAGGACGTGCATGGATGAAACATCTGAGTCGGGAACGTAACATTGCTAGAGCCATCAGAGAGGGGTGCCCTGCGAGACAGCAACCGAATGCCAGTAGCAGCCAACCACTGCAACCGTCGGGTTCCCCCAGCGATCATTCTGCAAATCCTGAGTAGGCGCAATTCATGGACTACGCATTGAGATATCTCTGTCTTCTTATGCCCTTTCCTTTATTCCAAAGATTCCCCTCGTTTCTTCCACTGCCCAACTGTGAGTTCTCGCTGTCGATTCAAACATTCTTACATAATGAATATATTGTTGCTCCTCTTATGTTCGCTGACTACAATGCTGTATATGTCATCTCGTCCGTATATGCCCATAAATTTTCTACCCAATAAAATGATATAGCACGATTCTCAGAGCACAGGTTATCTACAGTCCTCACCATAGTTCAAGAATCAAATAATCTACCTCAACACCATAGGGTGCGACGGAAAAGCAACTTGAATGTGAACAGATGATTCGCAACTACGAAGCTAATATAGCGACCCAGATTCCAAAGAAAATGTGCAAACTAAGACAACGCACGTTCCAAGTCCATGACGTCCAGAATGCCACGTCGTGACAGTATAGGAAAGGCCTGCATGGCAGCCTGCCAAAGCTGCCTAGGTGGATGATGATAGTCATGTACAACGGTGACTACTTCTAAGTGTTTAAATTTCTCGCTCGAAAGTAGATCATCTATAGGCCCAACGTCCTCGTATCGAAGTCCATCCAAGTGCATAAGTTCGATGACGAAGGTTAATTCCACTACACGTGTCGGCGTGGTGAGTCGAGAGAGCATATGGATGAGCCCACTGACGCTCTCAGCATGGAACCATCCAGGACTAAAGGAAATCCGTCGGAGATGAAGAAAGGGAGACAGGTCGATGTCGAAATGAAGCTCTATGGAAAAGTGAGAATTATATTCGAGTCCGTGGAATCGAAAGCAAATATACCTGGATCAATAGCGTGTATTAGACTTTCTAATACTGGGTTGAGACCAAAATTAGAAAAGAAGTTGACGAGGGGTTCCACCTCGAGATTCCCGAAGACACCCAGTGATTTCAACGTGGCTGTCACATCTCGAGGAAGAAACCAACTCTGCAGAGTGTTGATATCGAATGGCTCGTCAAAGCTGTAGTGAATATAAACCGACTGCAGCTTGGGTCTTGGGTATGAAAGAGGAAAAACCACCGGTAGCTCAGCAGAGATATATGATCCGTTGTTTCTGGCATGACTCTCTGTAGGCACGTGGGTACCCTCCGCTTCATGGATCGGAATAGCAGCTAAGTCGCCATGCGTATTCAAGATGATTTCACGAAGCTCCACCCGGTTCAGCCTCCGGAAGGACCGAATCAGAGCCGTCAACGCGTTGCTGCTCATCATACAGTCTCGGAGGATTAGTTCCTCTACGTTTTTGAGTGTCCTCAGCGAATATATCCAGGTGGCAAACCTCTCGCTTTCCGCTCGTTGCATTTCTCCGCTGTCCTGCTCCTCGTAGTTACCGACGGGATAGGCGAAGTTGCAAATCTCTATGGATTGGAGTGACGGCAGGCTACCTCCCAACAGAAAGGGGAATTGGAGAATCCAACTGTCGTCCGCTTTGACAAAATCCCTAATGCTGTCGCCCCCATTCGCGGATGACGCCCCATAGAGATATACTTTGCGTATGTATCTTGTTATCCTCCTATCGGAAACGGCGAGCTCGGCGAGCTCAACAAGTCTTCTCCAGCTGTTTAGGCGAACAGTGCGAAAGACATGCGGACGAGCAGACGCGTACCAGTCTTTGTTGACAAGAGTGCATGAACGCAGAGTATCAGGGTCATGACACCGTATGCGAACAAGGTCCCATAGTTGGTCGAGGATGATATCACGTAACTCCGGAGGAAATTTGAGAGCCTTTTTGAGAGCCTTTTCTGGGACTGATTAAGGATACTTTGAGAAAACACGACCGCAGATTAAGCCCAGAACTACCAACTTCTGCAGGATCAATCGTAAGGCTGGATTCACGATACCCAGAGACGGGAGCGTAACTTACATCGCTTTTTTGGCCTGCAAAGCTAGGCGTGCGCTGATGGAGTTCTCAGTTTACAAGCTCTTGTCGTTGTCCAATCACGTACGATCGTCTCACTGGCATCTCGCTCCCGTTTAATTCGATGTGGTGTAGATAACTTTTGAAGGTTGTTTAGACGAGCACTTCATCGACTCAGTCTCAAATGATGCACCTGGGAGTAGCTGGGAGTCTACCGGCAATGTCTCACTGCCATTACTTATTATTGTCTGTCATTGTTCTTCGTCAAATGGATAACGTGGCTCGGAGTTCTGTGTTTCTTTCTCCGAAACTGGGCCTGAATGAGTAGACAAGACGTTTATAGAAAAGTTTGCCGACTTCAATGCGAGCAAGTTGGAGCAAGTCGTCGATGATCAACAGATTCGAGCCAAGGTCGTGATGCACCCTAATAAGGCAAACGCCTCGAGTTCATCCGAACTCAGGCTAAGGAAAGACGTCTAGTATCCACCGACTGTCACCCAATTCGCACTGAATGGTCGATCATGTGCTTCCAATGCCATTGAATTCTAGCTATACACTGTTTCTGCACCGTATGAACCCCCCAACCAGACCAGGCTTTCATGTACATCGCGATCAACTCATCTACAACATGCTCTCGTTGAACAGACAGACACTGGATCCAGAACTCACGGCATGCGTCACAGCAGATCGCCCCCTCAGAGTCCGCTTATCTTCTAAAGAGTCTAGGAAAACTCCGGAAGGCATTCACGTAACCAGTAGTATGTGAATACAAGAACATCGGCGATAGGTCTTTCTCTAGTCCCTTCCTGAATGCTTGAGATCCCCTGTGCTGATTGCACCTCGTCTTCCCTGGAGCATCTGCCAACCCAGAGGAAAGCATAAGCTATGCCATGTGCGAGTTCGTTAATCTTCGGTCGTACGAGGAGCAAAAGGTATAGTCGTATGTTGTCAGCTAGTTGCCATCGACCTTTTCCATCATTATCCGTGACCAGTATATATATCCTGGTGGGGACGGGTTGCACAACAGAGAAACAGTGTGAAGATCAGGGTATCAAGGATGATAGAATAGTCCTGTTGTTTCCTGAGAGCGCAGAGTGCATTGGTAAGGCGAAAGCAAATGTCGCTCTGAAGCCAATAGTAGTCTTGAAGAAGCGGATCGAGGGACAAGTGCTTGGATTTTGTAACGTTCGCACATACCTAGCGTGATAAGACTTTCGTCTGCAGTTTGTGGTCGATAGTGCCTAAATCGAGCCGAAGTGCATGTTAGGGAAGATGTGCGTTGTGAGGCAGAACGAGGCGTACCCTTCAAACATAAACCGGAAAAGATGATACAAGTCCTGAGCTGCGTCATTCACCTCCAAGCCACGACAAGCAGCCGTGAATAGAAGGTATGGCGGCATGCTTTCAATGGAATGTCGAAACACTGGGGAGTATGGACAGGTTACCGCGGAGTCAACCCGAAGATATTCCCCTTCTGCCTGGATAACTAACGGGTTTTGAGTGCGAACTTCAAGGATGTATTGATTGCGAGTAGGGAATTTCAGAAGTTTATGTCCAGATGCTGGATGAGAAGGTGGAATGTCAACCTGTCGAGTCGTCAAGGGCGTCCGATAGCGAACCATAGGTATACGTGGGAAAGCTTGAGAGTTATGCGCTGCGAGTGCGAAGAGTACTAATGCAAGAGGACGATAGTTTGTCAGTGGAGATGAGCGAGAGTGAGGTGCATTGTCTCCTTATGCCAGACGGCCAGACACTGCTTATTGCTTCGGCAGCGAACAAGGTGGTGTATCGCCCTAGTAGAATGATGTACGCCTCGACTGAGAGAAGTTTTGATGTGGCCCAGAGTGCAACCGACCAGACAACGAGGTACGAAAAGAGCAACAATTGGCAGCATTCTTGTATCAGTCAGAGCGCGACCTACAAGACAGCAAGCAGTCATTGCCACTTCAATCGAGATGATAAGCACACTAAACGAACGAGGCTTCTAGGACATATGGGTGCGGAAAGACTGTATTTTGAAAGAATCGTAGTGCACAGATAGTACGCTGCCATCTGATGCCGCACTTTCGCCAGTGCGATGTGAGGTGTCATGTAGAGTAGCAAATCATCAACAGGAGAGTGTGTCAGGTAGCTTCCTCGTGCACCTAGTTCTGTAAAAAAGACAGTCTCATTTCTCAAGAATGGACTTCAAGCTGGCAGGTGGAGAAGGTCGTCAAGAAGGTCACACCATGCATACCGCCGGCAACGCTGTGTAAATGGTGTTCACCCAAATAAGGCAAACCCTTTAGAGACAAAGAGAGACATACATTGGTCTGCGTTCTCGCAAAATCGTGTTCTACGTAAATAACAACAGAGATATCATTATGTGCTACCTTACTGTTTAGTGACGGCCATAAAGGTCCAAGGCAGATCCACTAAGCAACCATTTGCGTTGACATCACAGGTGAATGTGCAAACATAGATGCTTGTGAGTCGAGATGTCTCCATTCGGCAGAAGATTCCTGGTATAAGTATAGTGTAGGAGCATGTATTTTAAGCGGATGTGGTGTCCAAAAAGGCAGCATTATGGTCTTTAACGATGCATACTGCTACCAAAAGATACACCCGTGAAATGACTGATCAGCAGTGTTGACATTGTTCTCGATGTAAGTGTGATTTTTTTGGCACCCTGGTGACCCAGAGTAATGCAGCATGGGTACGACCTACGGCATCAGTAGCAGCACGTTGAATTGTCGGGGCTCCGAAAGATATAGTTGACTAGGTACCCGAATAGCTCCACGCGCATGTTCGTGGAATCTGGAAGAGAGACTCGTTCCAGAAGACGAAACCTTGATTGAAGGAGCACGTAATAGACATGCGTACATCGGAGAATATTTTGATCTTCAGTCACCTGGCTTGTCTGTACCTAGATAACATAATGTTGTGAGAGCAGAGAAGAGATATGCGCATGTCCTCCTCTCCACGGTGGGTTGTCGGTTCCGAAACAAATTCGTGGTGGGTATAATAAGCGGTCGCGAGGGGCAGTGGTGGGTAAGAAAGAAAGTCAGAGTAGAACGGTTACTGAGTTGACCCAGATGTCAGAACAAAGACGAGACAAAGCGAGTACCTGGTGTTGGATCTGCTTAATCAGTAAGTGTAATAAGTGGATCCCAACGACAGATAGTACGAGCGAGAAGACGTGAAGAACCTAATTATCACCGCTGAGTAGACGACGAAGAAGCATCAGAGAGCCAGACCATGAGAACGAACACACAACAGCGAGTCAAGTGATGTTCTTTGTACGACAGCATACCAAAAGTGGCAGGAGGATAATGCCGAGAAACGCCGAGCAGAGATTCCCACGGGGGGCAAGCTTTGTGAGCTAGAGAATTGAAAGTGGAAGTGCGCCCAGAACCTTGGACACGGTCTCCGCTGCCTCTCCTGATCATGTCACAGTCGCCGACGACGTCCACCGACGCTTACGACCAACAACCAGGAAAACGCCGTCGAACCAATTCTTTCGCTGTTAACAACGCTTATCCCGGAGGATCTGCCATGGCTTCCCCTCAGGACTCCCCTCAACAGGGTGCTCCCCCGCCCGTCCACATTCCCAAGAGGGGCGCGCGGGCCTGTACCGCCTGCCGAAAGGGCAAGAACAGATGTGAAGGAGAGGTGAGCGTCTTAAACATCTGTCTCCTCGTCCCCCGTTCCGCTCACCATTATGGCCCGCACCCTCCGCCCGGCCCGGGTCGTTCTTGCTTCACCAGGCTCCCTGTCGTCGTTGCCAACTTAGTGGGACTCCTTGTATCTTCGAAAAGCCCGAGAAGAAAAATGTCCAGGCTATGTCTAATGCCAGCGTTGAGTGAGTACTCCCTTGTCCCAAGAAATCCAAAATTTCTTACCGTTACTTTTGGTCCGACGTCACCAGGCGGTTGTCCCGCTTGGAAGGACAGTATCTCGTCAGTTGTTTCCATGTAGTCTCTATTGAGTACCAGAACTAACGGGCGTGTAGGTCATGCAAAGCCAAATGATTGGTATGCAGTCCTCATTGGACCGTATACTCGCCGCCATACAGCAGAACCAGGCTGTCATGTCGCAGCCTAATGCGTTTGGAAACGGTCCCAGAGACGTTCCTATGTTTCCTCCTATGCCACCCATGCGCAACGGCGACGTGTTCACCCCCTCGCCAGGCGGTGAAGGGCCATCCTCTCGTCCCAAATTCCCACCGCTTCCCGGGTTTGCGCCACCGGTCAGTACACTTCTCGGCTCCTTCTGTTGTGCAATCATGCTTATTTGACGCTTTACAGCCTCACAAGTATGCTACGTATGGTATAGTACCTAGCACTGCACCGTCGTCTGATGACGAGTCCGAGGATACTCTCCCGCGTTCAACATTAAACGCACCAATTGAAGCGTTGCAGGGGCTCGCCAACGCCGCGGCGGAAGCAGCCGCTGCTCCTTCCGCCACTACACCACGGTAAGGAGTGCAATTTGTTCATTGTCTTGCCTGATGCTGACGCACTTGTTACGTAGGGTGAAGAAGCGTAAAAAGGCCGAACCTATACCTCGCAATGCCTTCCCGCATGTTGTCGAGAAGGTAGCTATCGCGTTGAATGTCCCCTCGTTTCTCTTCTGATGACGCTGGTTATAGGGTTTGGTGTCTGACCAAGAAGCAAGAGAGTTGTTCACCATGTAAGCGCTCACAGACCGTAGCTAGCTACTTACACACTAATCCTTTGCTAGCTTCTTTTCCGGCTGCCATATCTTCATTCCAGTCTTCGATCCAAGTTATGACACCTATGAAGGGCTCATGGAACGCTCGCCTTGGACCTTCGACGCTATCCTCGCTATCGCCTCTAAGATTCGCAGTGGCACCGGTCCCTTGACGCCCTCTTTCTACAAGAGTTTGGAGGAGGCTCAGGGTATCGCCAGGTCCTCCCTCTTCGGCCCTGTAGTGCGGAAGGAAGCTGTTCAGGGAATGCTGCTGTTGGCAGCTTGGAGTACGAATGGTTGGTTGCCTAGCGGCCATGCTATGCGTATGGCCCTTGATCTGGGCTTGCATCGTGCGTTGGAAAAGCTTGCGGATCATGATAATAGGCAGAGAACCGAGGAGGAAGAACGGAATCTCAGTATGCTTAGATTGCCTTATCTTGCAGTGAATCAGCTAATTTCGTGATTCAGTCATCTCTGCAAGGATATGGTTGTGCCTGTACTGGTTCGATCATCAGTATGTCTTTCACCATCTTGCGGCGTTTCATGAATTTCAGTTGACCTTCATGACTTGCAGAATGAGTCTCGGCACTGGGAGACCGATTGTACTCAGGGATGAGTCCTCCATCAAACATTGCCGCTTGTTGCTCTCACATCCAATGGCGTCACCAACCGATGTTCGCCTTGTTTCCCAGGTTGAGTTGATTGGTCAAAAGAGTGAGTTTGTTAAAACAGGTAGTTTCGTCTCAGAAGTGGATGCTGACCCATTCGAATCGTGATTGGATCTCTTAGCTCAGATATACGAGACACTTTCGCCGCTTAACGGCCAGGTCAACCACAATACTCTTGCTTTTATCCGTCGTGCGAATATTGCGCTGGATAAATGGTGGCAGGATTGTGATGCTCTTCATCGTGGGTCTCTTACGTTTTGATATTCAACATATCTTGACACGAGAATTCCATTTTAGAGCAATCTATGGATGAGGATGCTCTTCCCCGCAAGATTCTAGCAGGAGAGTTGTACTATGCCAAGTTATGGCTGGTCTGCGTTGCCCTTAGGGGCGTCTCTTGGGACAAAATGCCATTTGAGCAGCGTGAGCTTGCATTCCAAGCTAAGGACGCAGCCTCGAACTGCATCTCTAATCTATTGAACTCAACGACGTATCGGTATGAAGCTGATTCTTGAGCCAAACTTTCGTTGACGTGCTGATTTGAATTGATTTATAGCGCTGCTCTGCGTTATGCAGTCCATGATAGCCTGGTGACAGCCGCCTTCTCAGGCCTATTTCTGTTGAAGATGGCCAACCTGTTCCCAGCCGAGCTGGATCTGAACGTTATTGCGGTTCAGGTAGAACAGCTTGCGCAGCTGCTTTCTGACGTTGCTGCAGAGAGATATGCGTTGACTTTACGCATCATGCTTGCCAATCTCCGACGCAAGATTGGCCTCTCTTCTGGCGGAGTAAATCCTATGGGAGGTACTGAAATGATGGCTCCACCGCCATTCATCGACCCAAGTCTGGTCCCTGCTCCGCCTGCACCTCCACCGTTCACGATGGAGGAACTAGGGATTCCTTGGCCTCACAGTCAAGCGATATTCAGCCCCAGTTCTATTCCGGTTTGGCTGCAAGAACAAGTAAGCTGTATTGTTCGCTGCGTTGAGATTGGTCCGCTGACGATTTATGGGTGTAGAACCTGACTGACCTCGGTCTGCCTGTGAATGGATCCGACGGTATTTTCCTCCAAATGTCGAATACGAACGGATGGACAGGCGACTTTCCTCCTATGCCTGAAGCCTGGTGACCATTACAGGGACCAGTAGCTATGTGACCATTTGCTCCGTTTATGGGGTTCTTCGAGCCTATTGTATGCACAAGCCCAACTTTGCTCTGGCGTTGGAAGTGATTTATTGGTCCGTGCGCTATCGTTGATGATCGTTGTAATTTTCATTGTACTCTCACGTCCCCGAATATCTAGTCTAGTGTATCCTGACAGAAGATAAGAAAGAAATTTCGATTCATGTAGTACAAGTCGTAAACGGTCCGTGCTCTCACCGGCCAGTCGTGAATGAATACATATCGTATCGTATGATTATGACAGCCCATACCCATGCCGCCCATCTATGGCGTATACTCACTCCTCGTCCTCGTCCTCGCTTTCTTGCTCCTGCAAGAACTGAAGAAAGGGGATTAATGCGAGATAGTATTGCAATGATGCTTCTTCACGTACCTTCACCAGCGGCTGAGTTGCATTCAAGAAATGCTGCCTGCCTTGGGCCTTCGAGCCTTTCTGGTGCCAATAGATAATAGCTTGATCAGAAATACAGTCCTTGTTATACAGCACCTGAATACCCAGTTCAGTTAACACAGTAACAGAGTCGATACAGGAGACCTACTTTAAGAATTTGAGGAAATGCCTTGATGATACGGGTGTCCTCATAACAATATACTTGGACAGCGTTGATGAGAGCAACCTCAGTCTTTGCGCCGTTACAGAATGGTTCGAGGATCTCGGCGAAGTCCTAATGAGAGTCTGAGTACACGAAGAAATAGACGGCACAAATAGGAACGTACGCCAATCTCTCGGATTGCCAAAGCCTCATTCTGGTCTTGACGAGCACTCCATTCAACGGAAGAAATCAGGCCTTGCCAGATACACTGAACCAATTCATTTTCCGGCAGAGGGCCCTCGCCTTGCTTAGCCTTGATCGCGGCAATGATCTATATATGTCGTCAGATCCATTCTGGCTGCATACAAGCCGCAAGACGCACATCAGCATGGGAATCCTCATTGGCAAGCATTTCCTTCAAAGTGGAGATAATGCCGTCCTTGAGGGCCGCATATTGTCTCTTTGTCCACCATTCGGCGACCTGAGGTAGTCCGGCAGCGCGGAAGTGTTCATCCAAGGCCTTATCCTGACGCTTGTTTGGTGGGAAGAATGCTAGGAGATCTTTGATACCTCCGCGACGCAAGGTTGCAGCGAGGTGATCGATAGATTGTTCACCCAAGTAAGCACGGAAGACCACTGTGACCACGCTGACCGAGACATCTGTGAGAGAAAATAAGGGACACCTCTAGGTGAAACCAAGAAAATCTTACCATTCTTGACGAGATGATCTTTGGTCAGTGCTTGCAGGCAGGCAGCACTAATAAGACCCTGGGCAAGCATGATCCCGGCGGCTATGGCGAGTTTCTCGCGTTGTATATCTGACCAGCGGTTGATGTATTGCATAAGGCCAGGGAGAGAAGTCTCCTCGAGTGGACGTTGTAGATATTTATATCTATGGCACAGATCGAGTTTCAATACGTTCATAGCGATGAAAATGACATACCTTCTGATCAATTTGTTCAAAACCTCGACATATTTCTTTATCTCTGCCACATCCACGGGCTCTTTGGCGTTGAAGATCGAGAATGGTGAGGGCGGTGCGCCATCATCGATATAGTTCCCACCTGGCTGGAGAAGACCCCCGACAAGTAGGATCTCGAAAAGTGCGTCCGCATACTTGAGATACTCGAGAGTGGATCCGGCTTGCACTAGTTTATTGGTGAACGCCTCGAAATCACCTTCTGGGACAGTTTCGAGATGTTTGTAGAGTTGATCTCTGAAGACTACGGATGAAAAGTATCATGAGTATCGAGCAGTTGCAGCTCAAAGCGGAAACGGACTCGTAGGTTCGTGTTTGGCGTGAGCTTTGACGGCCCCTTTCCGAGCTTTGATTCTGACCCCCTGCAGCGAAGGCTTAGCAGCGGTTGATTGCTGAGACATCCACAGGTTTCGAAGGTTTCGAAAGGTGTGGACTGGACCTAGATAATAAACGAGTGAAGTTGTGGCTTGAGTCTGAGTTCGGTGCAGAAGTGCTTGCTGGCTGCCTTCCTCCTTGGATCACTCTGACTACGGCGTCTACAAAATGTGATCGATATCAGCAATGTTTCATACCTTTTATTATTTAATATTGGCTGCATGTCATCGGGCACTTGGCGCAGTGGTAGCGCGTTCGCTTTGCATCACAATGCCTGCGAAAGGACGGGAGTTCGATCCTCTCAGTGTCCATTTTGGGCCTTTTTTGAATTTCCAATACCACATACCTCGCAAGCAAGACAAGCATATCGGACGGCAACAAGTTTACCCAATACCGTACAGAATGTGATAAGAATCGTAAACTGCGCGGATTCCCGCGGGACCCGTCGATCTCTCAGCCTACTTCAGACCCTCTGAACCCCTTGAACAACTTGGGGATATGTTGAAGCAATAAGCTGTAGGGCACGAGAAATGTGTTAGAAAGAATGGTTGAATCACTTATGAAGAGGATACTTACACCGAACAATTCAGGCGCACGAAGAGCCAAGACTTGAGGATCCTCCCCTAGCCCGACGAATCTATGTTGAGGCCGGTAGTTAGTACACCTGCTGAAAGGTGACATGTGCTAGGCCACTTACATCGTAGAAACACCAGCTTCAATAGCAGATGACAGTGTCAACGCTATAGATAAAGGGTGATGAGCGATGAATGGCGTACGAGAACATCAGACTACTCACAGCATTGCAAACCAATTAGGAACGCGAAGAGGATGACAGGGGCGGTATATTGACCATCAACATTGTACGCCGGATGTGTCGCTAAGAATGAAAACTCAGCTGAGGGGAGACATTTCGGACTAAGATGCGGGCAACTTACAGCGAAGGTAGATGTAGGCGAATAAAGAACAGAGGAGACCGACGCAATAAGCACCCCAGGTCAGGGCTGTTGACAAGAAACTCAGTCGTTACGAATCGCATGGTGTCAACAGAATACATACTCATGCCCACTAATGAGTCGTTGACTAAAGCGTCGATACCACGATCAACCAGGAGATCCCATGTGTCCTTCGCAGCCTTCAAATACGGCTTGCCATACAAAGCTGAATACCCATGAGCAATCGTAGTTCGCAACATGGATAATCAAGGCATAACATACCAATCTCGATGTATGCGTAACGGTTGAAGTACCGCACCTACAAAAAGCTATTCTGGGCACAATGCTCGACTCGAATGGTGGAGAAAACATACCAATGCTTCAATGCATCCAATGAAGCACTCCGCGCACAACGCAAGACAGGCCTCAATAGCTAATCTCACTGTCAGGATAGACACATTCTCATGTCGAGAAAGAACTTACGGTGTCCTTCTGCGTTAGCACTGTTCCGAGCGATGCTAAGAAGTATCCTGAGAAGTTCCAGGATAGTCACGATCAAAGAACCAAACGCAATCGAACCCAGCGAGAGTGTTGATGCACGGATGAAGGCAGACCATGTAGGGTGTTTAGGCTAGATTTAAAAATAGTACTTGTTATATCATGTGAAGTTGCACAACAATTTGTGCTTACCATTTGTCCTTGTTCCCGAGGTCCGAAGTAGTACCAGCCTAGCATTCAAAGGACACGTTAACACCGCGAGAACTGAGAAACCTCTCATTCTTACTTACTTCCGAAGGGCCCACCGGCCATTGTAGCGAGAGCGACATTACCGATGACTTGCGAGGTCCACAAAAACGAGAAGGTCGCGTAGAAGACGAGTCCAGCAACCCTCCCTGAAGAACAGCTTGAATCCGTTTCGCAAGCTGCGTACAAAACGTTAAGCGGTTACTGTAACACGACACAAATATGAATACATACAAGGGTTTCCAGGCGTCCACCGAGAATAGCTATATTCACGGACCATCAGCCATGGTAAGGAGTAACCAAAGACTGCTAGTACTTACATCGCAATCAACGTGAAGGTGTACCAACTTTGGATTCATCGTCAGAATTAAACATTACAATGAATGTTAAACATAACCGAACTTACACGCTCAACGCGCCTTGCAGTAAGAGAGCCAAGAATGCCACGACATAGACACTCTTGTGATGCTTAGCGACGTCCATGACAATTTGTAGGAGAAGAGATGCTAGTGGTATACGAGACCTATACCCGAAGTACGCGAGCACAGAAATTAGGGCGATTATGGTGAATATGATGGCGCCGGCTGGAACGAAACAATGTGAGTAGGGCCTTATAGATGAATCCGGAGCGATATAATTGCATACACCAATATCTAGTGATCCAGTAGTATATGCATATCCCGCTAGAACAAATGTGAGCTGCGTCGCGTGCCTCATATGTGATTAACGTACATATTGAGCGCAATTGAGAGTATAAGTGTGATATGCATGATCATTCGCGTGAATGCCCTTGTGAGCAAGAGGTATACTGTCGAAAACAACAGAGCGGCAGCGGTTACGAAAAGTAAGAGATACACAGTATGACTGCCATAACTCAATGAGCGTCCACAAACGAACTTACATTGCACTCACTAATTCAGAGTTACGGCACTGCCGGTGTTTCCGCCACCTACACCTCCACCAAGACCGCCTGATTTGACCCATTGCGAAATAGCAAACGCAGACAGCACAACGAAACCAGCAAACTGAAAAATATCTAAGTGACATGCCGATACGCCACGGTCAATGAAAACATACCTGGAGAATGAAGAATATCAAAAAGAAGATATCATTCACCCTTTTCTTTGGTTTGAAACGGTCCCCTTCAAAAGGCGACTTGTGATCGGCTCCATAACCTCCGCCGTACTCTGCCGGCGGGGGAACACTGGTAGGTGGAAAAGGATATCCAGGCTGTCCGTACTGTGGGGTCGGACCTGGTTGGTATACGGGGGAATAGGTATGGCCTGGTTGTGCTCCCCATTGATTACTTGCGTTCCATTGGGCCATTCCTTGTAGGATTCAGAGAGCGCTAGTTCGGATAAGATGTTCAAAAGTATTTCGGTCTCAAAGAACTTCTAGCTGAGAATAGACAGCAGGAAGGGGGTCGTGAGTGTCGTGAAAAAGGCAAGGAACCACGAACGCGATGGAAGTCAGTAGCAGACGTTGGATGCAGCTGCGCAGGGACTTTTCGCTCTGGGTCAACGTTGGGTCAACGCATGTTTCACTCCGAGTCGGCCTACATGAACAGGCGGCGTCTATGACGTATTTCGAATTCAATCGTACATCAGAGCCGATCAGTATGCCAAGCATTCCTTATTGACATTTCAACATCACGGCTACCCACCCAAAGCTGCGCAAATAGATAAGCGGCACTATTAGGATCGAATAAAATGTCTACGGCAGGGCCAAGGCAAGAGTGTCTTGTCTATTGCAGTTCGTCATGGATACAACTCGGTATGAGATTTTGAGAATGAGGAAACGTAGATGCTGAACGGCCGGAATACAGAACCACACAATTACATATTCGCAGGTATCATATGCGCCAAGAAGAAGGAACTGATCATGGTAGCAAGGAGAAGACGATGAGAGATGCATGAGAAATGAGTCGAGACCGATGTTTGCACTACTTCTTCAACGGCTCTGGGGGATTCCTGAACCTAATAACGAGGACTGTAACATTGTCTGTCGAGTACTTGCGATAAGCGTGGTCAAGAAGGTCTTCCGCGGCCTTCCTTGGATCGGCAGTGTCTCGTACAAGTTGTACGGCAGCCTGATCCTCAACAACATCCCACAGCTGTAAGATACACTCGTCAGAAATTGTATCGTCTCTCAGGAGGAACACGACATACCCCGTCGCATGCCAGGATGAGGAATTCATCTTCCTCGGTCAACTCCGTTTCAGTGGTATATGGAGCGCCAACGACAAACTCCTTCATAGACGAGTCGCCCAAGCTCCGAGTGACAGCAAGCACTCCATTGACACGACCACCCATCACGAATCCACCAGCATCCATGATCCGTTTCGCCTCCTGCTTGTCTGATCCCTTGTGATCATACGTCAACCTGACAGCCTTACCTGCCCTACACAAGACTGCACGTGCATCGCCTGCATTGGCGCAATACAACACCCTACGTACGTCAGTTGATGAATTTGGAGTGAATATCTGCTCGAAATCAAGTAGCGAATCTCGCGGTGGCGAGCTACTCGCCACTTCTGAACTCGATGAGCGGGGAGAGGCTCCAATGTGTTTCAAGGCATCCCGAAGCTTATCCCTATTGCTCCTCCTCTTGCTTCGTTGCGTTGTTTCTGCGACACCGTCAGAGTCGTCAGCGTCGACATCTGCGGGGGACGAGGGAAGGGTGAAATCGGGCGGTAGGAAAGACTGTCTTCCATCTGCATCTTCAAGTCGCAAGAATGCGGTCACAGCAGTACACCCGGAGTGCATCTTTCCGTCTGATTGCTCAGTCATATGGGACAACATTAAGTCGACATTATGAAAGGCCTGATTGAGTATGTCCGGGATTGCAGAGTCCGCATGGTCTCGCAAAGCGTTCAGTAGAAACTTAACAAACCGCGTCAATAATGATAGGGAAGGGAAGCCAATATGGCATACCAGGGAGAAGTTTTGTCCACACCACTCCGCAGCCTGCTTTCCGGCATGCCCGTCAAAGATTGCGAAGAACCCTTGGCCTCGTACGCCTGCATAAGGAACGACAATAGAGTGGGCATCTTCCATAAACCTTCGAGGTCCCTTGGAATCAGTCACGGCGCATTTGAACGAGAGGTGTTGTGGAAAAGAGGCGTCAGTGTTTGGTGCAGTAATATGCCTGTCCGCAGTCGTCAACATCACGTCGAGGGACACCCCGACACTCTAACAGAGACTCACTGAGATATAGGTGCCACACCTATTGTCAGAGAACGTGTGGTGAAGAAAATCAGTGCTGGTTAGTAACTATATAGATCCGAAGAGAATGTCGGCGCGTACTGGGCGACTCGTTTAGTACGGGAGACATTGAGGAATGATGGGGAGAGGGAGAGAAAGTAGTAATGCGATGGTGGTATAGCTACAGATTATAAATAGCAGAGAATATGTGGAGGTCCAATGAATTTGACTGACAGTGGAAGGTCCAGGAGCAGGATACGAGTGAGTGGAGTGAGCAAGTGCCAGTCTAGGCGCGTCACTTGGAGAGGCGCGTAGCACGTGTATATCCAGCCCCGCCATTGTCTCAGAATAGCGTAATCCGTATACGGGGATACAAGATCCTTGCAACCTTCACGAATAACTTAAAGTACGTGCGCATCCGTATTACGAGGAATACGTAATGAATACAACCATTACTCCAGCAGAAAACGTGAATATAAATACATTAAGTAAATTGTTCCTTCAATGAGAGGCCGTGTGAAGTGATCTGAGCTCCGAGCCGTCATGACCAGAAGCAGTGGAATCCTCTTCCGAACCAACGGACGCGTCTGGGTGTCTGAAAGGTATGGTAGCCGATTCCTCGTAGGTCTCCAAGATATAAGAATTCGCGTTGCCCTGCTTGTATACCATTTCACGCATGTTTAGGAGCAACCTGCTACCCAGGATAGACGGCAGCGCAGCAGACCATCTAACAATAGAAGCGATTAGTCTGTTGTCAGGAGTGAGATGACAAATAATAGGACAACGCACGGCATGACTAAATTGATATAGGTAGGGGCCCGAGCCCAGATTACAGTACTAATCAGGAGCTCTGCAAAGACTCTAGGTAGAAGTGTCAGCGTCCAGAACACCTTTCGCTATTAGGTGCTCACAAGACGAAGTACAGCAAGCTGTGCAGGCTTTAGCACCATGGCAATTCGCTACGGTATGAAATAACTCGTACCTGTCTCTGGCAATCCGGACTACAAGCGGGATCTGCGGTTCATTCCGTTTGGAAGGCCACGCCTTATAGAGCACCAAGAAAAAGAGTATTGGCTCGTAAATCAAACCTGGCACCCAGAACAGGGCCGAAAACCCAAGGATGCCTCTATAATAACATCCAGTGGTTGTCGAGGAAACTGGCAAGCCTGGATGTGCCATAATAAATGGGATATTGCAGTGCAACGATTGACTAGCACTCTTACGCTCGAGATGTCCGATCGTGACACCCACAAGGACGGCCATGGCCGAGACTTCCAACGCGCAGAGGGCGAGGAGGAATATCAAGATTTTGCGGCTGCGGTTGTAGAGGGCATACACCTGGACACCGTCGATGACCGAAGAGCAAAGAGCAAGAGCTGGTACTAACCCGTAATTGAAGAATGACTAAGAGGTGTCCGTCAATATGCTTCATCCAAAAGTGGACGACGAAAGAACAATTACCTTGTACCGTCATGGTAGTAAGCAACGTTCTAGGATTCAAAGATTGAGCATATGGCTTGGTGTCAGATCGAGGGAAACTTACACAATATCATCACACATGAGATAAATGACGCAGCTGTTCAAGCGAGCTCGTGTTAGAATTGCCCTCGTTAACAATACACTGCGTTGTCATACACCTGACTGAAATCAGAAAACTGGCATGAAAGATGGATTGTCACTCACTCGTGAAGATAGAATGCCATTAGGCGTGACTGGAACTGTATGCAACGTGATGTGCAAGGTTTCGTCAGAAACCGAGCGTTGTTATATGAACATATATCTGCATACTAGTGTCAAATATCAAGAAGGCGAAAGCGAAGAATCTGTTCTATTTCTTCGGTCAATCTCGACGAAACGCTCGACTGTGAGTATAACGATATGGACTTACAAACAAGTAAAGAAAGAATGCCGGCCGCCTTTTGCTGTACTTCCACACAAGGGGGATCTAGGCGAATCACTTATAATATCGTGCATGAAGGTGGAGGCTCTATTGAATACCTCAAGATCCAGTGTAATCACTAATTTAGCGATATAAGTTGAAAGCCGAGAATATCGGGAAGTGGGACGTACTGTGGTCATAGAATAGAAGACCCATCGCGGCGCCACGAGAACGCTTACCCATATCGACTGAGTATGAAGAACTTGAAAGTCAGTCTCACGAAGATATGGGTCAAAACAACAATGCCTCGTACGGGCATTCATAGCAAAGGGCGGAAGATCCCCACTGGTCGGCCTCATCCTGAGCTAGAAAAATGAACTACTGGATCGTTGTTTTTTGAGGACCATGAAATCCTGGGACCCTTTAACTTCACGCAATAATGCGCGCTCTCATTTTCGCTAGCTGACTACCAGATCGCCGAGGGCCGATTTGGCCCTGCGGGTGCCTTGAAATATCCTGCTGTGAAGCTGAAAATTTGAGTTCAACAGTGTGGCACTGAGATCATCAGTCAGCGGGGCAACCTGTCAAATTCGAATCTGCAGCGTCCTTGACGCGCCTAGCGAGGGAAGAACGTGTTTGGGTCAGACAACGTATGGATGCTAAGTTACTATAGATCAATGAGGCTAACCGTAGATTTGCTCGCCGGTCCCGCGCGGGCATAGCAAATGAAGAGAACTTTTCTTGGGTCCTATTCACCAAGCACTTTTCAATTGGACAGCCCGTGTAGCGGGATTATGATGATTGACCATCAAGGTGATCCTTCCAGTCCTACACTCCCAAAAGATGTAACTTATCATGGTCGACGTGTGGCGTAGAACTTGTGATTTTGTGGGATCTCGTCTTCAAACATCTCACACAAGCATACAAACACGCGACATGCTATTAGCACAGTTCAGGGACTGACGTACATTGGAGGTTTGATGGCTGCCCGTGAAATACCGGGATAGGACATGCCCAGTCAGTTAGGCTGTCCTGTATGTACATGATTTTCATTATTATCGTTGAGATGATATCTCCTGGAGCACTTGATGCAAGAGCATCGGGACATTCGCGGTGTACCTACGAGCACCCAGAGCAAGTTGATTTGGACCGTGCGCCGTGCACGTTATATTGGCTGACGCGTACGATGGTAACTCTGGAGAGGTAAGACGCACGAAGAGTGAACGAGCTGTGCCCGCGCAGTGCCGGGGGAAAGACAGTCAAGAGACTGAAAGCGAATCTCAACGTTGAGGTCATTGCTGAAGCAATAGGCACAACGCTTATAGCAAGCCATACCAGTAATATGTGACAGAAAGTAGTGAATCTAGAAATTGAAATCCAGACCGAGATAGTACAGTAGTTGCAAGGAAAGACGACTTAAGCTAGGCAGAAGTAAAAAGGTGAGAGCAAGCAAAGAGAAAAAGTGTCCCAGGGAGGATTCGAGCCTCCGTCTTCACGGATTTGTAGTCTGCCACAACGTGATGATCTAACCACTAATCGACAAGGACCGGAAGAATAGTAACTAATTAATATAGAAGCTGAAGAGCATTTGAATATAAGCATCCGCCAATCAGTATGCCGTCATGCATTGCCGATCTGGAGTCGAGACAGAGCTTTTGATCGCGCCGCGTTCTGGACTTCGGCTTGTTGTACACTGCATGTCTGTTAGCTTGCAGTTGTGGGAGTACTTGGTAACATACTGTAGGTTGGACTCATACTAACACCACCCTCATCACAGCTGCTCAGAAGCTGTCTTTAACGCAACGTTGCAATGAGGAAAACCTCCTATGTTGTGACATTCTTCGCCGTGACGTTCACTCTTGTTCTGGTGCGCACACTCCAGCGATTCGGCGGCATGCTCAGAACTAATGCGAATCATCTTGATAGAATATACTTTCAGCTTACCGGCCAGACTGGTTGGTGTGACGGAATATTCTTCATTTCGGAAAGCCTGACCTTATTTCCGAAGGCTTGTCGTCAATAATGAGCTCCTAGGTTCAAAAACCACCGTTCTCTACGGCTTGATGGAGCGCTGCGAACGCCAAGTCGTTGTGGTGCCGGGAATGCCAGATAGAAAGCGTATCGAATACACTGATTACAGATGTCGTCCCTTTCCTGCTCGTACCTTGGATGGTTGCGACAAAGAGAACAAGATGTTCTGCGTTGCTTGGACAACCGCTGGTTACTTCACTGAGCTCAGCATTGGCTTCGCAGTCGTGGCATGTTTGGCCATCATCTTTGGTGTAAGCACCCACTCTAGAAGAAGGAGGATATGGCGTGCTGTTGCTGGTTTCGTTGCGCTTCATGGTATGTCTGCCTCTTGAAAGTGCCCCGGAGACGTTGGAGAAGGCTCATTCTTGTTTCTTCACAGCTGCGTCCCAGCTTACAACGTTCGCCATCATTACCGAATTATATCGCGAATCAAAATACCCCACTTTTGAGTATGCTCGACCTGGTGCGTTTGGAAGGCTCTAGCCAAGTTCTAAGTGCTCAAGCATCTCTCCAGGAACTGCTTACGTCCTCAACGGTCTTTCATGGGTGGCCGGTGTTTTGGTCACCATTGGCGTTATAATTACTGGCATTTCTGCCAACAAAGGCCACCGATGGGCTGCCGGAAACCGGGCTTACCGACCCATTGAAGGTTGATACCGAGATCTCATTTCTTTCCCATTCTTCCCCTTCGGCGCACTCCTATGTTTCATTTCCTTCACCCTTATAGACGCTTATTTTCGGGAGATCTGTATTAATACTGTATTTCTTTACATTTGGCATGCTGTACTTTCATGGATCGGCTTCAAAATCAGTATTCGTCCCCTGGATAGTCCACTTTATCGTACAAGCGCAACGTCTCGTTCCAGTCACGTTTTCTCCGTCTTCGAACTGAGAAGTACTTGGCACTGTTGGCCCACCTTCCACGAACTCGACCTTTCTGCCGACCGCCAACTTCAGCGAAATGCTTCTCAGGAGCATCAGGCAGGCCAAGGGTATTCACCGCAAGGTGGAGCACTCGGGCATGAAGGTCGGCGCGCGTCTTTCTCATCTCTTCCAAGCGTGCATCTCCAACTAAAAGCAAACGCGACAACGCAGTGAATGCTCGAAATGCTGAGATGGCATCCTCAAGCCACCGTAGGGACATCCACATGGCAACTGGCACGAGAATCGCTGTGATAGGCGCAATAGGTAGCGTGAGTAGCATGGATCCGAGCCAGACGCAAAGTCCGGATACAAAACCGTATACTAGTTTGTATTGGGCGATTTCGTCGTAGGTATCCCAAACCGGTCCCGTTCGCTTGAACGTGCGAACAGCGATGAACGTGGTGATGAATACGGGCACCCAAAGTAGAAGGCCTGGAATGGATATGGAGAAGAGGAAGACAGACCAAGCCAGTCGAATGATGATTCTGTAGACAATTGTCTGCCTCGGTAATGGTTTTCTGACGCGGTCATCTTTGATACCGCATCGTACTAGCTGGTCTTGGTAACCCTTGAATTGTCACAATTTGAGTACGTTGATCATCAGTTAATGCAGTCGACCATACCTGCAAGTCAATACCCAACTTCAAAATCTCGCTATCTTCTGCCCGTCCCTCGTCTTCTCCATCAGTACCACTGCTTGTCAGGGACGCCTCCGCAAGTTTGAAGGCTTGCAGGAATGTTCGTACTATCCTAACGTAATCTCCTAGGCTCATCTGCGTCCCTATAGGGGCGTACATCCTTGCCGCTAGCTTGGCTATACGGATCAGTCTCCATGAAGGGGCATCAAGCGTCCCCGAGCTTATTTGTTGGTGTATACGAGCAGTCAGCGCACGAATATTGTTGTAGTCAGTTGGAGCCAAGAGTTCTGGATTATTCTTTGGGGTGAACTTCATCGGGGGATGGAAAGTCACCAGGACGTCTGAACGGAAATGTTGGCGATGCCTGTGTAGGACCTCTTCAGTCATTCTTACAAATAACTGCCACACAGAGGAAAGACTCACATGTACGTGATTGAGCACGTCAAGACGGACATTTCAAAGTTGGGATCGTCTCGATGGCGAGTGAGAACATCCGAAACAATGCGGGCAACTACGAGATCAGTTTTTAGGGCGAGTAACATGGCGAAGGGTGTGCTCGTACCTCCTGTCTTCAGAGGCGCTAGCGATGGATGATATCGACTCATCCCTTCTGGAAACAAGCACACAGCATCGCCCATATCCAGTGCCTATAGAATTGAGCATGGAGGTTAAATTTGACCTCAAATTACCTCGAGCGAGGCTTTGCTCACTTCCATGAGTTTCAAGAGGACTTCGGTATTGTCTACACGACCATCCTCAAAGTCCTTCCGTCGTTGTAGCGGTACAGTCCCAGCAGACTCAATGAGCCAACTGGTGAAGGTTTTCTTGCCAAATTGAGTGGACTTCGCAGTCAGCCTTAACATGTTGCGTCTCTGAAACACAATGATATGTGGGTTTTCCTTAACAGTGTATTCGTCTCACCTTCCATGGTATCGAAGCCACGAGAAGTCTGAGGATTTCATGAGTACGTGGGATTGGAAATATTTGACTATGACCTACAAAGCATCTGTGAGAGAATTACTGTGGTTCGCGCATACTATACTGCAGCAGCATCGGACAGTTTAGGTAGCGCATAAAGCAATATGTCATGGAATATTACCATGGTTTCCCCTTCTCAGGGATGTTCTCTGTACCCTCTACTACAATGGTACCGTAGAAGATCTTCAGTACGAACTTGAAAAGCAGTCGTATAAGGAAGTAAGACCAAGGTGTCGCAGAGCCTTTGGGCATGATATTCAAGAGTTAGACGTAGCAGTCAACGCTGGCCACTATCATAGCAGACACGGTTGTTCGGCAGCGCATGGCCGCTTGGCACTCGAGTCGCGACACCATCATAACCTACATGCAAGCGCCAATCGGCAACGCGTTCGCCCACGTGCGAGATTCTAGCTTTGGGCGTCCACAATCTTTTTGCTACCGCACTTGTTAGGCGTGCAGTCCAACTCACCCTCGACCTCGATAGACAGGTGGCTTGTCCTTGTGTAAAACTATCTAGATTTCTTCTGGAGATGGCGGACAGTCTCGAAGAAACTTTGGCCAAGATTCGCCCCCATACTTCTTCTAATCTACCACACCAGAAGGCACCTGCTACCCTCTTGATCGCGCTCGAATCGACCTTTGCCGAACAAAACACCCAGAGGACACCGACTGCTTATTTTGCTGCACTTTTGACGACTCTCGATAGCACCCTACAAGCTGCCCGTTCGTCTACACCTGACTTTGGCGATGGAGATGTCTTGCCCGCCGAGTTATATATCCTTGCTTTGGTGATCCCCCATGTACCCCATCCTGTTATTCGTTCACATCTCTCAACAATTCTGTCTCTCACTGCACCACTATTTCCTGCATTGGTACCGCACGCCCCTCCCTTGCGATCGCAACTCTCGCTTTATGAAGCAGTTTTACGTGCTTTGGACCGATCACAATTAGAAACTCACGGTCTTCGACAAGCATTTGAATCTATATTGCACCTATGCCTCGATCCACGTCCAAAGGTGCGTAAGAGGGCGGCCGAACTAGTAAAGGATGTTTTGGCCCACCCTCCGCCGTCATTGCGGCACCCGTATGCCGACAGAGTAGCAGAATGGGTCCAGGCTGCACTTGCTGAAGTCACCTCTGGAGGCCTTCCCAAATTCAAGGGCAAGAAAGCTGAAAGTGAAGGATCCGAGACCGCAATTCATCTGCTTGCTTTTCTGCGACCTGTGTTGCCTTGCCTCCCTTCTTCAGTGAGTCTTTGTTCCTTTTTCGCTGTCGGATCTCAGACCAATCTCATGATTTAAATTATACAACCAGTCATTACCGGCGATCACTTCTTCATTGCTTACACTTCCCCGTTTGGGAAACCCTTATGTTTCCCAGTCTGCCTACTCTATCTTAGCAGACTTACTGCTGATTCCCGTGGAAGATCCAGTACACAATATTCAGGATCGTCTACCAGAGATCCTCGACGCAATCTTGGCCTCACCACCCCTAAGGACTGATTCTAGCGTTACTTCGGCTTGGGCAGGCGTCCTTGGACATGGCATGATTGCTTACCATGAAGCAGATGCAGAGGCGGCTTCGAAGAAACTTTGGGAAGTTTGGCATGCGGTGTGGCCTTTCATGGAATCCACGGATGCCTCAGTTCGCAAAGCTGTAGCTCAATCCCTGGACTCGCTCACGCAGTGCTTTACCCCTTCGATCACGGCGAGTGCTATCAAGGAGAAACAATCGAACGAAGGCAAATCAACTTTGAGAAAGGTCATCGCTCAGACTACCAAAGCCTTGGATTCACTGGCATTTGCCAGATCCACGCCAGAAATTCTGTTGGTTGTTTCCTCGTTGCTTTCACATCTGCGATTCCGTCAAGATGGGCAGGGGTCACCTACTGCAGCGGAGGAATTGCTTCTGCTGTCAGTGAAGAAAATTGCAGACCTGCGACTGCAGAAAGGATTCGAGTACAAAGAATCTGCAGATGCTACTCTCAGTGTCGCCATGGGTGTACTAGGACCTGAGGTTCTCCTGCGAGAACTGCCGTTGAATTTGGATGTCGCAGATCGGTGAGTACATTGCGACTTATACGCAAGGATATCGGCGCTGATACCATTTTTCTAGTCAAGCAGGTCGCGAACCCCGCGCTTTCTTGCTGCCCATGCTTTCTCAGCCTCATCCTTCACCACTGTCGCACTTCGTCTCCTACTTTGTACCATTCACCGAACGCATGTTTGATCTCCAAGCGAAAGCCGAAGCTGAAGGTCGTCCATCGGAGGCGAAGGTCTGGAGTGTCTTGGTCGATCAAGTTTGGTCAGGCCTACACGGGTACTGCTATGGCACTCCCGATTTGAAAGAGGTACTGCCCTTCCCTTCGTATCTTCGATACCCTAATATTTACATTGCTACTCGTTCCAGGCTTTGACACCACAATTCTCTCAGCTTCTTTCCCAGTTGCTATATAGTCAACCGAATTTGCGGCCTGCGGTTCTCAAGGCCCTCCGCCTCATGGTGGAATCCAATGTCGCTATCGCGTCGGGTGATGGTGAACGCTTGGCTAAGCTGCCAGAGGGTGCTCGTGCGGATCCAATAAGCCAGGAAGCTGCCTCTGCGAACGTAGCGTTCTTACGTACTCAATGCGAAAGCTGGTTGGCTGTACTCTTCAACGTCTTTACCAGTGTTGGTCGAGATGGTCAGGGAATGGTTGGAGATGTCATCCGCGCTTGGGCATCCATAGCAGATGAGAAGGTTTGTGATATTTGCCGTTCTCTATCTTATTCCTGTATGATTGACATGTTGAGAAGGAAATCAACAAGGCTTACCACAAGCTGGTAAATCTCCTCAATCAGAACGTCGTCAAAGCTCAGGCGACTTCTGCAACCAAGGAATCTGAGAGTGTTACTGGAATGACCCTCGATCTGCTCATCCTGATGTCGCCCTACTTTTCGTCTTCCGACGCAACTAACTTGTTCAACCTTTGTTTGGCAAGTGACATACTGGAGAGCAGAGACAACGCTGTTCAAAAACGGGGATATAAGGTCCTCTCAAAGGTGGTCGAGAGTGGGAAAGTCAATGTGGATGCGGAGGATATCCTTCAGCGATTAGACAAAGTCACGGATGGATTGACTGCTGCTGCTAAAAAGGTCAGTGCCTGCACATACACGTATCACCATGTCCTTGTCTCATATTATTCTAGGATCGTTTCTTGCTTCTTACTCTTCTCGTCGCTCGTATCCCTCCAACCAGTTTGCACCTTGTCCCTTCGATCATCCCGGAGGCGGTCTTGGGCACCAAGGAGCCATCCGAGAAGGCTCGCAATGCTGCTTTTGACTTGATCGTAACCATGGGCAAGAAGATGGCCGAGGGAGGTGTGGTTAAGAGGAATCTAGTCGATGGCATGGACGAGGATTCTGCTGGTGAAGGTAAGTCGTGTGTTTTATGCCATTTAGATGATGGTTGACATGTCATATAATAGCCAAAGCTAGCATCGAAGAGTACATGACCATGATCGCTGGTGGTCTGGCTGGTGCGACTCCCCATATGATCAGCGCTACCATCACTGCCATTTCAAGGCTTGTTTTCGAATTCAAAGGTATGAACCGCGCTAACCTTCCAATTAATGTTAGCTAATCCCTCTTTCAGACGATATCTCTCCGCAGATGCACGTTGAAATATTCACAACGCTCCTAGTCTTCCTCACTTCCGCCAACCGGGAAATCGTGAAGTCAACGCTTGGCTACGTCAAGCTTGCCATACACACCATGCCCGTTGAACTTCTTCGTCCTCATCTCAAGGAAATTGTGCCAGCTTTGTTGAAATGGTCACACGATCATAAAAACCACTTCAAGGCTAAAGTTCGTCATATCTTCGAGCGCCTGCTCCGACGGTTCGGTTGGGAGGATGTATACTCTTGTGCCACCGAAGACAGTGCTCGAAAGGTATTGCTGAATATCAAGAAGCGTAAGGATAGAGCGAAGAGAAAGAGAGCTCGTGCCGCTGAGAACGACGAAGAGGATGAGGTACGTATTCTTTGGTCCTGGTGATGTATCCTGAGACTGATTTTATTCCTCATTTTAGGAACCTACCGCCAAGCCAGCCGCAGGCGATGCCTTTGAGGATGTGTTGTATGGCAGTGAAAGCGAACTTGATGACTCGGATGATGAGATGCCTTCTGGTCGTCAAGATCGTGCTGGGAAGCGCAAAGATAATGGTGGAGCTCGACTTCGAGTAGACGATGATGAACCCATGGATCTTCTTGCAGGCGCCGCTTCACGCATCACGAGTACGCATAGCTACGCTTTGACTGTGGTTATCTGATGTCTTACTTTCGGATTTTCAGGTGCCAATGGAAAGAAGCGCAGGAAGCCAGGTGAAGATGCCGCACGCTTCAAGACTGACGAGGACACAGGAAAAATGGTCATTGGTGACGAGCAAGATGAAGATGAGAATATGGAGGAAGATGTTGCTGGTCGAGCCTACCGTGAAAGTCTCACCTCGGCGGATGGTTTCACTAGAGGACCAAATGGACGCGTCAAGTTTAACAAGGATACGAAGAAGCGGAGACGTGAAAATGAGGACGGCGAGGACGTTGAGATGGCAGACGCAGAAGCTTCAAGTGGTCGAAAGAGCAAGCGGAAGTCTGACCCTAAGCTTGGACATGAGTTTAAGGCCAAGGTATGTCGTCGTGGATCCGTGATAACAAGCATCGCTAAAGCCTCCGGGCGCATTTATAGAAGGCTGGTGGTGATGTTAAAAAGGGAGGCGTTGATCCATACGCGTATCTCCCACTTTCACAAGCAGCGAAGAAGAAAGGTCGGAAAGAGAGGCTTGGTGTTGCGGGAAAAAGATGAGTTCTTTGGAACACATCATGTCTTTTTTTGTATCTTTAGCACTATCTTCAGCTGCTTTTATCCTTTTCTGAGGGGACTGTAGTGAATAAAGTCACTCTTTCGCGTCGCAGTCTCGTCACATCTTAAGATTGGTGGCGTCTTCGTAACCATCGCGTTTGCAGTTTACTTTCATATCCTTAGTCTGCATCATTCGTAAGAGGAGGCATAGGTTAAAGGAGTAGGTATCGGGACGCTGATCCGTTGTCCAGGTTCCATGATGGTTGAGCTTTATTCGTCCTTGTCTCGACTCTCCATGATAGTCATTCATTCACACCGTTCCTAGGTGATGCTTCTGCCTTCACGGCATCCACGCCACGAACAGAGATAGGTTTCTGAAGCATACAAATCGAGCATATTTATATCGTGGGTTCGTTCAGCTATCTATCAACGTTCATATAAAGCACGGCACATATCGGTATGTCATGTATCTTCTTCCCTATCAATGCCTACTCCGAAACTTCGAGTCGCTATCTGGTGAGCTTTTTCTTTGACTACATTTGTGGCGGCGCCCTCTCATGGTTTCTTTAGTGGTGGAGGGATTGGCGGGCTAGCGTTAGCCGTTGCGCTATCCAAGTATTCCAACATCCAAATAGACGTTTATGAAGCGGCAGAGCAATTCAAGGAGATCGGCGCTGGGATCACGATGCGGGAGCGAACCTGGAAGATCCTGGAGCATCTAGGATTATCGAAGGATTTATCGAAAGTAACAAATACTCCTCCCGACGGGTTACCTGGTAAATCGACTGGCTACATGCCGGCTATTCAGACCGAGTCTCATCGATTTTCAAATGTAGGAATTGGTTTTGAATTTCGCCGAGCAGACAGGGCAGATGGGTTTCAATTTCATTTGTATACGACTCCGTGTAAGGTTGTTACATCAGATCAGTTATTTCTTCTCAGTATCTGTTCTAGATGGAAACGTTCTCTTTCACAGGGCCCACTTTCTCGACATCTTCGTCAATCATCTTCCAACCGGCGTCGCCCACTTTGGCAAAAGGTTACTGTCCTATGAAGACGACAAGGGTAACTCTCAGGTCAAACTGAAGTTTGCAGATGGTTCGCAAAGTACTTGCGACCTACTGGTGGGCTGTGATGGTCTGAGATCCATTGTGCGAAAGCAAATGTACGACCAGGCGCCGTTCAAGGAGCCAGCTTTGAAGGACGTCGCTGAACCTGTTTGGAGTGGTTGGGTTGCCTACCGAGCTCTCGTTCCTGCTGATCGCATTCGTCGCGCTAATGGTGGCAAGGAGATTCGAGCTATGACTCATCCAATGATGGTACGTTGTCTCTTCATCTTACTTCTATCTCTTGCGTTTCCCGACTTCGCACTGACAATCTCATCTTTAGTATTGTGGCAAAGATAAGGTCAGTCAGAAGCTTTAAAACCATCAAATAAGTCATGGATATTGAATACCCTGTGAATAAAAGCACATCGTCAGTTACCCAATCTCTCAAGGTCGCATTGTGAACGTCGTTGGTTTCGTTTTCTACCCTGAGGCAGAAGGAAAGGCTTTCAATGGACCCTGGGTTACCGAATGCGATGGAGCGGAAATCATCAAGCACTTTGCTGGCTGGGAACAGGAAGTTCAAGAGTTACTCCGTGTACGTATCACTCAAATCATTTGTGTTCTTCGCTGAGCTTGTCCCTTTGAACAGCATGTCGACAACGCCACGCTGTGGGCAATTCACCATCTAAGGCCACTGCCGATGTATACATCTGGGAGGGTGGCATTATTGGGTGACGCGGTGCATTTTAATTTCTTTTTCTTTTATCGCCGTTCCTCTGACTTACTGAGTCGTTGTATAGGCTCATGCCATGACGCCACATCAGGGAGCTGGTGCAGGTCAGGCGATCGAGGTACGTCTGGACACTTTTCACGAAACCAGACGTCCAGCTTTCCGATGTACATCAACATAGGATGCGTTCGTCCTCGCCGCTCTTCTTGGTGATCCGGCCATCACTGTGCACACTCTCTGGAAAGCTCTGTCAGCATATGAATCCATCCGGCTGCCCTTTGCAAACCGCGTACTTCGTGAATCGGCCGTCTCAGGGAAGATGTATGAATTCAATAGCATTTTCAAGGACAAATACACTTCTCTGGGACCTGCCATCGATGCGCAATGGTCTTGGTCGATGGAGTCAACACCAGAGGAGGAAGTAGAAAGGGCGTTGAAGCGAATGAGGGGTCTAGAAGTCAAACACAAGCTTTAGTCTGGTTACTCCTTCATTTTTTGTTATTCCGGTTGCATGCGAACGATATGACAACCCTGTTTGTTTATAGTACAGAAACCATCTCCGGATGATTGACGACAAACAGGAGGAAGACGAGAATATGGTGCAAGATGTTGCTGATGCGACTCACCCATTGCCACTTATAATCTAATAGTACGCGCCATTCAAGCTGATACATATCTCAGAAGTACAAAGGGCAATAACAGCAAGATATACAGTAAGTAGAGCACAGAATACGTTCAGAATAAGCGTGATTCGATGACAATTACGGTCAAGTTCAGAAGCTACACCGTGGAAAATCAGATTGCCCAAGGGTTCCTCGCAGCTCCGTACGTAGCAGCTAAGGTTTCGAACTCGGTATCTCTAGTATTCGACTCAATAAGTCTATGACCAGATCCACCAATCTGAGCGCCGCATTCTGGACAACGTGACACTTGATTTGCCCCACCACACTGCTGAAAGTCAGCAAGGATGCAGGCTTTCAAAGATGAATGACACGCGCACCTCAGTGATTACGAAGGTATGACCATTCGGACATTTGTAAAAGTGTCCTGCATGAGCTGTTGGCAAGGGATGAGGTTTAGATTATCGTAGCATACGAAACAGAAGATACTCACAGAAGTTCAGTCCTTTGACGATGTCTGACATCTCCTCAAGGGACAGAGGCTCGTAGAATGTACCCAGACGCAGCGATATTGCAAGCTTTCCCCATTCCTCTGCGACTGTGTTTGAAGGAATCGTGAAATTATCATGGAGCCAATCAGCCTCTCCTTTCTCCGTTCGTCGGGCCGACATTAGATACTGTTGTGACACATTTCGGATGGTCTCTTCAGCTTCTTCATTCTTCTTGTCGGCTCTTGCGCTCAACTCTAACCGGCGGTCGCTGAATTGTCCGCTTCGGCGCATACTATCCACGTTGAGTCGGAATTGCTCTAACTCAATACGGAGGATTAGTAGTGTCGTCTTGATGACCTGACGATGACTTTCGGATTCTGAAGCAACCTTTAATGCTACTGTCGCGTCTTGAGCGCACGTTTTCAAAATGAAAATAGTGTACAGCTCCCAGAGTCGGCCATTTTGTTTCGGGAACTTCTGGCGTGAAGTCAGTGCTTCTATCCATTTAGCGGTGGCTTCCACAAGATTGAGTCGAATCGTGATTGTCGTCCAGAAAGCTTCGACATGAAATCGCCTGTCTGCGCGTGGTGGGGCTTGCCCTACTCCAAGTCGCGCTAGACGCATGACATATTCGTGAGGATTCCTCGGAGCATTGGCAGGATTTTGCGCAATAGCATCCATTTCCTTCTGGTAAAGGTACGAAAACGAAGCCTCCCATGCATGCGTGTGCGAAGAGCGCATGTTCGCAATAGACGCTGCATCCCGGTAAGCATTGAGGAGAACATTAACACCCTGTCTCCATGCTCTTGTTTCAACGGCTGCAATGTCATGTAGCTCTTCATTAGAAGGATCTAACGCTTTCCATGGAAGTGGAACGGTACGTGTCTCCCGAAGGAGAGATCGTTGCGCCTTTTGACGCTTGCCCACATCCTGCATTCTAGCAGACGATATCTTCAGATTTGGATTCTTGGCTTCATCTTTCACTCTTCCTCCGAGTGTGGTCGTAGTGATTGTCGAGATCTTCCTGATGACTTCCTGAAGAGCCTGTGACATATGAAAAGCGACATTGTTTTCTAGGATATCGAGGTCCGCCCTTTTGAAGATGCGTCCATACCTTGGAGACGTGATGACTGATCGACACGTAGGACAAGTAGGAGGCTTTCGGAAGCCGATAGGAGGCGCCTCCAAGCCAAGCCATTTTCCATCAATATCCTCGCGTTGGTAGTATGCAGACATACCGCAATGTCCGTCCAGTGTTTCGACTGTGAAGACGTGCTTGCAACTCGGTATGGTGATGAGAAGTTCATCGAGAGTCTCTTGATCTGGGTCAATGTACTCGAGAGAACGTTGTAAAACGAGGTCCACGATGTCAGATTTTCTATCTTCCGATGCGCAAGCTGGGCATATTTGGATAGAGCAATCTTCGCCACAGACTGAAAACCTTATTAACAGGTTGCCTTCAGTAAATAGAGAGACCTACCTGACGGGCAACGATGTCCGCAACGAAGAATCTTCGTGCAACGAACGTCACAGGGCAGTCGAGCACAGATCTATAGCTGCGTGAGTGAGACTGTTAACTTTTAGCTATGATGAAGACTTACAGATCCACAAGGCAAAGGACAGGAGTAATGTGGACAATTCCTATAGGTATATTTATATCAAAAATGAACCTTTAACAAGCTTACAGCAAAGTTCGACGTACCAGGTACATGGTTCTTGGCAAGGTGCGCAAGGAGTTGAGCAGTATTGGTTGCACCGAGCGTGAGGACAGACTTGTCGACAAGGCGCTTTGCAAACAGTAGTACATTCGTGTTCAGCGGAACAAGGCCGGTCACATTGATGCTCGCAGTAGAGTCTTCGTTCACATCGGTGCTGAGCATGTGAAGTCCTGGCGATAGCGCCGTTGGGTTGTTCAGCATTGCCAGCTTGCCGCACATTGAGCGTTTGACACTGATGGCACCGGGCTTGACAGTTACGACCACAACATGCCATGATACCATCACAGACTATCGTGCAATTTACAAGTGATGGATCGTCCGAACATTTCATTCGGGCTTGGTGCTCGCAATCCGGAAGTTGTTTCGTGAGCATCACATCGCATTCCACATCAGACAATAAGTCCAATTGATAACTAGAAAGACCTTAGTATTTTTATTTCTTCAAAGAGAACATATACGTACCATGGGACACTGGCCTTCGTATGACCACAAGGAAGCTCAACGTTGGAAACCCGTGTGTTGCATTTGCCGCATTCGTCAGCACACGATTTAGTGCATGGATGACCTCGAGGACATAAACGGGTGCAGCGTTGATCGCATACGACTGCCGAATGTTTTGGATCATCTGAATGACACTGGTCGATGTGCTTCAATGTTAGCATCTTGCATTATCACCCACGACAACTCACCTTATAGGGACAGAGATGTCCACATTTGAGTCGCGCATCACATTGCCGCAAACAGCCACCTATGAAGAGTTGAACATGATAAAGGGTTTGTAATCATGACAAGCGTACCATCAGGAGCAATCCTAGGGAGCTGCCCAGGTTTTGAAACATATTGAGTGACGTCTCCGTGTTGCTGGCAGACAATGGGTAGGGCATCACCAACACAGTCTTCCTTCTCCAGCTCCGTCAGTACGGATTCCCACATCTTACTTCGAGCGGCAAGGTTAGCCGCATTCCCCATAATATAAAGCCCCTCTCGGGCTCTAGACAGTGCAACTGAAATGGAAAGAGCGCCACGATGAGCTTTTGTAATATGCGCCGAAACCAGATGATACGAACCATTCGTACGATTCTCTGACTAAATTTGTGACTGTAAGTATGAAAAAAATGAAATAAATAGATATAAGTACCTTTAAGAAACCGATATTCGCTCGGGTAGTGTTAGAACTGCCCGCAATGTCGTCTTCATCTGATCCTCCCGAGTTCCTTACCAGAGATAGGATGACGATCTGAACAGAGGGTGTGAGCATCAGGTATTTGAGATCCTTCATCTTCAGACGAACCTTGGCCTCTTCTCCCTGGAAATTATCTATAGTACGAAGCAAGACCTGGATAAAGGGTATGAGTGGAAAAACACGCAATATAACCTGCATCACGAACACGTCGTGTAACCTTTACACGATCGACCACAGGCACCAACGACGTCTCAATGTCATAGTCGTCCTTCTCAGCTTCTCGATCGGCCAATTCGACTTGATCTCGTTCGTCGATGACCACAGCTACCTTGTCAGCGAATGCGTCCCGCATTCGAGCAAGTTGGCCTAGGTACCCACATAGGACGACGATATCGCCCTCAGATGAATAAGGTCCTTGCCTGTTGAACAATCTATCAGTAACCATGGAGGGTTTGAAGAACACGACTCATTACCTAAGGAGGTGCATGACCAGATCTACAGCCATGTCAACCTGAGCGGAAATTGGAATTATTTAAAGTGTACTCGGACGAAGGTTTTGAAATGCACATACTTCGAACTGGTTATATTTGCTCACAGATTCATCTTCGCCTCCATTTTCTCGGTGTGAGTGTGAAAGGAAAAAGACGCTCTTGGCCATGCCTCGCACAGGAGGGTAGTTCTTGACAACTTCGTGGTCTTGCAGCTTCGGGTATAATGTCTTTCTGCATGAATACCACAAGGCTTGTAAGAAGGTACCGAAATGGGTACTATTGCATCGGCATACCGTACGAGATTTGCGACAGATGGTCTCATGCGGCGTTGCACATCGATTTGAGACATAGGTAGCCCAGATGTTGCTAGTCGCTCCATAAGTGACATGTCAAACTTATAGATCATTCCACCCCGCTTGTGATCCATAGATAGACCTATCAGCAAGTTGAACAACAATATATCACTGCTGAGTCCTCGTGAAAGTGCGGAAAGCACCTACCGTAATTGTTGATAGTCGGTCGTAGCTGAAGAGGATCTCCAATGAGAATTAGGTGTTGAATGGATGGCACGAGACTTCCTAGAACGTGGGCTTCAAGGACTTGGCCCGCTTCCTCCACCAACATAATGCGAGGACCAACCGCCTGGAAGATTTGAGCATAGAATTCTATGATTAAGAAAAACATCCAAATACCTTGAGTAATGGAGTCAGTTTCGCCGCACCTAAGACACGAACTGTCAGTAATGACAATGTTGGCTATGACGGTTACGAACCGGTCGTCGTGCACCCAATAATATCCACGTTACGCAAGACTTCAGAACGCGCCTTCAAAGCAGATGAGTCATATTAGCAAAGCAATTAACAGCTACTTACGGCAGCCCTGCCTTCGCTGTACCGTTCGAGGGCATCTGCATGTCTGGTGCGAAGTCGTTCAAACTCTTGAATATTGCTCTCTTGATCAAAAAGGCGAACTTCTACAACCCAATGCTCGTGAATCCTGCGACGTTCCGAGAGTGACATGCTCCAGATATCGTCTCTGAGCAGAAGGTTGTCTAAAGAATGGTTAGAAGAGGGTAAAAGTGGAATCCGAGTATATCCGAAATTCTCGAAGAAATGGGCGATGCCTAAAGACTCGATTGAATCTGTGATAGATTCAGTGGGTGATGGTGAAGGTGGCGCAAGCGGGGCTGATGGAGCCAACTTGGGCGCTGAGGGTTTGTCATTTTCGGAGTCTTCCTCTACAAGATCGTACGCTGAAGACATCTGCCAGGCTTCTTCAGGCTGCAAATCATCCAAAATATTAGATACGCTGTCCGATTCGCTGTCCGTACCAGATGCAGAATCCAGGGGCGACGTGTCATCCGATGGATCTAGTTCTGGCATTGACGCAATGGGAGCAAACATATTCGTGCTTTGTTCAGTAGCAGGAGCCTGGGCAGGAATCGGAGAGGGCTGAATCACAGGGGTAGGTGGATTATGCGCGTGATACAGGAATTCGAGGTCCAAGCCGTTCAACCAGAAGGAATACAGCGAATCGTCTGCTTCGAACCGTTGACCCCGTGCACCTACAGTTGTGAACCCTCTGTTGTCCCGTACATTCGACATATGGAGGTTCACGACCCACGGAGGTGGTTCGAGGAATCCTTCATGGAATTCTGGCAGACTCGTTGCCAGATATCTCACGATCCTCTCTGAATCCACTGATGGCTTCAGGCACTGATTCATAAACTTCTTGATCTCCTCCTCAATTTGCTTGAGCTCCCGATAATTGGAAGAAAAGGCTCCAGCAAGCCGTGATCTTCCTGCAATCTCCTCCAGCTTCTCTATCGAGAACTGGGAGATGCGTTCATCTGAAGACCTCGACCCCAAACGAACAATCCGTGTAGTGATCTTCGCATCCAACACGGATGTAAGCATATGGTCTAAGGCATGGTTGGTGAACGCGATCATCAAGATCGGGCCAGCCTTGTTTGCCAGTGCGACCCGCAGAAACTCGACGCCTGTGTAACTCTGTAGGAAACAACCAAGTCAATACTTCACTAGATAGGTCATGAAGAGCAATCCACACCTTCCCGGTTCCGGGTGGTCTTTGACAAAAATTGTGAGATTAATGACATGTAAAACAACACGGCACTTACCCTTGGATTAATGCAACCTCATGAGTTAATGCGTTGACTAAGGCATCAGCCTGACTGGGGTCTAAGCGACTATCTTTACGGAGGGTCATGCGCGCATTTTCGATAGAATCAGGATCAGAAGGGTACAATTTCAACGACTCAATGCCAGTCTCGGAAGAGCACAGCGACGCAAGCTCAAACGTATAACCAGGTACTCTTGCGTACGCTGGCGGATCCGTACGCATCGTCCTGAGTTCTCCAGGGGGCCGGTGAACAAGGTACTTGCCAAACGGTATGGAAGTCGGTTCAACTCGAAGTGCCTCGAGGAAGGGGCGGACGGATTCGAACATCACGGTGGCCTCTATCAGAAGTTTCATGCCGCGACGTTCGGAGATGGGACGCTGGAGCTCTTGAAGAATACGGAGTTCAACAGCAGGATCGAAAAAACCAATTCGAACCGAGATTCGCTCAGAGTTCTGCCTCGCAGATTCTGTGTGATCGCGTAACGAACTGGCGATGATCCCTAAGTGAACATGAACTCCGTTATCCCGCTTCCAGACAAGTGCGACCAAGCCGCCAGGAAGCAGCCGCTTGGACCCCATGCTCTCCCAAAATTGCACTCTGGCCCTTGTTTGTGTAGAGCGAGCGCGGCCTGGAGGACTATCGATAGTGGATGAGACAGATAGACCATTGCGATCGGGACCAATGGCGGAGAATTCGAGATTGGTATAAACATTGAACATGACAGTATCGCGATCACTAGATTGGCCACGGTACTTCCCTCCACGTTTCTTGAAGATTTCATCTAGTTGAGTCTTCCGTTGCTTCGAACTCAAATCATCCAAAACATGTTGGACGGAAGCTCTCAATGAAGCACTGCAAGACAGTAAATGCACCGAACGTATTAGATAGACGAAACACTTACGTGAGCTCTTCCCTAAGTAGCCTGAATTGGATATCTAAGAGACGTTCCATACTGTCTGATGGATGAGGGTGAGGTGCTCCGTATATATTTGCAGGAAGGTAAGGGGGAATATGAGAGGTCAATTCGGCGTGAGTAGGTGCAAGACGAATCTCGTTAATATCGATGAAATCGTTGTCATGACGAGGCCCTTCCAGTCGAAGTGATCCAGGACCCACGTAGCTATTGTGGAGAGCGGCTAAGGTGCCCTCGCCAGAGGATACAGATAGAAAATCTTTGTTTTGCTGTTCACGTGGTTGGGACTTCTTGTGCTCGCGATCAGCGATGGATACTAGTTTAACAACCATGTCATTGAGATGTCGGCATATCAGCTCTCTAGCTTGAGCAGTCGTTGAAGTAATTGGGTCTTTGAAAGATGTGCTTGCTGCCGAGACGTCTGCGATCCACTCTGTAAGCCACGCGTGGAGAGCTAAAACCATGGGTCGTAATTGAGAGTACGTAGCAACTGCATTCTTGATACGTGTGAGACATCTGTATCAATTCCGTTGGCGATTAGCTGGCAAGCCACACAGGGTGCATGACATACTGTAGCAGTACTGTAGCCAGGGAACCAAACACTTGACTACCGCTTAATGTTCGCATCGTAGAGGAAAACAGCATGTTCGGATCGGAGAATGACTTGAGGCGCATGATCTCATCCATACACGATCGTACGTGATGAGTGAAGTTTTCGAGATTCTCCATGACAATCATATACAGCGCACTAGCACGAATCGCGTTAGCAGCTCGCACATCAAACAGCGGTGAACATACTTTGTCAGGTGGCTTAATGCGCTCTTGACGACAAAATCGGACGAGAGATACTAACATACCGAATCAATAAGTATAATGCAATGAAGCACGCATAGAAACATGCCTGCAACAGCGGAATGTATCCACGCTGAAAGGAAAGAATTGCATGTCCACTTCCAGCTCTAATCGACACGTTTGTCCAAGTGAGAATATCGTTAATACGAGTCAGACCGTTGTCCTGTACACATCGTCAGCACAGTTTACCACGCCTGGGGAAGAGACCAATATGCACCCTAGCGATGGCCGAGAGCAGAAGCTAAGATCGAAAGCTTGAACAAATGTTGTTATATTACCCAAGGATTATACTCACCTGACCATCTTCTGAGGTCTGATCGCAGCAGTATAGTTAATAGAAGCGGAAAAGAATACTGGTACAGAAACATACCCAAGTGGCATTGTTTGAAGTAGCTTCACTAAGCAGGCTTACGAATGCATACATGTCGAGAACATTGCGAAATTGATAGTTGTCGAAAAAAAAGCGTCTGAGTGCAGTATGGACTTCTGAGGGACTCTTTTTCTTCTCTACAGCTGAGAACAGGGCGTCGGTGGCAGAATCAGCCAGTCGTGCTAAGCCACCGTGGGAGGCGATAGCAGTCCGAGGGTCATCCTCCGTGCTCGACGCGGTACTGGACGAGTCAGCGGAAGCATGGCGCTCATGCTTGTAGCGACACTGGAATCCTCTGTTGCAATTTCCGCTCTTCCAAAAAAAGGCGCATACACCCGAAGGGACACTCTGAGACGACCCTGATGGCGATGGAGATTTTGTGACTGGGCGAGATCCAGGGCTGCCAGAGGGCGAATTGGGATGCAGAAATCGACAGTTGTTCCCGTATCGACAGCCCCCAGGTCTGTTGAAAAAAGCACAAGGTCTGGCAGACATAATGTGTGGAAGGTGATAGACACGGATTCCTAGGCCTTAGGAGCAGACCCAGGGGTATATCTGACGTCTGGCAGACGCTGCTCAATCGATGAATGGGCGTGTATCTTTCAACGTGTATGGCTTCTGAAGTGGATTGACAGACGGCAAATGAAGCAGAGATGAAATGGCCCACCGATAAGTGCAACGAGGACGATCTTCGCCGCAGCGGCGCAGCATTCCCCTGCACGGGGGCACCCTAGTGTCCATGCGAGTCTAAGGGTCCTTAGGCCTTAGCACAAGGCGAAGGGTGTAGACTAGTAACTGCCTGTCACTGCATGATAAAGTTCAAGATGGAGATCCAAAGTGCAGATAGTTGTGCAGTATATGATGCGGGGAAAAACCGCGACGCATGGCTCACCGAACACATTACTACTACTAGCCAGGAAATTCAACATTCAGAGTATGACTTGGTCGAAAGACATGTAGGAATTGACGATGCAGATTCGGATATCGAGCCATGTACACTTACGTTGAACGTAAGAGTCAGTAAAACCAGAATTTGACTTGACGGTTCGGCTTTCCGGCTACTGAGTTCCGGATGTACTCAATTCAAGGGAATATGAGGTCGACATTGTCTGTGTCCTCGCTCGTCCACCACCAAGCTCTATCCTAGTCGGACGCAATGTTGCGAGCCCGTAGTCTACTCCTCACACGAAATATTTACAGAACATACGCGACTGCGGCGCGTCCGCACGCGTTGGTACTTCTGGAACACAGAGATGGAGCCATCGAAGCGGGTTCGCTTTCTGCTCTGACCGCGGCGCAGCAACTAGGTGGGGAAGTCACTGGCCTTGTGGTGGGAGCTCCAGAGCAAGTGGAGGGCATCCTCTCTAAAGCCAAGAAGTAAGCACATTTCGACTATTATTGATGTCACCGAATGTAACGCTTCTCCAGATTGAAGGGCTTGACGGCTGTACTCCACTCGTCTTCGCCTCAATACAGTCACCCTTTGCCTGAAGTTGTGTCTCCTTTGTTGGAGAAGCTTCTCAGCAGCTCTCCCTTCACGCACGTTGTTTCAGCACACTCTTCTTCGGCCAAATCCCTGTTACCTCGTGTAGCTGCGAGGCTCGACGTTCCAGCCGTCTCTGACATCACATCTCTGGAACATGACACCTCCTCAAATTCGACGACGTTCACTCGACCAATCTACGCTGGGAATGCAATCGCCACCGTGCGCGCATCCTCGTCTATACCTATCAAGTTCTTCACCGTACGATCAACGGCGTTCAAAGCTGCCGCAACGGATGACTCGGCCGATGTCAACGCTACAGCTGTCGATCCGTTAGAAGTCCCTGACTCCCCTACCCAACATGTCAAGACAGAAATCACAAAATCCGACCGCCCCGACCTCGGTGTCGCCAGCCGAGTAGTTTCCGGTGGACGTGCTTTGAAGAATGCGGAGACTTTCAAATCTACGCTTGAGCCCCTCGCTGACGCTCTTGGCGCCGCCATTGGTGCTTCACGAGCTGCTGTGGATGCTGGCTATGCGGATAATTCTCTGCAGGTTGGTCAGACTGGTAAAGTTGTTGCACCCGAGTTGTACATGGCTATCGGTATCTCCGGCGCTATCCAGCATTTGGCTGGAATGAAGGACTCAAAGTTGATTGTCGCGATCAACAAGGTGGGTCTGTCACTGTTTATTGCATCTGCATTCACATTTACGCTGTTTTTAGGATGCGGATGCGCCAATCTTCCAAGTCGCCGATGTTGGACTGGTGGCAGACTTGTACGAAGCTGTTCCGGAGTTGGTCAACAAATTGAAAGCATGATCATATCGATATTGTTTCCGTACTATACACAAACAGGGCTGTGATATCGCTCTCGTGCAACCGGAATAACAAAAAATCGAAGGAAAAATCAGACTAAAGCTTGTGTTTGACTCCTAGACCCCTCATTCGCTTCAACGCTCTTTCTACTTCCTCTTCTGGTGTTGACTCCCACAACCAAGACCACTGCGCATCAATGGCAGGTCCCAGAGAGGTATAGTTGTCTTGAAAAATGCTATTGAATTCATACATCTTCCCTGAGACGGCCGATTCACGAAGTACGCGGTTTGCAAAGGGCAGCCGGATGGATTCATATGCTGACAGAGCTTTCCAGAGATTGAGCGCTGTAATGGATGGCTCACCTAGGAGCGCTGCAAGGATGTACGCATCCTACGTTGATGTACATCAGAAATTTGGAGTTCTACTTCCGCAAGAAGCGTATGAATGTACCTCGATGGCCTGACCTGCACCCGCTCCTTGGTGTGGTGTCATAGCATGAGCCTATACAAAATGTCAGTAAGTTGAGGCATCGACGATGACCACGAAATGGTAAAACGTACAGCGTCACCTAATAATGCTACTCTCCCCGATGTATACATCGGAAGTGGTCTTAGACTGTGAACTGCCCACAGCATGGCTTTATCGACATGCTACTCAAAGATACAAGCTCAGCGGATAACATAAACTGACTGAGAGTGATATACATACACGGAGTAAGTCTTGAACTTCCTGTTCCCAGCCTACATAATGCTTGATGACTTCTGCTCCATCACATTCGGTCACCCAGGGTCCATCGAAGGTCTTTCCTTCTCCTTCAGGGTAGAATACCAAGCCCACCACGTTCACAATGCGACCTTGGAATATCGGGTAACTGACGATGTGCTTTCATTCCCAAGTATTCAACGGTTACAGTCTTATCGGGAGGTTGAGAGATCGCTTGACTGACCTTGCTTTTGCCGCAGTACTGGAATCGAGAATGTCAATACTGGGAGTCGGGAAACATAGAAGACGAGAATGACAGGGTGAAGCAACGCACCATCATGGGAGTAGTTGTGGTTCGAGTTTCCTTGCCACCGTTAGCTTGACGAACGCGGTCAGCAGGAACGAGAGCTCGATAGGTAACCCAACCACTCCAGATAGGCTCAGCGACGATCTTCAAAGTAGGCTCCTTAAACGGCGCTTGGTCGTACATTTGTTTCCGCACAGTGGATTTCAAACCATCGCAGCCCACCAGTAAGTCACAGGTACCTTGAGAGCCGTCTGCGAACTTTAGGATGACTTGGGAATTGGAATGACGGTCTTCGTAGGACAATAATCTCTTGCCAAAGTGAGCAACGCCGGATGGCAGGTGGTTAACGAAGACGTCGAGAAAGTGCGCCCTGTGAAAACGAATACACCCGTCTAGAAGGAATATTGAGAGAGAATAACTGAAAAGCTAGAGACAACTTACATGGGGGATTATACATATGAAACTGAAAGCCAGTCTCTCTGTCCGCTCTGCGAAAATCAAAGCCAATTCCTACAGAAAGGAGAGGATATCCAGTACAAGCAGGAACCAAAAGATAAGACGTCGATTTACCAGGGAACCCGTTGGGAGGCGTATCTGCGGCTTTCGACAAATCCTCTGATAATCCCAACTGATCCAAGATCTTCCAAGTCCGCTCCCACATCATGACTCCAGCACCGATCTCTTTAAATTGTCCTGCTGCTTCATAGACGTCTACTTGGATGTCGGAATACTTGGACAATGCAACTGCTAACGCCAGTCCACCAATTCCTCCGCCACTATGAACAGATGTGGAAGATAACATTGCGCATAGAATCAAACGTAACTTACCAAATAGCGACTCGAAGTTTTGCGGTGGGCATGAATAGGAAAGGGGATAAATGACATACTGATATGTGCCGTGCTTTATATGAGCTGAATGAACCCACGATATAAGTGCGCTCAGTTTACATGCTTGAGAAACTTATATCTGTTCGCGGTGTCGACCCTGGATATGCCGTGAAGGCAGAAGCATCAACGAAGAACGGTGTGAATGAATGACCATCTTGGAGGGTCAAGACACCCAGTGCGAGTAAGGTTCATGCATCGTGGAATTTGGACAATGGATCAACATCCCGATACTTACTTTGGTCAACGGCCTCAGCCTCGGACCTCCTACCAATGATGCAGACTACTGTAACGCTACGAAAGCAGTCCGTCGACGCAATGCTTACGAGTACGTCACCATTAGAGTGATTTTATTCAGTACAGTCCACTCGGAAAGCGATACAAAAGCAGCTGAAGATGGTGCTGAAGATACAAAGGCAGACATAATGTATTCCAAAGAACTCATCTTTTTGTCTTCTTTCCGGCAGCGCCAAGTCTGTTTCCAACCCTTCTTCTTCGCTGCTTGTGAAAGTAGGAAACAGGCGTATGGATCAACCCCTCCCTTTCTAAATAACATCATCACCAGCCTTCTATACATGTCCCCGGAAGTTTTAGCAATGCTTATTGTCATGACATAACCTGGCCTTAAAGTCGTGTTCACGGCGCACAGGATCAGACTTCCGCTTGCTTGTCCGACCACTCGAAGCTTCCGCATCCGTCATCTCAACATCCTCAACGTCCTCATTTTCACCTCTCCGTTTCTTCGTATATTAATGTTGAAGCATCCACTTGGTTCTCTAGTAAGGCCATCCACCGACGTGAGACTTTCACGGTATGCTTTATTGAATATCGGTGATGCCAGCCTGATCCTCAAACAAAGTTCTTTATGTAACAATGCCGTCATTGTGCTGTGTACTCTGAAGTGTTTCTCTACTTTCCTCTCCACCGAGCTCTGAAGGAGGCTAGAAAGGCATTTCCAATCCTCCGCCAGCAATCGGCGCCATTAAAACCAACATGAAACGTGATTTTGGACAGACCCGTTGTTGGAAGTAACATACTTGCAAATTGATCGGACTTGGACTTCTTCTAGAGCTCAATCCTCGCAGTTCAGCTTAACCAATATCGTCGAAGACCACCAAACACCCCTCCGCTATTGCCGGCGGTGCCGGGGCAATAACCTTTTGTAACTTTTTCCATCCAAGGCGAGTGACCAATAATTGAGAAAGTCCATTGCTGTGTATCGATATCCAGGCTGCAGTGACAGATTGGTGATCGAGAGGCAATGTCTATCCCATTTGATGAAGATGTAAATGACTGCATCTCCCGACACAGCAATTTGCTTGATTGATTAGTCTACTGCATCATTGACATGCGCAGGAACAGACCAAATTAGCTTGGGAGAGTGGACCGTTGAGAGGAGAAAAATCATCATCCTATCATTACCCCAGAATACGTGTCCATCAAGGGTTCACTCCAACCCTCTCCACCACTCTGTCTCCTAGGTTGACTTGTCCCTTGCTGTTTCTAGGTCTACTTGGCAGGATGCGGGTTCATCTATGGTCTTCGCTCTTTGTTCTGTTATTTGTTTCTCTGTCCTACTCGCAAGATTCTAGTACGGTACCTGTTCGAATACCTCTCGCCATCCGTTCGCCTTATTACAATGCCTGGGTCGACAGTACAGCTTCGGGTCACACATGGCCATTCTTCTGGGCTGGCGGCGTATGTGGTCTCTTCTCGAATCAGATGCATTGATTCACTCGATTGGCAGACTCTGGGCTGGCAGGGCTTGATTAGGGTCGACAAACAGGTTTATCAATGGCTCGGATTCTCAGGCCTGAACCCGCCAGTGGCAAATCTCACCAATACACAGCTGACACCAACTCAAACTGTGATTTCTATGCAAGCTGGACCTATGGATATCAATGCCACTTTCCTCTCGCCAATTGAGGTAATCACACTCGAACTTTTCAATGGGCTATGAATGACTAACCATTGTACTGTAAAGACTGCAGATGCTCTCAAACAGTCAATACCGCTCTCGTATCTTTCGCTTGAAGCGAAGTCCAGGGACGGAGTGCCGCATAGTGTGCAAGTATATTGCGATATCAGTGGAGGTTCGTTGTTTGCCTTATGATATCTTCAGTCTAGATACTGACGGCGCGCAATAGAGTTTGTTACTCCAGACACAAATGCTATATTGACGTGGTCCTCCAGCACAACTGGCAGCTCGTCGTTCCACCAAATCCAGTTGCAAATTAATCAATCACTGGTGGACACTAACAATCGCGCTCATGATCTGACAATGGTTATCGCCACACAATCTGTACGTGCATCGAGTTCACCGAGTCCCAGGGTTAGTTCTCATTTGTCGTGCAGAACCCCGAAGTGTCCAGTAGAATCGCCAACGATACGGAGTGTCGCGGGCAATTCTCTGATGATGGGATTTTGGGCGGAACTCCTCCGACGACGTCGGCGAAGATGGGCAAGTAAGATTGGGGCTTGTTTTTTCTCGTCCTGTCGGCACTCATGTCTTTCATATTCGAAGCCCATATCCGGTCTTTTCAATATCAAGGGATTTGGGAAACATCACGCAGACATCGTCACCGATGGTGTGGGCAATCGGTGGTTTTCGAGACCCTGCAATCTCATTTACGACGTCGACTGGCAAAGTACAGCAGCGCAGCCCACTTTTTGCCTCGTCGTATTCTGATATATCATCGGTTGTATGTACGCACTGCCTATCATGTGGTAGCAATACCTTAATGCGCGCGTTCTTTAGGTCGACGCCTTCGTTGTGGACTTCGCGGATGCAAAAGCACGTGCAGACAAGCTCGATATCCAGATACTGGATGCCGCATCGGATATTTCCCCCACATATTCGAGTATAATCTCTTTCGCGACAAGGCAAGCCATAGGCGGAACGGAATTAACCATAGGCATGGGATCAGATAACAAATGGAACATGTCAGACGTGAAGATGTTCATGAAGGATATGGGTATGAGCGGGTAAGTCTGCCTCAACAACTCGAGCGCTCTTGATTTACCTTTCATTCCAGACGAGTCAACCCTGTGGAAAATGTTTATGCTGCTTTCCCATTCTTCCTTTACATCAATTCTACCTATGCTGGATACCTTCTCGCTCCACTTCTAGAATACCAGGACTCTCCTCAGTACAGTCAGCCTTATGCTGCCCGAGACATCGGTGAGCTCGACTATTTGTTATGAAGCATTTCATTCATATTTACATGTCTTCGTTTAGGGCAAAATTATCCTATAGCGACAGGAAGCAATATACCTCATTCTCAAGGCTATGAACGTATGTTGATATTTCACTCGCATATGGCGGAGTCTCTAAAGTTCAGTAGAATCTAGCAACATGCTGATCATGGCGTTGGCCCATGCGCGTGCATCCGGTGATGGTTCTCTTATCAGTCAGCATGTAAGCTTCTGTCTGACTCTGTAACAATACGTTGCTCACCAGTTTTTAGTACGGCCTGTTGAAGGACTGGGCAGATTATCTCACCAGTTTCAACGTCACACCTCCTGACGCGTGAGTAAGAGGAATTGCGTTTTCAGAAATTCTCTTGACACGTATGGTTTAGTACGACAGTGGACCAGGAAAGGCAAAGCAATACGACCAATCTCGCAATCAAAGGCATCATCGGGATCAAGGCGATGTCAGAGATCAGCAAAGCCCTCAATCAAGTCGAGGACGCCGATCGTTATGCAGTTAGTTCCACTATGTTAATTTTCGACCATTTTCCAATGTCACACTTGCAGAACTTCGCCTCGGCTTTTGCGAACACTTGGCTGTCAGTCGCTTCCTCCTCGGATGGCCAGCACCTGCTTGCCAGCTATGGCAACTCAGCTTCATGGGCGCAAATCTATAATTCATACCCCGATCGGCTGTTGCAAACGGGAGTTGTGGACAACCAAGTGAGTTATTGCATGTATTCTGACGTTGTCCCAAGTTGCTGATAGGGTACAGACGTATGAAGCACAAACGAAGTATTACCAAAGTTTGTTGTCAGGGACATGTACGTTTTCGTATCACTCATGATAATGATATCCTCTGACAACAATGCCCGTCGTCTCAGCCTCTCAATTTGGTCTCCCACTTGACTCGAGTACTGATATCACAAACACCGGTATGCCCTTCGCTTTTATCGCTTGGAGACGGATTTTCTGATGGCGCGTCCAAAGCATGGACTTTCTTCACTGCTGCGACAACCACGGACTCAACAGTTCGCGACAGTTTGATCAACCCTGTTTGGACACATGCGACCAAAGACACACGGCCTCTCGTACTCCAATACAAAGTGGACACATCTGACCCGTTACCAACGAATGGTGCTTCCAAGTACGTATGTCTCCCAAGCTGCCGTTCACAGATATTGACGTGCTTGTGAAGTCCGGCCCTAGGTGCTGTTTTTGCCCCCTTGGCCCTCAGGTGAGTTTATTTATGGGCATCCAAATGCTTTCGAATTAGTAATTAAACACCGCCGCTCTCATAGCATTCCAAGTCAGAGCATCGTAGTTCCCCCGTCGTCAGGTGCTTCTGATTCTACTTCACCGACCACCCATTCTAGCATTGTTGGCCCTGTTGTTGGAGGTGTTGTGGGCGGAGTTGTCCTCATCGCCTTCATCGTTGTTGGCGCTCTGTTCTGGCGAAGAAGGCGACGACAGCAATACGCCATGTACTCGGATAAAGTTTACCTGCATTCCCAACCAATCGACGAACCCCCTGTCATCATTCCTTACACAGACCTTACCTTGTCATCGACACAATTGCCATCCTCGGATAATGGGGAAACTCAAGATTCGCCTCTAGGAACCATGGCTAGACCGTCTAAGGCGCAGGAGGCGGGGTTAACAAGCGCCGCTTATAAACCTTCGCCTCCAGCCAGTTCTTCATATAGCGCTGCTCCCTCCTCCAGTAGGGAGCCTCCCACAGAAGTTACATCTCCTACTACGAACGTTTCTAACTCGGATGTATTGGGTTTGCGCGTAGAGGTGGAAAATCTCCGAAGAGTCATGCAAGAAATTCAAGCGGATAGGATAGAGGCCCCGCCAAGCTATGCTGACTGAGTACTTGTCTTTTTCTTTCCCTCCGAGCTTATTTGTTTGTGTTTTTCGGTTTGGAATATTTGAATCCTGTAGTATCATACGCATCCCTACTTGTAACGACTCGGACTCTGTTTTCCCCCTCATTTTGACATGTGTTATTTACCGATACATTAATCGTGGTCAGATATACAGGGCTTTTGCCTTTGAATGTTTCAACAGCGTTTCAGCTCAAGCAAATGTTGCACAACGTTCTTTCGGAATGTATGTTTCCTGCATTGGATCATTAATGCTGTTGCTCATCGTAATTCCTTCATAGTCAACGGAACTTCCTACATGTCCCCTCGCATCTATGGTGGCATGCCCATCAATACGTACAGTGGCATGTATGGAAATGCCCCACCAAGTCTACAGATGGACGTTTCAAAGGGTAAAGGCAAAGCTCGGGAGACCGGCTCTGAGGCGGCCTTTGCTCAAGTGACACAGTGGCTCTGTGACAGACCTTTCTGAAGCGATGCAGAGCGCGTCCATGCAGTATTTAGATTCAGCTAGCGCACCCTTCGGGTCCGATTTCAAGAAGTCTACATTTTATTTCATGGTTCAATAAAGGACTTGCTCATACTCACAAACTGTTCAGGGTATGGAAGCATCAGAACTCGGATATGCCACCCCCTACTTCACGATACCAGAGGAGACATGGAGGTCGCCTTCAGAGTCGTCTTGGCATTCACATGAGTTGGTCACGGAAGCTTTCCTCAATCTTGCGCGCGAGCAACACCAACAAGGGATTATAGATCCAGATGTTCAAACTGGATTGGGAGTGATTTCATACGCGAATGGACAATACGATCGTGCTAAGGATTGCTTTGAAGCTGCCCTCAGTGTCCGCCCCGAAGTAAGTTTAGTTACCTTCCTGCGGTTGTAGACTCTTGATGAATGTTTCAAATAGGATTTCATTCTATGGTTGCAGCGTCGCCCTACATATACTCGCGCTATTTACAACGTCGGCGTAGCTTGTATGTTCTTGACAATTCGTGCCTATCATGTGACTGATTTTCGTCCACTTTCCATGACAGGTTTGAACATCGGTGCCCACAAAGAGGCAACAGAACACTTCCTCAGCGCGTTGGTAATGCAAGATTCATCGGCTGGACCTAAGAGTGAACAACTGTGGTCGACCCTCCGGAGAACTTTCCAAACGATGGTGAGCAGCGCCCTTGAAGCTCTTGAATGCTGTGAACACTAACTCCTTCTGGTAGAATCGGTCTGACCTTGCCGAAATGGCGACGTCTGGTAGCTAATGTGGATGATTTCCGCAAAGAGGGATTCGACTTTTAGTTGTGATCGGTGCGCTTTTGTATGTATGTAGGGGTAGAATTGTGCTGCGAATTGCCTTATCACTTTTCTTTTCTTTCGTTTCCTAGATCCCCATTTGTGTAAGGGTTCCTTCCCACACACGCAACTGGGGACTTAAGGCTTCATACATGATACCTTTGTGCTCCTACACCTATATCGTGGATAGAGAGGATAGAGGCTATTAGTTATGCGCAACAAGGAAAGTCAAAAAAGATCCAGACGACGAACCTAGTCGACGATTTCGTAGAGGAAGCAGTTAGGGAACACCTTCTTCATCTGCTCCTCGATCCACCAGTAGGGAGTGAGGTACGTTACGTCGGTCTCTTCGGTCGTGCCGGCACCGGCGACGAGCAGCCCGACGATGCGGCCTTTCGAGTCGACCACTATGGCGCCAGAGTCGCCGGGAGCAGAGAAGGCGCCGTCCTTATTGCTGTAAGGATAGACGGCGATCTCGATCGACGTTTTCTTGATGCCGTGCTCGGGGCACCTGCGAATAAACGACTCCATGCCCGAGAGGCGACCAAGAGTGGTGCCTGTGGTCTTTCCGTTCTTGGTGACAATCAGACACTTCTCGCCGTTGGCATCAAGCTGCTGCGGCTTGCGGATCTCGTCGTCCTTTACGACGCCTCTGACCTGGAGGAGCCCGCCAGGGGGGTACTTGAAGTCGGATCGGCCCTCAGGGTGAGGGTGCATCTTCAGGATAAAGTTGGCCGACGAAATCTTGCCGCCTGGATATAAAAAAGAGATACATTAAAACCGGGGACGGTGTTGCCAAGATAAGACAGAAATGTACCGACATATACCTTGTTACCCTGGAAAGTGTCCCAGTCGATCTTGTCGCGGTAGAGATCAATCAGGGCCCAGTCCCGGGTGAAGTGCTTGGGGCCGTCGTCGATGGCAATGGCAGGGGCGTGGACGACGTAACCGATCACACGTTGGTTTGGAGTTGTCCAGTGCTTGGTGACCTCGTCATGGATCCCGTTTACGTCCTCAATCCTCCTCCTCGCCCTCTCCACCAGGTCCTCGTAGTCCTTGCGCGCGCGAGTCCTCCTGGGCGCCTCGCCCTCGATGACTGGACCCAACCTCTCAATCTCCTCGCCCCATGTCTTGATAAAGAGAAGTTCATGGCCGATAGTGCTCATCATACGGTTGATGGCAACAGTGTAGGCATTGGTGCCAAGGACGACGATCTGCTGACGAGTCTGGCTGCTGTTCTTGCGCGATAGGAGCTTATTATAGTGTGCGGGAGGCGGGTGAGCGACGTGGCCGGCGGTGAGAAGGAAGACGCGGTCGCTCTGGCTGCTCTCGCGCAGGTAGACGGCACCCATGCCCTCGTAGTAAGGTGTCTTGAGCGGAGCGATCTGGATGCCAAGCGTGGGAGTGAAGGCGCTACGAAGCTCGGGGACAGGGTCGACAGAGGGGTCGAAGGAGAGAAGCTTTGGGCAGCAGACTGGGTGACAACAGACTCGCGGAATGCAACCTCGACGTCGGGGAACCCCTCTCGAGCCAGGATATCCTTGCAGCCCTCGGCTGCCGCCTTGGCAGCCTCGAAGACGAGAGTCCCAGGGATCACGCCTATCCAGAGATAGAGTGCACTGACATCCTCCTTCCCTGCCTCGGCAAAACGAACGGGGTCGATCGACGACCACTCGATGTCACGGGAGTCAAGGTGCTCGCAGATGAGCTGGCCAACATCGAGCCAGCGGTCTTGCATCGGATGGTCACACACGGGGCGGGCCTCTTGCGGAATGCGCTGCGCCTCAGGACCCGTGCGCACAGGCCAGGCATCGCCGGTTTTGAAGACGCAGGGAGGGTTGCTGGGCAGGCCGTAGAAGTCGGTGAAAGCTGCAGGGTAGGAGTCGGAAAGACGGGACTGAGGGGCGGCGATGTCCTGGTTGTCCTCGTCGAGGTCGAGCTTTCTAAAGGTAGAGACGGGAGTGACGAGGGTGGGAGTGGGAGAAACGGGCGATTGGCCGCCCGAGGCTTGCTGAGCAGCGATAGAGATACAAGAAAGGAAGAAGTCATTGAGATCGGTGTTGTGTGCCACTGGAACGAGAGAGAGAGCAAGAATGAAAGCTAAGTACTTGTACGAGGAGATAGGAAAATGCCAAGGGACGCACTTGTGAACAGAAATGGTCTCGTAGTAACGAATCGTACCCAGCCGTTCCTACTCGCACTTGATAGAGACACGTCCTACTAAGTATGTCCTATGAGACAAAAAGCGCCCTTGAAGTGCCTCATGTAATGGTCACAGCCACCATGTACCTGAAGTATATCTCAGATCTTTAGATTGTGTTGCAAGATCTCTCTATGAAATACGTTAGCGAAATTGTAGCGACATAGCAAACCTCGCTTGAAGGTCTGTGCTTGTGTGTCCTTTGCTAGCATAGTTGAATTCCCTAGTTCAGCTACCTTACCAGATGACGCCAACAACAAACGGTCGAAGCAACTGCTCTCTGATGCTTGTGCTCGAGCTGAAGCCAACCGGGGCTATAACTCAAGCGATGTCCGCCGTGCAATGAAGAAACTGTTTAAGAAGACTTCTGGAGGCAAGGCGCCCTAGGATTGGCAGCTCGATACCGCGGAAGCACTCCTTTTAGGGTTGGATATAATGGTTATCCGAGTCGCAGGTTCAGGTTCAGGCAAGACAATACCATATATGCTCCCCCTACTCTTGCCCGCAAACAAGGGAAAAGTGGTGGTAGTAATAAGCCCATTGAAAGCCTTGCAACGTGACTAGGTAAGTCAGCGAGAACTTAATGATAATACTCCAATATTCAATGCTCATTCGTAACGATCAGGCTCGCCGGTTTCGCAAGTTAGGTATCAAAGCGGTTGCGGTTAACAAAGACACCTTCAATGATGGTCTTGAAAAGGTGCATGCAAAACCATTGCTGAATGCAAACGATACTTAAACTACCTCATAGGATATACGCGCAAATAAATCTCAAGCTATATTTATGTCTCCAGAAATGTGGAGAATTTCCGGGCTAGAGGCATGCTAGAGTACCTGGGTGTAAATGGGAGAGTACTCACCTGCGTAATCGACGAAGCTCATTGTATCCCAGAGTACGGCGGCGATTTCCGACAAGCGTATTCAAAGCTACGGGTATTACGTGCTTTACTACTAGGCAACTGTCACGTACCGATCACAGCATTTTCTGCGACTGTTACATCTCGCGCTCACGACGATATCAAAAGTGTATTGCTATTTGAATGGGACGCTACATACTATATCAATTGTGGCAATGACCGTCCAATATGAATATGGAGGTCAGACTTATCAACAGCTCTGAGGACCATGGCGCTTAGTACTATGTACATTGTACAGGGCGCTGACATTCCAGATGTCGAACGTGTCATCCAGTTCGGAGTCCCCCTTTCGCTCACAATCTGGGTCCAGAGAGCTGGTCTGGCAGGACGTACGCCTAATTTGGCGGCAACTGCATATCTCCTCATCAAGAAATCAGCTTTGAGCAGCAGATGAAACGCGTCAATGATAAGTCGAAAGATAAGAAAGCACCAGACGACGGCGAAGACGACGAGTTCCCGGTTACAGTTCTCGAAGACGGTATGCAATTCAAGAAGAAAATGGACGCATCTCTTCGCTGGTGGTCAGAAACGACATCTCCATGTTGTCGACGAGTGCTTGAAACTTTGAGGTACGCGGTAACATGTGTATTCTGAACTTGGAGGCCTACCAAATTGGGACTTCTCGGTAATGGCCGGACCGGTCTACTTCCGCACTTGACCTCAGCTCACCAACTCAAGTCACCTCCACACACCGGCTACCACTTGCTCTCCTCTCAAAAATCCTTCTCTTGTCATTGTATATCTTCTACGTCGATATGTCGCTTCAAGGGCTCATTTCCGGTTCAGAATGTGCTGTACCCTTCAACCCCTTATCTCAAGTTCTAAAGCATACAGAAGGTGATCGGAGTCTGCAACAGGTATGATTGTATTATTTGCTATCTTTCATTCGGGCTTTTACTCATTATGCTCCTCCTAGGACCGAGTAGCGGGCTCATCCTCCTCTAGAGTGAGTCTCACACTGCCCAATGATGGTTCATAGCTAACATAATAGCAGCTGCAACATCTGCCAAGCACAGCTACCGCTCCCAGCTCGGAACGAGATTTGGCTCTTGCACGACAGTTCTTCGATGCCCAGACTCAGGGTCCTGGTACACTGGTTCCGTATTCGATACCCCAGCAACCCCTACAAGACATAGGCGCTTCTCTGACTAACTCGGGAAGAGCTACTCCAGACCTCAATACGTTATGGGCAAAATCGCAGCAACACCAGTTTTCGCATGATCAGACCTCCAGGGCTCAGTCTAGTCATCCGGCATCGGCTACCGGATGGGCCCAAGAATTTGGCGGTGCTTCTTTTGCTGTTCCTTCAGCTCAAGCAAATGCTGCACAACGTTCTGAATGTGTGTGTCTAACCTTGTTCATTAATGCTCTTGCTCACTATATTTCCTTCATAGTCAACCAAGCTTCCTACATGTCCCCTCGCATGTATGGTGGCATGCCCATGAATATGTACAGTGGCATGTATGGAAATGCACCGCCAAGTCTACAGATGGACGTTTCAAAGGGTAAAGGCAAAGCTCGGGAGATCGACTTTGAGGCGGCCTTTGCTCAAGTGACACAGTCGCTCTCTAACATAGAAGATCAGTCTAGAGCAAGCGAGCAGGAAAGCGCCAGAATTTCAGAGTTCGATGATACCGCAGACCTTTCTGAAGCGATGCAGAATGCGTCCATGCAGGATCTAGATTCAGTTGGCGCACCCTTGGGGTCCGATTTCAAGACGTCTGTATTTTATTTCATGGTTCAATAAAGGACTCGCTCATACTCACAAACCGTTTAGGGTATGGAATCATCTTCAGAACTCGGATTTGCCACCCCCAGCCGAAGACCTAGCCAAATGGGAGGCAGAATACAATCAGCTCATGTCTTCTCATCGAGAGGAACTCGATACTGACTACGGCGCTGACATGCAAGCCGCCTGGGAGGGCGGATTGGGTCAATATGATGGCGCCGAAATGGATGAGCAAGTGAAGTTTGACAAGGACGGCTTACCTCTGTTGGGTGAATACGTTTTCGGTGAGTACAGTCGTTTGACACATAGTGTCGACCCTCACGCGTTCCGCAGAAGCCAACAATAAATACTTGGACCCTTCCAGCTCGACGAGATCTCCGTTGGAGGAAGCCAAGTCACTTATAGACCATAACGGGTCGTTGACAGAAGCTGCCTTGTTGCTTGAAGCAGCGATACAGCAGGGTGAGCTTGGCAAGGGAGGTTACGAGGCTTGGATTCTGTTAGGTGAAGTACGGGGCATGGATGAGCGCGAAGAGGCCGGTATGCGAGCTCTCACGGAGGGTGTGAAACTTGCAGAAGCAGCGGGTGCTGCTGGCGAAGGCATGTTGGTATGTTATTTAGACCTCATGAACCTGTTCCATATGCAAATAATCGTCATCGGTTTTCAGTCTTTAGCCATCTCATATACGAACGAGTCGTACGACAGGGCTGCACATACAATGCTTCTTCGTTGGCTCGCTGCTCGCTACCCCTCCTTCACGATACCAGAGGAGACATGGAGGTCGCTTTCGGAGTCGTCTTGGCATTCACATGAATTGGTCACGGAGGCTTTCCTCAGTCTTGCGCGCGAGCAACATCAACAAGGGATTATGGATCCAGATGTTCAAACTGGATTAGGAGTGATTTCATACGCGAATGGACAATACGATCGTGCTAAGGATTGCTTCGAAGCTGCTCTCAGTGTCCGCCCCGAAGTACGTTTGGTTACCTTCCTCCGTTGTAGCCGTTTGATGAATGCTTCAAATAGGATTTCATTCTATGGAACCGATTGGGCTCGTCGTTGTCTAATGGGAACCACCCTGAAGAGGCTCTTGGAGCCTATAGAGAAGCTTTGCAGCGTCGCCCCACATATACTCGCGCTATTTATAACGTCGGTGTAGCTTGTACGTCTTTGACAGCTCGTGCTTTATCACCTGTTCTTAAACCTTCATGACAGGTTTGAACATCGGTGCTCACAAGGAAGCAGCAGAACACTTCCTCAGCGCGTTAGCAATGCAAGATTCATCGGCTGGACCTAAGAGTGAACAACTGTGGTCGACCCTCCGGAGAACTTTCCAAACGATGGTGAGCAGTGCCCTTGAAGCTCTTGGAAGCTGTGAACACTAACGCCTTCTGGTAGAATCGGTCTGACGTTGCCGAAATGGCGACGTCTGGAGCTAATGTGGATGATTTCCGCAAAGAGGGATTCGACTTTTAGTTATGCTCGGTGCGCTTTTGTCTGTATGTAGAAGTAGAATTGTGCTGCGAATTGTCTTATCACATTTCTTTTCTTTCGTTTCCTAGATGCCCGTTTGTGTAAGGGTTCCTTCCCACACACGCAATTGGGGATTGAAAGCATCATACATAATACTTTTGTGCTCCGCAGCTTGAGGTGCCACTCGTAGCATCATGGGCGTAAATTCAGTTCAACGTTCGGCTATCTATACTTCAGCCCGATCTTCCCTTCTTCATCGCCTGCGTCGCAATGGCAGTGTAGTGTTGGTCAATGTTGAAACGTTGACGCGTTGTTTATTCCTTCGATCAAGCTACGAGCTTGAGTTTGGTCCTTTTCTCAAGGTTTTCAACACTGATTTTTTCAACAGCGTATGCACATGGGACAACTCGTTCAGTAACGCTGAGGCTATCCTCAGATCGCATAGACTTACGTCTAGGTTGACGTTTCTGTCCACATGATGCTGTCCTTTCTGAGGCAGCATCTCGGTACTGTACTGTTTGTTATCTGTCCCCGCACTTATCGTGGTCATGTTCACACTTTGCACTGCTTACATATTTCCCGGCGCGACATCTTGGGCTTCGTCCCTTGATTCTCGCGGCGCTACCGGTATGACAGGCACCCGAAAGACTTCTCGAAGACTTCTGGATCTCCCTCAAGGGGCGATGCTGCTCGAGCTGGGGCTGCTTAAGAAGTCACAGCTTCTGCCCTCGGAACGATTCCATTTAAGACTCGTTGTCTGCGTGGCATGCACCTTCACTGAGCACCCATGGAACATATCATCAGAGTCACCCGCGCGGACCTCGCTTCCGCAACGATGTCTCGTAGCAGCGGCGATGTCTCCCTAAGTACGCTTGTTGGTTTGGGGACCACCTCTGGCAAGGCGGTTATGAAAGTAGGAGAGATAGTCGTACAGGGCGTGGATATGATTGGCATTGCCGTTCGCCTGCATAGGATTGGGAATATGCTAGAAGCCGAGCATGGACATATTCCTCATGATTGTTATGAGGAGGTGCTGGAGTATGGACGGTATGTTATCGTTGGTATGATGCCATGTATTTCACTTTTTGTGCTTACGGCATGCTACCTTCTACAGGCCTGGCTTATATCCTCGACTTATCAGAACTCGGGCATGGACCTTACTACTACGCTTGATGGAAAGGCAGCGTGTTCAGGGGATTGTCGACACACTTGTTCAGTGGTATGAACTCGACATACAAATGTTCATTCGGCAACTATATATTTTTAAATCATCCGGATGGTAAGATTCATTTTCTATGTTTATGTTATGATCTGAGCTCTAAATACAGGCAAATGCGTCTTCTAACCGATCCTCGCGTCGTATCCGATTCTCGACTCCCAAATACCCCTCAGCTGTCGGTGAATGAGCAGGACAAGAACATGGCATCTAGTTACCTGACCATAATTTCCTCCCTCCTGAGGTCTAAACCAAATGCGTTGCGTGGTGAATTTTTGATCGAAGAACTCGTATTCTTGATTACACCGACAACAGCGATCGATATAGCCATGGAGAAAAATACGGGGAGCCAAACACTATTCCGGCTATACAACCATATCGCTTTGGAGTATAAACACGGGCATTCCGATAGATGGCGAACCTTTCCTCTGGCGGCCTGGGATGCTATCGAATACTTGAGAATGGAGGGACCGGACCATTGCATAGAAGTCATGCACCATGCACTCCATCACTTGCAACCATTCGCCTCCATTGAACAACAGCCGTCGCACAACACGTCTCTCGCAGTTTATGAGTCTGCGGGGTTGCAAATACACGTTCATCCAGCACTACCTATCATCTTATTCGTCGCGCATCTTTGTCTTCGTCATCCAACGGCCTTTGAAATTTTCCTCGGTCGCGGATTCTTGGACATCCTCGAACGCATGTGGCTGCTGGACTTTCCAGGAACTGTCGAAGACGATAGTGGAAATTTAATTGGCGAGGACCTGCGCACCGCTTGCTGCATAGCTCTTAGTGTGTTTTCTGCATACCGACATAATCTAGCAGAGCAACTCCGAGAATACAAGCGGGATTGGTTTATGGAGGTCTGCCCTCATTTTCTTCAGCACTATGACGAGGTCAATGCGACCCGTATTCGCCTTCCAGGGGTTGAACATCACCGTCCTGGCGATCGGGAGGAGTTTTACGCTGTTTTAGTACAAGAACTGAGGTAAGGTTTACATTGCCCTCCCTTTCGCGTACTAGTCTTGAAATCATCCCTACAGTTCGATATGGGCGAGTGAAAGACTTTGGGATACTTTTTTCATGGAGTTACACGAAGGACGCAGTTTACATGTCTCACGAGCTATTTTGGAGCTTGAAGTCGACGATGCAAAAACCGTCCTGCATTGGTTGTCGGTCTTCAGCTTATCCGATATGTAAGTGCTAACATTTCAAACTTTTTTGGTCACCCTGTACTGACGTTACTCGGGGAAAACACGACAGGAAGACTTTCGTATACAAGGGAACCCTGGACGAAGTAACTCCAAAGCACATCGGTCTATGTGACCACCAATATGAGATCATTTGCGGTAGGGGCACAGCTTGCGTATACCCCGGTGTACATCAGCCAAAGTACTTTGATCTATGTAAACATCAGGGCTTTCATGACCTCATCCAGCATGTCCTAGCTGAGAAGCCTGGTCTACTGTACGAGGACGTGGGGGTTGATGGATGGTATAAAGGCGACCGTCATCTAACTGGGGAGGAAGTTATCTCTGCTCTATGCAGTTTAGGCGAAAGCGGCAGTTGATCATAATGTGTAAGTCGATTGAATGTGTATTATGCGGAAGTGCAAAACGTATAGTAGTATAAAATCTTGATAAAATCAATTATTCTAACTATAGCTTGGACGAGACTGAACGAGACCAAGGTGAGATTGCAACATAGTCTCGTGCTCGTACCGTGCTGGTTATATGAGCTGTTGTTCAATTTATCCGTGAAGGTTCGTCCGTCGGAAAGGCGAATTGACATCTGGGTAGGCTCTGATTGGCAGAGGAGGACAGGATGACGTGCTGAATATCGATTTGGCGTGACCTAATCTGGGCTAATCTGCTCGGCCCGGCCACTTGCAATCGAGTTTGCATGTCGTCGAATCGACGTCGATTATGACCTCGAACTTTGCAGTAAGAATGGCTACCTCTCATCCCCCGGAAGCTTTATCCGTTCTTTCTCTCAACCATCATGTCCACTGCTGAAGGAGGTGTTGAAATGTTAGTGTGTCTCCTTTCCTCGAACATTAATTTAATGGTCATCATGTTCGTAGCCATTCGGTGCCCAAGGCATCCAGCCCAAGCAATGTGAAGCTCAATAAATACTCGTCACAGCTGACCCAAAACAAGGTGTGATCAGAGTTACTTTGTGTTTGAATACGTGTAACAACTGCATCGTCCTAGGCTCGAGGAGGAGCCCAGGCCATGCGTCAGTTTATGATTTGCTGGGATTATAGGAGCATGTACTCAACTACGAACCTGCAGTCTATGCCGTTGGCTTGACCGAGGAGGATATGGACAAACCTCAGGTATTCTTCTCCAATGTTACCAGGTCAAATAATACTAACACGCAGTCAAGATCGGTATCTCGCCGATTTGGTGGGAAGGTACAATGGAATGGTTATCGTTTGTGTCGATATACGAGACTAACTTTCGTTATAGGCAACCCATGTAACTCTCATCTTGTATGTTTCATTTCATATATGTATCATGTATACCCCAAGTAATGACCTGACGAATTTTGCAGCTAGATTTGGCCAAGCACATCAAGAAGGGCTGTACGCAGGAAGGTTTGGTTGGCTTGATCTTCAACACCATTGGTGTCAGGTACTACTCATGTAAATGTTTAGTTTGTTGAATTACTGACAGCACACCCTAGTGATGCTATTACTATGGGTACCGATGGTAAGCGACATTCGACATCTGGTCTGTATTGGGCTCATTTTCTTTACTTGCAGGAATGAGATACTCGTTAGTTTTCTTTCGGACTTTCCTACCTGATAAGTATCTGAGCATGTCACAGGTTACCGAGTCGTGATCTCATTGCGGACTCCATTGAAGCTGTGCGTATTGACACAATCTGTCATATTTCTATACTAACACTTCCCAATAGGTCATTAAGGTATTCCAGACGTACATATATGCGCTATTTATAGCGCTAAGTACCGTTTCTCTCTAGGCCCAACATTATGATGCCAATATCTCTGTTCCTGGGTAGGTTGCTTTGCTAGTTATTTTACATCCTAATGACTCGATAACGATGTAGATGTGACAAGAATATGCCTGGTTGTGTTATGGCTGCTGTTCGCCATAATCGCCCAACCATCATTGTTTACGGTGGTACCATCCAACCCGGTGTACGCCAAGTCGACTGTCCTGCCCTCGGTTACAAGAAGGGCGATGACATGACCGCTGTGGATGCTTTCGAGTCTTACGGTATGTCTCCTCTTGTCTGCACTCGGTGGAGTGGCACACTCACTCGGGGTGTTAGGTGCTTACACCGTTGGCAAGATCAGTGAGGAGGAGCGATTTGACGTTGTCCGTCACTCATGCCCGGGTCCTGGTGCATGTGGAGGCATGTTCACGTACGCATCTGAATTAACCCCACGCGGCACTGAGCGCAACAATTAACATGCGTCCACCAGGGCCAATACGATGTCAAGCGCTCTTGAAGTCCTTGGATTGTCGCTGCCATATTCGTCTAGTACTCCAGCTGTTTACCAAGGTAACTTGTTGAACATTTTGCCTCCAGAGCTTCAGAATCTCACAATGTTACATAGAGAAAGCTCAGGAGTGCTACAAGGCCGCCAAGTACCTCCGCAAACTTCTTGAACTGGACCTCAAACCAAAGTAAGCTTTGATCTCGTGAGAGACCCTTATGGGATTGCTGATCAGTTCTACAGAGATATCCTGACCCGCAACTCCTTCCTCAACGCGATCGCGATCGTGAACGTTCTCGGTGGTTCAACCAACTCAGTACGTCGCCTGTCGCCCCGGGTTTCGCTGAATCTCAAGCGACGCTCCTCAGGTTCTCCATTTGCTCGCCATGGCTCGATCAGCAGATATCGACCTTACCATCGATGACTTCCAAAAGGTCGCCGACAGGACACCCTTCCTCGCTGACCTTCGGTAATCAACCTCACTACTGTCCATGACTGTAATTGAACTCGATCTTGTATAGACCTTCCGGTAAGTACGTCATGGAGGACCTGCACAAAGCTGGTGGTATCCCGGCTCTCGTCAAGTACCTCCTCAAGAACAGCGACTTAATTGATGGTACTCAGCTTACCGTTACCGGCAAGACCCTTGCTGAGAACTACGAGGATGTCCCTGAGCTGGATTTCGACAAGCAAGACGTAGTCAAGAGGATCGAGACTCCTATCAAGAAGGCATGTCTATGCTGCGGTTATGTTTGAGCTCAGGTGTACTCATTTTGTCGGGTTAACAGACTGGACACTTGACCATTCTCCGTGGTAATCTTGCACCTGGAACTGCTGTCGCCAAGTTGACTGGAAAAGAGGGTGGTCGCTTCGAGGTGAGCGACCATAGCGGATATTCTGCATTTGTGAACATCTAAATAATCTTGATATATTCAGGGAACTGCCAAGGTTTTCGACAGGTAAATATAGCCTTCAACTGTACAATACCTCATCGATCTAACCTCGTATCCTAGCCTTGACCCTTTCTACCCTGCCCTCGAGAGAGGCGAGGTGACTGCCGGGCAAGTCATCATCCTCCGTTATCAGGGGCCTAAGGGTGCGCCTGGTATGCCAGAAGTGAGTTGCCAATCGGCGTGCGGCTTGATATTCAAAGTTACTGACTATGTCTAGATGTTGGGTCCTACTGGTGCTCTCATGGGAGCAGGTCTCGGTGGAAAGACCGCCTTGATCACAGACGGTCGTTTCTCTGGTGCTTCTCGTGGTTTCATCATCGGTAAGTCCAGTGGAAGTTTGCAACGTCGTATTCCATTCAGCAGCTAAACTGCTTCCGCCTTGTAGGTCACGTCGTCCCCGAAGCTATCAATGGGGGACCCATCGCACTTGTCAAGGATGGTGATAAAATTATCATCGATTCAGAGACTCGCACCATCAACTGGCTTGTTGATGATGATGAACAAGCTCGTCGTAAGGCGGAGTGGGAAGCTGCTGGTCCTCATGAGTTCCGCGAGAAGAGGGGTATCTTGTACAAGTATGCCAGGGACGTCGCTGTGAGTATTGTTGATTTTCAAGTTAATTGAATAGATAGCTAAAGACTTATATGTTTAGCCCGCCAACGTCGGCGCATACACTGACTAGAAAAGGTTGGAATCTTGGACAGATGGGGTGAGGATATTCTTGGTTTTGTCTCAACAGTCGGAGAAAAAGAGAACTGTATCGATAACAATGTTTGTATGCTTCAATTTACGAGAACCGGGATGCCTGTCAGGTTATATTATCGTGTGTGTTGGGTGGAAAAATATTGATGGTATATGAGAATACAGAATGAGATATGCGAGACTACAACTATATGACCCTATATATGTGATATACACGATGCAGAAACGTTCCGTGTGTACTGCAACAAGACCAGCATTAAAAACTATGGGAAACGAAGGGGGGGAAAAAATCAATGGTACTCACGACAGTAGAATACAACATGCCTTCAAGATAAAACAAAACCTAAGACCCATGATGTCCCAGATCTGACCTAGTATGTGCGGCTTCTGGAGGTTTGAGAAGAGGTGTGTTTGGGTCGTGTCCGGTCAAAGTCGATGGAGTGACGGTAGCAGACTCGTCTTGGAGGACTGGTAACTTCAAAGGTGGAATCATGGTATGGGGGTACGGCTGTGGTGGTTGAAGACTAGAGTCAGAAGAAGATCCCGACTCCTCCTTCGGCAACACCTGTCTCTCATCATTATCATCCTTCAAGATAGGCGCAGCAGCGTCATGCTTGATGCTGCCATTCTCCCCATTACCACTATGACGTTTACGACGTTTGTGTTTAGAGTGCTCCATGATAATCCTTTCTCCCGGTGCAGCTTTCCCTTCGACTACCGCAGAGTCGGGGGGAACGATGAAGGGTTTCTTTGGTGGTTCAAGCATCTCTCGATGACTCTTATAACCCAAGGCTCGAGCACGTTTTTCTCGACGGTGGCGTTTGTAAAAGTAAACAATGAAACCGACGATCCACGCTGCTCCGATTATTGAGCCAGTGATTGCGCCGGAGAGGAGAGGCGTAAGGGCTCGGTGGCTGCAGATTGAAATTGCGAATAGGACTGGTCAGAATTGTAATTCTTGGGAGGGTAAGAAGTAGACATACCCATGGAGCGACGCCGATTCTGAAGCCGAGACATCTAAGACGACTGGCGTAGGAGGAGGCATAAACAGAGATGCAGTCGCTGTGCGTAGAATGAAAGGGGTGAACCTGAAGTCAAAGAGTCAGCTATATGCATCCGCTAGGAAAGGCGTGTAGTGTAAAGCGGAATGTGTCATGAAACTCACGCCAAGCTCCAGTTACTGTATAATCCTCGCACTCCTTCGCTACCTCTCCTTGTTTCTAAACGTAGTATCTATCGTGCGTCGCAGACGGACGAAAAGGTCGTGAAGGTCGTGAAGAGAGAAGAGCAGAGAGAGTAGCAAAAGAACAAGGCGGATAAATGGCGGATTGTGAGTGACCAAGGACGAATTCGTCCATGTAGCTAACCTCGTCTGCCAAGCGCCCCTATGACGCTGTGCCAAGCTCCCGCTTTTAGACGCGCCGGTGCCGCATTCAGTCGGTCCCGCCGACCACTGCGGCCTCCCGTTTTACCGTCTCCGACTTGTTTGATTACAGTCGATCAAACAAGTACTTCCATTCTCAACGAGGAGCGTCGATATCGAATAGACATTCCAATATTATTGCGCGTTCATCTGTCTATCCTCCTCGCGCGCCCATCCTTACAAGTTTTTCTCTCACCATTACTAAACAAACGTGGAGAATTACCTCATACTGTCTAGGGAGTCCCATGATCGCAGTAATGCGTCTCTTTGTCGATGTGAAGATGCCAGAGGGCGCGCAGCTCTTCAGGCATCCCTACGCGTCCAGTCGGCGTGCATTGAAAGAGATCCGTGCATCGGAGCGAAGAAATCTTCTTCGCACACTATAAAAGCCTGAGGTATGTTTACTGCTCTTCAGTATCCTAACGCAAGGCTCAGTGTCCCCATAGAACACCCAAGCTTACCCTTTTGTCACACAATGACCACCACTCTCAAGATCGCCGTTTGTCTTTTCAGCGATGTGGCCAATTTGGACTACGGTGGACCTATGGAGCTGTTCAGCTTCTTATCCCCTGAGGGTGTCAACGACGGATTCATCAAATCACCTATCATCTTACAACCTACCTACCTGGCTGAATCGCGCGAACCATTGCGTGGTAGCCACGTTGGACCTTTGATCACTCCCGACAGGGCATATGGTGAGGTCAAGGGCAACGAACAGTTCGACATCATTCTTATCCCTGGAGGTACGGTACTGTCTTACGTATTATTATTCTTATTAAATCTCGTGTGATAGGGTTAGGCGCTCGTCCTGATTTCGTTAAACCCCCCGTCCTCGAATTCTTGAAGCGTCAAGTTCCTGGTGCTAAATACGTACTTGCTGTCTGCACTGGTTCCTGGCTTCTGGCCCAGGCGGGCTTGCTCGATGGCAAGCGCGCGACAACCAACAAGGCATCGTTCAAAATCATCCAGGCACGTTCTTATCTTTGCTTGGACGATAGCAACGCTGATATTTTGGCTTTGGATAGGATGCAACAAAGGGTAACAATATTCAGTGGGTCGCCAAGGCACGCTGGGTCGTCGATGGTAATTTGTGGACTGGTTCCGGAGTCACTGCAGGTATGTACCTTCTTATTTAGATGTTCATTACTCGTTCAATTCACGAATATGATGCGCCACCAGGCATCGATATGGCTCATGCCTTTTTGAAACACCTCGTTGGTGACGAGACCACGAATGTGATTCGAGGCATCGTCGAAGTTGGCGTCCGTGATGCAGACGATGACGAGTTTGCTGAATTCCACAATTTGATCTGAGGAAGTTCAGTTAGTGAAGTGTACCACAAGATCATTGTACTATATTGATCCAAGTGTCCTTGTAAGCTGCGTGTGTATGTTTTGAAAGTGTTATGTTCATTTGATTGCTCCCCGCTGCCATGACCATATTTAGTAGTCCACCTTCCAAAACAAGCAATGCCTTGCCTAAAGTAGCAAGCGTTCGTGAGCTGGAGATGATGTCACCAACGTCGGTCACACGCTGGTGTCGCATTTAGGCAGAGTGTATCCTCACGGCCGCCGTTTCATCCAGCTCACCTGGCGATTATAACCTTTCTCTTTCACCATTAGTAACTGAGGAGCCTCATGATCACACTGGTAGCTGTATGAAGATGTTTGAAGGATTGCATAGTTCATCATGTGCAAGGTCAAGGCGAAGATACGGGATTCGAGGAGATGCGCATGTCGGGCTGAACAAACTTTGTTTGTATGCTGTAAAAATCCAAGTTGTATTTCCTTGCTTCCAATTCCATTCCCAAAGACCTTTTGAGCTTACTCGGTCATCACATAATGATGACCATCCTCAAGATCGCTGTTTGTCTCTTCGATAACGTGGTCAATTTGGACTACGAGGGATCTATCGAGCTCTTCAGCTTCTTATTCCTCCGAATTGTCAACCGATTTCTAAATTCGCCTATCCTCTTAGCACCTTTACTTAGCTTACTCGCGCGAACCATTCCGTGCTAGTCATATCGGACCTTTAGTCGTTCCCGACAGGGCATACGATGAGGTCAAAAGTGACGAAAGTTCGTCATCATCCTCATCCCTGGAGGTGTGAAGGGTTTCCGATCCTTATCAATCGGAGTAGCATGATTTTAAGTGCGTGTGATAGGTCAGGGCACACTGCCTGACGAAGTTCAACCTTCGCTCCTCCACTCACGGTCTGTACGGGGTCCTGGCTCTTGGCCTAGGCAGGCTTGCTCGAAGACAAGCGTGCCACGACTGACAAGTCCTTGTTCAAAGTTATTCAAGCACGTCCCACTTCTTTGCTCAGATAATGACAACACTGACATTTCCGCTTTGGCTACTTAGGATGCGACAAAGAATCAAAACATCCAATGGGTGACGAAGGCTCGATGGGTGGCGGACGGTAACTTCTGGACCGCTTCCGGAGTCACTGCAGGTACGTGCCTTAGATCGTTTTCTTGGCATTCCTGGCCAGGCCGATGTATAGATCTATATTATGACGTACATGTGCTAAGTATCTATAATCTATCAGGTATCGACATTGCGCATTCGTTTCTGAGACACCTTGTGGGTGACGAGATCACGAACGTGATTCAGGGCATCGTTGAAGTTAGCCGGCGCAATGCCGGTGACGATGAGTTCGCTAAATTCTATGGCTTGCTGTGAGGTCGGAGCTTGGTTTGCAAAGAATCTTATTATATGATCATCCATTATTTTTCTGTTTTATGGAAAGATGTTTTGTATGTCCGCACTTTTATGATTCCAACTCGGAAGGTCCCGGTCATTGCTTCGAGCGTATCGATCGGCTTTGATCACCGTATCGAGCAATCCATCTTCCCAAAACAGCGAAAACGATGCCTAAAGTAGGAAGCGCTGTGCTCAGGATGATGTCACGAACGGTAACTTGGAACGTTCGGAATATAGGCGCATCTGGGCGGATCCCGCCTCTGCCCAATAAAAAGGAGAGTCCCTATATAATGACCTCACTTGTTTTCTTATCTCCACTAACTACTTACTACTTACTACTGCTACCATGAGTTCATCCGATTCCGTCCCCAGACCACACGACGCCTACTCTACCAAGGCCAAGAAGCCTACCAACATTACCCCTCAGGAGAAAGTGAAAGCTCTCCATGACATCGTAAAGAGAGCCAGGGTCGGCATGCTCACCACCCGCAATGCGGAGGGGTCTTTCCACTCTCGTGCTATGGCGCCTACTGGACGTTAGTACAGCTCCATTGTTTTCTCAACTCCCGATGTAGACATGGTTGTACTAATTGTGGATGTATTCTATGCGCATTTATAGCAATCACGCCATACCAAACACACTTGGTCTTCCTCGCCAACAACGCTTCACGCAAGTTCGAAGAAATCCAGAACGACGCTCATGTTAATGTTTCCTTCTGCGACGAGAAAACCACCAGCTGGGCTTCATACACTGGTATTGCACGGGTCAGCCAGGATAAGGAGAAGATATCGAAACACTGGGGTGTCGGGTAAGTAGCCTCATCTCTCCATCTCTTCTCACTTATAGCAGAAGAAATGTGAATGTTCACCTGGTTGACGTTGCGAATTGACAGGACATCAATATGGTTCGGAGATCTTGGAGATGGCATTCACAAAGGCAACCGAGAAGATCCCCGAGTGACGATCATTGAAGTCATCCCTGAGTCTATTCGTTACTGGATCCCAGCTCCTTCGAAGGCTGGTCGTATCGCGGATATCGTTACCAGTGCAGCGACTGGCCAGGCTGCTACGCCTGGCCGCTTGAACACGATAACAAAGGAAGAGGTCTGTACAACATTTTTTTCTCATGAGGGTTGGTGGAAACGATGGCTAAATGTGGTGTTGCCTGCAGATCGAAGTGCTTCGAGAACTCGATGCCAAGAACGTCAAGGAGGTCAAGCAGAAGGGGGCCAAACAGACCCCAGCGAAGGAGGCCGAGCAGACCCCAGCGAAGGAGGCCGAGCAGGCCCCAGCGCAGGAGGCCGAGCATGCCCCAGCGAAGGAAGAACAAAAGGTTCAGGCGTAAAGGATGGACTGAAGAAATAACGGACTTTCATTTGTATCATAGTCATCGACCGCGTCGTCCGTTGATGTGTCACAGTTGGTATTGTTGTATGTCGATCATTCTGTAACCTTGCTTCTATTTTCTTCTGTTTATTCAACTATGTATGATTTGTGTACCAGCTTTTATTCCCGCCACTTTAGCTGGGTCTTGCACCTGTCCGCCATTTTCAGAGTCCCAGGTGCCAGTTCAAATTCAGAAGGTGACGTCGTTCGCCATCGACCACTTGGTCCGTGCGTCTGGACGGGCCGACAGGCCTCACATATCCTCCCTTTAAATCTCTCAATTGAAAGCCCTCAATCGAAAGCGACAACGAATTTCGTATGTATTATTTGAGCCAAGCAGTCGCCCTGTAGCCTTAAGAGATCAAGGCTTTTGCTTCTACCATGTACCGGCCTCACCGTATCGAGCAGTCCGTCGTCCCAAAGTAGCCAAAAGGATGCCAAAAGTAGAAAGCTTTATGAGATGATGTCACTCATGGACGATTGAAACCCTCGGAGCCAGACGTCAGAACATGGCGCAGCCTGGACGGATCGCGCCATTGTCGAAGAAGAAACTGTATCGCTATATATATTATAATCTCTTACCTCTTTCTTGATCTCAAAGTACTATCACCATGACTTCACCCATCACTCAAGCTCTCGACCCCTACTCTACCAAGGCCAAAGACAGCGGCACCCATGCTCCTCACGAGAAAGTGAAGGCTCTCCATGATATCGTGAAGAAAGTCAAGACCGGCATGCTCACCACCCGCTCTTCCGACGGGTCTCTCCACGCTCGCGCTATGGCGCCTGCTGGACGTTAGTACACTTAATTGTTCACAACGAACGACATAGTTGTACTGATGTCGGTGTAATGCACGTTGTAGCGTTCTCGCCACACCAAGTGTGCTTGGTGTTCATTGCCAACAACGCTTCCCACAAATTCGACGAAATCCAGAACGACGCTCATGTCAATGTCTCTTTCTATGACGAACACAGTACCAGCTGGGCTTCATACTCTGGCATCGCTCGTGTTAGCCAGGATAAGGCGGAAATTGAGAAACATTGGAGCCACCTGTAAGTCGCCTCAATTCTCCTCCGAGTCACTCGTAAAAGAAGAGGGTGTTCACTTGTTGCTTGATGTTGGCAGGACGTCAGCGTGGTTTGGAGACCTCGGAGACGGTGTGCACACAGGTGACCAAACCGACCCCCGAGTTTCTATCATAGAAGTCATCCCCGACTCTATTCGTTACTGGGTCGCGACTGGTTCCAAGGTCGGTCGCGCCGCGAATATCGCCACCAGTGCGATCACTGGTAAGGCTGCCGCGCCTGGCCAGTTGAGTACGATCACGAAGGAAGAGGTTTGTGATTTTTTTTAGGAGAGTTGATGGACATGATGGCTAAATATGGTATTGCTTGCAGATTCAATTGCTCGAGAATCTGGATGGATTAAATCATTAGCGGAATGACAGTTGTACCAATAGTCCGAGTATTCGAACATGTCATCCATATATGTCGGACGTGGACACCGTATTTATTAGGACTTGATTCTGTCACCTTTGTATCATATTACCACTGTACCCGTAGCCACTGGCAGACTGATTTTGATCGGCGTTACGAAGCGATACTCTTCCGTAGTATAAGTAGCTCCTCGACCCTTGCAACGCTCAGGTAACTAGCTGCATGAGATAGCTGTTAAAATGGTTCTGTTAGGCAAAGCGAAAGCATCAACGTTAACGCCGACCTATTTTGTTCTTATCATTTACAAGCCAACCAATCGAGTTCTCCCTATTCACTGCAACAGCCTTGAAAGAGAGCGAACCATACAAACTGCTAGAAGTGCTCTAATCATCACCTTGTCTCCCCTAGGCGAACCAATTACCGGTCAGGATTGAGAGGAGTATAGATGATAATTGGTACCCTAGGCTTCGACTCAGACAATGAGATATGATGTTTCGCTCCACGGGCATCGCTCCTACAGTCGCAACACTGTACGCGGCCACCAGTAGCCTGCATCGGACAAATCCTATAAATGCTAGCAGCTAGAGGATACAAGAGTTGTGCTGAAGGCTCTCGGAGCTAGCTCTTGAATGACAGACGGTCACAAACCGATGAAGTCCGAACAACCATGTTTTCACTGACGGTATTCGAGCTAGTAGTACAGAGGAATCAATCAATTTCAAAACAGAACGAACACCTACCACCCATCCAGTCTATGCAGCATAGCTCGGCGGAGACTCTACCCTCTCAACCTGGAGTCGCTGCATCACTCTTTTCAAATTCTCCACCTCCACTCTCAACCCAACCACCTCTGTGTTTGACAAATTAGCCGATCTTGAACGACTTGTGTTTCCCCGGGGCCCGGAACCAGAACCGGACGCAACAGTAGGAGGTTCTCTACTAGATGCAGGTGTAGAACGACTTCCAGATGCTAATGATGTGTTAGGCGAAGGATCATGAGCAGGATGGTTTTGAACCATCCGAGCCATTGCTTCTCTTGCTTTTGACGACATTATCATTGGAAGGGATGTCTGGGTAGTTTGGTCTTGAGGTGATGAGTGGTCGTTGGATCCAAGGGTGAGGCTGGTGTATACTTCCATAGGTTTGGATGGGAATGTCTCGATGTCCATGTTTCCTTTATCTCGTCTTTTACGCCAAAAAAGGACACCGATGATGCTGAAGGCGACTAGGGCGAGACCACTTATAACCCCACCCGCGATGGGTCCAGCTGAACGGTGCTTGGATGAAGAGTCTGCTGGCGACCCTGAAGATCTTGGCGCTGGTGGAATGGGAGGGGCAACTATCGCCAGATTTGGAAGACTGTAAATGCAATAGTTATGAGATACATATGGCCAAGCTAGCTGTCACCCGATGCTCACTTGAGAGCCAAGGGAGCGAACATGGCGCCCATTGCTGGACTACAGTCTGGTCAGCGCCACGATATACTACATACATTCCAGCTGGTTACCTTGCAGCGCCGCTGGTAGGCGGAACATCGGTACTATCCACCTTGAACCGAACGGAAAGAGGATGAGGGCTAGTCACTGCATGTGTCCATACGGGAGCTATCAAGCTGTCCCGAACGGCCGTGTCTGTGACTGTCGCCGCTGTGAACAACGTCCATGCTACCCTTCAAAGTCTTAGAATTATTTCGGTTTACGAAGAGGGTCCTAGAGCAAGACTTGCCTGCGTTTGCAATATCAGTCGTATTATCAAGAGGCAGACCAGATTGAACTGGAGGATCAGCAAGGCATCGTAAATGCGTGTTCTCGATGACCTTCGCAATTGGCACCTACAAGAATTGGAGATCAAGGTCTGATAGTACTGGGTTTGCGAGGCGTATATCTGAAAGGCAAAAGCCCGTCAGCTGCAAGCGTAATACTACTACACACACAGCCTTTTACGTACATTATTGTCAACAAGATTGGTTCCCAGAAGCCGGTCTGCGAAGAGGTTGTACATTTGCGCCCACGATGTTGTAGCGCTGCCGTAACTCGGTAGTATGTGGCTTCCATCTGTAGATAAAGCCACTGCGTGCCATTCACTTGCGAAGGTTGAGGCGAATTGCTGTGGGTTTGTCAAAAAAAAATGAACTCTATCGGTATGAAAGCTACACTGACTCACAGAATAATAAGTAGCGTCAGCTGTTTGATTCAAGGCACTGCTGATTTCTGCCATTGCTTTGATGCCGATGATACCTTTGATGGCCAGGTTGGTTGAATTCGATTGTTGCTCTTGGTCTATAGTCGTCCTAGAAAAAGTCAGCGAACGATGTTTCAAGATGAAACCGCCGATGTACACGTACACATCGGGCGGGCAGATTGAAGAGTCCACGAGATAATCAGCCCAACTTCTCAGTAGTCGATACTGAAATATTAAAGATTTAAATGGAGCTCCTGTGAAACATTTCAAGAGGACACACATGTCTCGAAATCAATGTCCCGTCTCCAGATGCACGAGCATGGGCAAGAGACATGATCAACATGTTCCCCGAATCTGGTCTCGACAAATCGGAATGGAAAATCAGCAGCGCATACAGTTCACGTACATTCCACTCCTTGCTGATGTTTTACATTATTTCCAACCGCTTTGGGATAATTTTGACCTGAACGGCTGTTACAGTGGGGTTAAAATGCAGCGTAATTAAGAAGTACACCCACCGATGTCTCGAGCCGCAAAAGGTTGCGCAGTATTTGACGTATCTTGGAACTCAAGAAGCGGCGAGAGGAGTTGGCCGGCATATGTAGAATTGATAAAGAGAAAGAATGGAAATGCGGCAAAGATATTCTCCACAGGATTAACTCGCCTGTTGTGCGGGCATCCTGAGTTACATGATGGCAGCGCCGGGAAGAGAAGCATACCCGCTATTCCCAATATCTTTCATGAACATTTTGGTGTCGGATGTGTTCCACTGACCGTCCGAACCCTTGGATATCGTAAGCTCAGTGGCTCCGATTGCTTGTCTTGCTGCAAGTGCTGTGAGAGCCTGGAAAGGGGCAGATATGTTTGACCCTGCAGTGGCGATTCGCTCATCCAATACGTCCGCTCGCGCCTTTGCCTTTGGATGATCCACAATGAAAGCATCCACCTGTGCGGTTCTCCAGTTAAAGAACTTTTTATCTCCGGAGACGACAAAGGACCCTTACAACGTCAGAAATTGTCGAGTAAGATGAAACGAAAAGCGGGGCACGGTCTTGAGTATCTCCAGTTGATGTCACGAAGGATATCGAAGGGTTTCTGTAGGCTCCGATGGCCCACACCATCGGTGAAGAGGTCTGGGTGATATTACCTAAATCCTTTGTGATAGCGAACACTGGATACGGGCTACGTACAACGACCAATGGTGCAATCAGCTTTTTGACAGTCAAATACGTGCATGCATTGGACAGCCTTACTTGCCCATCTGTGCTGGTGGTACTATTGACGTGCCTGATACGCTACCATCCTGTGGGAACTGACCGCGAGCGTCGACGTCATGGGCTACCCGAATGGACACTTGTTGATCCTGGAAATCTTCAAACTCGAAGAACTTGAAAGACTGTGATTCGGAGTGCACTTACTGATTGTGTCGCGAGAATCATGGTTACGTCGTTTGCTCGGTCTTGTCTACCTTCGATGAACGACTGGTTTGCTTGCAACTGGACTTGATGAAATGAGGAAGTACCGGTTGAGACTGAGGCCCAAGTTATCATATCTGCGGTGTTCGGTGTTAACCATTCTATAAGCGTTGTTAGCATCTCGCGTCTCAAGTACAACATAGAGGCCCTAACCCCCAGTCATGTCGCAGTAGACTTGAACATTATGTTGTACGTTATCTGTGAAATTGATGTCTAGTGCGAGATACGAAAATGGAATGGATTGCTTGATAGGATCTGTAGGCTTCGCAAACCGCATTCAGCTTAAGGAATCTAGTTGCTATCCAGAAATCACTCACTTCGATTGGAGATAGGAACGTCACCATTAATTCAGCGGGGCCGGCCTGATACGTAAGAATTGTTTGAGTCGGTGTGATTTTTGCCTTGGTGAAGTTCGCTGGGGTGTACGAGGCGAACAGGCCTGAAACGCCCAGCCATTGATAGTTTTTGTCGTCTATTCGAATCATACCTTCCCATGCGGTGATCTGAAATGCGAATAAGCAAAAGCCGAGGATATATGTATCAAACACTCACATCTGTGTTCCAGAACACAGGCCAACTAAAGCCAGGCTTGGAGCCATTTGTCCAAATGTTGAGGTATGGCGAACGGACAGCAAGCGGGATAATTGCTGGCACCGATGGGTCTGTGCTTTGCGAGGAGGTGAATGGTACCACAAGGAGCATTGTGAAAAGTAGCCATTGGCGATCCGTCATTGTGAGCAGCACACCAAGCATAAAATTCGAGGATGAGATGGGAAAGAGAAGGATCTCGAGAGACCGCTCAATACACCTATATCTGTCTTTTTGCGTAAGTCTGAAAGATTAGGCTCACAGCCGTTGTTGTGATTGTAAATGACAAGAACTGCGACGCGATGGCGTCAACAGTGAAGATCTTTGAGGGATCTTTCTTAGCAGGGCATTACACAATCAGAAAACTACTCACAGCTTGCAAAAACAAATCATGATTCTGAGATGAACTGTTGACTGTGATGTATGGATGCCGAAAAGAGCATTAGGTTCAAGAAGTAGAACTGCCATGAAACAGGAATACTACGCACCAGACATACCCGACTGAATACCATCAGTTCTCATGCTAGGTCAGTTGCGCTGCTCCTGATTGAATTGACCGGAATGGCGCTGGAACAGACGAATACTTATGGCAGTTATGTGATTCATTTTCCATGACTGTCATTCCTTTCGCCGCAAATCAGAGTCGAGATCTCGGTCACTGACATGATCGTGTTGCGCTGGACAGCGAGCATTTCCCATGGTTACAGTTGGAGCGGTGAGTGGAAGACAGTAAACTGAGTTGCCTAGTACCAGGCGCAAATCATGAAATACATATAGTAGATAGTACGCGTACAAATCAGCTGAGATCTATGGTACAACGACGAGAAATAGGGAATACATAACTTCGCATTTCGAGCATCAAGAAGCCTGGGCGTGATATGATCGTGTCTAACGACCTTGGTGGATGAAAGGGCGAACATCTTGACCATCGTACAGTCTTGGCGATGGGCGGCCAAAAGCTGGCGCACTGTATCAGCGTACAATCAGCTATCAACATAGAAGCTAGTACACTGCAGGAACGCTCACTTCGCAGGAAGAGAAGTACTTCTGGCGATCGGAGAGCGTGGATCCAGCCCAGGCTCATGGGACATATTCGGAACAAACATGCTCTGCGTCAATCCCAGTGCGTTCAATCCTTCATATGCTTCATAGCTGGTACTTGGGAGACCGGTCAACTGAGCATTTGGCGTTGCAGGTACGGTATCGCCACCAAACGCAGGCGATGAAGGCAGAGACTGTTGGCAACGATGACAGATCCGCGCAGCAGGCGCAGGAGCAGAAGGGGCCTGAGGTTGCGCAGTTGGTGTGGGATCCGTCTGAATCGCTGCTTCCGAATAGACGGTAGTACGTTCGGAGTGGCACGACTTTGAGTGTACACTACTCCGCCCATTGCTAGAACCGGGACTAGCAATTAGTCTGATTCTGTCACTTGACCGGTCTGGAGTTGGAATGCGCGCAGAGACCGATGCCGGTGGAGAGCTTGAAGCGATCGCCTGAATTTCATCCCTATTATCGTTCGGGTATGATGGGATGGAATCGGGAGATGAGGGCGCAGTAGCAAATCCTTCGTCTACTACGGAAGAACGGTCAGATGGCAATGGTGAATATGACCCAGAGTTCATGTAGGTAACGTTGGTCTGCGGTGACCAAGAAGGGTTGTCTACCCTCGTACCAGAAGCATTGTCAGGAGAATGAGTATATGCGGAGTACGATGCGATTGACAGCCCAGTTGACCCAACATCTTGCGTGCGTAAAGGGCGAGTAATGGGGGATTTCGAAGCATCAGCACGACGCACTGTATTTGGCCGAGAAGAGGAAGCTCCCAAAGAAGGCTGAGAGGAACTGGAAAAATGTTTGTAAGTCACCTCAGTCATAGGAGAGGAACCAATATGGGGTATTCCTGCTTCAGGGGAGGACTGAGGAGACTTTTTCCTGCGGTGCTTCGAACGCCGGGATTTCGTCGAAGATCTAGCTGCACTCTCTGGCGAACTTCCTGACCCCGAGTTCGCCGACGAAGACGACTTAACGTGCAGATTATATCTTATAGGAAGTGACCCCCAAGTGACTGAAGGAGATCCACTCGACGATATATGCCTGCTAGAAAGCGAGGGCTCTATTTGTGTCACTGCAGTCGGAGGGGACGAGCGAATTGATCGCGACCTTGACATCGAGCTGCTCCCTTCGTTACTCTCACGACTGCGTGTGGTGGTGAGGGGACCGGAGACTGTCCCTTCACCACCATGTCGCCTCCTCTCAGAGGAAACTGACAGATTGTCCATTGCAGTCTGCACTGTTCCCACTGTAGGAGGCGAACCCGCCCCATCCGAGGTAGAACTTTGTGCTATGCTTTGTAGTTGCTTTGCTTGAGACCGGTCAGGATATATTGTGACCAGCGTCGAATGACTCGCGGGTATGACTGTATGACTGCTATGTTGTGAAGACGAGCTAGAAGTGCTCGAACTTGAGGGGCTGGGCGCAAGAGGTGGTGGAACTGTATATCGAGGATTGTTCAAGTCACCGTTCGGCCCTGGGTCTTCAACCGTTACCACTTTCACGCGTTGAGCTATTAGTGCATCGCGGTATGCTTTTCTAGCTTCCAACATCGTCGAGTATCCCTTAAACACTGAGCGGGGAACGCCCACCACTTTCTCGGCCGTTTCTTCCCTATGTCACCAGTCAGTGAAGATGAAAGAAAGGCAAATTCTTAGTTTCCCAAAACAATAGAAGACAACTTTGAAGTCACATCGGGACGCGTCTACCATCACATCATATCACAGTGACTGGAAGAAAACCAACTCACCAGTTGTCATACACGCCCGGGACAGTCCCAACAGTCACAACGTATGCGGCCTTTCGTCCGCCCATGCCAAAAGGTTCTAAAGGGGTAGATATGACTCGTTCTAAAGCCCAATCACTAGGAACAGCTAGATGAAAAGTGGGTGCAACAACGAGACAATTAGACAGCAGCGCCCTTATAAAGGTGAGTCGATAAGTCGGCTCCGCAGTGCATGCGTAGAGATCAAACCATATACAAGGCAAAGACGAAGCCAGCGAAGCTCAGCCAACTGCGTGTTTTGAAAACAGCATAATAAGCATCAGATGTTGTAAGAAGGTTCGAAAGCGGCATGACGAAACCCACTTTCTCACCGTACGCGCTCACAGCTCGAACACAGTTCAGCGTCGATAAAGACGGCTCGCGAAGCAGAGTTCAAGTTATTCAAAGGCATGACAAGGCGCAGCGCGGTGGTCAAAGAAGCTTTCCAACATATACGTACCTGTCCTTGGATTCGAAGAATTTTCATATCGGCTATAATCGTGCCTCTACTTCGGGATATAACTACCTCAAACAGACAGGTATGAGTCCAGCCAAAGATAAAGATGGATACGGAGAGGAAGAATTAGAGCGAGCATATGACAGCGAACAATGCAAAGGCAAATCTGATGGTGGGTTCCGCCATAAATAATGAGAAATGGCTACACGGCAATATATCCTCCCCTATTCGCTGTACGTCGCGGTCGGACGGCAGAGCAAAGATGGGAAACAACGTCTCGAAGCATGTAGGGCACCTCTCTCCAGAAATCGCGGTGTCTAGAGCACATGCGAATTATAAGGTCAGTGCATCACTCATTATTGAAGAGAACCAGGCCACGTACGGTATTAGGTCTGCACCTGTCGCGCCGTAGGTCGAATAATTGTAGTATGCACCGAGTGCAAAATATGCAACGAATGCAATGAGTAGCCTTGACTGCTGTTAAGCATCAACTTGCCATAAGGAATGGATCCAACTTACAAAAGGAAGAAATATCCAATTCCAGACCCAACCGTCTCTTCTTCCTTCTCATCGCCACCCTTCTCGTCACCGCCTGACGGTTCCTTATCGTTTGGTGAACCCGAAAATCCACAGCCGGCAGGTGCGCTCCACTCTACTAGTACATTCTTGCCGTCGTAAGAAGAGAACTGGGGATCCGATGTTTCTGTCGCACACAGAAGCTTTAGAGTGAAGGACTGCGGGACGGGTTCGGGTGAGGTTGAAGTAGGATACGATGGTCCCTTAATCGTAAGCTGTAGACCCTTCGGTGCTAAGATTGCGAATACATAATCAGATGAATTATGAAGGAGATAAATGCACGAAGCCTACATGATAGTGCTGAAGTTTCGACAGCACTGGCAGCTGCATTCGCCAGAGGTACAACGGAAGTTATGCGTCCTCCATCTTGTCCTTTCAGATTAGTTTTCGTCAGACACGCCCTGATTCCCGACGGACACTGGCCGGAGCACAAGTCTCAGAATGCACATCCTACAGCCGCCGTCATTACAGACTAGAGAAGCAACTTACCTGGTCCTCAGATGCTACGCCATCCTGCTGCTTTAAGTCTTCGCACAGGTTAAACCGCACTGCATCTTTATATTTCGTTGGAGGAGACTCTCTCTCCCGTGAAACGATGTGTTCCCCTCCTATTGAGTGCAAGTCATATTTGAGCTCTCCAACATTGACATAGCAGTCGAATGGCTTCTCATTGTCTTGTGCCAGCACTAATGTGACGACAGACGACAGGAGGAGAGCCAGAGAGGAGACACTAAGAGGCGTCCGTAGGATCATGGTGAAAGGAGGGAGAAGGAAAGCAAGAGAACTGCGAAAATGGCCGTCCGCTGTGATTGTTGCCCTCGCTGCAGCAGACACTAGCAAAGTGCCTACCGCGCGTCGAGCGCTCATGATGTACAGCAGGACCCCGAGCGGAAGCATTCCAAAATGGGTGCTTACATAAGACACGCGAGGTAGTTTTGGCCCTCGGACACTGCAAATGATTACGCGTTCGCGACGCGTCACTTCAGCCACAATTACAGCAACCACAATTGGTGTCCGACTCGCGTTAATCGCCTCCTCGATTTTTTCCGATAGACCACTACTACCACCACCAAGAACCTGTTGAACGTTCAAGTCAGAGTGACTTTTCGCAATGGCTTCGATACAAAGCCTCATCCCATATATTTACCATGAGAAGCAGCAGGAGGGGTCGATGCTCTGTGCTCAACATGCTCTCAATTCACTTCTGCGTATGTACATCACTTTTGTCCATACTGAATTTATTCTGATGATCTTGGATACAGAGGGAAACTATGTCGGTCCTCTATCCTTGTCTTCTAAAGTTGACAATTGACAATGTCATTAAATATAGTTCTCAGCTCCTGATCTCTCTGAGATCGCAAGGTCCCTCGACGCAATGGAAGAAGGTGTCAGGGACGAGAGCACAGCCGACTCAAGTACGAATATGGATGATACTGGTATGGATGTCCCCTGTATTCCTGCGTAGCTTGCTCAACATTAATGTAATCATAGGATTCTTCTCCGTCCAAGTTTTGGAGAAAGCTTTGCAGGTCTGGGGCTTGACGTGAGCATCTATACCTTAGCTCTACCATTCACAGGTCTGAAACCGCCATGCCTAGGCTTGTGCGATGGAGAAGCGAGGAGATGAAGCCTTATCAAGATCATCCCCAGTACGTCCATGCAAAGCTACGGGCTATTTAGCGGCCCGTATACTCATATACCACACAGTACACAAATGGCATTTATCCTGAACTGCAGCCAGCATTGGTACACTCTACGTCGCTTCGGTAGAGTTTTACCAGATCCCGCCGCGGACCCAGGTGAAGGCCAGTGGTTCAACCTGAACTCGTCCCTTCCCGAACCAGAATGGGTCAGCAAACTCTACTTAGGAATGGTCCTTCATCAAGCCGAGGCAGAAGGCTACTCCGTCTTCGCAGTTATCCAAATTGATCCAAGCGCACCATTAGCACTACCACGGACTGAAGCAGACGAATTGGCAATGTCGATACCCGATTCTGCAACAGGCCCTTTTTCTGGACCGTCCGCTTCGACTGTTCCTGGTATGGAAGCTTTCGAAGGGTTAGAAGATGAAGACATGGAGCTACAAGCGGCGCTACAGGCTTCTCTCATGGGTGGTGACGACATTCCATACCCTCTTTCATCACGCTTCACGCAACCCTCTTCACTGACCCCACCTCCACCTCCAATACCACAACCACAGCCTGCACCTTCCCGCTCATTTAGCATCCCTATCAGGTCATCGACTTCCGAGAGTAGCAGCCGTGTACGTACACCAATACGACGACCCCGCTATGGTTTCAACATCTTCGGAGAACCCGATGAAGAACTTGACGAGGATGATGATGATGATATAGTGATGCCTCCACCACCCGCCCCAGTATCAATACCTATACAAGAAAGAGCACCAGAACCGATGGACGCAATCGAAGCTAGCAGGAGACGAAACCAAGCTCTTATGGAAGCGTTTACACGTCAGCAACAACATGCGATGCGAGAGACGTACGAAGAGGAGCAAGCACGGATAGATGCGGGCTTGCCTGCTCGTCGAAGGACAAGACAAGAGGAGGAAGATGAGGAACTTAGACGTGCCATTGAAGAGAGCCGAGCCTTGCATGCAGCTCAGAGCAAGACTGTGGATGATGAAGGTGAGGACATGGACGATGGTGATTACGTCCCCTCACCCCGTCGTACCCCTCCTGCGCCTGCTGCTGCTGCGACTTATCAAACACACCGCGTTTACGATGATGACGACGCGGAATTGCAAGCTGCCTTGAAAGCATCTTTGGAGACTGTTCCAGAGGGATTCAGGATACCAAGTACGCCTCCACCTCCACAGCCACGACCACCTTCACTTGCGCCGGCTGCTACTTTGTCCGCACCTCCTGCGGCAACGACGAAGGTAGAGTCAGCGGCAGAAGCTGATACCGAGACGGAGTCCGAGGCTGATACAAGTTCTATCGCGGAGGCGGAAGAGGTCTTGGACGTGGACGAGATGAGGAGAAGACGACTGGCGAGATTTGGAGGGTCATGAGAAAGGACGTTCACGTTCTATTCTTACTTACTCGTCCTTGTTATGACTTCGATAGTGCAATGTACCAACATTTCATCGTATACGCTCATACATCATCCATAGACCAAAGTTCGTGACAAATAACTTACTTTTCATCATGCTCTACATTGTACTGATACATCAAGTTGACCTGTGCTATATCGTAAAGATATTAATCCAATGTGGCACGACAACAAACACTTCAAGAGAAGAACGGAGAGGCTTCGAAACTGATACGACACAGTAAGAAGTAGTAGTAGTAAGATACCAAAACCAAGAACACAGATCTAGAACCAACCTCACATCCATAATTACTCGAATAAAGATAATATGCCTTCATAAGATAATGATTGCAATTGACAGAAGGAGGAAAAAACGATTCTGGAACTAGGCACAAGGGTCCATATAGTCAATGGCTTTCCGCAGCCTCAGCAGAAACGATAGCTATCTCGCGTTCCAACCAATTCAACACCACATACGCCTCCTTCAAAACCGCATTCGCATTGGCATTAGCCACTTGCGCCAACTCTTCACGCAACATCGCGAGAATCCTCTGGCCCACTGCGATAGTGCATTCCTCCGCCCTACTGAACCCAGAGATGCACCCAGCCCTGTACACGGCTTCTGTCAAACCGAGCATGGAGGCAACAGTCCGCTCAGTCAATTGAGTTCCCTCAGCGCTGAGCAATGCTGGGGCTGGCGATAGAACGGGAAAGACGTAGGTCCGAAGGAGGATAGGTAAAGCAACGAGGGTTGGACAGTCAACAGTGACGACTTCCAAATCCCTTGCCAACTCGTTCGGGTCAGCGACCACCTTGGACTTGAGCCTAGCTTGGACAGAGTCCAACAACGCAGCCAGAGAACTGAGAGCGTCGAATGCGTCCATGACTGCCTCGAATGCGAGCCTGTTGCTCTCAGAGGGCTTCGGAAGGGACCACATGAGGTCATACAAAGTTCTTGCATCACCTGCTGCGGTCGAGCCCTTGTAGCTCTGCAGAGACGGAGGTGAAGGTGGCCGAGAAGGCGGCAACTTGAGGGTGAATCTGCTCGCAGGAGGCGTGGTGGGAGGTGTCTCGCTTGAACCACGACGCTTTCGGTCCTTGACCTTGAGCGTCACACTAGCAGCTGTAAGGGCAGGTGAGGTGGGCGGAGATGGCGTAGGATTAGGTCGATTGGAGAGTGCGACCAGGCCTCTCCATATAAGCGAGAGAAGGAGAGAAGTGAGCATGCTCTCGCTGATGGATGACGTAGCGTAACGAGCAACGGCACGAGAATAGATGGGAACCATGCTTTGCATGAAAACAATGGATGGGTGCACCAAGGTCTTGGTAGCACCAGCGGATTTGGCAGCCACACCGGCATTGGAGGGAAGTGTCATGGCATTGTTGGCTTTCTCGAGAGCCTCGACGTGTGGCATAGGTTCATTCCTAATTGCGTTCATAAGCGGTTCAATGACTCGCTTGACGATGGAGACGAGGCCATCTCGGGTGACTCTGAGACCATCCCCTCGCGAATCCGCTTCTTGACCTAACCCGTTTTGATCGAAGACGTCGACCAGCTCACCAGCAAATGTGGCTAGAGCGACCGCATGTAATTGTGTAGGGTTCAAGTTGGGGTTCTGCTGCGTGGGCGCAGCTGGCAACAGAAAAGCGGAAGAGGAAATTAGAGGCAGAAGGTTGGTCGACATGTTATTAACCAGGACGGAGAGGGGACGGCGTAATGTCCGGATGACTGCGCGATGGAGATATGAATCTTCGCATGATGCGTTGAGTTCCCTGAAGGAAATGAAATGATAAGACACAGCACCACGATGATCAATGCGTGTCAACTTACGAAACAATCAGTTCGCCCAATGCCCGTCCACGACCAGCGGGAATCGGCCGCCTGCCGTTGAGCAACTCATTGGCTGGTCCTGGCCCGGTCGGATGGTTTAGTGCTTTTGTGACAGCTTCGCTCAGCTTGAGGTTGAGGACATCCATATAGGAGCCATCTTGGACGACTGTAGCTGCAGACTTGACCAAAGGAGACGCAGTACGCTTGAAGGTAGGGAAAGAGAGCATAGAAGTGAATGAGGGACGGTCAGCGACTGGGGCCGAGTCTTGACGAACGGGTGGAGCAGGGGAAGAAGGTCGGCTGGTGGGCCGGAGGAATGACGGTGTCTTCAAAGCGTACATGGCGATTGATGGGAAAACTTATGGTGACGAATGTCCCGGAAACCCTGGAGAATCAGATGATGTATGGTATATGGCAGAGGAGAGCGACTCCTGAACTGTTGTTTTTCTCTAGTATATGAAGGACCAGCAGCGACCTGGATCCAAGTGCAGTAATGATGATTTATCCCATTCGGATGAGAGAGGTGTTCTGTATAGAATCGGAGTGACCCTAAGGAGGACGGTCTGTGTCAACGAGGAGGAATGCAAGTGGACCGAAGAGAATGTTGTTGAGCTGTTGTGTGGGGCTGCAAGGAGTCAGCATTGGCAGCAAAGTCGGGAATCTTTAAAGAGGGCACACCTAGGTAGCGAGGAGAGTATCATAAGTTGGTAAGAGGGTAAGGCAAGGGTTGTGTCTGCGTGGCAGGCGAGTGAGTGAGCGAAGGAGAGTTCCTTAGGGGACATGCAAAAAAAGTCGTAAATCGATTTATAATAACTGGCTAGAGCCGCCCACCAGTGCCACCGGATTCAACCAATCCCTTCCCACGCATCTCTACAGTACCGATCCCCAAAGCTCTCCGCTTTCTCCGCTTCCCGTAAACCACGCTTTCCTCTTGGTGAGGTCCTCAAAGGTCCTCAATCAGCTCCAGCCTCGAGGTCGTTTTGACTCGAGGCAGGTGCACGGACGGCACTATCCTCCGACCGGTTCGAGTCAGGCTCACAGTAAGTACTGTGCTTGGCCCCGACGCCTCCGCAGCTCAACTGCCTAATCGGAGACAGCTGGAGGATAGGATCACTTCATGGGACTAATGCTCCACATGTGTGCCACTGTGCAAGCAATGCTTGTTGTGTTCGTATCAAGCAACCATCTGTCCATGTCCCGGCTTGTATGAAATGTGGACGGTGTTCATTGTGATATCCTCAACCTTCTTTGTTGCCTGTGGGAGATCGATCGACTAAGAAACCGGTCAAGCAAGGCAACTGTGTGCCCCTTTATTAACTCCTTTATTAACTCCTTTGTTCCCCGTGGCCGTCACAGGTGCTACCGAGATTTTGACCACATACTGTACTTGGCACCCTCTGCATGCGCGTGCTTTAGTAATCTCATTCAGGTGACCAAAGGCGAGGTTTCCGGGGACAAGAGCATTATTGTCAGACTTTCCGCTGTCGCCGTCGACTCTACAATCCACGGAAGGGGAAGATCTCAATGTACGAATCAGCCAATTACAACCTTCCTACCTTCCGTGCCAACCTTTACCCAACTGCGCTCTACCCAACTGCGGATGCAGGGACAGCGCCGCAAATGAAAATCATGTCAAGTCTCTGACTCACGCCAAGCCTGCTGTGCATCATCTATGAGATGGCGTTGAACCATCTGTAAAGGGTCATACAAGATGCTATGACTGTTACCATTATATCTATCTAGGGAGATGCTTTCAGCCAGCACCTCGGACCTCAGGCTTGAGATGCTACCGCGGGCTTCCTCGCCGTTCATACAGATATCTCGTCTCCCGGGTCTTTATCTTTTCGATGCACGTTCGATTCCTGCCCTGACAGGCGATGATCAATCTCAGTGCCTTGTAGCCAACTTGCACGGCGGACGGACACGGCCTGTTCAGGAGATGTGAGCGATCGATATCCTGGTATGCGTTAGCAGATCTTTCGAGATTTTTCGCAATCATCGAATGCTTTTTATAGATATGTCAGGTCCACAGAGGTTGTCACGTCTGTCCGAAGCTTTGGCATTAGAATCGAGTCGAGGGACCTTCTTAACTCCCTCGGCGGAGTCTCTTTGTCAAGGGACGTACACTCTAGGACATCTTTACCTGCAAATCCTCCTCCGAAGAGCTAGGCGGGATTTTGGTCGATCTGGGACGGAGGGTTCATCCGCTCATTCTGATGCGAAATGAGCCATTATCTATAACTAGGATCATTCGGCAATACTCATTGAAGAACTTGCAGTGTCGCTGTTCCGAAGAATAATCACATATGCAGAATGACTTAGGAAGACGTCGATTGAGCCGAACGTACGATCTGGACAGATTGTATAGCGACTTACAGGTTCGGGTTGGCAGCAGTCTTACTCACAAAGCTCGGCGCAGGTAAATGGTGGGTAAGGCAACGCACGATCTCTGAAACTCGCGACGCGGGTAACAGTTTGCGTATGTGTGGAATTAGACGAAACTGCATGTTGCATGAAAGTCAGAGCCAATGGGCGCCACGTTGAGAACTCAGTATGAGCCAGTATCCACGTCGAGATTTGCCTTATTTGACGAATGCTTTGTTTTAGTTCCTTCAGCCTCCAGCCACCCCCCCTTGCGTAGATCCATCTGGCGGTATTCATGTCGAGATCAAGTTTACTTCACCTTCTCCGCTGTCTCTACCCGCTCTGACACTGCAGCGAAACGGAGGCACTCATTCACGTGCAGGTGACGCAGGAGACTATTCCTCATGTAGCGACTTCCCTGCCTTGCTCCACGAGTTCTGATGCCGCGCTTTGGCTCGGCTTTTAGGTGAGTTACTCCTGGCTTACCTTGCGCTGGATGAAACATGTGCCTGACACTCACCTGAGCTTGACGGATTCAAAGCAAAATATCCTTGTCTGTGGACATTTCGTCGTCTTTCCCGACAATGAGTGATAGGCCTAAGACACTCCTAGCAATAGAGAAGGTAGTAGTAGGGCACCTGAAGCCTATGGACCACTCGCCGAGTTGATGTACTATTCAGATCTTTGATACTGATCGTCTAGTATCCTCTTCTCCATAGACCATCAATTGGTCTGCACGATGGTGGGAGGGGACAAATCCAGGACGGTCGCAAGGACAATATTAATGGGCTTCAATTGTTACAAGATTCTTGATGTCCACTCTGCGACCGTTTATTTACATTCATATCTCCGTTATTGGCACCTCATTTCTTCAAGCTCATTGGCGATGTCCTCACGCTCAATTATGGAGGACCGTTCCGGAACGACATCTGCGTGCAGGGTCCTAAGCGTCTTGGAGAATCGATAGTTCTCTTGATTCCCGCGCTGGCTCATGCCTATGTGCAGACATGGTCGAGTATCGATAATCATTCCAATATTAATATGGCGATTTTGTGTACGGTTCCTTGACATAGTGCACGCAACCTGAGGCTTGTTCAGTTCCACGCAAGTGGTCATACATATCCGTCGTATTCATATCTATTTGGGCGATTTTTTAATCTTGCTGATCCACGATGATCAGTACTAAAACAGAGTTCAGAACCAATTACCTGTGCGCTCATCGTCACCTCAAGGCCATCGGTGGGAGTAAAAATTCAACGACCATTGTATTCTCGAAATTATGCTAACAGAAATCTGACCCGACTAGCCCTATCTGATTCAGTCCAGGAGCATATAAGTGGCGTTACATGGTCTGTCGCTTTTAGCTCCAGTTATTGCATGTCAAATGGCTACCCCTCTGAACGTCAACCAGCACACCGCCCCACACCAGCAGATTAGCTCCACTCAGGATTTGCTTCGTGCAGCGGCCGAGTTTCGTCAGTGGGTCGAAACCACTGCACCCGGTGCGACAGTATTCTTATGTGGCGGACTTGCTCTCTCGCTGTATGGGAACCCTAGGCAGACTCAGGTAATATTGTTCATTCGTTTCATCCGATGCAGGTGTATTGATCGCCTCGATCCGCAGGATGCAGACTTGGCAATTGATCTTTCCCGGACCCGTAGGGCTAACGGCCGTGCGTTCGACACTAATGCACTGAAGCAAATCGCTGGGGAATCCCCTTTCTTTTCAGTAGGACCTAAAGTATACTGGATCTTAAATGCCAACACACCCTCACAGAAACTCATCCAAGTCGATTTCGTCGATGCGCAGTTGTTTTGGCATCCGTTCAGCTCCACACAGATGATCGGCGGCATTCCAGGCCTGCCCGTCCCCGTCATGAATCTTCCTACGCTGCTCGTCGGAAAGATGAAAAGCGCCCTTGAGCGAAGCCAGACTGATCGGGTAGAACGCATCACAAAGGTGGCAAACGACGTAAATGATTTCCTCTTTGCGTTAGGAAAGTGTACCCAACAGCGACTCATTCTGACCACCCTTCATATCCAACACTTGGGCGCATCCGAGCAGGCTGCGTTCGAGGTGATGAAAGCCTTCTTCCAGTTGAAGGCGTCGTTACAGCAGCCTCGATGGTCGGAGACTACGTTTGCGTCCAACTACCAGTCCCAGTGGGTGCAGCTTATAACGCGCAGTCAGTTGCCCGAGTTATTCAGTACGGCGTGCAATTATTGAGGAGAGGACCAATTGGATACCAAAGTTATTCCATAGTTTGTCCCACATGTTGAGAAACTGAACGATACCCTAGTGTACGATGATAAGAATGGTCATATGAATGTAGTAAATAACGTCGTGGAAGCGTTCGGATAGTAATTGTACACAAATAGCTCTCCACTTCAGACTATGTTTCGTAGAACATTTCATTCATCACGGTTGTCTTTGCCCAGGATAAGATCTTCCCACTCTAATCTGACTTCATTTTGCAGCGATTCGAATGTCTCTGGACTCCAATCTCCGCCAATATACACCTTTTCCCACATCGTTTGCAGAGATTTGGATTCGAAATCATACGGGCCCTCGGGAATGGCGTGAGGCGCCATAAGGTGGAGAAGAAAGGAGTACGTATAAGCAAACCCAACGCGATGAGGCGCTGAGAGCACGTCGAGCAGAAGCCATGCCTTGATAAGACTGGCTGTTGTCAGGACATTCGTTACATGGGTCGTCTTGACGGAAGAGATCGGGTCGACAGCGTTATTGTCGTTCTGAGAGAAATAAAGCTCGTTGTGCAGGGAAAGCCTTATCCGGTCATACTGCAGCGAAGCAGGATTTGCACGAGCCGACGTGAGGGGGATGAGATTGAGGAGAACATCGTTAGGACACAAGAAGAGTAGGACGTTTCTTCCGTACTCCTGTGGCACACAGAAATGGATGGGTAAGGAGAGCAGCGATTCCGGATTGGACAAATGTTCAAAGCTTTCGCACGAACAAACAGGTAGCCCGGCCATGGCGATCGCATCTATCGCTTTCTGGATGCCCTCCGTGGGCACTACAAACCCACAAATCTGTGAATTGTGGCGTCAGAATGTGTAAGAGATCATGTCTGGGAAGGGAAGGGACAAACGTTAGGGATGTGAGGGTTTCCACGCCAGGCATTGAGGAGATCACCCCACACAAAGTTTGGGATGCCAGCCTCATCAAGGACTTTGGAAACTGCAGCAGTGAAACAAACCGGCCAAGGGTGCTCTAATGGGGAGAGATGAATAGATTTACGCCCCTCATGAGACAATTCCGAGAGGACCTGAGCTACGTTGAAGGCATTAAAATGAGAAGTGTGTAGTACACCGGGAGGTGAGACTGAAATCATGGCAACTGGCTAAAATATAGCTACTGTACTTCGATGTGTGAGGATCTACAGTATATAACTTTGTGGGTGGAGGAGCTAAGTGATATACTGATCACGTAAGCTCATGCAAGTTCAACATGATTTAGGTTATATATAGCATAACGCGATCGCGTGAAACCAAGACTGATCAATATGATTGACAACGTTCAATATTGAACATTCAATATTCAGCGTTCGACTGTGACCCACAACATGCAGGTACAAATTCTCAGCGACCTCCATCTCGAGATCGAAAGACAAGGCGGTGCTCCTGGTCGCGAGTTTTATCACTACGACATTCCGGTTCGCGCAGAGCACCTAGCCTTACTTGGCGACATCGGATGGACGGTTGATGAACGACTTTTCCAATGGCTTAGGGATCAATTGAAACTGTTCAAGACCGTTTATTTCGTGTCTGGAAATCATGGTGCGTTTTTGAAGTAAAAGTAGACACAATAGCTAAGGAAACATTAGAACCGTACCGATCATCAGTCGTTCGTCTTTTCTCTATCTCAATCGTGATGGTATACACTCATCTGCATACGCTCGTGCACTATTCAGAATGAATCCACTTCGATGCTGGAAGCCTTTGTCAACGATGTTAATTCTGATCCGACCCTCGGAAAGTTCATTTATCTGAATCGCACCCGCCACGATGTCTCTCCAAAGTTGACGATCCTAGGATGCACCCTGTGGTCTGCTTTGAACCCAGACGATCTAGATATCCTCTCATGGTCATTGACCGACTTTCGGCGAATTGAATCCTTCAACCCTGACAAATATGTCGCCCTCCACCAAGCCGACCTCGAGTGGCTTAACGCAACTGTTTCTGCCATTGTAAGGAATGAACCTCAGAGGGAGATAGTCGTGTTTACCCATCATGCTCCTACGCTGGATGGAACCGGTGACCCCAAATTTAACCACCAGCCTACCAACTCGGCATTCGCGACAGAACTGACCAGTGAAATATGTTGGACTAGTGGGAAAGTTTCTCTATGGGCTTTTGGCCATACTCACTGGTGTTGCGATTTTATGAGGGGTGGCGTTAGGGTATATAGCAACCAGCGGGGATATGGAGAGGGGAAAGGAGGATATAGTGCGGATAAAATAATTGATTTGTGAGCAAATAGATATCTCTCGAGACATCTAGTCGTTCTGTCAGTAGTTTCCATGCAACTTCCAAGTAAAAACAACCTACCAGATGTGCTGAGCCGTGTAAACTGAACTGACAGTATCTTTATCTTCATGCTAGGGCACGAGCCATAGATACAGATTCATTTCTGTGAAACTACACCATTTCAGCTATGTAGCTCTTTCTCAAGGCAGAGACAACATAAACAACCATTGCAAAAAGAAATAATAATTCAAGACTCCCTAGGCACAATGACCATTGCCTCAGAAAAAAATTTTGATATATTCATTCTTCCTAGCGAAGGCAACAGTTCTTCTGTCTCCAACTCATTTCGATGAATGCGTTTGTCCGACATGGATGGACCATATTATGATATTTGCCTCATCTATCGCATTAAACCAATGCTCAATCGACGGTGTAGAGGGCAGGGCCAGCGACGATGTGGGGTTCGATTTGGGAAAGGTTATAAGGTGTGACGAAGAGATCAGCATCAGTAACGAGCAAGAAGCTACAAAAGAACAGTCAGAATCACTTTGAAAATGACGAGACCAAAGGGACGAACATTGTGCCGTTGATAACAGGAAAATCGGTGTCATTACGAACATCCTGGAAAATAGTGGCACCTCCAGGCTGAGTGGTCAAAGCGGTGTTATTGCTGACATTGGTCAAAGGGCTGTAGGTGATGTTCAATTGAGAAATCCATGCGGCAAACTGTTCAAAAAAAGTTAATGTATCATCAATATACGGAATGAATGATTAATGACCATGGGTTCTCCAGCTGCGCTCGAGGTGTTATACGTCGAGTTGGGACCAACTTGCAGTCCGGGGCTCTCCCAGGTGAGGTTAAGAGTCTGATTGGTCTCCGAGAGCGAAGGACGAACGGTCGAGATCGCAGGACGGCCAGCTGTACCGTTGGCAAAGGTTGTCGCTGAAGTTGCGTTCTAATGCCAGTGTTAGATCCGGATCAAATCCTTATCGAATGCTAGAGTGCTTACGCTTGTCACGTTCAAGCCGGGGAAGATCTGCCATCCCACGCGTGGGTTTGTTGAGGGACATTCGGTAAGGAAAGGCGCTTGAAGAGTCCAAGCCATACTCTGAGTGATCGCAGGTATGAACCAGAACTAAAATGCATTTGCATAAGGCGCGTACATGTTGAATACCATGAGTGAACTTACCGTCATAGGGAACAATCCTTCAAATTGTCGAAAGACCATTTGCTGGCGTGACTCAGTTGCAATAGCTTGACCCAGGATATCACCAGCAGCGCGAGAATCCAGATGCTGGAGGAATCCGAATACACCTGATTCGCCTACACGGGTGACCTTCCTACTGAGATCAACAAATTCCGAGACATTACTGAAAGGAAATGAGTAGTTGCAAGGCTGGGACGCGTTAGCTGTAAGGAGCTCCTCAGTGAACATATAAACGTGTGATAGATTGAGACATACGACCGAGAATGTTCGTAAGGAGTTGAGCATGACCAACTTCCTGGTCGGCCATAAATTGGAGGAGGGCCTGATCATCGGTAGTGAGTCCAGCATCCGAATAATTTAGTGGTGCGAAGGCATTGATGCCCGCACGGAATAGAGAAAGCTCCAGCCATTCTTGTTGCAGAGCAAGGTTCTGAAAGCAGGGAAATCAGCAGGTAAGTTTCAGCATGATTTCTAAACCATATACGAGAGACTGGAAATCAAAATCACTCAGTGGGACATAATCGGCTGTCCTATTCAGACCTACACCACCAGCAGGTGCGGCATGCGCGACGCTGGCAATAGCGAGAGCTGCGAGTAAAGCGTTGAGCAACATCCTTAGTTAATAGGTTCGCGCGAGAGAGGAGGAAACATTGTTTCTTTGCACCCGCAGAGATTTTATATCGCGGGTGAAAGGCAGCATTGATGCAGATCTCAGGCTAGGATGACGATGAATGATGGAGCAACCCCCTATAATGTGGAGAGAACAAAGTCTCATCCGATGCTGTGTTAACGCTTTTGGTATGAGTCTCGAGACCAGATGGTATAGACAGCCCGAGACAACCGAGCGGAACTTCAAAGCAAGTTACGGCTCTATAGCGACTCATTTCGAGACCGTGTAAGCAGATTGGTATCGTATACAGAGGTAGACAGAACGTGGTACAGTACAGATGATTATGTCGCTTGTACTTCTACAAAACATTGAGAACTAAAGAATCTAAAATAGCGACAACTCTCTAGTAACTTAAGCATAAAACTTCGTAGCAGGCATTGGACGACCTCTAGAAGAGCGTGGCTCATCGTCTTTGTCTGGTGTACCTTCGTCGGAGGCCAATGCACGCTGGACGCGCCATTGCAGTAGGTCAGCATATTGCCTCATGTGCTGGACAAGCGTGCGCAGCTCCTTCCTGGTAGGCTTCCCAATGCGTTGGCTCTCATCGTCCTCGTCCTCTTCATCACTATTGTCTGTTTCCGAGGAAAGTTCAGAGAGAGGTGAAGGCTCGCGGCTGACACTGGCGACAGAATTCGCTGTCGTACTGCGACTGACGGTGCTCTTGCGAGAAACAGTGAGTTTGGAAGGATAACTTTGAGCAGAGCCATCGCCCAAGGCATTCTTCACCTCGAGCCATGCCGCCAGCTTGTGGATCTCCATAGGGTCCCAAAAGCCCCACCATCGTTCGCTGTCATCATCCATCAAGACATCTCCGTCTTCTCCTTTCGCTTCTTCAGCACCTTCTGGCTTGCGGCCCCAGACAGCGAGGAACCAAGACCAACGCTGCATGTCCTTTCTGTCCTCTATCGTGACACCGCCTTTCTTTCGGCCGAACTTCACTTTGACCACTTTTCCTTTGATAAGTTGAATCGCAGCGTCCGTCTCGGCCATTCCAGGGGAAAGCGCATAATATATGCGTCCTTCGCTGTCTCGACCAAGTGGACCGTATCGAGGAGCGAAACGATGAGAAGCAAGAACAGAAGCAAGCTCAAGGTCGTGGAGTCGCTGCTTATGCCGTTCGCGATTGGCCTTTAGGTCAGCCTTGACTTTCTTCGTATCTTTGACCTCCTTCCAGAGCGCGTTCTCCTTCGAAATAGCGTCCTTAGCATCTCTCACCAGGTCCTTCTCTTCCGCCACGCCGCTGTCGATCTCTTCGCGGATTATCGGAGACTGTATAGCAAGGTCGACCAGTTCGACAAGAACGGGAACTAATTGTGCGGAACACGCGACGTAGACAGTGGTCTCGACGCCCTTGCCTTGGATGCCGCTGCGGGTGTTGTGGTAGACGGTGGATGGCGGAGGAGGTAGTGGGTCAGGGAGATCGAAACGAAAGGGACTACCAATAACATTAGTTTGAGAGCGAAGCGTCTCAAGAGCAGACCACATCTTATTCAGGCTGCCCCCCGCAGCCCGGATACTCTTGGCAGCTTCCTTGATATGGCCAACCTGCTTGGTAGCGTTCGAAACTGATGCAAAATCAAGGATGACGTCTAGAAGACCAGCAAGAATGCTCTTCATGCACGGTTCGCCCATCCAGCCTGCGACATCCTCGTCGTCACCTTCGGCTGTTGAACTTAAACTCTGGCCAATGAGCTCCTCAAGCTCATCGAGGTGCGTTTTTGAGACTTGTAAGGAAAGGGCGAAGCGTAAGATAAATTCACGGACAGCGATACGGTCTTCAACTTGAGCGAGTTGGAGAGGGACTTCCAGACGAGTCCACAGGGGTCTTGGCAGAGGCTTTGGCTTTGGAACAACCTTTGGTTTGGGAGCGGGAATCGGTTTTGCTGTTGGTTTTGCCTTAGTGGCAATTTTACCTGTCGTCTTGGCAGAAGACTTAGAGGTGGAAGCCTTGGGTACGACTTTCTCCTTAGTGACCTTCGGCTTAGACTTAGCCTTAGCTTTATTGTCTACAGCAGGTTTCTCGTCGGTAGACTTAGTTTTCAGTTTCCTATGAACAATAAGAGGTCAGCAAAACTGGAGTTAGAGAACACAAGGGACAGCATACCCAAGAGGAGGAAGCCCTGCAATCTTACGACACACTCTGCAATTACATTCACCTTCGCATCTAGGACACCTTTCAAAAACAATCACATTAGCACTCAATGCACATGCAGGAGCATCAACGAATAGCATGTACGTACTCCCAGTAATAACCAGCATCGGAAACGTGTTGATCCTTCTTGGCCTTCGAAAGGGAAGCGCCATTGAAGGATTTCTTCTCTTCGAAATTCTGTTGGTACCGATTGTTCAGACAGGCGGAGCAATACCTCAGCTTGCACCGGTGATTCGGTGTATTGACTGAGTTGTCCTTCTTGGTGCATCGTATAATAACTGAGGCGACGGTAAGTAAATACACAAGTGAGATGGTTCAGCACGCGATATACACTCACGAGATATATCACGCTTCTTATTACATTGATGGCAATAGCAGTAGCCATTTGGATACTCCTCGGAAGTGAGCACAGAGGGTTCAGAGACCTTGGCCTTCTTGGGTGGCGCAGAATCCGCCTTTTGTTCAGGAAGCTTGGGTTGGCTACCTGTAGCAGAAGTTTTGACCTTCTTCGTTGGTGGTGGTTTAGAGGTTATGACAACCTCAGGACGCTCGTTATTAAGTGAAAGCTTGCGTTTATGGGAGTTTGAGCTAAGGCTGCTCATGGTTGTCAACGAGGTAGAATCGCTGTTTGTGCGCGACGGTCGGAGAGGCGTGTTCTCCTTGAGGCTAGATGCACTCGGGGTGCCAAGTGAGGAACCAGAGGGTTCGTTTCTAGATGGAGGACGTGTATCCTTGTAAGGGGAATCTGGGACAGAAACATACATTTGAGACCTTCTGCGGGCCAGGCCAACGGGTCTGGGTACGGGAGTGGACATGGTCGTGGTTATGGACTAACCCCGAGTCGCGTCCCGTTTCCATTTAAGACGCGTCTCGCACGTGACCCGTCCCGGAAGATGCCGGTTCAAATGGCCACCGGAATTTTCTATCCCCTGCACTCGCTGACTTGACCTGGCACCTCCTCTAAGCTGCTCATCGTCGGACACGACCCGCTCGATATCCTCATTCTCTTCTTGCTGCCATGGCCCATGCTGATCATACCCGAGACCCCTGGCAAGCATGATTCTGATTCTACGGCTACTGTCTTGAGTAATGACGTTGCTTTCCAGCCCATGGGTTATTCTTTCAGACTTCGGGAGTGCATTTGCTATGGGTGCCGTTGGTGGTACCATTTGGCATGGTATCAAGGGCGCACGTAATTCACCAAGAGTGAGTATTATCCATATTCAACTTTGATATCCGACGGGTTGATATTGATTATGCGTAGGGCGATCGCCTCGTTGGTGCAATGTCAGTGATCAAAGCAAGAGCCCCTGTTACTGGTGGAAACTTCGGTGTTTGGGGAGGCATGTTCTCAACATTTGACTGTGCGGTGAAGGGCTGGCGACAAAAAGAGGACATGTGGAATGCTATCATTTCTGGTTTCCTCACTGGTGGATGCTTGGCTGCTCGAAGTGAGTTCTTTCATCCCTTTCGTCCCACCATTGTGCTGTTTTCCGCTCTCCTGATATGAAAACATGGTATGTTGTGGTAGGTGCTGACATCATTTATAGGTGGACCCAGATCGGCACTAGGATCAGCTGTTGCTTGCGGTATTCTGCTGAGTGTATTCGAAGGCGTCGGTGTCCTCATTTCTCGTGTATTCAACGACAGCACAAGACCTCAGCTACCGCCATGTGCGCCTTGTTCATTTTGTTTAGTCATTGCTAAGCTGACGGCATTCCGCAGTACCGGAAAATATTCAACCACAGGGACATCCTGCATAACCTATAGCGATCTCTTCCGGATTCTAGATGTATTCTTCGCTCTGCACCATGGCACTCTAATCTCTACTCATTCGTTGTACGTGTTGCTTTACACCTTAATCTTATGCTTCATACCATGCAAGTCGGACTGCCCGGTTACAGAATGCAAGGTAATGTTTTGTCCGCGAACTGACATCTTTCACAAGTTATTAAACAAACCCGTCATGCACGTGGAAAAATATGACATGCAAAGGTACCACTGCCATTCGATGTTGGTTCTCGGAAAACCTTGTCTTCAGGGTTGCTTTTGCACGGATCTGTAGGCTGCACTCTGTTTCGGGTTCTCGATATGGGATGCCTGTGGTACGGCCTATCACAATTACGCTGGTCGATTTGTTCTACACAATGCTCGCGTCGGTCAGACTAGACCGTTATCTTGGCTCGCGCTGACGCTCAACCGACCGGTTTGGAGATCAGCTTTTCAACGACATTGAGAGCACGTTTTTACATTCACTGGTAGTATAAAATTATGCATTTGCAATTCAGCTTCTTCGCCCCCCAATGCTATACAGATCTTCATGATAAATGTCTCTTCATACTTAGCGTTATAGGTCATTCGTCACTTTGGATACATTCAGCAGTCGATTAACAACCCGCAGGAACGGTGGCATCGTCTTGATGATTGGCGGCGTTCACACCCAAACCCCGACTCGCAAATGCTCGCCAGAGTGTGCATGAGTTAGCGCCTCCGAAACGGTTGACGTCGGCTTGGATCCAGGCGTCTCGGGCAGTCAAGACTAATCGAAAACAGCGTCATTAGTGATCTAAGCTCGGCGATAAAAGCCGTGCACTTACATGTGGGGTTGCAGGGTTGTAAGGGGAGGGCGTCGAGGAAGAGGTGAAGGAAAACAGTGTTGCCGCCGGTGGTACTATAAATGGATAACACTTCAGAAAGTTGAGCGGGAAAAACAGTGATACATCCTCACGTAGGGTCGGTATGGGCGGTCGCTGAGAAACCGTGCGCGCCAACAAGACCAGCGTAGACGTTGTGCAAAATATTAGCCCAGACTTCCCCGATATCTGTATTGCGGAATCAGCCATTGCCTTCTCAGGACAGCGCATGATAGATGATGCTTACCGTGAACCTCTCCGAGGGTCTGTAGACTTGAGTATCTTAGTGGGTTCGTAGTACTGACCTGAAGTTAACGACTGGTCCAGTTCTGTGAATGCTATGTACTTACGCGGAGGTAGAGTAAGGATGGGACCGGATACCAGCGGAATCATTGATGACATATTGACCGAGAATATAATCCGGAATGGTAGCATCCTTGTGCTCAGTCCATCTACAAACTGTCAGCACCAACACTTCGTGCCATGATAAACATATACACATACTCGGCAAAAGCATCGGACCAGCCTTCGCCCATACCGCCTGCTTCAGTTGTCTGAAGACACCTTCCAGTTCCGCCGCCAGTCATGCGGTTAGTGATACCGTGGGTATTCTATACAGTTAGAGTTAGGAAGAACTGTCTTTAGTGGATTTGATTGCCACACGGACCTCATGAGAGATAATATCGTTCTCAAGCGCACCATCGCGTTGGGGGTTTGTCAAATCCCACAAGAACATACGCATACGACCAGATTGACCGCTGGGAACGCGTCACATGTGAGTTGATGCCTACAGCGTCATGATTTCTGTTCAAACATATACATACTCAGGTGGGGTAGCGAAATCAGCGTTGTCGATGCCCGCAGAGTCTTGTACGGATACGGTCACACGATCGTTGCCACTACCACCGTGGCCGAAGTTGTTGTTCTGGAAGTTGAACGCTACGATAATTTAACGCATACGAAACGCGGGAACATCAAGTGTACTCACCAGCTTCAGTGAATCCGTACCTGTAGGAAATATCATGAATAGTGTTGACAATGTAGAATGCGTTAGTTCGGGCAGCATCAAGGTTGGCCTGAACGGTTGGCGCTTGGCTAGGGTTCTGGGTGAAGATGAAGTTTAGGCCAGATGACGATTGACTCGTTGTCGAGGTTTGGCTGCCTTTGAACGAAATAGCGTTGTTGCCGCTGCAAATAGTACCGTTGAGATTATATAATTAGCTAAATAATGGTCAAGTACACAACGCACGCTGTGGTCGTAGTGGTCGTGGTGCCGTCGCTATGCCAGCCATCCGGTGAAGCTAGGGGATCCTGAGGATCAGTCAAGACCTCGAATCCCTCAGTCAGAATTTCTTTGGTGATGGGGAGCACACGATACTGTTGGATAGCATGAGAACGCAACATATGGAAGATGACGGGAAAGCACATACCGAAGCCTTCGTCACGAAGTCGGTGACGTGCACAAGCTCGCCAGAGTGGGCGTCGATGAAACCTTCGAACCACGAGCCACTCTCGTCATTTTGAATTTGGATGACATGCGTAAGAGCCAGAGAACCATCCTCTTTAGCGATGAACTCCAACGTAGAGGGGTGCTGGTTGAACCGCCCGTTGAGAACGCTCTCGGCCTTCGAGATAGCATCATCAAGAGAGATGGATGGTGTTGACGAAGGTACCTTAGCTATGAATAGTTAAGATAGAAATGAGTGCCATGTGGTACTATCGGGTTCTGACACATACTAGGTTTGACGAAAGAAGAGCCAAATGATACAACCTTGTTGTCGTTGTTGAAGGCAACGTTGGCAACAGCGTTAGCAACGGGGATGTCATTCTACGAGCAGATCGACATCAGAAGGTCTGATTTAGGAAGAATACGGGACAAATTACGATCTGCTGGCGAACGAAGGCATAATGCGCGACGTCGTTCGCAAAGCCAGACTTGAAGGCAATCGTGTCGGGCTTGACTTTCAAATGGCTCTGCACAAAGGAGACCGCTGCAGACTCGAGGTCATCATCTGCACGCTTGGAAAGAGGATGGTCTATTCCAGCGCCGAAGGTCTATTCGGTAAAATTCAGGGAGCACATTACATAGCAGTGAAGTATGATATTTCTGACCTCAAATGTCGACTCCAGGTGGAATGTCTCAATTCGCAAGTCCGGTGTGATCTCTCGGACGCGGTGCGTAGCATGCTTTACCGTGAAGGGCCATGGCGCAGCAATCGCAGAGGAAGCACAGACAACTGCCAAAAAGATGGACGAGAAGAACTTGTTGGAGAACTTCATATTTGACGGTGGTATGCTACCTTTGCAAGGAGGAGGGGAGGACTAGCTCGAGATGAGGAAGTCTTCTGCATCTTCATCTCTCGAGTTATGATGCTTTATAACATTCTTGACATGCGCGGGTTGCGGGGAAAGCTGCATGGCGCAATGTATCTAGGTTCACAGTCAGTGCGCGAGCCGCATGGCCATGAGAGTTCTGCGACAATCGCAATAGAAGGCTTCGTGATTGAAACCTCGATGGGAGACCTCGACAACTCCAGTAAGCACGAGGAGCTCGAAGATAAGCACAAAGCTTCGGGAATTCTGACCATCTTTCTGGTGGTTCAATGAATGCCGGGGACGTGGAATGCATGGTCTTGTCTTCGCCAAGTTCCGCCACAGTATGCATGGGACTCTATCATGAGAAGTCTACTTAAAGTAGGTTGGTAGCGTGGCTCCGATGTTCATGGTACGCTAAAGACAGCGTCCGCCGCTAGCCACTGCTAATATCAAAAACAAAGAAGTTTGATGGACTCGACCCGAGGACTCATGAGGAATACCGCATTCTTAGAATAACAGTCCATCTGACCTTGTCAGCCGACATTATACCGCAAGGCTTTGAGTGGAAAAGGCATACCTTAATGTTCGGAGGTAGCTTTCCAGGATTGTATATTGAAGCCAGTATATCTATGGTTGTTTTGGTTGATAAGTTGTATGATTGGAAAGCACATGTGGGTGTGAATTTTGAGTCAGATATGGATTAACAAAGGATGGCGAGGCGAAATGACTGTAAGAGTCCACAACATCATCTTAATCATGGGTCTCCAGCATGATCATGACGGAATTTACGACACAGAATGTATTACTCGCATCTAGAAGAAACAAAACATGGAAACCTCTTGCGCGGAGCCTGTCTTGTATTGATATATTGTCTTGCGTGTCAAGCAACCAGCTAACCAGTTTGCATAAAGTGAGCAAATGAAACCATGCAGAATTTCTAGGGACTTAATCCTCGATGCGCACCTTGACATGCACAGGTAATAACATATCTTGTGGCTTCACGAGATCATAATGTAGACAATCAGATACGAGTTACTTTCCCCAAGTACGGATGACTGCGGACATGGGGTTCCTAGGCATCGATAGTACCGACCTGAATTGTAATGCGACGATTACAGCCAGAGAGATAGAATCCAGGCTCCCAACCACCCTGCTTTGCGTCGTCTTCAAAGTGCTAAGGTTTCTGAGATTGAACATGTCTTTCGGCGCTTAAATATTTCGCTGGGTCAATCAATCAGACTTTGTATTATATAAAGCAATGGAACTTCACAAAAGGGTCCAAGGGGTGGGAATTCTCCCCACGTGTATTCAATGATCGGAATTGCTTGGCCGCACGTCGAAATCTTCTGTTTGCTTTCGTCTCGCACATGATGAGTCATGTCGGAACTTCTTGTCTCGGCCTGGATGTGAGCTCACAGAGAAGAGATACAGTATATGTAACTTCATTCTCAGCGTTCACGCAAGGCACACGCCTTTGTGAGAACATTGCGAAATGCGAAGCAGTGATACGACGCTTCAGTATCACGCGGTCATAATGTCTTGAATTCGCTGGTCAAGGTACGAGAGTCCAACATTCACAGGTGCAATTAACGCCTCCGGGGTGCTATCTTTTCCTGCTTGCTCTTGTGATATGTGCCTTCCGCGACGTTGCAAGTTGTCGAGGACGGCCTAGGCCAGTGTTGTGCCGGTCATCGACTCGTCGATGACCGGTTACGGAGTCACGACCTGGTCGCCATTCGGTCATTTGGTGACTTGACTGGAAAGGGTCCCAAAAGCTGTTCGGGTCCCGGTCATGTGCATCTTCTCAGCCAATCAGGATGCACTTATTTAGATCAGCAGGCGAGCATGTAATTTAATGTAAATACAAAGTTGATAATCAGTACAGTACTGGCTGCGCCGTTTGACTGCTTCCACCCAGTGTTTGGACGGAAATTCAAATAGATCTTTAAGGGACAAGTGGATGGGCTGGCGAAGATTGTAATCAACATATGGGGAAGATTTCGATCCCGCGGATGGAGGATCAGAAGTAGATGGACCGGATATAGGTGGATTCGACTCAGACGTTTGGGGAGATTTGACGGAGAGAGAGGTTGGGCATCCAGTGTAGCGGAAAGCTTCAGAGGGTGCTTGATGCACTAACATTTGGCGCATTCAAGTGTATGGAGATCATGTTGGTATTTCATATTGTAAGGACTTCATAGCTTGCGCCGCAGTGTTGGAAATTATCGAAGTGTTGCCTCAAGGGCCAGCCAAGCAAACAAACATACAGCAAAGATTATATAGATAATTGACGGGCAGTAAGTAGTCTATGCAGGTGTTGGGCGATCGGGACACCGAAACTCCTTCCAGTCGTAGCCATTCCAAAGGACGTGACGAGTCACGACTTAGTCGGTCAAGTCTTCACACGACTCCGGAGACTAGTCGCGAAGGGCACAACACTGCTTCAGGTTCATCCCTACTCTGAAGATCATGAACAGCCGCATCTTTATGTGTACAGGTAGGCCTTGCCAAGAAGGTGTAATTAGTCTTTTAGATCAAATTTCTAAATCTGTTCTCCAAGCGACACTGGTTTCCGCTTCGTCGCTCGCTCTAACGCCAGACGCTCACTATTGGTCAGGGTCGCGTTGGGCCAACCAAGGGGGCATTGTATGGGCGTTGTAATGAAACAGGCTTGGAAGCCAACAAGTTGGATTTCGGCTATGTGACCAATGTTAGGTCTTCACATAAAATGACCACTGGTGCCTGCCTAGAACGCCAACAGACTCTTTGGCTCTCTTCTTCTTTCCTTCATAATGTCTTCGGCTTCTGTTTTACTTTACTGGAGCTCCCTAATATCTTTGTTCGCATATGCATCACCTCTGGTCCCTCGTCAAACGCAGTCTCTACTATGCGATCCAGATTTCCCTTCTGACAAGCCCATTTCGATCGGAAACTCTCAGTTCATCGGTCTATCTGACGGAGTGACGGATGGTTCTGGCTTAATCAAAGCCACGACGGCGGCCTTTCGTTTCATCAAGGATAACTCATTTCCACCCCAGTGGACTATTAGGTACGTCTTGAATGAATACCTGTACGATTACTTCCTGAATGCAACCATGTAGTTCCTTTGACAACCCTTCGCTGACGGTTGGGCTAAGGTCAAATCAGCCATTATTCTTGAGCAAACAGACGTAGGTGTCATACTTATTTATCTTCTTCACTTTCTCAAATTGATCTCGGGTAGCACTTCCGTCCCCAAGTTCCTGATTGACTGCAACTCGTCGTGTGGGTATTTCTTACTCGGCGATGGCTGTTTCATCACCTCGGCCTCCGATCCAAATGTGTGTGTACAAGTCGGGGATCACAATGGGTTTGCAGGTGCAAGTGGGGACCCTTTGACCCTTCGACCCTGCCAGAAGAATGACAGTCAGAGATTTAACTTCTTCCTCATGGATCGGCCCTCGACCACTTCAAAGCCTGTCCCTTCGTCCACAACCGTCGTCGATTCAACTACCACCTCGACATCAAGGCCTAATCAGTGTACGCCCGACTTCCCAGAGGACGAACATGTGGACTGAAACAATTCGGAGACTATCGGCTTCTCTGATGGCATTGAACTTGATTCTGGTCTTATCAAAATGAATGAGGTAGGGCTATTTAAGTTCAAGAAGTTTACCTCGTCTCCGGGTACGTTCACGATTAGGTGAGTAAAGAAAACTATATTGCACTATCAGGCGTTGACCATACCGTTCCCAGTTCGTTTGAAAACCCATCCCTCGCCGTTGGTGTTCGTTCGAATGGCTCTTTGTTTCTCACCCAAAACAAGGGGGATGGGTACGTGAATATACTGACCGCCTGCACGTTAAATTCACTAAACGACGATCTCCAATCAGCAATACACGTTTCTTCGTTGATTGTGGAGAGTGTGGTAACCTCCTAGCTGGCGACAACTATTTCATGAGACTTGATGCTGGCCACAATTTGTGTGTTCAGGTGGGAAACCGTCGAGATGCCCAAGGTGCTCCCACTCGAGGCGGTGCTGGGGATGCCCTGTCTCTTGCTGAATGCCGTAGAGACGATAGTCAGAGGTTTAACTACTTCCGTCGACCCGTTTCTTCGTCGTCGATTGTGTTGACCCAACCAACTCATGCCCCTGCCCAGTCAACGACTGCGTCATGGCCCAACCAACGACAATCGAGCATCCCTCCTTCGTATTCCGCTGTAACAACGACAGCTAGCCCATGGCCTCATGAATCGCCTTCTGCTCCGTGGTCACACCAGCCATCCAGTGCATCTTCTGCGGTTTCAGCACCTAGCCCAAGCCCAAGCGTATGCCATCCTAATTTCCAATTCGCTGGTGTTAGAGTGGCAAATAGTGCAATCTCATGGGGGTACCAAATCTTTCAAGCAAGGTACCGACCTCACCGCGGATGATGACTTCAACAAGCGTCTGGAAATCCGTTTCGAGCAGACTGGTTCTCCTAACCCGTACTACGTCGCAAAGTCAGTAACAATGCTTTTGCTTTTCCACCACTTCGCTTTTGAACATTGCATTGCAGATCTCTTAACGGCACGAATCTTGCAGTTTCTGTTAAAGACGATGGAGGTCTCTTCCTTTCTCAACAAGACGACAGAGATGTGTATGTTTGATTAAACCGTTCTCTGGAGACTTCAACTGACCTTCTTCTACACAGTCGCCAACGCTTCACCATTGACTGTGTTTCCGGTTGTCCCGGAGGCGGAATTGGTGGTGGCGGTTTGGCTGCAGACGGATGCACGATTAGGTCTGCTTTCAAGTCGGAATGTGTCCAAGTTGGCAATGGATCGGGAGCTGGCAAAACCGGCGATCGTGTCTTCACAACCTTGTGCTCTGGTACCGATAGTCAGCGATTCAATTTCCTGACGTCGCCGTTCGCTCCAAGCACTCTTGCTGTCTCTGGAGCTGTGGACTCAAAGTTGAGTTCAGGCAGCACCCTCGGCGACCTGAACACGCTCCTTCGTAATAGCTACATTGCAATTGGGTTGCTTATTGCAGTTCTGATCGGTCTCATCGTCGTGGCGCTTGTCATGTTGAGTAGAGGATGCCTCAAAGGAAGCGGGAAGGGGCGGTATGAAAGCGTCTCGACAAAGAATACCTATTAATCAGGGATCTCTTAGTGGTTTTCAGCATCCTTCGAACTCCTTACATATTGTTTTGTATTAACTTAACTTTGGACTTTTGTTGACACGTCCGTTCCTTTTGTATTTCGCGTTACAATCTATTATAATGCGCGTTGTTGAATGATTGATCATGGTGTCAACGTCGAGTAATGCGGATCTGATACTGGACGTCCGAGGTTGTTGTACTGCCACTATGCTTATCGTGCCAAGGGTGCCTTCTCGGCCGACGAGCTATCTTTCTTTCTAGTTCTCCTCGTTTACAACACTTATCTCTAAGTAGTTCATGACCATCCTTTGTACCGACGGGTGAACAATTGGAGCATCACAGACGGATTGTATGTGAGAGCGCTATCATCCAATTATACCCCAAAAGTAGGCGGGTGGAGATGACTCGAGTCCACAAATAGGTCTAGCCTCCTCCTCCATTCCGTTTTGCTTTCCGTCCAGCGCCCTATTATTTGTTTTGAGATAGCGGCAACCTTCAAATACGCTCTTTCCGCCGGCACGACGTTTCGACAGTGCACACCCAAAGCTTTGAAGGCTTCGAGAGCGAACTCGTGCTTCCCGTCTTGAGTACAGTGATACCAGGCTCTCCAAATTGCTACTGATGTACTGATTGAACTCTTGCTGTAGAACCTCTAACTCTATAACTCATACACGAGTCATTTCCCGAAGGACAATGGCTACTGCATTGCCAAACCATGCGCAACTGGTAGAATTCGGCCAGAAGCATGTTACGAAGGGACTTGGTCGTCAGGTCGAAGCCGTCATTACCAAGGGCAAGGGATCGTATGTGGAACTAGGGGATGGAAGGGAGCTGCTGGACTTCACCAGTGGAATTGGTGTGACCAATCTCGGTGAGTCTCTGTTTTAATCCTTACTCCCTTTGTACCTTACAGATTGCTTTAGGACATTGTCACCCGCGTGTTAGTGCTGCTGCCGCTGAACAATGTATGAATCTTGTTCACGGACAAGTGAGTCATGCCGGATGATATTCTTATGTCTTAACCCACAGCTTCTCGTAGTGCAGTATTGGATTCACGAAACCTTACCTCGAACTGATCGAGAAGCTGCTTCCAATGATGCCTCATCCTTCGCTTGACTCGTTCTACTTCTGGAATTCAGGTTCTGAGGCCGTCGAGGGAGCCATTAAGATGGCACGAACTTTCACTGGCCGTCAAAACATCATTTGCATGCAAGGTTTGTTTGTTCAGTCTCGGTCAATGGATTCTTTTGATGAATACGACTTTTCCAGGGGGATACCATGGCCGTACCTTCGGAGCAATGGCCGTAACAAAAAGCAAGACTGTGTATAGTGCAGGTTTCAACCCGCTCATGGTAAGTGTATACGAATGTCAGTATGAATGACAAGAGTATTGAAAGTCCTACTTAGCCCGGAGTATTTTCTATTCCCTTCCCTTATTGGCATCAATTATCACGTCCAAAAGATACTCCAACGGAAGAACTTTCAGCATACTGTCTCAATCAACTCTCATTGCTTCTTTCCCAACAAACGACACCCAAGGATACCGCAGCCATCATAATCGAATCCGTCGTGGGCGAGGGAGGTTACGTCCCCATACCGACGGAATTCATGAAGGGTCTTCGAGATACCTGCGACCAACATGGGATCATGCTCATCATTGACGAAGTTCAGAGTGGATTCGGACGAACTGGAAAGAACTTCGCAATTGAGTATTCCGGTGTGAAGCCAGATATCATGACGATTGCCAAGGTATGCTGCAAAGACGATATTCGTATATGAGAAGCTGACGATTTTGTTCAGGGATTGGCAAATGGCTTCCCCCTATCTGGAATCGTCAGTAGGAAGGAGCTCACTGACAAACTCACTCCGGGATCCATGGTTAGTGGTATCGCACAGACTTCACTTATCCATCCTAACCCAGGCCTTTGATTTCAGGGTGGCACCTATGCTGGGAGCGCTGTATCTTGCGCAGCAGGCGTTGAAGTTGCCAACGTGTTCAAGGAGGAGAAAATCCTGGATAATGTCAATGCACGGTCAGTTCCTTCTCTACACGTATTCAACTATCGTATTGAACATCAACGTTTACAGATCTGTGGAGCTACTCGCTGCATTGAACACTTTGGCATCCAAGCCTGAGGTCAAGGGTGCAATTCTCGACGTGCGTGGAAGGGGTCTGATGGTTGCCGTCGAGTTCGCCTCGCCAAAGGGAACAGGCCCTTATGACCCTTTCGTCAACCGATCAGTTCCCGAGAAGCTGGCCAGTCGCGTCGCGAAGAGATGCCTGGAGAAGGGCTTGTTGATCCTGACGACCAGCGTTTATGAAGTCATCCGATTCATTCCTCCGTTGAATATTACGAAGGAAGATCTGGCTAAGGGATGCAAAATCTTTGCCGAGGCTGTGGAGGAGATCGTCAGGGAAGGTTGAGTTGGTTGGTCAGATAGAAGGAAACACTCAAAAGAGTCTTAATTGTATGATGTAGATCTGGTTGTGTCGATGTCTCTTAGATTTAGCTTGACTATCGAATGCATAGAGGCAACGCTACAAACTCGAGGATAGATGGAGACGTTCATTTCTGAGCTTGTGTGATGGGCTGGCAGACCTTGCCGCAAACGCCGCGGATCCTTATTGAAACGTTCAAATGATGTAAGTCCGCAGTTGTATTGACTTATAAATGGCTAATAGTATCACCTATAAATGGTTGTATATGGTTATAGTATCTGTTACAACACAAGAACGCCACTCCGACCCAGTTTATCTAAGAATAGGCTCGTGAGAGAGCTCATGCCTTTCTGTTGCATGCCTTGTCCCCCGCTCCCCCGCAATTGCCTAGGCTTGCATTCTTCACTCCGGGCGTGAAGAGCCCGCTGCTCTTTGTATCGACTCCCGTCTTAGCACGCCTCAGCTGTTCGACTATTCTGCAATCCAGGGGTCTCATTCCCCACATGAGCACTGCAAGATCGGTCTAACCATATCCAAAGCCTGCCCGCGATGTTCCTATCGACGGTGTTCGGTCTCTCGTTCTGTTTCCTAGGGTCTTTACTTGTTTGTTATCCCGCTCTATGGATCGGCGTGAATGCGTACATCCCCGCGTCCCCTGTAAACTCTACTGCAGATCCGAACAATGGCACAGAGGGTCCTTCGCATTTGGACTTAATGTGGCTTGGAGGGAGTTACGGAGAGGACGTCTCGTACCAGTTGGTTGGAGCCAACAGTAGTGGCGTTAGCAAAGTACGCAGTAGGTTTCATGAAAGGGTACGGTTCTATGCTGGATAAGACTTGACGTCAGGGACCTGCAGGGGGCGTTGGTACACTTTTCGGAGGAGCATCTTGACAATGATACTAGTGAGTATTGCGTCGTTGCATATTCCGATCTATAACTGACTGTTTCGTCTTGAACATTTATGTGTTCCGCTTGTTGTACATCTTGTTGAACTTCAGCCACAACTCCTTGGATTGCCCTGGTCTCGTGTGATTCCAACGCGACGGATGCTTCCCAGGAGTTCGACATATTCACAGAGGCTCGAGACAGAGGGGCAATCGCCGCCGTAGGTTGCAATCTGTTGTGTAAGGCTATTCATAAGCTGATCATCTTGCTCTCTAGCTCCTGTATTCTCTATACAGCGAGCGATGTCAGATTAATGCCGAATATGCGGATCCTGAGAACTTTGAGCAACTAATGGACATTTTCTCAACGCCATCTTTAAGCTCTTCCCAGTACGTCTCCTTCTCTTTCACAGGCATATGTCCGCAGTAGCGGGTCACCCTCTTTTAACTATATCGTTTCTCATCTGGCGCCCCTCGGCTTGTCCCACAGGTTCATCGAGTACCAGTACGGGGCCATCAACGAGACGAAGTTCGGCCACTACGACGCCAAACTCTTGAACGAGTCCGCTGCCCAGATCAACACCACCATCGTCAACGGTACTATTGACTCGAAGGGCTTCATGTTCGCTACACTTGTCGCCTTCAATGCCACGGATCCTGGCACACAGAATAGCCAACCCGGCAACGGTGACAATTCTAATTCAACTTTCGAAGGTAGCAGTGGGCCCAACACAAGCCTGGCGATGTATGCGTACATTTTGATGTTCATTCGTCTCAAATGCCTGACATACTATGTGTTTGTAGGATCATTCTGTATGCAATTACGGGATGTGTATCTGCTCTATTTTGTGTAGTCATTGTATCCGGGGTAAGCGTTTCATAGCATTGCTGATGAATAGCCTCTTAATCATCATTTACAGGCAATCCGTGCCATTCGACATCCTGAGCGGTATGGCCCTCGGTCAGGCGATTCATCCTTTGGCGGACCTCCAGGCTTTGGTGCGCAAAGTCGGGCTCGTGGTCTTACACGTGCGATCCTCGACACGTTCCCCGTGGTCAAATTCGGCAGGCCGGAAGCGACGACGCAACTAAGAAAGGATGTTGAGAGCGTTCCGGATCCTAATGCTGGCATGCTGGGCACCCATATACCTTCCGCCAACCTGGAGATGAATGACTTGACATCGCAGGATCGAAAAGTTGAACCAGATGCTGGTTCTCAGAAGCATGATGTTGAGGAGGAGGCTAGGGCAGAAGAAAGTCTGGCTCAGGAGGCTGAGCAATCGAGTGCTCCACCTCGACAGACGACTCTACAGTTTGCCTCACCAACTCCGATACCTCGACCTCCTCGTCCGAAAGTAGATACCTCGGTGTCTTCCACGGTGCATGCGGACGACAGGGACATCGTACCTGATGCCATCGGTCGCGAGACATGTCCCATCTGCATTGTAGACTTTGAAGAAGGAGATGACTTGCGAGTATTGCCATGTGAAGGTCACCATCGCTTCCATCAGCAGTGCGTTGACCAATGGTTGCTGGAACTTTCGGCCAGCTGCCCTATTTGCCGTCAAGGTGAGCATCTTTCTAACCTCTTCCATATACTGACGAAGCTGATGACGTGCTTTACAGACTTCCACGCGCTGGAGACAATGATGGCCAGCGACGTTGGTGATCATTTGGAACCGCCCACGCCGCATGGTTCAGGGCGGCCGGTATCCACAGCTGGCCAGCGATTCTCGCGCTATCTGCGCTTAGCTCGACGGAGACGTGGGCGAAACCGCGAGGGTGTGGCAGCTGGAGATGACCCGACAAATCCACCGATGCCTATTGCTCCAGAGACCAGCCTGTAAAACACATTGTACGCCACGTCTTATATTCTCCTATCATGCATATTTCTCTTTTGTCGTTCCGTTTGTCGTCGCATTGTATTGCATGGACACTATAATGTACAACTTGCACCAGGGTCAACCTACACACATGTATTATTCTAATTCAACACCTGCCTTTGGATTCCTTGTTATGTCTGTGGGCGCCCCCGGCGGGTCATTATAAGGCCTTCGATGTTAGATGGGATTCCTTTTTGGTTGGTTTGGTTTTGTCTGCCACAAATTGGTACTCCACTGCTGGTTCAACGCGTCACACTGGTTGTGCTCCACTTTCTTAATGACGCGTTTCGCGTCATGTTCATACCGTGCCCGCCGCTCCTCCTCGTCCTCGTCCTCGTCCTCGTCGGCGGGGCGGGAAACGTATATAAGGCATGCCCTTCGTACCCTTCCTCCTCACTCAGTTCCCGCTTTCCACCATCATCACAATCATACAACTTTCATCTTTCATACCTTCTCATCATCATGTCCGACACTGGCAGACAATCTTGGACTGACAAGGCTTCCGCCGCAGTCAAGGTATTTACTTCATGCATGCCCATCGACGTTCGTATATTAACTTATTTCTTCTAGCCCGACTCCCAGAAGACTACCACCGAGCACATCGGTGACAAGTTCAAGGGCAACGCAGACTCTGCCGCGTCTTCGGCGGAGCCCCAGGTATGAACTCCCTCCCCTTGTACTCTAATCTCTAGATCGTTGATCCATTACACTTACAGAGCCAGAAGTCGACTGGTCAGGGCATCACTGATGCCTTCAGCGGCAACTCCAACGAGACTCAGGTATGTGTCGAATAAACTGATCATTATTCGACACGCTGATTTCTATCTTGCAGCCTTCCGTGACCCAGAAGGTCAAGAACTCTCTCGGCTTGGGTGAAACCCAATGAGCTCAGTCGGAACGTGATTGCATTGTAATAACACCGTTGTATGATATCCTGGGTTGAAAGGACGCATTGTGTAATAAACACGTCTCAGTTGCAAGCATCAGAAGTGGTTCTAATTGATACTTCTAAGTGTTCATTTTGTGCCCGCACATCGCGAAGTATGCAAAGGGCCTATCTGATTCCCGGAAAAGCTGCAATACTAACACTTCGCCGGCGACTGAGGCCTCTCAATCCTTTGATGTATACAGTAAGTGGTGGTCGAACTAACCTACTACACACCGTACATCCACCCGATCGCGAGAAGGGATTGTGGGCAATACCCTGCACTTTTCTGATCAGAGATGACCATGTATATGCTCTAACAAAGCATTACTGGTACTTAAGGTACGTGGTACTACAGTAGTGCAGTTTACACGTTCATCGGGTACGATCGATCGACTTGTAACCGCCTTCTGTAGTTTCACATCGCCTTGCCAAGCTTGCTTCGATGATTATTCTTTGATACCAAGTGCCGTACAGATTACTTACTCCATCATATGTACAGCAATGTCATTAAATAATGTGTTGGCGCATCTACATCACTGGCGGTGACTTGGTGGCACGGACAACGAGGCAATGCAATTGCACAAAATTCTTCATAAAAGGGCGTCACTGACTGTTATCTGTCCACTGTAGCTCCACGTAGAGCCGCCAGCACCTATCTGTACTCGTCCTCCCCCTAAATATGTCATATCATACGCCTAGCGGCTATCCTGGCCCTCAACCAGCTCAAGGATATCCTGGAGCCCAATTCCCAAGCCCTGGCGGAGGATACCCTGCCCTAGGTCAACATGCCCCTCCTCCGCAACAATCGCAGGGCACCGCAATGATCGATACCACTGGTGCATTTGAAGGAGCACAGTATCGTATTGACCACCGAGATAGCAATAGCTTGTTGGCTATTCGTCTGCAACCTGGCTATGAGATTAAGGGCAAGCCGGGTTCGATGGTGGCTATGGACCCTACCGTCAGTCTGAAGGGAAAGGTATGTCTTCGGCCCCGGTTGGGTTCATGAATGGAAATTGACCGAATTATGTCCGTAGCTGAAATTCAGGTGGCATATTACTATGTTGTCCAATGGACCTCACTATCGGGGCTGACGTCTATATTGTAGCTTCAAGAAACTAGTCACCGGGACGGAGGCAGGCAATCCTGTTAATAAAGTGAATGCACTAACATTGACGAACAATCTGCACAGATGTCGGAATCGACCTTCGCAGGTCCCGGAGAGGTCTTGCTCGCTCCCGAGATATGGGGAGACATAGTCCCAATACCGATGGATGGCTCGACAACTTGGTCCATCGGAAAGCACGCTTTCCTCGCCGCCACCAAGGATGTGAAATTAGCGACGAAGTCGCAAGGGTTCGGGAAAGGACTATGTGAGTGTAGTCGCCAACTTTGATGGAGAGCACTATCGTTGACAACCTCACCATGGCAGTCTCGGGAGAGGGTTTGTTCGTCAGGCAGGTGACAGGTGCTGGTGTGTTATTCGTATCCAGTTTGGGTGCTGTCGTTCAGCGAAGGCTTGGGAATGGCGAGCAATGGATCGGTGAGTATATGCGTTACTGGGCAGTCAGTGATTGGGACAAGAATGTTGATCTGATGGATGACTATAGTCGATAATGGACATCTTGTAGCGTGGTCCGCCAAGTATGCTGTCGAGCGAGTGAATGCGGGAGGCCTGATTTCTGCGGCTCATACAGATGAAGGATTGGTTTGTCGGTACGTGTCTTCGAGATTATTTTGCTGTTGAGAAGCTCAGGCTGTAGTACTTACTGTATGGTTTTTAGCTTTACAGGTCCTGGAGTTGTATACATTCAGACGAGGAACCCTGACGCATTGACAGGGTGGATTCAGGAGCAATTGCCTTCCTCGGGCTAAACTTACCTCTTCATTCTGATGGTAAACTTGTTCTGCGAGTCGTCTGATTGTTCAAATGTACTCTACAAAGCGCATGTAGAAAATCCAAGAGAAGACATTGTAAGCGCTCGATGTGCTTCTTTCGCTGTGACGAGTTTACCGGTGGTTCTTGTCTTGTAACCTTTACATGCAATAATTCAAACATGTCTCACTCCACGACAACATCAGCAGTATACGTACTTACCAAGTATTCGCGTTCTTACCCGCCGCAGAATGCGCGTTCTAGTCAAGCCGGGCCAGACGAATGGCAACACTTCACCAATCCAATAATACGTCTCATGCTGGACGTCAAGAAGACTCTCAAAGGAGAGTTGGAATCCTATCGTATGCGAATAGTATGGTCTATCAATCCCGAACAAGACGCGATGGATGTAGACCATCGAGAAGTCGTATTTGTGGGTATATGCATCTCTCACCTGGACATACATATCTGACATGATTATATGCGTATAGGAAGACATTGACTTGTTGTCGTTCTCGTCTCCAGATACAGTGAGGAACCTGGGATATGCAGGGTCCACCGATCCCGGCCTTCCTCTTAAAGCTGTGTATCGTGATTGTGTGGTGGGCATTCGCTACCTGCACCCACGAATCGTCCCGGCTGGACAAAGTCCAGTACGTCAGCGATCTCTTGATGTGTGTCGTAGAGAGTCAAGCTGACTGTTGTTGTAGGTATATCGCCGGATACAAGTGAATTTCAAGGTCGCGAAGGACGCTGCAAGTTTCATTGACGCTGTTCGTCAAGTCTGTCCCTGTAAAGCAAACCCTCCTCCTGCACAAGGTCGCGCAATGACGATGGCGAACAATACCTCTACTGCAACAAGTGTAGATATGCCACCACCTCCACATCCTCGTCCCCGGATGCCGGCTTCGGCCACAGCTTCTACTCTAACAGCCAACCCGGTTCGTGCTGTAAAACCTCCCGTCAGAGCTTCCACGATATTGGACGGTAGTATACAATCAGAACAACATGCAATGTCTGTCTCCGCTCTCCTCAATCCCTTGGACAACCCAACCACTACATTGATACCAATCGCTCCAATGGAGCCTTTCCGGACTCGTCCATCACTGGACTCTGCTATTTCTTTACCCTCAGACTTTGCCTTCACAAGTCAACTTGTAACTCCCGCGCTCTCTGTCGATGGATCTTCTTCTCTTGTGCCTCTCGTCACGCCTTCTCATACTCACACGATACTCGTACAATCCGCTCCTGAAGCCCATGTCGATCCCACTTCATTCTCGAACGTTGAAATTCATTCAAGTGATGGCTCTGGCCTTAGTTCTTCGCATCCCAGTTCTTCTGCCACCACCGACTCTTCGACTGCCTTGACGCCCGTACAATCTCAGCTGAATATGCCCTCGACTGCTGTGTCTAACGCTACCTTCGAGGCACCTCACGCTGAATTGCTAGACTCTCTTCGCGAAATCCCTGAACTGTATAATCTCCCAATGAAGGACCTAGAGAAACTCATTGCTCAAATCATTCGTGAAGATGGTTTCATTCCGCTGGTATGCATAACTGCTCTTCAAAGACAAAGTACTGATCGTGTATTAGCTGGAAAAACTGGATTCCATGTGGAGAATCAAAGGCTTCCTGGCACTTGATTGAAGGAAGCTTCTCCCTGAGAAATACGGAGGGAGAGAGAGAGAATAGCAAGATGGATTGGCTGTATTCGCAGTCTCGTACTAATGTTAGACGGCGGCACGATATAGTATTACTTTTTACTGCCATTAATTCTTTCATATCATCATACCGCTGCCCTTCCCCGCACACTTACTGCCACTTCGATAAACGCTGCTCCCTTCCATTAAGTGGTAACGCGGCCATTCGCGGTGATCCCTCCGCGCGAGCTCGACGCATCGGCATTCCTACTGATACCTGTTCCTCTTAGAGGAATAGAATGACTCGATGTGCTGCTGTGAGTCAATAACCCGCTAACAACATCATCAACGTCACTGAGTATATGGCTCTGCGGGGAATCAAGCTTAAGGCCACTGCTCCCTGGGGTCGACGGATGGCTAGATCGCTGAATGGACAACAAGGCCCAGATGGACGTCAGGAAAATAAGTGCCCGGGGCACGCTTCCTGACATTAATCGTCATGGGGGAATTGGGAGTATGGAGTGAGATGGTAACGGATGGAAGGCCTGGAGTGAAGGAACTGAAAGGCGAGCTCGGCGTAGTATCAGTGCTGCCTGGAGAACCGCTTCTAGTATCTGGACCATTGAGAATGGGGAAGGGTGTCGGGAAGGGCTTTCCACGATGGAGACGATATGGGCGCATGCCAGTCGTACTGCCTCTGGCCAGAAGGCCGAGGGGCACGCTGGCTACGAGAACTGGGCCAGTAGCAGCGACGACGTCGAGAGAAGAGAATTGGGAGCTGCTCATATTGAAACGATATTGAGAAGAACGGGTTATAGGGGCGAGAAACGAGTAGATGCGCTTATGAATATGTATAGGTTGGTGAGAAACTTCGGATATACGTTAGCAAGCCTGCATTTATATACCTTGCAGGTGTGGAGACTCGTAAATATCATACGCATCATCACAGTATACTGAGGAGGATGCACTGAACACACTCACCTGCTCTTCTTAGAGTGAACGATCGTGACATCCGCCGGGTGGTTTCAGTGCAACTCTCCTGCCTTCGCAAATTCGATGAATGTAGATGGGCACATTCCACGCGGGTGCAAAAGGCATATTTCAGTTTCACTCGAAGACAGATGTACCTTTGGATGTAGTATAACAGGCTAACACAGACAAGCCACAGTCTGACTGTAATCTTCTGAGAAGAAACTTGAGTTATTGTCCCTACTGAAGGGCGGGCTGGATAACTGTTTAGGGATGAAAGTGAAGAGCTCGTCGAACCTCAGTGAGCATCCGCCTTAGTCCAAAGGGGCGGGCCTCCAGAAAAAGCGCAAGAAGAAAATCTGTAGAATATATTGCACATGAATAGCATTGAGTTGTTCTGCTGTAATATCGTAGTGCTGGGATCGCGGCAGCACTCTCCAGGGTGCCGCAACTGAAGCTTGAAGTCCGAGTCGCGCAGTGGAATTGCCTTTTCTGGACGCTCACCATCAAAAAGTTGGCCACATTCGGCAATCGTTTAAGATCATATTCTGAGTTCGTGTGAGACAGGAGTACAGTACCTGTAGAACACGTACAGATTCAATCTCCGAGAGAAAGTAGAGGCTAGATCGAAGGCGGGAATAGTGTGTGAGTTAATGGAGTAGCGCAGGACCAGCACCCGCAACGTTCCCTTCAGACCCAGGCATTCCGTTCATAGCACTTGTGAGTGACTCCACACCTTCGATAGCCTTTCGACGAGACTCTTCGGGATTCGACTTGTAGTCCACCAAGCTACGGAAGGAGACCCACATGAACCGCACATGATCTTCGACGAACACGGCAGTGTGAAGTGTATGATCTCCTCTGTTGTCATTGACCCACTCCTGCACGTCCTCCTCGGATGTTTCCTTCTCGCGCAGGAGTTGAGCCACTTCTTCGCGACTCATAATCGAGGCTTTTGTCAGCTGGATCGAGAAACTAGGCGTTATTCTATGTTGGGGATATTTACATCAGCACGTACTTTGAATAGATGTACAGGCGTAGCAGCCTCGGGCCGCCGTTCTAACTCCAGAACCCAGCTGTGTCAAATGGTTCAGCATGGAAGAATGACAGAGAAGAACAAAGACTCAGTACTTACACGTGAGTAGCCAGACGATCATCTGGATGATTTCCAAGGTCCATGGCCACAACACCGATATTGTGGATCAGCATTCTCCAAAAGTTGAGCCACTCGTTCAGAGCATGGTTGAGCTCGGCATAATCCTCATTCTCAGCCATAGCCCGTCAAATTTTGTGCACCTGACGCGCAGACTTTCTTATGAGTCTTCCACGCTTTCTTCTTGCAGTCCCTTGAGCAATACTGAACCATCCTGAAGAAGCAGTCCACGTTAGGCCAATGTTCGTTAGCAGACAATCGAACTATGGATAAGTAATCGGAGGAGCTCACTTGCACTGATCACATTTCTTCAGATTTCTGCTAGGTTTGACGCAGTATGAGCATAACTGGGAGCTCATCTCTGTTGTATGAGATGGTGGTCAGAAAGTTAATTGACAAAGACTGTCGAGTCAGGCGGCTATATAATTAATTACGTGAAGGTCACATGTGCGTGATGCTTGAATAGGCGCATCCGTGTCTTTGCAAACGTACTTCGAAGTCCAGAATATTAAGCTTATACTTACATACCCACGATAGATCAAGCACAGCGAGTTGAGTCAAAGGCCGTTAGATGTATCCTTTGCACCAACACGCTGGAACTTTTCATTACCGCGAGGCGTTGAGGATATTTATAGGTAGATGGACGATGCCTCCGAGTCGGGTTGCTTCTAACGATGTGAAGACATTAAACACTATAAAAGCAAATGGCCATCAAGGAGTGTCAGCACTCACAGAAATGGTTACGAGAAGGCCAGTCTGATCGTGACGCTTATTTCTTTTACTTTGGAGAATGCCAAACGGATGAACTATGAGAAATCAAGTATAGCAAGGGGCTGAAGCTTGAAGGGAAGCTATTAACGTTGTGAAGTTTCTTCAGACCGAGACTGTTCAGTGGGATGGTCGTAAGTAGAATGGGGTAAACAATGTAGCCGCTTGATCGTGAGAAAGTCGAGCTTACAACATGATTGGCTGGAGCGTGAAATGGCGCGCAGAATATAATTCTTTCTAGTCGTTCGACCTTGCTCATATTAAAACCGTGTCCGTCCGTTTTCCCAACTCTCCACGCTCCTTACCTCCCTTCTTCCCTCACTCCGTCGCCGTTGCTTTCCTCGTAAGTTGTGTTCCATGTGCTCTTGAAGCTCATTGCTGGGCTTCTCCTGTGATGAAAAACTTCTGCAAAATATTTACACGACGTGTACTCCTGCATGGATGTGTGCGATTTCCTTCGGGAATCCATTCAAGTCACTGAATCTTCATTTAACTTTGCCAAGTTCTCTTTGTGTGACACGCTTTGCTGACATGCCATTTAACACGTAGTCCTCAAGATGGCCCCCGTTGCTACCGAAAAGACCCTCGTCGATGACGGCCGTGATCAGAGTCGTATCCAGAAGTACACCGACTTCTGGGACAGCGAGTTGAAGAAGGAGGGCGAGGAACACACCAACAACCGTCTCTTGAACTACGCTGATGTTGTCAATGGTATGTTCGTGCTTTTATATTCTCCGTCGTTCCAATTTTTTTCTCCTTTTGGCTTGAATCATGCTAATATGAATCATTCCTCCAGGCTACTATGACGCTGCTACCTTGGTGTATGAGTATGCCTGGTCGGGTTCCTTCCACTTCTCTCGATTCTACAAGGGCGAAGGCTTCACTGCCTCTCTCGCCCGTCATGAACACTACCTCGCTGCTCAGATGAACTTGCGTCCTGGCATGCGAGTCCTCGATGTTGGCTGTGGTGTTGGTGGCCCAGCGCGTGAGATTGCCCGTTTCGCAGACGTCAACATCGTTGGTGTCAACAACAACCAATACCAGGTCAACCGGGCTAATAAACACGCTAAGCGGGCCAAGTTGGATGATCGCATTCAGTTCGTCAAGGGCGACTTCATGAAGCTCTCCGAGCAGTTCGGCGAAAACTCCTTCGATGCGGGCATGTCTTTTATTTTTATCTTTATTTTGAACGCTTGCTTACCGGAAATTCACAGTCTACGCCATTGAAGCTACCGTGCACGCACCCAGCTGGGAAGGCGTCTATGGTGAGATCATGAAGGTCCTCAAGCCCGGAGGAATTGTAGGTTTTCATACCTTTGGGTTCTGACCCGGTCTGACTAGTCGTCCAGTTCGGTGTGTACGAGTGGTGCATGACAGACCGTTGGAATCCCGAGATCCCAGAGCACCGCGAACTCGCAAAGCAAATCGAGATTGGCAACGGCATTCCCGAGATGCGCTCAATTAAGAAGGCTCGTGAGGCTCTCGTCAACGTCGGTTTCGAGATTCTCCACGAGGAAGACCTTGCCGAGCGTGAAGACGATATTCCGTGGTACTACCCTCTTGAGGGAGACCTTCTGAAAGCTCAGACTCCTTGGGACGTGTTCATGTGCTGGAGGACCAGCAGCAGCGGCAAGTTCGTGACTCACTACGGACTGTGGATGTTGGAGAAGATGCGACTCGTACCTCAGGGTACTTTCGATGTCTGCGAGACACTTAAGATTGCTGGTGATGCTTGTGTGTGGGGTGGTAAGACTAAGCTCTTCACTCCCATGTACCTTGTTGTCAGCAAGAAACCCGAGTAGGGTCGGGTTAGGAGCTTGGCTGGTGGAATTCGGACGTTCATTGCTACCATCTGATCAGTATTGTATATGATACCCTTCGTAATTCATGCCCGGATAGACTGTTCGCTCTTTCATTTGACTGCGTGTGTGATGTCCTAAAGCAACAAAGTTGGCCCGGTAAGTACGTATGTACAGTATCAAATTAGTCGTGTCTCGGTCGCGTCTGTGGCGAGACTGCCCGAAGGGGGAAAACACGTCAACAGGGGCAAATAAACGGATCGCGTCGGGTTGAATAAAAGTCGAATGCGGCGTTAAGTTTCCTGACCATCGCTGCTCTCTTCTCTCTCTCATCCTCTTACTCTCTACTCGCATTTCTTTTGTATCTATAACATCCAACTACCATGTCTTGCTCAGGCGTTCGTACTCCCACTCGCGCGCTTTCTCCAGAGCCCTTCGTTGCTCCCACACCGAGCAAGACACCGAGCAAGAGGGTAGGGCGCTTTTGCTGGTTCGAGTTTTCCTAAATGCGTCTGAACTTGCTTTGAATTATGAAGGCTGCCGCTGCGTTGGAAGAGATGTCCCTCGCATCGCCAACGAAACGCGCCAAGCTCGAGTCCCTTCATATCGTCGATGACAAGCAACTCTCCTCTTCCCCTACCCGCGTTGACGAGGCGAAAGAGAACGATTTCTTTGATCCCAAACCCGAGGAATCCGAAGAGGAACTTCGCAAACGATATGTTGGCGACATTCACCTTCCCGAAAGTAGGTTGCGTTGCGTTCGATAGTGACATAATATTGACTTCGCGCCAGGTCAGGAACCTCTTCTTATTGAATCTAAACGGCGTTTCGTCCTCTTCCCCATCCAATATCATGAAGTATGTGACTTCCAATATATGGCAGTGAAACACGTCACTGACCTGGTTCTGTAGATTTGGCAAATGTACAAGAAGGCTGAAGCATCGTTCTGGACCGCCGAAGAGATGGACCTTTCCAAGGACACTCATGATTGGCAAAATCGCCTAACTGACAGTGAACGTTACTTCATCTCACATGTCCTTGCCTTCTTCGCCGCCTCCGATGGTATCGTTAACGAGAACCTGCTTGAACGCTTCTCCAATGAAGTTCAAGCGGCTGAAGCTCGTTGCTTTTACGGGTTCCAAATCATGATGGAGAACATTCACTCTGAGACATATTCACTGCTCATTGATACCTACATCAAGGACCCGCAGGAACGTGAGCACCTTTTCGACGCTGTTGAGACTATCCCTTGCATCAAGAAGAAGGCCGACTGGGCTCTGCGATGGATCTCGGACAAAAAGTCTAGCTTCGCTGAGCGTCTTATCGCTTTCGCCGCCGTCGAGGGTATTTTCTTCTCCGGTTCATTTGCGTCCATCTTCTGGTTGAAGAAGCGTGGTCTCATGCCTGGCTTGACCTTCTCGAACGAGCTTATCAGCCGTGACGAGGGTATGCACACCGATTTTGCATGCCTCCTCTTCAGTCACCTCAAGAGACGTCCTCACCCTGATGTCGTGAAGAAGATCATCGTGGAAGCGGTCGCCATTGAGCAAGAGTTCTTGACTGGTATGGCACACTTGGTAACGGAATTATGCACGGACTAACAATAACAATCTCTAGATGCTCTTCCCTGTGCTCTCATTGGCATGAACGCGAAGCTCATGTGTCAATACATTGAGTTTGTTGCTGACCGTCTCCTGCTGGCCCTTGGAAGCCCGAAGGCTTACAATGTAACCAACCCCTTCGACTTCATGGATATGATCTCACTGCAGGGAAAAACCAACTTCTTTGAGAAGCGCGTCTCCGATTACTCCAAGGCTGGTGTCAGTACGTCGGCCCAAAGCACCAAGTCGGAAGTCTCAACATCCCGTGCATTGTAAGTGACTATCTTTTGACGTCATACCTGTTCTCATTCCTTTTGATAGCTGCCTCGATGAGGACTTCTGATCATCTTGCTCGGCACCTCCAAGTCTTCGTTCAGGACTTTGTATTCGTAGTTGGATTGTTTCTTTCTCCCTTTTATTCTTCTCTTCCTGTTGCACTATCAGTCTCGCTGTCTCATAACATCGTTAACAGCATGCACCTCTCAATCCTCGGCTTTGCATTTCGACATTGTCATAGATAGATTTGTTGCACGTTTTATGTTATAGCTAACCATCTCCCCCCTCTAGCTCTCGTGTTCTTCCAGAATGCCATTATGATTTTACCGAACTTTTGACCTTATCGTCTGAGTGTCTTTAGTGTTGAAAGGGAAACAATGCAGTCATTTGCGTGCATTACAAGCGGTCTGAGGTTCATTAACGTTCATTGGCAACACTATTGATTTACGCAAGTAGCGAGGGTCATATAATGGTGAGATACTGTCATCCACTGGTATATAGGCTGTGCATCTAACGAGAATTAGAATGTGACGAATCTACAGACTCTAACTGGTCTTAGCTTCGTCTGCATGATCTCCCGCCTCACGCACATCCTCGTTTACCTGTAAGTCATGCACGCTCTCCAACCCGACGCCTCTAAGAATACTCCCAATGCTCTCCTTCCTCACAGCCTCCAACTCCCTCTCACTCTTCACAAGCAGGGTCCCAGCAAATCCAAGTGCGTTCACGCTAAGTTCCTCTCCCGTCTCATGCAACGTGTAGGTTTCTCCTCGTCTGGGTATTACGTGCATGTGTTCGAGAGTGAGGATGACGTTGTATGAGGGTGGGCCTATTGGGTAATTTGGATCGTGTCGGATGGTGCTGATGGCTAGGTCGAGAAGGGACATGAAGGCTGCGGAGAGGATGTGTGATAACTCTGTGGAGGGGGTTGAGGATGAGAGGGAGGACGGTAGGCGGCGAATGTGGTTTGCGTATGGTAAGGTGCTTAGCGCGAATGGTCGTTCTGGAGTAGAATCTTTGTTCAGCCTCAAGGTAATAAAACTGAAAGTTGAACAATGAAGGGTCACGAGCGTACCTGGAACTTCTAATTTGGCTTTGCGTGCGAGACGTTCTACTGGTGGGCCATCGGGATCTATTGGGAGTAACTGCAGATGTTTATGTGGTTGACTTGCACCACTCAGGGTTCCGCCTGAAAATAGAATATATGAGCAAGTAAAGAATAAGTCCCGAGGAGGAGGGGGCTCACAGTTGTAAAAGGCAAAGAACTTCCGGCCTGCATCCCTAGCTGCCAACAAGAGTTTATATGTTTGCACCAGATCCGAAGGAAGCAATGGTGCAGTTTGTGAATGGAACTCTGCAGGCGGAGGTTACACCACAACATAGGAAATGGTTGGACATCGTATGTTACCTTTTGTAACGAGCAGTATATGGTGTGGGACCACGGAGTACTTGTTGAACTAGCCAACCAACCGTCAGCTGTCAAATCAGAGCAGCAACATAAAAGTGAACCGCACCAGGACAACGTAATCTTCACTCTCATCCTCGTCCTTCAATTCACCAATCAACAGGTTCGCATTATGAGGCGGCGCAAAAGGATCAGGCTTAGTTCCCTCCGCCTTTTCGCAGTCTTCATACGAGTCGAAGTGAGGCGGAGGCAAATTGGGCTTCTTCTCCAATGCAGGACATAGCCTGATCTCGAACTGTATACGTTAGAAAACATCTGTCTAAAACACATACACGGGGAGGTTGAGAACGGACCTAACATACCTCTACCCCATTTTCCTGGTGCAGTGTGGTTGTGGAGGGGAAAAAGAGCAAGTCGCCTGATTCAGTCGCTTTCGCGTACTTTTCTGGTATCCCGGAAATGAGCTCCATTGGACTAGATGTCGTCCTTGACGTTGTATAGCACCGACAATGAGGTATAGATCCAAGACGGAGGGAATCGCGTGGTATCTTGCGCACTTGAGACAACACGAGTTTATGGCTGAGAAACCGGAAGTTGTAGTAAGCAACGCTTTGCCAGCGGCCTGAGAGAATGCGCGATGAATAGAATGGATGACGAGTTGTACCAATCGGTTGGCAGTAAAGCTTTGAAGGAGATAAAAGTGAAGGATTAATGAACCTGGTCATGGATTAGAATAAGATCTTAACGCGTCCTGAGGAAGACGGAGCCAAGGTTCCCTCAATTTCACGCATGTAGTAACCAATAACCGACCACGATTTCAGTCATAGTACACCAAACTACAGGAGCAGTGAAAGAAAAACGCATTTGTCTCTAGCTCGCATCTCAGACTACAACAATGCAAGACCGGAACAGGGAAGAAGATAACGGGAGAATGTCCACAACAGTCAACACCAGAAGAGTAGCGGATGGACGAGAGTATTCCTGACGAATGGGGGGCGGAACGAAGAGTAAGTGAGTCAGGTGGAGTGGGGAGTGGGGGAATGTAGTATACAAAGAGTGGAAATTGAAGGGGATGAATAAAGTTAGATGTACCCAGCCATCTGAAGGGGAAGTCTCACTCCCCTCGAGCACTTTGGGGGAAGACGGAGAGAACTTAAGACCGCGTGCTAAGCCTTCCCGCCCCTCCCTCTATTATTCTTGGCTTCCTCCATCTTTTCTCCTAGCATTTGTGCCCTCATAAAACAGCCAGCAGCTATCACCGACCATAACGCGCCATTCGTCCCCTAGATACCCAGTTCATGGTGAATGTCCTTGAGGGAAACGGAGGGGGGATACTCACCTGGTAGTACAGGATGGCGAAGAACGCCTGAAGGATTAATAACACTATTCGGAACACAAAACTTCGATAGATGGAGGTGCCTTTCAAAAACGGCGCAGGATAATCTAGGGCTAGCAGGCCAAAGCCAAGGACCATCGACAGGATTTGTACCACGGGTGCTTTCACAATGATTGTGATAAGGAAGGCCACATTGGATGCTGGTCTGATGAAATATAAATTAACAAAGGATGACGAGGGAATAGAGACGGACGCACTGTATACCGCCGGGAGCACGAATCGTGCCACCTACAAAGTCCCAGAAAAATTTACGGTAGAAGAAGCCCCAGAAGGCGGACCATATAGTATCTAAGCAATATCAGAGTTAACTAGAACCCGTTGCTGAGGGTTGTCGCTACTCACAGGTGGTAGCACTGAGGGACACGAAACGAGCGTATTCGTGCCAAATGAGGTTACCCATTGTGTTAGAGTAGTACGACGGGGGGACGATGGAGTGATTTCGGATTCTAAAGGCTCAAGACGAGACAATGCAGAGAACTTGAGGAGGATAAAACAGAGGGAAGGCTTGCTTCGATCGAGGAGGAGGATGAGATTGAGAGAACAGCCCAGCGGTCCGATCCAGCGAGCTCAGCTCGAAAAGAGTGTGGAGAAAGAGAATGCGAGAGACAAAAGACAAAAGAGAAAGGAAGGTGAAAGAGCGCGGCGGCAGGAGGAGACTGACAACACAACAAGACTCGCCTTTTGACTCGGATACCTTTCGACCACAGCCTGCCCCTTTCGCACGCTCGCCAACAATGATGGTCTCCAGCGACCAGTCCCATTCCCTCGGCGCGGACCGTCTATCTTACTGCCAGCCTGCATTTCTGTTTCATTTCACGGCTCCTCTCTGGGCGGTGAGTGCATCGTCGTGTTTTCATCATATGCACGATATCAACAAATAATTTACCGAATAAGTATTTTACGGTTTGCTTGGTCTACCTTACATCTCAACCAGCTCGGGCATGATGGCAGGTGTCCATGTCAACCTCCCATTCGACAGAGAATATGTACTACAGCTGTATAGAATCAAATTCCGGTCCATCCAGGTCCAACCTCAGATCGGGTGGCCGGGCTGGCCGCACAGGCGGCGTCTGTATCATGAGATGATTAGCGTCGGACGATATATGGATACCAGACGATACTGACCTTCGTGACATCTGGAACGACCAGGACTGAGTCGCGATAATAGTCGGCAAAATCACGGGTAGAGTCATCTGACGCCTCGGTGTACGCAGTAGATCGGTTGCGTATCCTCAACGGGAGAGCAGTCGGTAGTGGCGGGACAGGTGGGATCGAATCGTGGGGCTTAGGATGACTTTGGTGATAGTAATCCGTCAAAGTGGAATCTGTCGAAGCAAATGATGCCTGCGACCATCTTGTGTTCGTCGTCTTCCTGCGATCCAGTTCACTAGCTTGCTGCACGCCGCCCAGGTATACACCCGGTTGGGCAGGAAGACCAGGACGTGGATTGTCTTGCACCTGGTATCGTGGAATTACAGCAGGTTCCGGTACTGGAATCTGCGGAATTTGTTTCTCGCTGAAGTAGCCTTGTCCGGCTTCCAGGTCAGGATCCTGCAAGGGAAACACAGGCGATGCCATTTCAGCGGCTTTTGCCCGTTGCTTCCTCTTCAGCTTCCTCTGGCGCGAGCGGACAATTAAGAAAAGGACCAGAGCGATGAGGAGCAAGATGGCAAGCAAAATGGAGACAACGAGACCAACAACTGCGGACTTCGAAAGACCTTGGGAGGCATCCCCCGATGCACTACGGCAACATTAGTCTAAGCCAACGAAATCAATAAGAAACGTACTTTGCTTGGGCTTGATTAACCTGAGGAGTCATCATACCATCTCCAAATCCCATTCCACCGCTTTCATCATCTGTGCTATTGGAATTCTGGTAGATGGTGATGGAGTCCAAGTCGAGGAACGGAGTGCTATCATTCCCGCGAGAGGCAACCGTGACATTATGTTGTTCGTGACCAAGATTTGAGGCAAAAAACTACAGGTTGTCAGAAACTAAGACAAATCGCGATTTGCAATTACTTACAAGCAACGTCTTCAACAATGTCAGTCCAAATACCACTCAAAATACTACAAGAACTTACCTGAGGATGATAAACTCGCATAGCTCCATTACTTCCGCCATTCAGCTGATGTGATTGACCATCTATTGACACCTCGTAATCTCCATGGTCGAAAGACGAACCACCAGAAATTGCAAGCGCATCTCCAGAGAACGAAAACGAAGCTTCAGCCCCTCCCTTCTGTGCGAAGCTACATGGCGCGTGATGTGATTAACACAACGTGATGAAGATCTAGAAAAACCCACAAACCACGTACTGAACACTCCCGCCAGAGAATAAATCGTTGTTGCTGACCCCCCAATCCGATGAAGGAGAAAAGGAGATCTTGTTGTCGCCATCATCGAGAGTAGACGATGACACAGTGCCGCTGCATGCGTGTCAGTCACGGGAAAGGCTTGTGAATAAACTAGCAAGACACTCACTTGGATGATCCGACTTTCGTCTCGAACACGATAGAATCCAGATCGATAGGCGAAGAATCCGAGCTCGTCAACACAGCAGTGTGCTCGCCCATATCAAGGTCCGAGACTCCTCCCAAGAGTTGACCAACCCGAGCATCCGAAGATCGAGCAGAGCCAGTCTTCACAGTGTTGCCATCCACAGACAGAGAATATGACCCATAGTTGAATCTGAAGCCGCCGAAAAGCCAAACACCAGTCCCATTGAATTTGAATGTCGCAGAAGCATCCTGCTGATGGGTGACATGCAGAGACTTTGCCGCGTACGACTGGGCAAGTGTATCATTACTGGGCGTATCTGTCCACGCTCCAGAAGGAGAATATGATATTAAAGGAGAGCTATCGTCCACTGCAAATACGCTCATTAGTCTAAACATTATGAAATTATTGCCAACCCGGTACTCACGCGAGACATTAAAAGCAGCCATCAAGGCCGCAAAGCCAAAGAAACAGAACCAAAAAGAGCGTCGGTGAGAACAAAAAGAAGAGACCCAGCTCCGCCCAGCGGAGGGAACGAAGACGAAGGTCGTTACAAGTCGTGGGGGTACGGTCGGGACGGCGAAAGTGCACAGCGTTCAGGCAGCAAGTCCTTATGTAGTCATGGGCTCCGGCATCACTATCGGTGTCACACAATCAAGCGACGCAATAGCTTGGACGAAAACTGCCCCTTTGCAGATATCAATGGCATCACAGCCGCATTGAACTGGGTTTCATGAAGGCGCTTGGATGGGTTCCTGACAGGCTCAGACGGGACGCGTTTTGACTGAGAAAACCAACTCTTAGATACTTGGTGAATGCATTGCAAGAGTGAAAGACGTACTTTCTCATCATAGTTATTGATGTTGAACGATCATCGTTAAAACAGAGTCTAGCTTGCTGATATCATTGGCGTTCATCAATTCATCAAGAGAAGAGATGACAAGTTGAGTATACATTCACATGGGCGTTCCGTGGCGCGCCTGCACATTTATACAGAAAGTATATCGAAGAAAATTCGAGATAAATCATGATCAAGACGAATCGCGACAACGAAAAGACCTGCAGAACAAAGAGGACCCAGCACGTGAGCTACCGCGTCAACAAGGCCAAACACTCATTATAGTCCAGCCCGCCTTCTCCAGAGCCACACCTCTTTCTTTCTCCTCTTTCATTTCATCTCGCACTATGCCTCCTAAGGCAAAGGGCAAAAGGCCCGCCTCCTCAGCAGTTGCCCGTACAGGACCAAAAGAAGTATTTCAACACAGCAGTCGACGTTCGAAACGCGAAGAAGAAGACAATAAACCTACCACTCAACGCGCCCTCGTTTTGCGCAATGGCAACTATGGCGCGCAGGGCACCGGCGAAGTCATATTATTGAACAGAATGACTGGAAGGGAGAAGCTCGACCTTCTTGCAGGTGCGCGACACCTGCTTCCATTCCATTCACCTAGCTGAAACTCGTTTGGTCTGCAGAGGATCTCATAGAGAAATCCAAGCAGGCGTTAGGCGTGGCGTTCCGCATGGAACAATGTTTGAAGATAGCAGAATCTCAGTTCTATGGTGAGCAGATGTCGTCGCAGGACGGGGTTTGGACCAGTGCCACTCACAGTCGTCCTTTCATAGCCAATCTCGATGAGATCAACGATTTGCAAGACCCCGATCTCTTTGTAGACAAGGTCAAGGCTGAAGTGTGGGCTCGGAAACCCAAAGAAGCCAATCCATTCAAAAACGCGACCGAAGTAGCGGAGATCATTGCTACACAGTATGGTTCTCTCTTTGATTGCCGTGCATTCCTCCTGACAAGGATACTTGGTACATGTAGGATCCACAATGCATACATGCTTGCTTCAGGATGGAAGATCGTTTGGCACTACTTGAGTGATCTTCAGGCTGCCGGCTTGCAAGATGGTTCCATCCGGCAGCAACTGGGCTCTAACGAGCAGCTTCGAATCAAGTACCTTGTCCTATTCGATGTTGTCAATGTGCTCGTTGAAGCCAATCAAGCCAAGGTTGCCCTCCTGGCGACGACTGCTCGTGCGTATATATGTTTCGTGTATCGGGTAATATCTTTGACATGCTGGAACAGCCCACTATGACAAGTATTTCAAGAAAACTGAGAGCGATGACGGCGGCGCGCCGGAATATGTGTTCAATTGGGGTGAACTCAAAATTGTCCATAGGTCTTTCGTCGATTCCATCATTGTTGAGCTTTGTCTGCCGCGTTCACACATTCCGAGAAACATTCTCTACATGATTTTGCGCGAGGCTATTGATGAAGCGCCTCGCGACGGGAAGCGATTCCCTCAGGCGATGTGGGATGCAGTCGGCGATCTTTCTGTAAGTATTGTAACGTGCATCCTCAGATATTTCGCCTTCGGAATAGTTAGCTTACCCGAGGATGGCCGGTCCGCAATAACTCTTAGGTCACAGTGCAGCTTCAAGAAATGCTTGAGAGTGTCCTCCTTGGGCCCGAGGGTGAACAATGGAAAAGAGATATTGGACATCTCCCTCTTCCTGAGGAATATGACAGTTGGTTGGATGCGCAGGCTATGCCGGCACACATAGTCAAATATGTGGCGAACTGGAAGGATAGCATTCACCCTCTGGAGAAGACCAAGAATGTTGTTGTTCTCGAGAATATGTGGCGCTACATTAACCTGGTTTGTGTTGTCTTTGCATCTTCACGATAATTAATTAGCCCTTAACCGTGCTTCTCAGAACTACAAGGCATTTACCGGCAAGGACATCGATTCCCTGTGGCGTTTGGGAGAGGTCCACCAGCGTACCCCTCAGTGGCATGCTTTCAAGGTCAATGCGAGTAAAGCGGACCTTGATGTTGACGTCGATGAGCCTCCTAGTCTCGATTCTCACAAGGAAAAGAATAAGAGCCAGGGCAAGGCTGGAAAATACCTCTCCATCACGAATGGAGACGGGAATGACAGCGATGGTTCTATGCCCTCCCTGCAAACCGTGTCTGATTCGTCGGAGGCAGAATCGGACTATGAGAATACCGAGGAAGAGGCAGCACCGGACGCGGAAGACTACGAAGATGACGAGTATGATGAGGATGACGAAGATCAGCTCAGAGATATGTTCCGCGAGGCTATGGATGCCGCTGCTGCTACTGCTGACTTCTACGATCCGAAGAGCGACGCTAAGGAATTCGATCAACTCGCTGAAGAGCGCAAGGGTAATCCGTTCATCAAGCTCTTGGGTTCATTGAGAGGTGCGGCATAGTGCGGCATATTTTCATCCGTATATATGTAATCTAACTCTTGTAAACAAGGGCGAATGTTCTCTTCCGAACCTGCTCTCAAGACGACTAAGCGTACTCAGCCAAGTCATCCTTTCCCGGGTGGGAAGCCTCCTTCGGCGGCACCTGCTGGTGCTGCCCAAGCTAAACCCAAAACCGCACCGAAGGCTACGCCTGCCGGTAAGTCCTATGATTCTGCTTCTGTGTTCATTTTAGTCATCTTTTACGTAGCCGGCCAACCTAAGAGCCAGAAGGCCACAGTGGAAGAAGTCGAGGATGAAGAGGAAGGTGGTGTGCCGTCCGCCTCTAAGAAGAAGAAAAAGAAGAAGCCTAAGAAGAAGAAGAAACCTGCCGCTGCCACTGCCGACGGTGAAGCAGATCAAGAGGCCGCCGTGCCTGCAATGCCTACTCCCGCAGCACAACCCAGCACTCCTGCCACTGCCGCACCTCCCAAGGAGACTCCAAAGCCCAAGCCAGCACGCGCTCCTTCCGTAGCTTCGAGTGCCAATTCCTTGCCGTTTGGTGGTTCGACTGCCTCTCTTCCTCAGCCCGCTGTTGCTCAGTCTGCTCGTAAGTACGTGCAGGAGGCCGGTATCGAAGAGAAGAACAAGGTCAAATCGAGGCCCGATTATGCGAATCTCGCACCCATTCCCGAGAAGAAAGGATTATTTTCGAAGCTGAAGAAGGACAAGGAGGGTGATGACGGAAAGAAGGGCAGCAAGCATAGTTTCTTCACCACATTAGGGAAGAAGACCAAGACTTACATGCATCAATTACTCAACACCACCGGAGATGACAAGAAAGGTCTTGCGCCTATGAAGTGGGATAACTTCTTGAAGGTGCGATCTAATTGCGTGAGTATATGCGCACCATCTTACGTTAATTGTCGTAGGTTATGCGCGATATGGGCTTCAAATACGACCCTGGTACTGCTGGTTCCAGTGTTCGGTTTGATCCTCCTGACTCTCGTGATTCTGTAAGCACCTTTGTGAGATACGTCCTACGTGTCAGTGGTCTCATCATCTTCTTTGCAGCCTATCACCTTCCACAGACGTAAGTTTCATAGTTGATAGCCTTCGTTAACCTGTTATACTAATTGTCCTTCAAGCCCACCCTGATCCGACGCTTTATCCTGTTAAGTTGAAGGAGTTTGGTAAGAGACTCAAGAGATACTACGGCTGGTCTGAGGAAGATTTCTATCGTGCTGCGGGCTAAGAATGCATTTGCTCTCTTTGCTCTGCGTGCAACGCAATTTTCCGCAATGTCCATTCTTTCCCGCATAAGACTGTTATGACTGTATGTTGTTTGTAAAATGGTGTTCCAGTATATCTGTATCGACTCATGATATCATTCTGTATGTTTTTCTTGATATGAAATGTTGACTCCCTCACGAGGCGTTTGCCTTATTGGGGAGCGGCAATGGCCCTGGCTTGTCGAAGCTCACCGTTCACCAACGACTTGGTCAAATTGAACTCCGTACGCTTCTATAGGCGTATTCGCATTTCTTTGTTTACTCATTCAGATGTAGTTTCGGAGACAGAAACACAGAACTCCGGGCCACGTTATCCATTTGACGAAGAACAATGACAGACAAGAACGGCAGTGAGACATTACCAGTAGCGCGCCAGTTGAGACTGAGTCGATGAAGTGCTCGTCTAAACAACCTTCAAATTTATCTACACGACATTGGATTGAACGGGAGCGAGATGCCAGTGAGACGATCGTACGTGATTGAACAAGGACAAAGGCTTGTAAACTGAGAACTCCATCAGCGCACGCCTAGCTTTGCAGGCCAAAAAAGCGATGTAAGTTATACTCCCAACTCCAAGTATCATAGATCCAGCCTTATGATTGATCCTGCAGAAGTGGGTAGCTCTGGGCTTAATATGCGGTTGTTGTTCTCAAATCTTTCTTGATCCTTTTCAGAGAAGGCTCTCAATTTTCCTCCAGAGTTGCGCAATATCATACTCGACCAACTGTGGGACCTTGTTCGCGTACGGTGTCACGACCCTGATACTCTGCGTTCGTGCACCTTCGTCAACAAAGACTGGTACGCGTCTGCCCGTCCGCATGTCTTTCGCGCGGTTCGCCTAGACAGCTGGAGAAGACTTGTGGAGCTCGCCGAGCTAGCTGTTTCCGATAGGAGGATAACGAGATACATACGCAAAGTATATCTCTATGGGGAGTCATCTGCGAATGAGGGCGAAAGCATTAGAGATTTTGTCAAGGCGGATGACAGTCGGATTCTCCAATTCCCCTTTCTGTTCGGAGGTAGCCTGCTGTGCCTCCAATCCATAGAGATATGCCACTTCGCCTATCCCTTCGGTAACTACGAGGAGCAGGACAGGGAACAAATACAACGAGTGGAAAGCGAGACATTTGCCACCTGGATATATTCGTTAAGGACGCTCAAGAACGTAGAGGAACTAATCCTTCGAGACTGTATGATGAGCAGCAATGCGTTGACGGCTCTCGTTCGGTCCTTCCGGAGGCTGAACCGGGTGGATTTTCGCCACTTCACCTTGAATACGCGTGGCGACCTAGATGCTATTCCGGTCCATGAAGTGGAGGGTACCCCTATGCCTGCAGAAGCTCATGCTAGAAACAATGGATCATATGGCCCTGCTCAGCTGCCAGTGCTCTTCCCGCTTTTGTACCCGAGGCCCATGCTGCAATCAGTTTATATTCACTACGGCTTTGATGAGCCGTTTGATATCGGCATTCTGAAGGGTTGGTTTCTTCCTCTGGACGTGACGGCCACATTGAAATCACTGGATGTCTGGGGTAATTTCGAGGTGGAACCCCTGGCCAGCTTCTTTTCTAATTTTGGCCCCAACCCAGTGTTGGAATGCCTAAGACTTCATGTGGATCCGGGTATGTCTGCTTTCAACTCCATGAATACGGTTCTCACTTTTCCATAGAGTTCCACTTCGACATAGACCTGTCTTCTTTTCTTCATCTCCAACGAATTTCCTTCTTTCCCGGGTTCTTTCATGCTGAGAGCATCGGCGGGCTCATCCGCGTGCTGTCTCGACTCACTGCGGTGACACATGTAGTGGAATTAACCTTCAGCATCGAACTTAGGCGCTTGGATGGACTTCGACACGAGGATGTGGGGCCTTTAGATGATCTACTTTCGAGCGAGAAATTTCAATACTTAGAAATAGTCACCATCTTACATGACTTTCGTCATCCACTTAGACAGCTCCGGCAGGCAGGCAAGGAGGCCTTCCTGAGACTATCACAATGCCGCATTCTGCGCTTTGAGGTATCGGAGTGATGTGCACTGTTATCTTAGCAGTAGTAGTTTGCAATGTCTTTTTCGGGATCTGGGTCGCCATGTTAGCCTAATAGTTGCAAATTATCCATTCACATCATGTAATTTTCTGTGGCACCCATGAATGGTGTTGAGGTAGATTCTTTGATTCACAGAGTATGGTGAGAGTGGTAGATAACCTGTGTTCATTAAGAGTGTATCTATGTAGGTGCAAAAATTGTAGGCATATATGGATGAAATGGCATATACAGCATTGGTGTGAGCAAGAAGAGGACATATGTTTATAACACGAGACTTCATAATTGAGCTGTGGAAGAAATGGGAGGAATCCTTGAAATAAATGGAGCACAAGAGTATATACTTCGATGGGTGGTCCAGCATGAATTGCGTCTACTCAGAACTTGCAGAATGATCACTGAAGGAACCTAACAATTATGGCAATTGGCTGCTACTGGCATTCTATTGCTGTCTCACAGGACCTCCCTTGGCCCCAGCATTGTTATCCTTCCTATTGTAATATTTGGCCCATGCACATGCTTTGTCCCCAAATTGCAGGCCTCTTTATCAGCAAAAACAACAAATCATTGTAGCTCTTTATAACCACACCAGTGTCAATATAACAAAATATAACAGAATACATCTCATTGGTGCACACTATGACACATGGCCTAGATTGTATTGTATTACATGTTGGAATATAGTAGAAGTGGCGAGCGTCGCTATGCGCAAGAATGAGAGGAGCGGGATGGAGTTCCACATGCTTGACAGCATTTTCATATATAAGTAGGTATTTATCTTTGTATATACCTTATCCGTTTGCCTCAGAGCTCAACGAGGTCAAATGCTATGACTCACTTTCCTCCCGCGCAATGTGTATTTCAATATTACATTAGATAGTAAATTAATATATTGTGACTAGTAGAGATGTATCATACCATAACATATTTAAAACAGTTCTATACTTTCAGCCAGGCAGATATCATGATACTGTATAAGGTGTGTGTGCCTGATGCTCATTACCTTTAACTCAGTGCCATAGAAGAAACTCATACTGTCTGTTTGTGACCATCAGGATCTTCATGATAAGATGTCAAGAGTTTATTGAGAGATAGCATGTGTGAAATGTTCATCAAATACAATCATTCCTATCAACCTGCAATACACTCTGAAATGACATTACAAGATATGTTGGACTTTATGAGATCCACCATCTCTAGCAGTTAGTCAGCAGCTAATCTGTGCTATCATTATGTCAATAATAGGACAACTCTAGAAAATCTGAATTTCTGCTTGAATTGGGTTTATTCCATATATATCATGCTACACTTGAGAGTTCTCATCTAATTAAAACAGGTAGCTGATAGCTTGTTTGAATTTAGTATAATACTATTTTCCAGTCACTAGGCACAGTCAGTCAATCTTCGATGATGCCTTGTCCACATTTAAAATATGACAACAATTCTATATCTCTATTAACTTGTATGCTCAGTTACACAGAGGTCACATATTCTATCATAGAATCAACCTACCTAGCTGCTTTACTATGAACACAATGGTCAATCTGACACCTATGGCTGAATCAGATGCATATTGGCTGAATTACTCTCACAGTAGCATATAAGCAGTGTTGTCAGTATGCTGGTTATGATAATGATGACAACCCAGTCTGTTGTGACTCGTATACCTCAATCTGATGGCAATGAATATCAAGTATCAATTGATTGCTTTTAATCACTCTCATTACATTTTCAGAGTATTGATACTAATATTGCATCAATAAAAGTAATTCACTTATAACAGGATGTTGTCAAGTGATCTGAAATAAAAGAGTGATACTGAGACACACCAATAAGCTCTGACATACTTAAGAAGTCAAAAGTGCCCCACAGATGGCTGATGGTTTTAATAGAGTCTACACCATCTGGTGGTCCCTTCTAATCACCTTACTTATAATATCGGCTATGAAGATATTTTACTATAATGATGCCTTTGTATAAATTGTGGCAGTATTGTAGAGATAATGAGTATTTGACTGATCACTTTTATTAAGTGATCTGATATCATATTAGTCTAGAAAGTATCATGCATAAATTACTATCAGAAATCTTGGATGTCTTCTTACTCATTGTAAAAAATACTTATTATATTGAAATACAGTCTCACTCAGCTACTGCAGAATATTACATTGTGGAATACAGATAATGCAGATCATAACTGTAATATTATATAATCAGAACTATATGCTATATATGCTAATTCTATTAAATGAACAGTTCTGCAATAATAACTATATATTGATTACTGCTGTTCAGCCTGAACAGCTTGTAGAGTGGCTCACCTTGCATAAATTTGGACAGGTGCACTATTCTTACTAGATGCATGCTCTGCACTACTATATACTGAGAATAGCTATCTGTAATAACTGATTGAGCAAAATTCAATAAATGTGAAGCATGTAATGATATCTACTGGTTTCACCAAAGCAGTAAGCTATTGACTTCTTCTGTCTCTGCTGAATTATTCAAAAGATCCAAAATAGATTTATAGAACTATTCAGAGTCTGTTATCAGATCTGTGTAAGAGAACACTGAGGCATTAAGCAATGCAAATAGACCTTTGAAAGCAAGTAAGAATTGTTGCAGAGTCATGCATATTATATGAACTCATCTGGATTGTCACATAAGCAATAGCAGCTTTAGACATTGCACACATTCTATGAATATGAGCATTGCCTGACTTGGTGGCCTTTAGTTCCTAATCAACTGAACTGGAACTTATAAAGATATATTTAGCAGTCTACAAATGTATTAATAGAAGTGTCACATTCAGAAGAATATTAGAGTATCTTGACTAAAAGTGATCCATGCAGAAGACTATTTCATGAGTTCTCTGAATTATAGTGATAGTCAGCATATTGCATGAGAGATCACTAATCTCCTGCAACTTGTAAAGTCCCCTCACAAAGCTTAGATGAGACTCTGAATACTGATAAATACTCAGCAGTAATATCAAAAAGATGAAGACTTACTTGGAATCATTTCAGTCTAAATCAGCAGAACAAAATAAAGCACTGGTAACTGGATGATGAAATTTATAACCATTTTTACTGTTACAGGCAAGTGGTAGCTTCAAGCCTTGATCTGGAGGCATTATCCAGTCAAGAATGACACTCTTTAAGTTCTTTGTATTATCAGATCTCACACTATTAGCACCTTTTTAAATCTAAGATATTAGGAATATAAACTTATAATAAATAAATAATGGATGTGCAGCCATAGATAAAGAACTTACCAAGTCTGTCATATGGATGACTTTCTCATCTAAAGCATTAAGAAGATGAGCCTGAAAGTTTGAAATGTGCTTCAAGAGTGCTTCAAACACTGTAAATACCTTACATTCTCTGAGCTAAACTGAATTAAGAATTTCTCTACAACTAGAAATAGATTCACATACTCAGTTATGAAGTCATCTTTATGCTTACTATCAGCTTTATCTCCTAATATTATGATTCTGTTTATTAGTAATTATTGAATATTGCAGAATACATGTATAGTGTACTCAAAATAATGTCTATGTGAAATAAGTAGATCCTGTAAATAACTATACCAAGCTTAGTCAGAACTAGTTAATAAGAGAATCATAATATATGCACTTTCTTCCTGGAAGCAGATTCTAAGGCATTGCAGGGACACTTTGCATCATATTGTGCTTCAGCAGGCAAAGTTCTGTAATCTGCCATAGTGTCAGAGGAAGCAATTGTTTGATTGAAGTCTGAAGCTTAGAGTATAAGACAAAACTCACTTCACTATCCTGAAGGTTGCTGCATATACCAGGCACCCATTATAGTTTTCAAATGGATTTGAGTTACTAATATATAATAAAATATGTAATCCTCTTTGGATACCTCTTAACTGCTTATCGATAAAGCATAATTCCAGTCAGCCCATAAAAGCAAGATGTTTCTCCTAGTTAGTCAATAGCATTCTGTCTTAGCATGACTATAAAAGCATACAAAAAAGTGTAAAAAAGCAATCTACTTGCAAAATAAAGGCCTAGTACTCACAGAGGTTCCAGAGTTCTGTGCCACAAAAGTGCTGCATATTACCATCTTCTTTGCAAATTTCACTGCTGAAAAAACCAGCCTGTCAATTCAAGGTTTAGGCAACACTTCAGTTATACATTAAAAGCCCAACCAACTGTCAATACTGTCAGGAGCTGTGAGAGTTCAATTATTAATCTTAATAGTGAGTGACTTTACTATATATATAGAATATGAATAGTACTCATTTTATCACAGTATATTATGAAACAGATTATTTTGAATATGCGAAGGTTCTGATTCTGCTAATAGACAAAGCAACAGCTGAATCAAATAAAAGTGTTAAACCTTCTACAGAAAATGCCCCAGTATGAGGTAAGTAAATTTGACATCATAAGAGTTATAAATTTGACTAACATGATGTGAAAATGCTGGTATAAGATAACACCATGTATGTAGAGGATTTATCATTATCAGGACTGAAAGTACTAGAACTAGCTGAAGAACTTGCTCAATTAAAAACACTGCTGATGAAGAAGGACACCAAGATTGATAGACTTGAATTACTACTATCTGATATGACAGATAACATGATTCAATATCATCAATAATATATGGCAGAGAAAAAGGCACATGAGCTTATGCAACTTACTGGAGCTTCTAGGTATTCACACTTCCAAGTCTAATTTGGTGCACCATCACCTTCTTCATCAGTTGAAGAAGAATATTATCTTAAATATAATAGCAGCACAGAAACTGAGAAAGAGAAGAGGATAGATATAGAGAAATGAACAGTTGTGCATAGTGTATTTGCTAATAAATATGAAGTTAAATATCAGATATGTAATATCATTGTTCACTGAAGAAAGAAGAGTACATACTCAATAAGACTACAGCATAACTATGATCAGCCAAATTTATTAGAGAATATAATCATCAGAAAGCCAATAAAGAAGTTATAGCCAAATATATTATATACAAGTTATTAGAACTTCCTTGATGGCATTGAATGCCTTCTTGACAATCATGCTATCCTCTTTCATCTATGAAGAAGAATCAGAGTAGTTGTTCTTCTTATCCTATTTGAATGCCCAGTTCTGTCTATCAGTATTGAAGTATACTAGTGAGGCACTGAGAATATTAATATGAGAGGTAGACAAACTACCAGAATTATAGGAAGTTGCAGTATTTAGTTCTAGATAATTTGTATCTTGTGTTATTTATTCTAGTATGAGTGAGTAGTTAACTCAATTCAGCCAGCTCTTCCTGCTGGATCTATTGAGTAGCAACAATAGGAGAATGAGTTAAAGTCTGCT